ACTAAAGAAATCACAGAATGGGACAAGCCAGAGCAATTTGTCACTGAAGATGAAAGAGCTGTGGAAGTTAGTATCGTTCCATCAGAAGCCGTGTCTGCTCCAGAGAAGAAGCTTCCTGCAGAATGGGAAGAAACTCAGGAAGTTGTTGTGCCAGCCAAAAAAGAGGAAATTGTTGAAGAGCTGGCAACTTTGGTTGCAGAGACATCCAGAAAACAAGAAGAAATCACTTGGGAGGCACCAGAAAAGGTAAAACCTTCAGATGTTCAACCTGACCAAGTTACAACAGTGCCAGTTGAAGCTGTGATTGCTCCTGAAACTAAAGAAATCACAGAATGGGACAAACCAGAGCAATTTGTCACTGAAGATGAAAGAGCTGTGGAAGTTAGTATCGTTCCATCAGAAGCCGTGTCTGCTCCAGAGAAGAAGCTTCCTGCAGAATGGGAAGAAACTCAGGAAGTTGTTGTGCCAGCCAAAAAAGAGGAAATTGTTGAAGAGCTTGCAACTTTGGTTGCAGAGACATCCAGAAAACAAGAAGAAATCACTTGGGAGGCACCAGAAAAGGTAAAACCTTCAGATGTTCAACCTGACCAAGTTACAACAGTTCCAGTTGAAGCTGTGATTGCTCCTGAAACTAAAGAGATCACAGAATGGGACAAGCCAGAGCAATTTGTCACTGAAGATGAAAGAGCTGTGGAAGTTAGTATCGTTCCATCAGAAGCTGTGTCTGCTCCAGAGAAGAAGCTTCCTGCAGAATGGGAAGAAACTCAGGAAGTTGTTGTGCCAGCCAAAAAAGAGGAAATTGTTGAAGAGCTGGCAACTTTGGTTGCAGAGACATCCAGAAAACAAGAAGAAATCACTTGGGAGGCACCAGAAAAGGTAAAACCTTCAGATGTTCAACCCGACCAAGTTTCAACAGTGCCAGTTGAAGCTGTGATTGCTCCTGAAACTAAAGAAATCACTGAATGGGACAAACCAGAGCAATTTGTCACTGAAGATGAAAGGGCTATGGAAGTTAGTATCATTCCTTCAGAAGCTGTTTCTGCTCCAGAGAAGAAGCTTCCTGCAGAATGGGAAGAAACTCAAGAAGTTGTTGTACCCACTGACAAGGAGGAAATTGTTGAAGAACTTGCAACTTTGGTTGCAGAGACGTCAAAGAAACAAGAAATGACGACTTGGCAAATTGCACAAGATGTCAAACCATCTGCAGAAGAAACAAAAGAAGTTTCCCTTGTTTCTGTTGAGGCTGTTATTGCCCCAGAGAAAAAGTTCCCATCTGAATGGGAACAAGTGGAAGATGTAAGTGTGACTGTGGGTAAGGAAGAGGCTGTTGAAGAACTGGCAGTGCTTCTTACAGAGACTTCAAGAAAACACGAAGAAGTAACATGGGAGGTATCAGACAAAGTTAAACCCACAGAAGAAGAAGCAGGTGAAGCTACAGTGATGCCAGTTGAGGTTGTTATAGCACCTGGTCAGACAACAGTGTCCTCATGGGACAAACCTGACAGTGTTGCACCGTCAGCTGTTTTTCAGACTGCTGCTGAAGTCCCTTCTGATGCTGTTTCTGTACCACAAAAGAAAGACGAAGTTCCATGGCACGACACAGAAGATGTGACTCCTGTCCAGCCAGACCAGCTAACAACTGTTACTTCAGATGCGGTAGAGAGTGTTTCAAAGCGTGCTCCTTTGTCTTGGGAAAGTCCCTCTGATGTGCCAGAAGGTGACAAGAAGGAGACAATCCAGGAATGGGAAAGTGCACCTTTGGAAGCTCCTGGCACTGAAGAAATTCTTCCTTGGACTAGGCCTGAGGACATTATCAAACATGACGAATCTGTTACAGTTTCTGAAGAGCAAGTCACTCCACTAGAGACAAGTGAAGTAACAAAACCAACAACATGGGAGGGCCAGACAGAGGTTGTTACTGCCAAGGAGGTTGATCATGAAGCTGAAAAGGTCCAGATCACACCTCTATCAATCCCAACACAGCAAGAAGTTACTCTCAGTGTTAGACCTTCCGAATTTGATCAGGAAGTTGTCTCGGATATAACCGTCGCACCCATCTCAGAAGATGCACAGGTGACTGTGAAGGTTGCTGATAAGCCAGATATTACTTCCCATGCTGAGATTCAGCCTGAGAGGAGAGAGCGCTCAGAACTTGAAATGGCACCTGAAATTGTACGAAAGCTGGTTGATATTGAGGTCCACCTTGGCCAGCCAGCAGAATTAGTTTGTGAAGTGGAAGGTTCCCCGCAACCAACAGTTCAGTGGTTTAGAGATGGTGTGGAAGTCACTCCCAGTGAGCGCTACACAATCACAACAGATGTGGAGGTAGGAAAAAGTACCCTTCTCATTGCTGAAGTGACTGAGGAAGATGACACTGAATTTGAATGCAGAGCAACCAACATCTTGGGTATCGTTTCTTCATTTGCTGAGCTCATTGTTGAATGTAAGTGTTTTCTTTATATTCTGTTTGTGTTCTTTTCATTGAAACAAACTTATGTTGCAATAATAATTTAACTTAAACATAATAATAGAATGATACAAAGATTTTCATTGCCTTTCCTGTATTTAATTATTTAAGTATTTAATCCTGAGTTTTGTGTCATTTTTTCCCTAAAGCTCCTCTTGAGACTGTAGAGCAGACAGAAGTTGAAACTTTGCAGGCAGGCCCAGAAGAAGTCCATGTCACTGTGACAAAACCACTTGAGACTGAGACCACCGAAGTAGAAATTTCAATGAAACCAAGAATGGAGGTGTCTGAAACTGAGGTGGAGATGGATTTCCCTCGGGAATTCCAAGAAGTCCAGTTTGTCGTAGAAAAGCCAGAGGAAACCGAAGTAGTTGAAGTGGTGAAGCAGCCAAAGGAGCCAGAAATTGTTACTACTGAGTTCTTGAAAGAGCAGCAGCAACCACAGGAGGTTTCCTTCGAAGTCGACAAACCCGAAGAAACAACTGAAGTTGAGATCTCAATGAGACCAAGAAAGGAAATTTCTATGGTGGAAGTGGAAAGAGATTTTCCACAAGAACTACAGGAAGTGCAGTTTGTTGTGGAAAAACCAGAAGAAACATCAGAGGTTGAGATCTCCATGAAGCCCAGAATGGAAGTTTCTACAACAGTTGTAGAGAGAGATTACCCACGAGAATTCCAGGAGGTCCAGTTTGTTGTTGAAAAACCAGATGAAGTTGCCGAAACAGAAGTGACAGTGAAGCAAGAGAAGACTGAAGTAGTTAGAACTGTCGTGGAAAAGGATTTGCCTCAGGAGTTACAACCAATCGAATTTGAGATTGAAAAGCCTAAAGAATCGTCTGAAGTTGATGTTACAGTTTTGGTGGATAAACCTGAGGAAACTTATGAAGTTGAAGTGTCCGTAAAACCACGCAAAACCGAAGTTGTACGAACAGCAATTGAACGGGACATTCCTCAGGAACTTGGTGAAATAGAGTTTGTAATTGACAAACCGGAAAAAGTTGGTCCCACCGAGGTTACAGTTGTTGAGAAAGGCATTGAAAAAATGCCTCAGGAAATTGAGTTCACTGTAGAGAAACCCACAGAGGAGATTGAGGAAGTTAAAATCAAACGCAGGGTGACAACAACTGTCTGCACGGAAGTAGACAGCAAAGTCGAAGAACCAACAGAATTTGAATTTGTAGTTGAAAACCTGGCAGCAGAGATTACTGCCAACAAACTGAGTCATGAGATTATGAGAGAAGTTACAACCGAGATAACTGCCGACAGACTGAGTCGTGAGATTATAAAGGAAGTTACAACTGAGATGTACAGAGAAGGCCCTGTGTTCATCCGAGAGATAACCACCATCACGACCACTCTGAGCGAAGAGGCCCGCTTTGAATGCCAGGTTACAGGTGTTCCTGCTCCAACCATTCAGTGGTATCACAATGGCAAGACTCTCCGCGGGGACAGGTACATTGTCATCAATTACAATGACGGTGTCAGCGAACTGTTTATAACTGAAGTTACCGAAGATGATATTGGTACTTTCATGTGTGAAGCAGTTAATCCGCTTGGACGAGCAACAACTGAAGCTGTGCTTACAATTACCACTGGTATAGTATTTGAAATCTAAGTATGCATGAAAAAAAAGCATGACAGTTGTATTTCATAAGTCTCCTCTTTGACTAACATTTTTTTAACTACTTAGAATCCAATTGGTTATTAAAGTCTGTAATGAGTAATTGTATTTAATGCTGTTCTTTGTTTACAGATTGTGTATACCTTTCTTACCATCTTGTAAATGTTTTCATGTATTACTCAAAGTGGTTGAGTTACATTGTGTGAAATATTTGTAAAACAGAACTAACTTAATATTTGCATGATTTTTTTCTAGATATTGTGTATTATATTATGTGACTTAACCTACTTTTTTAATGATAAATTGGTTTGTTATGTTTTGTAGTCGAGCAAGTGTGATTTGAGTATTTTTGCAAGAGTGTTTATTGATTGACACATCATTGTTTGCATGATTTCTAAAAAGTGAATGACATATTTAAAGTGTGGAGTTTGAGATTTACACAACTGTGGTGAGTGTTGAATGCGCAACAGCTCAGTTTGAATTCGGTTTTATGTGTAAACAAGTTTGTAGAGTTCATTTTGTTTGATTAGTGGATACTGCCAATTTTATTGCTTATTAATGTTTCTCCTGTGTTTTGCATGTTTGACAATTAATAAGAGATTACTACATGCATGTACATGTAACTGCAAGCTGATACAAAAATATCACTATGAATCGAGGATGTAGTTGAGTCCATCACAAGTCCAGTAACAAGTTAATCACACGTCCAGTCACAGGTAAATCACAAGTCCAGTCACAAGTAATACTGGATGAACAACAACAAAGGAATGCCGTTGTCAAAGCTCAATAACTTGTGAGTTGAATTGGAACTAGGACGTGTGATAGACTTGCAAGAACTGGTGTTGGACTCAACTACATCGCTGCTATGACTAGTCTTTGATGATACCCATCTGTAACTCACTCCTCATGCAGATAAGACAACAACTGTGATTGAGATACAGGAGGAGAAGGTTGACCGAGTCACAGAGGAGACTGTGGAAGTCATCAAGCCCATTGAGGAGAAACCTCTAGAGATTACGATCACCTTCCAGCCGCCAGAGTTTGTGGAGCCAATCACGAGTCTGGAGGTCACTGAGGGATACAAGGCTGTGTTTGAAGCCCGTGTGGTGGGAACGCGACCGATTGAGATCACATGGTACCATGGACAAGAGCTGCTTGAGGTCAGTTGATTTTGTTATTTAAATTATATTTATTTTTTTTCATTCTGGTGCTAAAACAATTGATTCCTTACAAAAGTTTCTAAATTATGGAATCCATGCATGAAGAGTAGATGGCGCATCGTGACTATCGGTGAAAGCTCTATGGTAGGGACATGACACATTGCGGGGGACACACTGGTTTGTGTGAATTTGACAGGAAGTAGGTATGATTGGTTTAAAGGTAGAGTATATCATTTGCGGCTATCCAAAAAGTAACTGACAAAATTGTTGTTGAAAAAGCATACTTGGTTTAAAGATAATAATCGGAATAAACTCCCTCAGATATTGTTCTTCTGGCATGCTGTCATTTTGAAGAAAACAATCAAAGAAGGTCATTTCAAAAGATGTCTAAAGACGCAGTTTTGAAAATTTCCATTAGTAGTTTGTTTTGAATTCGGGGAAGCCATGAATGGGTGTGCGCAAGCATTGACACAACACACCCACGAGCGGTTAGTATAATTTGTTGATTCAGTGCGTGACGTCACGAAGCTGCATTCTGCTGAATGAGAACGTGTCCCAGACACTGATTTCGGGCACAGTTCAAAACGTGACTTGGGAACTTTTGAATTGAAATCGAGATCCTAGATTATTGTTTTCTCAGAATATACAGCATTCACTAAGCTAAAACTTCATCAGGTTAGTTGTTAAGTACCCTTCTTTAGATTTTGGGCACTTCTGTTGCTTCAAACGAAAAAAATTCACAAATCACAAATGATATACTCCACTTTTAATTTTGAACATGTTCAAACCTGTATAATCTTCGTGCGAATGCTGGGCAAAACAGTATCAATGCCTTCAGATCCCTCCTGACTTTCTCTTTGTAATCGAGTGAGGGTTCTTATGCATGGACTCTATAGTTTGAAATTTTAAGACCCGATGCAGATGAAGATAGTGACAATTTTTATGTTTAAAATTGCTGAAACAGCCCAACAAACCTTTTGGATTGTTTTTACTTTATGTAGGAATTAAGGAATTAAGATCCAGAAAACACAGAAAATATAACAAGATATTTGTCTGATACAACACGGATCTGCCTTTTATTCAACTTAAAGAATTTGCATGCGTTGAGACCCCTTAATTCCAGTCGCACATGAAGAAGTTATGGCCAATTCCTCATCAGTCAATCACAAATCATCTGTTCACAAGTCAATTGACAAGATATTCGCATAGACATTCCTCTGTCATCATTCATCCCCTGTTACTTGTTACCATACTGGTGATTTGACTTGTGGTGGACTTAAAATACAACTCCTTCCAAATGTTAAGTTTAAATACAACTCCTTCCAAATGTTAAGTTTGTTCCTGCCTCCTGAGAATACAAAACGAATGTTACTATAACCATCAGTTCATGTTTATCACCAGTAAACTCTTCCTTCAAATGTTACTTCTCCCCTTCACAGCCATCTCCAGAGATTGCCATCACCTTCAAGGACGACACTTGTATTTTGGAAATACAGGAAGTCATTCCAGAAGACTCTGGCGACTACACCTGCAAGGCAGCCAATCAGGCAGGTGTTACCACCTGCGTGGCCACCCTCCATGTGTCAGGTCAGTCAGTTGGTTCTGTGAAGAGTTTGGTTATTATGTGCTACACTGTTTCTGTTAAGTCTGTGGTTTGGGGTGGTAGGTTTATACCCTTTAGTGTTTTTTTTATCATAATAAATCAATTGATTAAGATAAGAAAGTGGGAGACAGAGACAGAGTTGTAATCGAGCCAGTCACAATTCACCACAAGTCCATCACAATTCAATCACAAGTCATCCAGTCCCTAGTAAACTCACAATCTATTTAAATAAAGTGTGAGTAACTGTTAATCTCTTGTTACTTTTGACCTGAATAGTGAATTGATGCGCAATTGAATTGTGATTAACTCGATCAAAATTCTAGAGGGAGAGTTGGGAAATCTAATTTATATGAAGTTTCACTCTTTAACACAGTAATGGGAAAAGGGGTTCTAATACAATGATTGGCCTTTTGGTGACTTTGAGGTGTTAAATAACTAGAATAACGTGTTAAATAACTGCAGTACTAATTCATGAACAAATAGCCTTTCACTCTTGAGGTGACAGTGATGGATTTCAACCAGGCGTGCTTCAAGGTCATTCATATATGTATTTCCTCAGGACCTTTTCTGACAATTTTGGTTGTTCAGTTTTGTAAGACATGTACATTAAAGCTAACTCATCCCATTTGATTGGTTGTTGCACTAACAGTACTAACCCCATTCATTCTAACCCACTTTGACTCAACAGAAGAGGCAGATGTGAACAAAAGAAATTTGAAAGAGGTTTCACCACCTGCTGAAAAAACAGGCTCACCTGGTCAAAAGATTAATGGTCCCAAAGACGCTATGCCAGGAAAGGAAGATGTATTAGTTACATCCCCTGAATTGGACACAGTGTTCCCCAAGACAGAGGCAAAATTGAGATCCCAACCAAAACAAAAAGATGACACTGAGGAAGAACAGTCAAGTGGGTCAAAAACTGACAGCGAAAGTGACAAATCGAGCTCTGACAGTGAAAATGACAAATCAAGCTCTCACGAAAACCAGGTTGAATCTAAAATTGACAAGCCAGAGGTCAAATACACATTTGATTTCACCGAGCCCGAAGTGACCGCACCGGTTAGAAAGACCAAATCCCTGAAAGCCCTGTCGTCGATGTATGCTGAAGACGAAACAGGTGATTTTGACTCCCCACCTGCACGTTCACAACCCTCACCTCTCACATACGCACCTTCCCAAACACCCCCTCCCGCTCAAAAATCGAGTCTTAGAGATTCACTCAGGTCACTGGCTTCTCGGTATTCAGTGGATGAATCCTTAGATCTCACAGATGCTGCAACTGGAGATGCTGTCACAGAAGACAGTAAGGGAGATTCATTACCAACAGCCATGACAGCCGAAGTAGATCCACCTGTTTCTCTGTCACAAAGGAAGCCAGGTATAGTTAGGGCAAACACATTTTCCAGCTCAGACTATGACTCCTCTGAAAGTGAATCACCCGATGAGCAATCAGTCCATTCTCCCAAGGTTACTGAGGATGGTGTGAATCATGGGGATAATCTGGGATCCAAATCAAAAGATGATTCGGATTCAGGTACTAGTAGATCTGATTCCGAAGAAGTACATGTAGTTGACAAGGGGACTGATGATAGAGCGCCGGAAGACAAGTCAGAAAAAGATCTAAGCAGCACATCAAAAAGCTGTACTTCCTCTGAAGGGGAGGAGTCTGGTTCTGAGGAAGTTGTTCAAAAAGATTACCCCTCAACTAGTGAAAGGAGTCATTCTGAAAAGCTGGAACTGGATAATAGGAGTAGTTCTAGCCAAGCAGGTGTAGGTCCATTACGCCCGAGAAGCATTGATATTGTCAAGGATGTTGATTCAATACCAATGATAACTGTCACAACACCAGGGGGTTCTTGGCGGGAACGCATCACGTCTTCAGAGGATATAATGTCATCCTCAGAATATGAAAGCTCAGACTTTTATGAGGAAGACAGTGATGAAGATCAACAGGACGCACCTTCCTTGGCAGTTGCACCGGTTAAAGAAGGGAGAGTCGCGATCAAGGTTGAGAAGTCAACAGATCCGGTTGTCTCAAGGGAAGAACTTCTAAATGAAGCTCTCACTGAGGAGCCTAGTATCCCTGAAATTACTGTGTATGCGATAGAGGAATTCCAAGAGCCCGACATAGCCAAACCGCCACAAGACTGTACAACTGTGGTGGATGGTATTGCGTGCTTTGATGCCAACATCACTGGGAAACCAACTCCTATTGTCAAATGGTACAAAGATGAAGCTGAGATAACGGATCCGAGGATGAACAGTGTGGCCAGCCGGGGATGTAACTACTCACTGATCATAACTGATGTAACCAAGGCAGATGAAGGAACCTATGCGTGTGTAGCAAAGAGCATGTTGGGGTTGGACAGTGCATCAGCTAAACTAATTGTCGAAGGTTGGCTAATCACACTAATGTTTTTGTTTGATTAATCTTCACATTTTGTAGATTGCATGTTAGATCACTCTGCACTCCTTACCAACTCAATGATGTTTGTTTTTGAGAAATTTTTGGATTACTTTCAAACAGAATTTTCTTTTGGAGAATACCGTAAACTACTACCACAAAATTATGCACTTTTTGCATTTTTATATTCCACTCAAATCTGATTTCACTTGGTCAAGCATTCTGACAAAGTGTCAGAAGCGGTCAATTAAAAAAATGAACTCTATGAATGGAACAGTTGGGTTGGCAATGAGTAATCTTAGATGTAATAGCAAAATCATCACTTACTCATATTATTCATAAGTAGCTCTAGTCAGTAGAGGAATTAGTATAAACAATTACATTTAATTACATTTGGTGTAATTATGAAAAGAAATCTAAACAACTTAACTTATGTTTAACTCCATCAAATCAGTCACATGCACATTTTGTTTCTTTTTGTTGCACTTTTTATTTAAGGATTTGGAGAGAAAAAAAAGCATATTATTTTGAAAATTTTACAAAAGAAAATATTTGAAAGGCTTGAGCCAACAAATAGCCATTGCAGCCGTAAGCAAAATAAAAAGGAATAAGATTCCTGTCTGTCATAGAACATATTGAGTTTGGCAGAAGTTTTGCATTCACTGTAAGCATAGACATCCAGTGACAAATGTGTTTTTTAACATATTAAAACACTTTTAACAAAATAACACAATTTTTAATGATTTTAATTTAAATGGGTTTTTTTTCAAGAAAACTAATGATTTTGCTTAAAATATAGGTTCCAGAAAAAAAAAGTTTGATAGTTTTTATTACGGTATACAGAATTCATTTTGTTGCTTGTAGCATGAATGTTGCTAGGAAGAACGATTACGTGCATGTATTACATGTTCTTGTTACAGTCATTTTTGTTTTGTTAGTGTTTATTGCATGCATTTTGTTTTGTCTTTTTTCTTTGCATTAATGTTACCCATTCCAGAAGATGAGGTGAAACCAAAACGGGTGTCATCTCCTTTGAAGAAGCACTTCGGCTATGAGGAGCTAGAGGAATGGAAACCACCGAAGCACTCTGAAAGTGATGCATTGTCGAAAGATGACAATAAAAATGAACCATTGGAAGAGGCTGTAGAGCCAGAGGAACAAAAGGTTACTGAATCAGAGGCTCCCATGGACAAGGGGGCTGCAGAGAGATCACTGTCCGAATCAGATGCTAGTTCTGATGCCTATATTGAACTAGATTCTGTCGAGAGTGAGAGGTTGGCTGATGGGTCTGTTGAGAAGCAGTCTGATAGGTCAGGTTCCAGTTCATCTTCTGATCATGACAATGAAGCTGATAAAAAGGCAGATGCAGATGCTGATGATGGAGTTAAGGATCAAAACAAGGATTCTTCCGTTCGACTAGGATCCAGTGGAGGTCCACAAGTGGTTAATGATCTTTCAGGAGAGAGCCATTCTAGTAAGTCAAGCTCTAGATCTTCATCTGATCATGAAAGTGAAGAGGATGGTGATGTCAAGTCAGACCATTCCAGGTCTTTGGGGAAGGATTCTGATGGTGGAATTCCAGAGGAAAACCAACGTCTGGAACCGGATTCTACAAGAGGTGGTCAGCTTGCCGATGAGCCTTTAAATGAAAGTCATTCTGATCAATCAAGTTCTAGGTCATCATCTGATCATGAAGATGAAGAAGATGCTGGTGCAAAGTCTGATTCCTCAACGTCGTCTTCGGGAAAGGATTTGAATAATGATATCAAAGAGGCAAAACAACATCTTGATTCAGATTCCACTAGAAGTGGCAAATTCTCAGACAAGCCTGTAGATGAAAGCAGTTCTGATAATTCAAGTTCCCGGTCGTCCTCAGATCAGGAAGATGAAGTGGATGCTGATGCAAAATCAGTTTCCTCAGAGTCTTCACAGGGAAAGGACTTTGATGGTGATATTAAGGAGGAAAAGCAACAACCAGATTCCACTGTAAGTGAAAAGCTTGCAGATACACCTGTAGATAAAAGTCAGTCTTCTAAATCAAGTTCCAGGTCATCATCTGATCATGAAGATGGAGAGGATGCCGATGCAAAATCATTTTCTTCCAAGTCATCACAGGATAAGGACGCTGAAGATTCAGACAAAGATTTGAATCTTAAACCAGATTCTTCTGGAGATGACCAACATGTCGATGAGGAAACTCATTCTGATAAATCAAGTTCCAGGTCATCTTCAGATCACGAGGATGAAGAAGATGCTGATGCAATGAAATCAGATTCTTCCAAGTCTTCCCACGGAAAAGGCTCTGATGATGAAGAAAAGGAAGGAAACCAACAATATCTGGAACCAGCTTCCTCTAGAGGTGAAATGCTTGCAGATGAGCCTGTAGAGGAAAGCCATTCTGATAAAGCGAGTTCCAGGTCTACCTCTGATAGTGAAGATGATTCTAAACCTGGCCAGTCTTCAGGTTCCTCCCAGACTTCATTGGGTGAGAGTTCGGAGGATGAAGCTACCAAAGAAAGTCATGATCATCCTGATCTTGGCCCCATAAAAAGTGATGAGATTGAAGAAGAGGCATTGGAAGAACACTCTGACAAAGGAATTTCAAGGTCTTCATCCAGTCATGATGATGATGTGGATGGCAAGTCTTCAAGTGCTGCAGGTGAGGACTTTGATGATGACAATAGAAACGATGAGGAAACTCAACTGTCTCAGCTTGAACCAGAACCAATTGACAGAGAAGACTTTGTCGATGAAGCACCAGCAAAGCATCCTGATCAGTCAAGTTCCAAGTCGTCTTCTGACCATGAGGATAGTAAAGATGACGAAATTGGTAGGTCTTCAGATGATTCTAAGACTTCATCAGACGAGGACTCTGACAATGAAAACAAACATTCTGAGGGAGAGCCAGTTCCTTCTGTAACTGAAGTTTATCTTGAGGCCAGTGGACCTAGGTTACATGTATCTGAGTTTCAAGAGCCTGAATCAAAAAATAAGTCAGATGTTGACGATACACAGAAACAACAGGAGAAATCACCATCTCATAGCCCTGACATCTCATCTGATGATGGAGATTTAGAGAATGTACATGGTAAAGATTGGGACAGCGAGTCTCCATCAATATCCAGTCCCACTACCTCCAGTGATGCTGAGTACACGTCTGACGAGGACGAAAGTGAACAAAGCTTGTCAGATGCCCAAGAGAAGAAACATTCCAATTCATCTGTGTCAGATGAGGTTGATGACGAAGCACCACCAGTCGCACAGACATTCCTCGAGTGGGTTGCTCCTCATTTACCGGAACAACAAATTGAGATCCACACAACCAATTTTGAAGAGAGGTCTTCCCCTGATGGAGAGGACCATGATAGACCTGTTATCACGTTAGAGCTGACTAGAGATCTGTTTTCTCTACCGGAGTCCTCATCTGATGCTGAAAGAGAATCATTTGTTGTTGAAGACTATCTTGAGGTGGGTCCAGTTACTCTCTCTGGCGAGCTTATACCAACGAAAACAACCTCATCGGCAAGTTCCTCAGCAAACTCTTCCTCAGCAGAGTACGACAGTGATGATGAGAAAACTGATGAAAGAAATGATGATGACACTTCTAAGCCTGATTTAATTCAAAGATCCCAGTTAGATATAGGAACAGAGCTTGAAAGGCCCGAGTCTTACCAGCTTTATCTTGAAATTGACCCTATTGTTCCAACTCTACCAGCTACTAAAGTGTCTGAATCATCCTCCTCTGAGAGTGAAATGGTCACCGTCAGAGAGATTCTGGTGGACAAACCAGGCAAGGACTCGAGCTCCTCACAGCCAGATGACAACAAGCCTTTCACTGTCTACGAAACATCTGTGTTCCAGCAGACTTTTAAAAAGGTCTCAGTGAAAGAAGTCCTGACAAACATACCAGTCACAAAATCAGTAGAATCTACCGAAGTTGTCCTTCGAATGAAAACAGAAAAGGAAACATCTACAAGTTGTTCCTCCTCAGAGGATACCGAAGACACAAAAGTTCCAAACCAAGCTACACCAGTAGCTGGAGAGAATTACATACCCCTCAACATCAAACTTAAGGTACCTACTTCATCACGTGAAGATGAACATAGGTCCAGTCACTTGACTCTGAACGTCAGTGCCGAGTCTCACAGTCCAAGGGTTGTTGAAGTGTACTTGGAATGTACACCGAGGGAAGCCTTGCAATCAGTCTCATCCCCAGAGAAGCACAGAAAAATTCTGCTCTCTCAACCAGGCAGTGAATTAAAACCGATCACTCTTTTCTCAGCCAGTGATGAAAGTAATAATGAATCAGTAGATGTGGGACAAGAAGTTGAGATAGATATTGGTAAAACTCCAAGTGGTTCTGCGGTTGTAACAGTTGGGGATAATACTGAGGAGAAACGAGACTTGATAACATTAGGCTCTGATACTGAAGATGTACATAAACATGAAGTGACAACAAAGGATGGCCAAGAGCACGAAGATTTGCCAGAGGATTTGCAAGAGAAAGAACAGGCACAGGAATCACAAATCCAAAATAGAAATGTTGAGAGTCAGTTCAAACAACCTGAACTGCCTCTTGTGATTGGATCTCCTGATCGTGGTACTCTTATTGAAGCAGGAGAACGTCTGCCCTCATTTCTTTCTCCAATGACAGAAGACCTTCCTAGTTTCTCGAAGAAGCCGTCACTTGGTGCTCCTATCTTCACCAAAGAGCTCAAAGATATCACTGTTCTGGAGGGAGATGCCGCAATGTTTCAGTGCTATGCAAAAGGGGAACCAAACCCGACCTTTGTGTGGTTTAAAGATAGCAAGGAACTTGGTGAAGATGATGACGTGTACGAGATTAACACCATGAGTTTTGAGGACTGCTACACTGAGTTGGTCATCCATGAGGTGACAGCTGATGATAAGGGTGAATTCAAGGTGGTGACAAGGAATTCTAAAGGAGAGGCATACTGTAAAGCACGCCTGACCGTACAGGTCTTTGGAAGTGAGGATTCGGAGACAGGGACATCTGGGAGAAGTGATTCATCTGACAAAGAATCCGGCAGGAGATCATCCAGTGACAAAGATGCCAGGCCTGGAAAACAGGACTCAAAGGATTCCAGAAGCTCAGACTCTATGCCGCACAAGAGCAGCAATGAAGAACCTGGTGATGCAGTTAATTCTTCCCCAGACATGTCAGATGTTGATTCAAACATAGAGGCTGACCAAGCCCATCATGAACAGGCACCATCCTTGGAGCTGCCCCCAGTTGATTTAAAGGCTAGTAACATCGATACAGACAACCCAAATTGGCATGCTTCATTTGTACTCGAGGAAGGAGAACCACAGAAGGTTTTTGCCCAGTATGAAGAGACCCCATCCACTTCAATGGTTTTCAAGAGCCATTTATGCACTGTTGGTCATGTTACAGTTGAGCCTGCAAATGAATCTCCTGATTTCCAATATCCTGAACCAACTGACGAGATCTCTGAAACTTCTGTTGCTCCTGAAGATGATAAGAACATCCTGGAAGAGAAACAAAATCAACAGAACAATTACCAGAAAGACCTGCTACCTGATGTATTAGAGCAGGCTGCGTGGGGAGCGTGTAACAACCCTCCAAAGCAGATGGTTGTGGAAGATCTCTTTGCAGCTGTGACTGTCGAGCCTGACTTGTGCATTGCTAGAGCTGCTGATGACACCTTTCTTGTTGAGAACGTACAGACCGAGCATGTCGCGACTGAGCCATCGGATGACTTCGCTCAACCAGGCCTGTTGCATGTCACCAATGAAGGTTTGATGCGATGTGTTTTAGTAGTTTGCTAACAGCATGTAGCACCTAACACGTAGCTGAGTGTTATTTGAGATTTCATGGTAACCATTAACACACTTGCTTTTGAATGCTTCATTGCTTGTTTGCACCCAATTTACCCATTCTCCTCCACAGCAGAAGAATATGTTTTTCTTGTTCCCATTGAATATCCTAATCTGAATTTCCTTTAAAAATATCTAATTTACTGTATTGATCTACAAAGCAAGGCCACAAAGTACAAAGTAAGGTTTTAAAGGGCCCAAGTTACAAAGGAAGCTTTTAAATAAAGGTCACAAGTTAATAGAATTAATAAAATCATACTAAATCATCGAATGTATCAATTTCATTAAACTGCGCAAGGATGCCTGTACCTAAAATCGATTTATAAAGAACCATAACAATAAAGGAGTCTTAAAGATAAAGGTCAATAATTGGATTGCTTGGAAATAATTTGAGCATAAAAGCATTCATGCGTTCATTTATGACTTTGTTCTGTTGGTATTGTAACGAACGTATTTGTAGGGTTTTGTTCAGGTACCGGTACATTAGAGGCTATAGTGGGTGAATTGCTCAATTGTTAAGCTATCTTGTGAGGGGTTACTACATTAAAATAGAGCTATCACATGTGAATGGAACTGCAATATATTGGTATTTTGTTTTAATCACAAGACACCTAAATGATAAACCAAGTTTGGGGGAACTTGGTGTAACAATACTGTGTTAAATAGGAGCTCCTGTCATCATTCACTGCTTCTCATCTTCATCGCTTTTTGATTCATTTTCATGGCTCTTGTATTCAGCATTCCGTTATAGTATGGTTCATAAATTCATGCATTGCTGAATCTGTTATCGCAGAATCATTTGACTCAAACCAAAGCACCTGTATAAATATCCTAATCACTCAAGCAACTTGCTGTGGTCAGCTGGCTGATTCAACCCCAATTACTGTTTAGGTGTTGCTCTATGCAAAATTTCATCTTGTCTCAGTCTAACATTCCTTGTAAACCAGAACAATGCTTGGTTTACAGTAGTGAGTAGATGCTTTAGTTGAGGACAAAATTATAAAAAGGGTCTTACAGTGCTTAAGTTATCATTAACATGCTTACCATGTACTGATCATCACCATCTTTGTTTTGTACTTTCTTGTTTTAGTTGAGGACAAAATTATAAAAAGGGTCTTACCAGTGCTTAAATTATCATTAACATGCTTACCATGTACTAATCATCAGATCTTTATCTTGTACTTTCTTCAAGAAGAAATGGCTTTTTCTTCATTCACGATTCATTTAACAAAACGGCTCTCTTTCAGATGTGTGCTTGTAGATCCTTCATCAGCTAGTAAAAAAAATGCACTGAAAATTCAGAACTTCTTCATCTCTAAATCTAACAAATATTCTCTCTTTCAGATGTGTGCTTTCAGATACTTCACTGCTATTATCATGCCAAACAATGCACAGAAAATGAAGTATTTTTTTGGTCACAGTATAGTTTATTGATAGCTAGAGTCTCTAATTTTGAATTCATTGAATTGTGACAAATCTGAATTGACGAAACTGCATGCAAAAAAATCATGACTTTATAGAAAACAAGCATAGCAAAAAAAAAACTTGCATCACAGCTATAAGTGCCACAAAGCATTGCAAATTGCAAGACTATTTAGAGTCAACACTACGTTTGATGCAGGAATAATCTCTAGTTTTCAACTTCTTGCAGAAGCTCCTCCCTCTCCCAAAGAGAAGGTTGATGAGGAGAAACCAATTGAAATCCCGCCAGTCACTGTTCCAGCCAAGCCTGAAGAGAAACCACTTCCAAAAGATGAAGAAGCAGAAATCCTTCCTCAGGAAATCATCCAAGAGATGAAACCCAAGGAGATTCTCCTGGAAGCTGAGTACCAAGAGCTTCCTAAGGAGGAGCTTGCGGAAGTCATTCCTCCCCACTTCACCAAGACCATCGAAACCTTGACCGTTGCCGATGGTGACATGGCTCGCTTCACCGCTGTTGTGTTAGCCAAGCCGAAGCCGGTCGTCAAGTGGTACGTTGATGGTTCCGAGATCAAGGATGAACCAGAGTATGAGGTGACCTCTACTGATGATGGTGTATGCACTTTGACCTTACCTGAGGTCATCCCTGAAGATGAGGGAGAGTACGTGTGCAAAGCTATCAACAAGGCCGGGGAGGAGACATGTACAGCAATGCTCTTTGTTGAAGGTGAGTCTCTCTTAAATTATCTTGCATGCTAAGGATCAAAGATACCAAACAATCAAACTAACCTAAAATGAACTTTTCTTCTTGGTGCATTTTGTCACATGAAAATGGAAATTCTTGATACTCTTTCTTAAGCCATACATTCGGCTCAATTTTTACATTTCTACAAAATGTTCCACTGTATTTTCCCTTAATATATTTCTTTTTCCCTTTCGATAATTTTGTTAACATTATCAGTATTTTATTGTGAACAAAGACATTGACAAATTTTGAGGCTGCCAGTATAGGGCTGGAAAGCTCAATTTGAAAAATTCTTGTATGAAATTCCAAAAGTTAACTTTCCAATCCTGCCCCAGTTAATGTGTTTGTTCAACCCATTAACTAATTTAGCTTTTATAGATTGAGAAATGTTATAATCGAAAATTGAAATAACAGAAATTAAGAAAGAACCTGAGGAGCCAGTCAGAGAGAAAACTCACATTGAACTGGAGCGACAGCCTCCTAAACCTGAACTCGCTGGCATCGAAGTTGAGGTTGCAAGACCCAAGAAGACCACTATTGAGACGTCCTCAGTCACGATGGATGCCAAACCTCGGCCTGAGACGCGAGAAACAACCACTTTGGGACTGGACGTCGAGGACGTACGTCCTCTTCAGGAGATTGAACTGGCAGTCCAGGTTGACAAACATGCGCCCAAGGAGATGGTTCCGCCTTCTTTCACCAAACCCATCGGAATGGTAATTGTTAAGGATGGCGAGCCAGCAACCTTCACCGTAGAGATCTCCGGTTTCCCGACACCCAAGGTGACGTGGTTCAGGGATGGTGTTGAGTTAAAGGATGCCCCTGAATTCACGATGACGTTTAAAGAGAATGTCTGCGAGTTGGTTCTCGACGAGAGTTTCCCGGAGGATTCTGGGAAGATCACCTGCCGGGCATCCAATCCAGCTGGCGTGGCTACCTGCTCCGCAAAATTGATCGTCAGAGGTTGGATATTCCTTCATATTAGGCATGCAAGCATGAGTATATTGAAAAAGTTCCCTAATTATGTTGCACCTGTAAATCAAGTGTGATAAAAAAAATCTGTGTTACTCATAAATTACCCCTATTACATTTAACATGTTTTTTGGGGGGCACTGTTTTGTTATTTTTCGCTGTATTGTGCCAATGTTGTGCCAGATGAAATTTGCTGATGAAATCAAATCAGGCTGTAATTACACAAAATGAAGAAAGCTTCTTATTTTCGTAGTATTGCCTGAAAGTGTGTCTGTATTTGTGCTTATTTTAAGCATCATGTAAAAAGGTCAAGTGTTTGCTTATTTTTATCAACACTAATTTGTCTTCATTCTTGATGGTCCAACAGCAGAATGTTTTTGTTAGATTTTTTGTTTTTGTTTTGTTTTGTTTTGGCTGTTTTGGTTTGGTTCATCTGTAAGTTTATGTTAGTTTGTTAGAAACTGGTAGATTCAGGGGGTGTTTTTTGCAAGAGAAAATGTATAGGGGTTGTGTACGTTAAGACCGCATGATTTTAAATTCTGTGAATCTTTTATGAAGAATAATCATTGATTTACTACATGTGTGTTGATTTCAACATTAAATTGTAACACTGTTGTGTAGATGTTTGGCAATTTTTGTTTTTTTTACTGTACATTATAAACTGTGGATTCGGAAGAATGCAGTTTATGTTCTCCCTGCATTTTCTATTCCCATATTTGTCATTTAGTTGTATCTTGCATGCTTTTGATACTTATATGTGTATAAATAAAAAAGTAGTGTGTTAGAATGCATTAAGTCCTTTTTTTTCTCGCAACTCTGTCGTTTTTCTATGAACGACTGTGTGTGAAGTACAAGAGTTAAATTTGTATTTCGGGTGTTTCCCTTTTATATTTTGTTAAAGTCAATAAATAAAAAAAATTATCAAAAGCATCACTTTTGTTAATTGCATGTTGTGCAGTAAAATTCTCTGTGCTGGCTAATTCTCAATGTTCAACTCAAATTATATCTCCAATATTATTTGGTTTCTCTTTCAATACACAGAAGACGACTCAACAGAAGTGGATACTGAAGTCGAGGTGGTGACAACTCGCAAGACAGTTACCATGACAGCAGAGGTCACTAAAGAGGAAGAGGTCCTCCCAGTGGAATTTGAGATCAAACCGGAGGAAGAACGTCCAGAGGAGAAGGCCCCGGAAGAGGAAAAACCGGAAGAGGAACAACCACAAGAGGAAAAACCGGAAGTTGTCGAAGAGGAAAAACCAAAAGAAGTGGTGGAAGAGAAACCAGTCCAGCCGCTTGTTGAGGAGATTCCAGAAGATCAACCTGAGGAAGTTGAAGAGGTTCCAGAGGTGCCAGTCACAGTCATGAAAGAACCCATTGTGGAAGAAGCCCCAGAAGTGGTAGGATTTTATTCTTTCTAGCAATTTGATTCATTCATGTTTTTGCGAAGGGAATTCCAAAAGTTTTTATTCACTTAGTTCAAATATGAAATGCAAATGCTTGAAGAATGGAATGAATTTTTGTAAAAATGAAGTTCAGGCAGAGTAACTTTACAGGAGATGTTTGATTTGAAAGAAAAGTGGCGTAACTTTTTGAATGTCAATGTTCTTCTTGTTAATTACTTCTTGATATTAGGTAGGACTTAAGTCTGTGAAACTGAATAGTACCCAAGGGTCCTGACGGACTTCATTTTTATCATCATGGGTACAATTATCAGTTTGGGGAACAGATGGCAGATTCCTTGCTAATACAAGTTAGGAAATAAGCACATTAGTATGAGTTAGGTTCTTCAACACTGCAGTACAGGGTCTTCCATTCACATTTTCTTTCTTACTATTTTCCCCTTGCTTAGACTGAGGAAGTTGCTCCCCTACCTGAAGACGCAACTGATGTAGCCAAACCGGTCGAATTTACAGAAACTACAGAATCTACAGAAACTGTTGTCATCAGCAAAAGGGTAACATTCAGTCGGCTAATCAATAAATCTAGCAGTCCTTTTATTGTTTTCTTGAAAAGAATCTTAAAACTTGCAAATCAATGCAAGTTTCCTGTCCCTTGTCTTGAAACAAAAAATGTCACAGAACAAACATCTTTAAAAAAAAAAACTTACGTCAAGTTTATCTTTAAAATTGTGGAATATTTTGTTTTAATTTTCAGACCGCTGAAACAGTGGAGGTGGAAGTCACCACAGCTACGGGTAGGATTCTGTGCAACATTTCATAAAATCTACAAGATGTATATTCAATCAATTCTTAAAATGAATAGAAAGCGTTCTCTTTTTGCTCAATTAATGTTAGAATTTCAATCTGGCTTAGGACTTGGTTGGTACACAATGGCAGTCACAGGTATTTAGTCGAGTCCATCACAATCCACTCACAAGTAATTCACAAATCATTTCACAAGTCCAGTCACAAGTACAGTGGATGAGCAATAACCAAGAAGTTTAAATACCCATATCTGAAGAACATTGAATAATTCACAAGATATTACGTGTATATATACTTCTTGTTTCAGAAACCGCCGAGACCAAATTCATTGCCATGGGTAACTACCTGGCCGAGTCTGAAGAGGTGATGTCGCTGCGCGAGGGCGATAAACTCATCGTAGTTGACGAGGGGACGGGAGACTGGTGCTTGGCTCGTAGCGAGATGACACAGGAAGAAGGATGGGTGCCGAGAACCTACCTGGCAACTGAGGAACAGTATGAGGACAAGCTGGAAGAACAACTACAGGAGAACATCAGTATGTTGCCCACTGGAGGTTAGTTTGTTTGCTTTGTCTTGAGGGTTACCAGTTCAAGGGTCAGGGATCTAATCATTGTACTCGATCTTGTCTTTGCAAATGGAGAAATTAATATCTGATGATCGTATGTTATGGGTTGTATGTTGCATATTTATAACAAGACTTTTTAGTCAATGTTTGTAGTTTAATTACTGTCTGTTCTTGTTTTGTAATTTGTTTTCTGTTTTATTTTGTTTTTTTGTCCTGTATCCCTCACTCTTTGCGTTTTGCTGTGGGCATCATTTTCCTTTGGTTGTGTCTTTGTTTTTATCATGTCATCCCTGCCGTTTAAAAAATCTGCAAACATTTGCTTCTGTAATTTCTTTTATATATAAATATAAAACAATATGGGCATTTCCTTCAATGCCAAACAAAATTACATTGCGCTGTGGCAAATTCATTGATTTGGTCACCAACTTCTCAAATATGTGAATCGCTTGCTTTCATTTACCTTATGGTGTGATGCCTTTTTTGCATTTTTTTTCCATTATCAATTCACACTTTGTTTATGCTTATTTTCCCTTTGATGTGACTATCATGTAATTATACATTCTTAACTGTCAATTATACTGGCCTTTTTTTCCTCTTTTTTTTTTCAAAATCCATCTATGCTGGGTAAATGTTCCCTTCTTTCTGTCATAATGTTTTACACAAAATCCAAAATGCTTTCATCCATGCCGGGTAATTTGTCGCCTTCTCAAACTGCTTTGCGCTGCCGCTGTTTCAAACAAACCAGCCGCTTTTTCCGATGCAGAGGAAACAGTCGAGGGTGAGCCTGAGGCACCGGTATTCATCGAACCCTTGGAGACATCCAAGTGCAAAGACGGCCAACCGGTTACCCTGAAGTGCCGTGTTGAGGGGAACCCCATGCCCACCATTGCATGGTATCGTCAGAGCACCCCTATCCCACTGTCTGAGGACTTTGAGATGGAATATGACGGAAGCATGGCAACGCTGATGATTCGGGAGGTCTTCCCAGAGGATTCTGGGAAGTATACCTGCGTGGCTAAGAACCAAGGAGGGATGGCTTCCACGAGCGCTGAACTTCTTGTTGAAGGTTTGAATGAAAATACTTTATGTGTATTTGAGCACATAACAACATAGGGTGCTCAACAATTCGGGCGATTCACAATGTAGTGCGCCACCAAGAGTTTGCCATGAAGAGACAATTTTTCAAGTTTACGCTCGACAAAACATGGCCCATTTGAATGAGTGTCAGAAGACAACTTGAGCCAATATGTTATAGATTGGGGCATAGCATCCTGCCGCCTTTCAAAACACGCCATATTGATAAAGGGGAAAGGAAAGGGTAACAGATACTTGAATTATACGCTTACGAAACTCCTGACCGGAAAAGAAAAGTTTCAAATGTCCCACACTGCAAATTTGTCAACCATCTCCCACAATGCACTGGGAAAAATTAACTCTCTGTGGCAAACTCTTGGTGGTGCACTGCATTGTGAATTGCCCGAATTACCATAGTTTTTTGCACGTCTGGAGATTGGTTACATACAATGCATCCTATAAGAATGACTGACAACAAATTCAAGATCCTTTTGGGTCTCATGTATAGGCCTGAGAATAATGGTGCCAAGAGAGTGCAACATTTCCATGCTGATAATTTGATTTCTGTGTTCAACTTAACCTGTACTCCATTTCAGACCCCAAATGCCACATCATTTCCATTTCTCCACTCCACACTTTCAAAGAGAATAAGCATTAAAGTGTTTTTCTTATCAAATTTATTTTATAGTTAATTTGTCGGATGTTGAGAGCTATGACAGCAGCCACACACCAGTCTCAAGGAAGAGTCTCTCCAGGTGAATAGTTTTTGGAAAAATAATAAAACCAACTTTTTTAATATGAACATTACTGTATTTACAATAAAGGTCAACTTAATTGTTGAAACAAACATTGAAATTCAGTCTAAGTTGCATATTGCACAGCTGATAAACCAAAGTACATATTACTCAACTTGTACCTGATAATTTAATGTCTTTCGGTAATAGTTTCAGTAATTTCCATTAATTACTACGGTTATATTGTATTTCTGCATCTTAATTGTAGGGAGTCAACTGTGGAAGAACCAGAAGGCATCAAGCCAGCCTTCATGTCCAAAGCCAAAGCCAAACGCGTCGACGAGGGTCACAGCAAAGTGGTCTTTGAGTTCCGTCTGATCGCTGCCCCACGTCCCACCATCTGCTGGTTCCACAACGACCAGCCCATCGAAGAGACGTCCAGGAGAAGGATGAGCATGTACGCTGACGTCCATCTTTATATCCTGACCTTGGAGATCAAGGATGTCAAACCAGACGATGACGGTATCTTCAGGATCGAAGCAAGGAACAAGGAGGGGTCAGCCTCAGCGACTGTGGTTCTTGAAGTCAATCGTGAGTAGAGGCTCATTCTGACAATATTTCCTGTTTTTAATTGTTGGTGTGCGTTTAAGTGTTGCTGTGAGTAAGTCATTTGTGGATTGTGATTGCAGTGAAAAGAATAATCAAGTATAAATTGTCATTTTTTGTCACATTTTCAAACATGCACATCTGAGCTCCAAGAGATGTTGTGTTTATGAGTGATCATATATGCTGAAAGTGTTGTTTCTATTTTAATATCACCTGTTGTTTTCATTTTTGCTGACTGATCTGATTTAAGATTTCTTTACTATGGTAGGAAACATTTTATGTGAATTGTGCAACAAAATCTGACATTTTTATCGAGCATAGAAGTTTTGCAAAAATGCTTAGAAACTGAATGTGCTGAACTGAGTGGGCTAGCCTGAATAAATTGCCTTTTGTAGACATAGTTTTTGTCTAGACATCTGACATAACATTTTCCAACATCACATATCCGTTGCCGATAACATCAGTCCAACTAATCAACATTTTATTGCATGTTCCATGTTCATTGATGACTTGCGCCAAAAAAGAAATTACATCTAAGTGTGAGTCATTCTGAAGTACTCGGTCTCAAGTCAAGTCACAAGCTGTTCAGATGAACTGTGACAAAAAAAGCTTCCCTTTCTTGTTGTTCATCCCTTGTTTCTTGTGACTGGATTTGTGAAAGGACTTGTACTTGACTTTTATTAAGACTTGCAGTGGACTTTTTTGCCAGAAGCCAAAAAAAGTTCCATATTTGTGACAGGCTCCACAAAAAAGGGTTTTGTTGTAGAACAACAGAACGATGCACACAAAATGGTCGTTTTTTCCACTTTGTTCATCAAAATCAACATTTCTGTGAATGAAACTTAAAACTGTAGGTATTAAAGATGTCATTCATGACAAAAAAATTAAAATCACATTTTGAAGAAATTTTCACCCTCTCAATGTTGAGTGGGCCATTACATAATAATGCTCAGCGCGACTAAATACCCTTTTTTGTGGAGCCGGTCACATTTACGAAAACTCACAGGTTTAGTTAAATTCATTTTCACAAGTCATCAACGAACATGTTTTTCCACTCCCGACATAACCCCTCCCCATTAACCACGTTAACATGACCGCATGAGAGTCATTCATTCCCTCATCACTACATGTGTGTAGGACTCAGTCTCGATAGTCTGATGATTCTGTCCACAATGCATGCTCTCGAAGAGTCCTCACCTCCGTCTGAGATAGTCTGCTTCTCTCCAACTTTGCATGACTCCTCTAACCCATTTGATTTCTCCAAACCCGAGTGGATAGTTTCTGAGACATGGGAAGTCCAGAAGTCTCTGACAGCAGGTGATTTTCTTGTGTCTTGATTGTGATGCACCTGTTGATTTGTTGTCTACAACCCTTCCCCAGGGGGGAGCAATTCTAGATCATGTCTGGATCTAATATTGAAATTCTTAAGTTCCCTATAATAATGTTACAGTAATGCTACGTTTTTTTTCTGGACAAACACTGCTATTCAGTGCCCAATTGTCCCATTAAGATAAATCCAAAGTGCTGTTGTGAAAAAAAAAGTTTGCAAAAGGCGTATTCTCTTTCCTGCTAAAAGACGCCATTATTTAAAGGTGAAAAAAAAGTCACCGACTGAATATCAGCAGAAGGCCCTGATAACTGCTTCATACCGTACCAATAGATGTGGACTAACAAGCCTATGATTGGCTTTGTTAGTCTGGTGGGACATCTCATTGACTGCCTCACAACATTTGTCATCAGTCCATATATAAGGGTTTACAGGGACTAGACAAGAGACCATCAGTCAATCATGTCACTGAATGTGAGTGAAAAATCCCAGTGAGTCTGAAGAAAGTCTGTTTGATGGGTAAGGGATGGGACAACAATCGATAGATGCATTTCTAATAAATGACAATTTCATGTTCTTGAATTCTGTTACAGTGTACAGGTACCTTAATAATAAAAAAAAGATTAGATAGAAAAGTAGAGCATGTTAGACACCACTCATTACTAAACCATTTCTAAATATTACTTTCATGCATGAATATTAACAACAGTTTCAGACGGACTTGACCGTTGTCCAAAATATTGAAGACTGGTCTTTCAATTCCACTTCAGGAGAGGAACCTGAACCTCCTCGTTTCGAGGAACCTCTGGTCTCTCAAACTGTCAAAGAAGGCGATGTCGCCAAATTTGAGTGTCGAATCAGTGGCAGTCCTAAGCCTGAGGTCTCCTTTTTCCGTGATAACATCATGCTGACCAAGAGCGATGTGTTTGAGATCGGCTTTGATGGGACAGACAAGTATTGGGTGACCATGAAGGAGACGGTAGTGGGCGATTCGGGAACTTTCACCTGTATGGCTGAGAATATCGCTGGGAGGACAATCAGTGGAGCTGAACTCACTGTACAGAGAGGTATGCACGTTGTTGACTGATGCCATTTGTTGTCACAAACTAAATGACTTGATGGATTTTTCAAAATTGTCATTTTGATATTGCTGAATTTTAAAGGAGAATTTCTGAATTTTAAAATGTGAATTTTTTTTCTCTGTTTTCTCAAAATGTATAATTGGCAATGAGCTACTTGAGCTGGTTTTTTTAAAGAAAAAAAGTACATCAGGCAAATGATCCTACGCACCTGTAATTCTTTGTTATTGTCACACACAAGTACTCTCCCATGCCAACCATATCTGCCCCTTGATGAGAATGCTGTAAATGAAAAATTGGGGGTTTATATTTCAGATGAGACCCAAGAAGTTGTAATAACAACAGATGTGACAACCACCGAGGTCACCAGTGAAATAGAAAGCGACTTTGAAACTCGCTCTGAGGTGGAGACCCCAGCAGAGGTTGAAGGCCAACCCCCTAAGTTCCTGAAATCACCAGAAGATGTCGAGACTCAACCTGGGGAGAGGGCTGAACTTGTCACAAAGGTCACTGGGTCACCACTGCCAGAGGTCACATGGTATAGGGATGGCAAGGTACTACTTGAGATAATACATGATGTACAAACCAGACTTAGCTTTCTGTAGATTTCTGATGTTACTGTTGGTCTCTGTTATGGTCTGATTTAAAATAAGAAACTCTTGTTTCACCAATTGCAGAAAATGTTATTGAAGATCATTTGAAAAGATGGGAGGCAAACCCTACCAAAGCTATAACACATTGATTTAAATATTGTCAGGTGCCTGTTTAAGAGTAAATATCATGGTGCTGCTCGTTGGGATGATAAGAAATTCTTTCAGTAGTGAAGTTTTCCAGTCTTTGTTACATCTATGCATAAAATAACTTCTGACAAGTGCTCCTTAACATTTGGAAACAAGTTGAAATTGCGACATGAAGGCTAGTACTGTATTCTGTATTTGCTGTGCCAAATGCTGTTTTAAGTCTTCATTACTCAAGATTAATTTGCTCACCCTATAGATAGTTTTGAAGTTATTTTAAAATTCAGTGTCTTTTGTATTTAGTTCAATATGGACAATTCTGTGTTTGTTCATGCAGGTGGTCCAACCAAGTGATCATCACAAACTCGTTGCTGATGATGAAGGCAATGCGTCACTGATCATCCCAGAGGCCAAACCTGAAGATGACGCTGAGTATCTCTGCAAGGCTCAGAACAAGTTTGGAATGGCCACTTGCAGAGCTGATATCATCATCGAGGAAGGTACTGAAATAACGTGTTTACACAAAAATCATGAATATTCATACAAGGCCCCTCTAGTGACCCATGCATATTTGAGGCATTTGAAAATTGTATTTTGGTACTGTGTAATGTGTATTTTGGCACTGCTGCTATAAAGTTTTCAAGAGAGCATTTTCTGAAATTTAAAAGATTGTCATTACCTTGTAAATCTAGCCTAAGTAAAAGTTGAGTTTCAAATTTTCTTTAAAAAACTGCACAAAAAGAATTTTTTTGTCACTTGGTGCAACGGCAAACTCACTCTAATTGCTGACCATGCAAACCTTCAAGTATTAACTCCTTCCCCTCATTTATTTTCCTTCAGAATTGAGTGTAAAGAAAGGAACACCCAAAGTTGTCATCCAGCAGGATCTCCTTGAGCAGCCAAGCAGAGATACGGAGCAAATCAGCACCAGTGAAGCCCCCTCGATATCAGAGGAAGAATTTGATATGGAAGATCATAGCTTTGGTGCCGTCATCATGCCATCACCCATTCTCAGTCAGGGACTAAGCCTCCAAGAAGTCATGCCGGAGTATGAGGAGTTCTCCACTGAATCTGAGTTTGAGATCAGGGTGTCTTCTGAAGAGGTCTCTAAGGAGGTTGAACAACCTAAAGAAGAGCAACCGGAGGAAGAGGTATCAGAGGAGATGGCTGTCGAGATCATTGATGGAGTAGAAGTGAAGATCCCTCTTAAGAAGAAGAAGACACCAGCTAAGATCTCATCGGAGGAAGCAGAGTATGAGCTCAGACCGAGGCGAACTTCAGAGGATGTTTCTGCTGGCTTCAAGTTTGGCATTCCACGTCCTAGAGAGGATGCTGAAGCTAAAGTGACTCTAGAAACACCTCTTGAGAGGACTGAAACAGAGCTTCCAATTGAGGCAGCTCCCAAGGAGCTACCAGAGGTGCAGTTCAAGGTTCCTGTCCCTGAAGACAAGGCTCCTCGTGTGACTGATGAGGTAGACATCGCAGTGACTGTCTTACCTAAAGAGGAGCAACCGGAAGAAGCAGCTCCTGAGAAGCCTCTAGAATCCCCAACCTTCGTCCAGCCCCTTAAACCTCAAGAAATCACAACACACACCGAGACCAAGCTAATATGCCAGGTGACTGGGAAGCCCATGCCAGTGGTCAAGTGGTACCTCGATGACGTTGAGCTGTTGCCAGAAGATGAGCATTACAAGATGGAGCAACTGGAGGATGGAACATGTACTCTGACCATCAGAGATGTCTTGGCTGAGGACGAAGGCGCTTACTCCGTCAAGGCAGTCAATCTGGCTGGAAGTGCCGAAACGGAGGCTGAGATGCTCATTGCTCCAGAAAGTATGTATTTTTCATATATTTTATATATATTTATATTTTTTTCATCTCGTTTTAACAACTATTCGATACGCTCAACATATTCACTGCTTTAATAACATCACATATAACTACAGACTGCTTTGTACATGGTGTAAGTATTCTCCATTAAATTTCATATACAAAATAGTTCAAGGTAATGCTTTGGGGAGGTTGCTATTACTCACATGCAATAGAATGACGATGTATTTTGGTAGAGGAAGATATTCGGAGAAGTCTCTTTTTACTTCACAATATATAAAAACATTGGAGCCTTTTAAAAGCTTTTGGACGATGGCACAGTCACATTACTATGGTAATGGAGAAGCTTAATTTCACTGCTCTAACAACATCTTGCAATCGGTATATACGGTATGCACATTTGCTTTAACCACACACATAACCGCTACTAACAGCAAAACCCAACGCTTTGCCTCCAACACTTTCAGAAAAACCTGAAATTGTTCCAGTTGAGGAAGAAGAGATCACAGAGGCTCCCAAGTTTGTCGAGGATATGGTCGACATGGAGATCATTCGGGGACACCCTGTCCAGTTTGATGTCCAGGTGAGCGGCATTCCCATGCCAACCCTGACTTGGTTCCGAGATCGGAAGGAGATCCAGCCCACCGAACACTTCACCATTGAGTTCAGCGAAGAGGAAGGGTTCGGTTCTCTGATCATCCAAGAAGTCTTGAGTGACGATGATGCGGAGTATACCTGTAAAGCCACCAATAAGGCCGGTCAGGCAATCTCCAAAGCGGACCTCTTCTTACAGCCGGCTCACAAGAAAGAGCCAGACGAGCACCCACCTATTTTCATCACGTCCCTGCAACGGATGAGCTGCATTGAGGGCGACTGCGTCAATTTTGTCTGTAAGGTCTTCGGCAATCCCGAACCTGACATCACTTGGTACAGGAACGAGGTTGAGATCAAACTCAACCCTAAGGTCTCCATGGATTATGACCAGTCCGGCGTCTGCACCCTTCTGATTAGAACTGTATCCATGGAGGATGTTGGGACCTACTCCTGCAAGGCGGTGAATGTAGCCGGCGAGGTGTCTACCAAAGGGGAGCTCATCGTTGAAGGTAAATCGGCAATGCTCATCCTTAAGAACCAGATTAACTCCTTGTGTTTCACCGTTGCTTCTCTCAGTGATGATGACTTGTAAGCTAACTGCATGCTTAATTCTTTGCTTTATCTCTGGTGTGAGGTTTGCCTGTAGCACAGTGTATTGGTGGTTTTATCAATGTGACCTGAACTGTTCCTTTAACTGTCAGTTTCTGTCCAAATCTGTACTCACAGAATCTGTTGTTATTATTTTTGCTTGCAGTAGTAGAATTGTTTTGTAGTATATTTGTGTTTAAATTGAGCTGCATTTTCAATCCTGTAAAATTTGGACAAATTCACACACAGTTGTAAACGCTAATGGACAAATTTATGAGTGTGAGTTAATGTGATATTGTCCAGGTTTTCGTGGAAACAGGTCTCGCTTTTCAAGGCTCATAATTTCCTGCCCTTAAAAAAGTGCTGTAACTAAACATAATGGGTTTTTTGTGTGTGTTCATAACACTAGTCATGTATGTTAGTTACGAGGTAGCAGGGTTTGGTTTTTCTGTTACTTTTGTATTGTGCTTCTGTTTAATTTGGCTTGAGTTTTTACTGCTTACGGTATATTGTATGCTGTAATTTTGATTGCACCCTTTAAAAAAATTAATAATCTAGCACTTGAATTTATCTTGTAGCATGTGCAGATCTGTTTTGTACTAATTTATTTACTAATTTGTAGATACAGAATTGTAAGTTTGATCCAGCTTTTAACAAACATTTTGAAATATTGATGGTACTAATAAAATTCTTCTCTGTTATGATACGATTTAATTTTTCGTTATTTCAAACTTTCCCTTTTTGAACTTCAAATCATGAATTTCATTGCTTTCATAAACTTGGCATGTAAATCATCAGTGAAATGTTGGCAACCTTAAAGTCATTTTTTAGTTTTTGTGCTACGCTTTTGCATGCTTTATGTCAACATTTAAGCTTGATTGGTTGCAATTATAGGCTCATTTAAAAAACACCCACTCCCCCCAAAAAAAAAAGAGGTTAATACAGCAAATTGTGCATGTTTAGATGTTGTCATAATTTCAAATAAAACTGCAACATCTTCAAAAATGGACTTCATGCGTCCATCAGTTGTCAAAATATTCAGCATTCCTGCATGTTTTACTTTTTCCATAGCCAGAAACACAAATTCAGAATTGGAGTTTGCATGCAATGGAGTTAAACGTGTTGAGAAAAAAATGTGTACTTCTAACCTCAGTGTCAAGTTTTATCCGTCGTCCTAAGATTGACTTTTTCCTTTTCTCTGTTTTCCCCCCTTTTTTTTATCCTTGTCCGTTCCTTCCCTCTTTGTTTCTTCATTTCCAGGTGATGTCGTGTATATTGACAAAGTTGATCCTGATAACAGTTTCATGTTGGTGTATTTGTGATGGAAAACCTACCTTTCCTACCCAGCATGCTTGTTTGCATGGTGTGATCAAAATGTCAAACCTAGAAAAAAACTGTTATCGCGTAAATTAATTTGTAACGGTGAGAGTTATGGTTAGAGCTAGAAGTTGGCAGATAGTTTGGTAGATTTCAGTAGAACCAAATTTTTTTTTCCAGTTACCTCTGTTGATAATTGGAAAAGTAGAAGTAATTAGGAGAAGGGTACCAAGTTTTGTTATTTAGCAAAACAAATATTTCAATTTGGACTTTTTTAAAATGAATTAGTCAGTATAGAAAATGTTTTAAAAATCCGAGTATAAACAGCACTAATGTCCATTTGACATTCAATCACACTCAATCTCTCCATTAGCATCTAGTTTACTTTTATTGTTAAACAAATCCTGCATAACAAAATATATTACTTATGACAAGCATTTTGTTTGAGACTTGATTTTAATCAGTTGCCAACCTTTCCGTTGTTAAATTTGAATATTATCATTTGAAGAAGGATTTCACCTACATACTGTTAGTTATGCCAAGTTACTTCTTTGCAAGAATTATGTTATTTTAATGAACAAAATGGCTCTCAGTCTTTTAAACATACCCATCTATCAGTTTAATGTAGTTAGTTGGGTTGGGTTTACAACTCATGTAAATATTACTTTTTTTGTACGCACAGAAATATTAATGTTAGAGTTTAGAAGTTAGCGTTATTCCATGTTTTACAGAGCTCATATGGACATTTTAGAATATTTTAATGAAATTAGTAGCATGATGCTGCTTCATGAATAAGGGTTTTTGAAAAAGAAATGGACTTCTTTGATGATCCTCGTCAAACTGCAGAGGTGCTTCGGAAAACCATTAAGTTACTATTAGTTATTACTACTAAATGCTAAAAATATTTGCACCAGAAAGATAAGCAAACTTCAAAATGTTCAAAAGTCTTTGTTTGATTACATGACTGATTAATAAGTGATCAGGAAACTTTTGTCCAAAATGTACAGTTTATAATGTAGGTGATATTTGTATTATAATGGTTTCTCTGTATTCTCCTTAGTTTTTACCCACCGATGTTTACACTATGTAGTCATTATGTTGTTGCATCTGTGCAACAAGTTCGTAACTCAGATTTCTCTCATCTCAAATAATTCCAATTTTAAACTTTTGTGTCACAGTGTAAAGGTTTCATTGATTTGAAACATGCGCGATATACTAAATTCTGCATGTTTCAAATCAATTCAAAATTTACATGGTGCCCCCACAAGTTAAATATTTTAGAAATCCGAGTTACGACTTGTAGCACTGATGCGACGATGTAATTTTTGAGGAAAACACATTACAATATTTCTATATTAGTGGACTTGTATTCAGTTTTCAGCAATATATATTTTACTCTAGTTTTAAGTGTACACGTAGGTAAAAACAAAAAGTTTCCATATATATGGTATGCGGGTTTTTTATATGAAAATATAGCAATATTTGGCGTGTAGCTTTTGCAATGTAAATTTTCAACATTGAAACTACGTATGAATTATTTTTATGTCTTGAATTTTTTGTATAATAATGCACATTCCATGTAATCACATATAAATTCAAAGTCAGTATTGTTATATCAACTTATCATACCATACATGAAATATGTTAATTAAAGCATTGATTGATAAACAGATATCATTTTAGTTTCTGAATGAAATGCATGTGGTACTTGTAGAAAAAATGTAAATGGTGATCCAAAAATGTTACCATAGGTACATTGTACGTGGTAATATGCAATTTATTTGACTTGTACTGAAATTAACATTTTTGCATCACCGTTTATTTTTTATTTCTTGCAATGTAATGTGTCTGTGTGCTTTCCTGTATTTTTGTGCTTGGTTTTGTTTCTGTTTTGGGAGTTTTGTGAAGTCAGAATTTGGCCATCATGTGTTTGGACTGTTGTATGTTACTTTTCTGTTAAAATAATCAAAGCATGGCAACAGAATGGACTGTGCCATATGTTAGTTGGAGATGTCGACTTTTGTGAGTATATTTAGTGAGTTACTTTGGATAGCTGTAGCACAGTTAACAGCATGAACATTCTAACATTGCCTCATTACTTGAGTCATTTTAACCAGTTCACGCCAGAAATATTTTGACAAGAACGGAACATGGCGCGGGATTACTTTTCACTCGACCTCAATGCCAGGCGGGTTGAAGCCATCACCCTTGGGCAGCACACTCATATTTCCGGCTGCGAGGGTGTCACTGACAGATATCTCCGCCTTGCTCACTGCATGTTTATCTGTCATCCTGCGCGAACTGGTTAACAGCATCTGCATGATTCTTTATTTTGTTTTGTTATTTTTGATAAAACATTTAACCCCAAAAATTTCATTTTTTTTTTCTGTTTCTGTTAACTCGTCCAAAGCATTTCAAACACTAGATTAGCAATCTTGTATGTTTCCAAAATATTTCATTGTTCAATGTATTATTTACGTAGCATTTGTTTTTCATTCTCTAAAATTTGCTCTTACTTCTAGCTGATCATGTTTCATTACTAGATGTCTTTAGTAAACATTCATCTCCCAATTTGTCTGTTCTCTGGGAATGTTTTAATTGCAAGATAAGTTTTAGTAATTAATTCTTGGTGGATTTTCAAGCTTTGCTTTTTCTGTCTTCAAGATTATTTCTTGAGCTTTTGGCTTGCAAATGCTGAGCAACTTTGTGCTAAGCAATAAGTTTGAATTTCCAAAGAGCGGAGTCTTGCATGATATCCAGACTTTTGTATGTACTATAACCCTGCCAGCTATTGAGTATTTCCACATTTTTCTTATGTTTGGAGTGCAAACATGCATACCTGCCTTTGCTTGAGCTTGAGATTAATTTTTAAAAAAAATATTTCAAATTTGTAACTGCTGTGATGTGCAGCTGACAATATGTTATGCAGGTGTTCTGTGCCTTTTCATTGGTTGCTGTTTAATTGAAGTGGCATGTTCGCACTTCTTTTGTTTCCCTTTACACCTGTCATGCTTTTCATCTGTATATTTCAGTAGCTTATTAGTCTTACGTTCAGTAGAGAAGACTACAATGATGTAGATTCCCATGTCATTAAATTTACTTGTGATTATGAAAAAAAATTCAGGCATTCAAATTTTCCTAGGATTGGCTGAAATCTTTTCTTTTTTTATTCTCATTATTAATAATTGAGAAAAGAACACTGCAGATATTTTTGTAAAGCTCAGACTTAAATTTGTGAATTCTCAGTTGTTTGCCTTTTTTTGGGGGGGGCAGAAATGTACCATACTGTTGAGCTTACTGTCTGAATGAGTCCAACCAATAAAAGAAATTCAAGAATGTTAAGAATCATGCCACAGTTTTACCGAACTGTTTGCATTTGGCATTTACATTTGGAATTGAACTCCTTTGCTTATGGTGAACTGATGCTTATTAAACCTCAATAGGTTTACACAGGTTTCAGCGATTAACAACACAATTCATTTCACAAATTCAACCTCGCAAAGCATATTCACCTTATTAATAAACATCTAAAGTCACAGCCTTATTTTCAAACAAAACTCAGTACTTTAAATATGCCATTTTTTTTTTGCCCCACCCTTTACATCATCAGTCCCGGCCAGCATCATAGAGGGACCTGAGAGCCTAACTGTCCGGCGAGGCGCACCTGCCAGATTCACCTGCAAGATGGGCGGAGTGCCCAAGCCAAAGATCCGCTGGACCCACAACGACAAGACGGTCAAACACACCAAGAGGGTGTACACAGAGAGGACCGAGTCTAGAACGACACTGGTCATCACGGAGACAGAGGCTGATGATGAGGGACGATACAACGTGGCCGTGGAGAACGCAGCTGGTACTGATGAGAGATACGTGTCGCTGGCAGTCATAGGTTAGTGGATTCATCCCGAGTTGTAGTCAAGTCCTTATAAATCATCACAAGACCTCTCAAGTCAATCACAAATCAATCTTATATCTGTCACAAATGATCCAGTCTTTAAGTCAACTTGCAAGATATTCAAATGACATGTGACAAAGGCATTCCTATGTCCATGTTGATCCCTTGTTACTTGTGACGGGACTTGAAAATGACTTATGACTTGACTTTTGACCCGACTTAAGATCTGACGTGTGATGGATTTGAGTATGAGTCTGCTGATTTTGGCCGTTATTAAGAAAAGTAGTTGCCAATTATGGTTATTTAAAAAAAAAAAAAAGTTTACACTTGGGTTTCTGCCTTGGCAGTAGATCTCCAGAACTGCATAAGCTGTAAAATTCACTTGTTCATTATGTAAAGTTTTACCCCAATGAACAACTAAAGAATTAGGATTGTTTGCCTCCATACATTAGCAGTATAACTGACTAACAGAGCTTGTTTCACTTTTACAAGGTAGTTGTTTAGATTATTTATTATTTTTTGCTTTAATTTTATCCACAGATGTTCCAGACTCTCCAAGCAAGCCAGAAGCCACTGAAATCTCTCAGACCTCGATCACGCTCAGCTGGACCAAGCCCCTCTACGAGGGAGGACTGTTCATCACCGGCTACATCGTCGAGATGATGGAGATCACTAAGCAGACATGGGTGACAGTCACCACGGAGATACAGACAACGACTTACATAGCCGTCGAGCTTACCCCTGGGACAGAATATCTGTTCAGGGTGATGGCCATCAACGATGAAGGCATGAGCAAACCTAGCACATCGGAAGTCATCATTACACTTGAGAAAGGTTGGTTTTTATCTCAGTCAAAGTATGGGTTTTTTTCTGGAAGTTATGCAGCCCAGTTAAGGCCAAAAGCAGGTCGAGCTGAGAGGCTGTGGACCAATGTGAGCACGCTAACAATTCTATCACGAACGCCCCCTTCAGTGGCAAAAGCATTGTGCTAGCTTTTTGTTCAGATAAGCTGTTGCTCTGTACAATAGCTTGCACAATGGTTTTCCATTGTGGGTCTGTTTGTGCCCCAGACAAAAAATAAGGTTGCAGACAACCAAGAAAAAGGAAAGAAAGGAGTTTTTGGGGGTTGAAATAAATATTACAAGTTGACAGTTTATTTGTAAAAACAAAATCAAATTTTTGAAGAACACGGGGAATACAAGTTTAATGCCTTTTCTCTTTTGAATTTGTCCCAGGTGCCAAACCCAAACCAGAGGAGGAAAAAGCCAGACCAGACCAATCCTTCGTCAAGTCGGCCGAATTGTTCCCTACGGAAGGTACGCTAAGCCTGGCTGATTTTCTGGAATGGGATGTTGTTGCATTTCTGGCAGTTTTTGTTTCCGTTGGTTACGTCTTTTTATTTTTGTTGTTTTAAATACTTTGCATGATAGAGATTTTTGGTGTATTCATGATCACTGAGAAGCTTTGTTATTTGACTATTAAATAAATTTTTCAGTTGTAAATATTTTTTTTTTTTTGTATATGTCACCCATTCCATTCTCATCCTAAAGCTAGACCAAATTTTCAATTTTTTTAGTTTTGTTTATTTCGATTTCAGATCAATTGGCTTCTTCTTAAGCAAAATGAATACACCAAAAATATGTCTCTAATAGCTTACACTGTTGTACTAACACTTGAAAGTTGTTTTAGTGTTTTTATATCTAACTAAAATTTAAGCAATTGTAAATGAGCAATAGATGTTAATTGAAATTTAGAGTCAGCTTTTTATATATTGGAAAATGTCTGAAAATTTCATTGGCTCTTTGTACCAAGTGGTCCAAATTTTTAAAAGAGCAATATTCCAAGGATATTTTTGTTTTACATGAATCTTATTGTACAGTTTTTATACAAATGTTGATTCGTAATTTTGCTCCATACCTTAATTAAATATTCATACCAAACTATTTTTTATTACTCTGCAAAAAGTGTATTTTAATCACCTCTATAATCAGGATTATTACCCAAATGTAAATATTAAATTTACGTAAATTATTTACAATTGATTTTCTTGAATGCCTCTTCCGATCAATTCCAAAACATTTTATTTTCGCTTTATTTACTAACAAAACGTTTGACTGCACATTTTAAAATTATGCATGAGTTATTAATCACATAAATTGTAGTTGTTCTTTGGCAGTTGTTGATTGTTCACTTTTGATAACTGAAACTTAGTTGTCATTTTCCTGTGCTCATATTACTGTTGATGACTGATTACGTCCAAAGAATACTTTTACTGTAATTATTTTAAAGATCAGTCCACCTGCAACAACAAAATCTCAGGTTAACAGCGTACATTTTGCCAGTTTAGTTAAACTTTGTTTTTATTTTTTCTACACCTGCTGCATGGCTATTTTGCACTCAATTTGCAAGACTTACCGTTCACTTAAAACAGTAGTAAAAGAAAAGGGAATTTCCAAGTTTTTTTCCGAATTTTATTAAAACATTGGAGCCAGGTATTGACAATTGTCAAGTTAAATTTGTGGCTTTATATTTTCTAGCGTATACCATCAGGTTGGGGCAGACAAGGCGGTCTTTTTACGGAGGTTAAGCCCCGTCCTGACAAAATATATTCCAGAATGCTGCATGTGTGAACTAATGCTGCCTGGTCTCAAATTTCCTTTGAAACAGTAACTGAAACAACTCCACAGTGGGGAAAAAATCCAGTAAAAAACAATCTCTAGCAATTTTAAAATCTTGATTTGTATCCAAATGATCATATTTTCTCTTCATTTAAAAAAGAAGAAGAAAGAAAATGGTATTCTGGAATCATTTATATAGAGGACAAGTTTAAATTCCAAACTCTTTAAGGATCATTTACTTTTCTACCAAATTTGCCGTCAAATCGCAATTAACTCGATCAAACCTTTTTGTAAATGGTGTGAATAATTCACCTGGTTTTGAAGGAATATTTGGCAAATACGTAGTTGTAAGACAGTTCGTTTATTCTAAATGGTATGTCCAGATAATACACATGCAGCTTTCCCTATTTTAATGTCTGCACCTTTTACTGAACCAGGACTATTGCGGGCAGGAGTATTTTGTCGTCTGTATTTCTTTTATTACATTTTAGTTATAAACATTGTATTGTTAGTATTGTTCACATAACCTTGTATTGTAAGCTTTGGTTGCAATATATGCATCTTGAAATTGAAAAAGTTTGCCTTGTTTCTTTGTCTTTTGTTTTTGTTGTTTGATGAATTACATGAATGACAGTTTGCTTGTTGGCATGATTAGTTGAAACATTAACACATGTTCACTTGTAAGAAAGCATGGGTTTGCAAGTATAACTAGTCACAACATGATCAAATCTTTGCCGAAAAAGATTAGTGCAACAATCGGATATTTTGCATGTGCATCTAGAACTTGAAAAAAATGGATTGAATCTTTTTTTTTTAGTTTCTTTGGTAGCCTGGGTTGTAGTTGTGTTCACATGTCTGTCACAAGACTAGTCACAAGTATAACACAAGTCAGTTCACAAGTCCGGTCATATGGGATGAACAATACCCAATGGGCCTTATTCACGAGTTGGCCATTTTTGTTGAGTTCCCTGAACGTATTTCATTAAGTGTTAAGTGTTCCATGAGATGGCACCAGACTATTTCTCCAGTCACAATGCAGCCTTTTTTTACTTCTTTTTTTTTTAAATCTGGCTTTAAACATTAGGGAATTTTGAATTACAAATTTCAAATTATTCATTGAAGCAGACTGGAATTAATTAGGAATTAAGTTTCTTTCATTTTCAAGATTTTACCTCACTTTCGATTTAATATGGCCGACTTGTGAGTAAGGCCCATAGCTTGCGACTTGACGTGGGATTGGATGACTGGTTATTAACTTGTTGTGGACTTGTGAGGACTTGTGATCAGATCGACTACAACACTTTTCATGCCAATAAGTGCAATTTCTTGCGAGGTATAAAGTGATTTTTTTTTTAAGGCGATGGGTAAGATTTATCAGGAAGTGGAGAGGTTGGGGTAAGCTTTTTTAAAGACAGAAAGGATAATTTGCAAACACTCCAAAAGGAAACTGCCAAAATATTATGAAAGAGCCCACTTGATTTTAAAGTAAATAATAGTATGAAATATCCTGTGAAATCATTGAGCCTGGTTTGCTGCCATTCTAAAAAAAAAAAAAAAGAGGAATTTTGCATCAGTACCTTCTTAGGACCTAACCATCGCTGAGAACAAAACAAATTCTAAAATACTGCATCCAGTAAACAGCTGCAAGCCAGCTGTTGACTTCATGCGTACGCTCGGGTGAACTAAGTATATGTATGTATTACTTTCCCATGACATAGCCAACACTCGGGCACTCCCTATGACCTATGGGTTCTATGCACGACAGATTCCACTAGCTGCACTTTGACGGTTGAAAATGAACAGCATTTTTTCGGGTTTTTCCAGCACCAAAGGACACAAATCATTGAATAGCTTAATTTAACGATGTCCACTATAAATTAATAGCCCTGAAATTGTTCCATTTCATGAAATTACGACATATGCGATTGATCCTATATGCCTTTAAAGGAATTTATAAATAGAATTTCAAAACTTTGGGCCAGCATGTATTTACCTTTGTCCATTGTAAAAGGTTCACACTTTTTCTGTGTTAATCTCGCGGCATCAAACTAACCCAAAAATTACCAGTTCTAAAGGATTTCCTGACTACAAGGGACCAGGATTGTAATGACTTATTTGCCCCCCCCCCCCCCCAAACTTGACCTCCACCCTTACCCTCCTCCCCACTTTAAAATGGGCCTAAATACCAACTAAAGTGACAAAATGTAGGATAAGACAGAAAGCATAAGAAAATACACAGTACTCAATTCTTTTGACATTTAGAAAAAAAAACCGCAAATTTTGGAAACACCAACCGTTTTTGTTTTTTTGTAAGGCCTATCGCTAACTGCTTGTGGTCTAATATCAGACCACAAGTTACAACTTTTTAGTGACATATTGACAGAGCTTAAAACCTACATGTGAAATCATGTGAATAAGTTTCTTTTATAGTTTTAGAATTGAAATAGAAAGGGATCAAAAACCAAAAAAAATTCCTTATCTCTGAACCCGGTCTCACACGTTCTTACCTGCAACTCTAGATACCATTCCCCCTGACCAAATCAAATGTGTGACTCACTATATTCAGGATGCCCATGGTTCATTGTTGTAATCTTTTCTCAGAAGCTGAGGTAACTGTTGAGGTCATGCAAAGTGAGAGGTCAGTGAACATTGAGCTGGAAGGCACAGCACCAAAAGAGGCAGTCTCATTTGAGATATCAGGAGAAGAGGTGGTCTCAATAGAAGATCTACCATCAGAAGACAAAGCAGTAGTGATTCGTACTCTTCCAACTCAGCCTGCGCCTACAGAAGAAAAGACAGAGAGACTGTTGTCTTTACCAGAAGAGGAGCTTGAAATGGCTACTACGATCAAAATAGCTCCCTCTGAAGAACTTGAAGCTGAAGAACTTGAGGTGTTTGATGAATCACGACCAGCTCCTGATAAGAAACCAGGAGATCAAGCTGTGACTGTTGATGTTGGCAAGAAACCATCTGTTATCAGGGTTGAGTCACTTGAGAGAGCTCCTCTACCAGTCAGGGAGCGCATGGAGTCTTACCCAGAAGAAGAGTTGTCCGAGGCTTCTGTTGTTAAACTAGTTCCTGAGAGAGAGGATGAAGCAGAAGAGCTGCCTAGAGAGGAACTGGACAGAGCAGCAGCAGACCAGATCAAAGATATTTCTGTTGACAAAGCTACAAAGAAGACTGTCCAACCAAGGGAAGCACCAGAAGAGGTATCCCTGATTCAACCCAGGAAGCCTCTGGAATCGATGACGGAAGAAGAACTTCAAGAAGCTGTTACTGTTCAGCTTGCCCCGACAGAGGAGTTAGAAGCTGAGGAGATAACACCAGAACAACCTGCAAAACTACGTCCACAGAAATCAGTTGAAGAGGTTGTTCCCTTGGATCAGGTTGATAAGCAGAAAGTATCTGTTATTAGAGGTCCAGCTGAGGTGGAAGCAACATCCTCTGTTCCAATTGTAGAGAGACTTGGATCAGTCTCGGAGGAAGAGCTTGCTGAAGCAACAACAAAGGCGTACATCCCTGAGGACATTGAGGAAGCAGCTGAGCTTCCAAAGCCAGTTACAGTTGACATCACTGCAGAGGAAATCGCAAAAGTTGATGTCACAGTCGGCAAGGTTTCCAAGAAGAAACCAGCATTGATTACAGCTACACCACAAGAAATAGAACTGACTATTACGCCTACTCCTGACACACAAGAGGCAACTGTTTCACTGAAGCGACTTGGTTCTGTCATTGAAGAAGAACTTCGAGAAGCTGCTGTGAAGCCAGTTACAGAGAAAGAGGAGGAAGCTGAAAGTTTTGTGAGCGATGGGGTCCCGGAAGCAGTACCAGAGGAACTTCCAAGTGAAGCCGCAGACAAGGTAGGCAAGAAGGCACCATCTGTCAGGACAGCTCCTGAAGAGGTGAGCAAAGTAAAACCTGTCAAGAAGCCGGTACCACTTAGGGAAGAGGATGAAGCACAGATTGATGTTGTGTATGAAAGGACAGAGTACCTGGACATTGTGGAAGAGGAAGATTTGAAAGAAGCTTCTACACAAAGACTGCCTCTTGAGAAAGAAGGCGAGGCGGAAGAATTTGAAGTCGGTAAGGTTCCTGAAGCTAGACCAGAGGAGGTGCCTAGTGAAGATGTGTCTTTGGAAATGATATCTAAGAAGAAACCGACACCAGTCAGAGAGGCACCAGAGGAAGTCAAACTTCCAAAACCAAGACCCAAACTCGACTCATATGAAGAAGAAGAGCTCCAAGAGGCAGCTGTTGTAACAGTTGGTCCAGAAGTTGTTGAAGAATCTGAGGTTCTTCCAACTGAGATTACAGAAGAGTATTCTCCTGAAACGGCAACAGCCAGTGTTGACAGAGCTTCCAAAAAGCAAGTCCCACTGAGAGATGCACCCGAGGAGGTTAAACTTCAACGACCCACAGCTCGCATGGCTTCTGTTGATGAGGAAGACCTCAAAGAAGCCGTTTCAATCAGTGTTGCTCCTCAGAAAGAAGAGGAAGCTGAAATTTTAGTGGAATTGTCAAAACCAGAGGAGACAATGTCTGAATCTCTTCCATCAGTTGATGTCTCATTGGAGGTGTCAAAGAAGCCTACATTTGTCCGTGAAGCACCAGAAGAGGCCCAAGTGAGGAGACCTATTGCAAAAATGGATTCTGTTGAGGAGGAAGAACTCCGAGAGGCTGTAACGGTCAGGGTTGCTCCTCGGAAGGAAGAGGATGTGGATCTTTTCACTCCCATAGAAATGCCTGAGGAGGTTGCCCCAGTTGAAGAAGATAGACCAGATACAATTCGTGAGAGGAAGCCAGTTGTCATCTCACATCCATACGAACCAGAGCCAGAATATATGCCAACGAGAGAGTTGCTGGAGACCCTCCCAGAAGAACAACTTGAAACAGCACTTACAGCAAGAATTATCCCACGAGATGAATTCAAAGCCGAGACACTGACCACTGAAGAAGTCTCTCCAGCAGAGGCAACGCCTGACAAGGCACCAGTTGAGATAACCCTTGATTTTGGCAAGAAGCCTCTGGTTCACAGTATGCCTGGACAAGAAAAGGGTCCACAACTGTTGGAAGAGGTTGAAGGGATTGTTGAGGAAGACTTGGAGTCACAAAAAGCAGAGGCAACGCCTGACAAGACACCAGTTGAGATAACCCTTGATTTTGGGAGGAAGCCTCTAGTTCACAGTATGCCTGGACAAGAGAAGGGTCCACAGCTGTTGGAGGAGGTTGAAGGAATTGTTGAAGAAGACCTGGAGTCACAGAAAGCAGTAGAGGTGGTTGTGGAAGAAGAGGAGATAGTTGTGGAGCTACCAGTTGCACCTGTCATCACTGACAAGTTTAAGAGCAAGGCAAGTGTTGATAATAATTTCCTCATTTAGCCAACTTGAGCTTCGCAGTTGTCTGTCACTGATTCACAACTCACTTCAATCAGATGAAATTAATTTATCAGGTTAAGTTAAGTTGAGATGAATTTCACAAAATTTGTTTTAATTTTCTGTGCTTCAGTTTGACCCTTTGGCTATAAAAGAAAATAAGGAGTTGCTAATATACATTTGGAGGCGTGGAAATTGTGGAGAAAAAAAAGGTTAAAAACTACCCATTTAATGTAAAATTTTCACATTTATAACAACTTTTCCATTTCCATCTTCATTTTCCATTTTGTGTCATGTTTATTATTAAACTCTACTCTTTGATTGTTTATTATTGAATATGTTTATTTGCAGAGTGTTAAGGAGGGCAAACCAGTCAAGTTTACCTGTACTGTCGATGCGACACCTGAAACAACGGTCCAGTGGTACCAGTAAGTCATATCCTTCCCATACTGATGACATGAAAATAAAAATAAAAGTAAATTCTCAGTTTTATCCACATTTATCGTGTTGCTCCTGTAAGTGTTATTCTGAAATTATTGGCTTCTTGATGTTGGATAAATTTACTTGTGAATGGATAACTAATTGTTTTTATTTCTTAATTGACAGCTTATAAAATGCAGAAATATTTTGAGTTTTGACCCGTTTATGTCCAAGTTGACATGTATAATTACTGATATGTTAATTTCTTGCGCTAAATTTGGATTCGGACCAAATATAATTTGGACTAAAATCTTCACTAGTTGGCTTCTGTATGTGTTTTCATATGTCTCCAAATTTTCATCCAGATTTTGATGTCCCGGGTTTTCTTTTGGTAGATTTTGTTCTATGAAACCTCCTATTATCTGTATTTCTTCTCAGTGACCAAAAGCTGCTTGAGACTACAACCAGACATATCCAAACCTTCGAAGAGGGAGTCGCGACACTAGAGATACCAAAACCCAAACCCAAGGATGTTGGTGAATACAAGTGTGTTGTTGTCAATGTAGCTGGTGAAGACATCTGCTCTGCTAAACTTACCGTCACAGGTAATCTTTTGCATGTATTACCATTATTCCATTATTTAAAAAGGCCACAACGGTATTATGCCAGTAGGTTTCTGACCAAGGTTTCAGGGTACATTTCAAAATCCAAAAAGTAAGCCATTTGATTTGATTTAAAAATATTGATGATTATTAACAATGTTCTGTTAACATCTCAAGTGAAATTAGCTGTGTAGTATGATACAATATCTATTAACTTTGTATAAGAAATCACAGCCATCTAATTTTCTCAGGATTAAGCCTTAAACTTTAAGTGTTGGGTAAAATATAGTTGATAGTGTTCTCAACTTAAAGCCATGATTGTGTCATTCATCCAAATGTGTTTGCGACTATCAGTTCCATACAAGCACTTGAAGGTGTTGATTTTATTTGTTTCATCTGTGTTTGCATAAAGGAACTAGCAATATAATTGTTTAATAAGATTTGATTTCTTATCCAATTTAATAACAGAAGTCAAGCGAGCTCCTTCTTTCACAGAAAAGCCTGAAGTTCCTGAAACCCCGGAGAGTGAGTTTACCTTTTGTTTATCTTCCACTATAGTGTATTCTTGTCATTGCTTAAATTTGGGTGTTAATGATTTTAAAGTTCTCAGACTTAACCAAGGCTTAACAAAGTAGTGCCTGTAGCTAATTGATCACTATTTTCTGCCTTTTCAGCAACTGATGCTGTTTTCAGATGCAAAGTTGATGGGTTCCCTAAGCCTACCATCACATGGAACAAAGGCTGGAAGCAAATCAAACCAGCAGGCCGCTTCTCCATTACATTTGATGAGGATACAGAAGAGAGCATTCTCACAATCGAGGATACAACCTCAACAGATGCTGGCAAGTACACCTGCTACCTCAAGAGTCCCCTCGGCCAAGACAGTGCTTCAGTAAGTCTTAAAATCACAGAAAAACCCAAAGAGGAGAAAGCAGAGCAAGTGACTGTAGAACAGATGGAGGAGGTTGATGTTCTTGCTGATGTGTCGAAACCTGAAGAAGTCATCCCTGAGGTTATGCCTGTTGAAGGTCCGGAAGAGACGGTTCCTGAAAAGAGACCATCAGTTAAAGAAGCTCCTGAGGAGGTCAAGATGGTGCTTAAGCCTCAAGTTTCCTTGGATGCTGTTTCAGAAGAGAAACTTGAAATTGCAGGAGTTGCCAAAGTTCCCAAAACGGAAGAAGTTGAGATCCTTATTGAGACTGAAAAGCCTGAGGAAGTAGTTGTGGAGGTTGAAGAAGCTCCCACAGAGGTAACTCCTGAAAGAAAGCCAGCTGTGATCGCCGTGCCTGAAGAGATAGTGACCAAAATTCCCAAGGCACAAGTGGCAATGGAAGCGGTCACTGAGGAGCAGCTAGAAACAGCAGTCGTGGCAAAGTTCACTCCTCATGAAGAGGAGGAAGTGGAGATTCTGGCTGAGATCAAGAAACCTGAGGAGGTCATCCCAGCTGTTGTTTCTATTGAGGAAGCTCCTGAGGAAGTAGAAACCAAAAGGAAGCCAGCATTCATTATTGCCTCAGAAGAGGAGCTCACAAAGAAGCCTAAGGCAAAAGTTGCACTTGAAGATGTCACAGAAGAGAAGTTGGAAACTGCAGTCATGGCCAAAGTGAAACCTCGTTCAGAAGAACAGGTGCAATTCCTTGCTGCAGTCCGGAAGCCTGAAGAAGCTGTTCCAACAGAGGAGGAGGCTCCCGAAGAGGTAACACCAAAGCTGAAGCCTGCCATCATATCTGCTCCAGAGGAACTGGTTACTCCAGCACCTGTAACTCAGGAATACCTGGACATCGTTACTGAGGAGGAATTAGAAACTGCAGTCACCAAAGTTGCTCCTCAACCTGAGGATGAGGCTGATTTGCTTCCAGCTGTTGAGAAAATCACTCCAGTCGAAGCTGTTGAAGAACTTGCCCCATCTGAGGTGACCCTTGATGTTTCTGAGAAGCCAGTAACAATCAGAGGCATGCCTGAGAAGGAAGTCCTCCCTGAAGAGCTTCTTGAAGCAGAGGCTTTCCCTGAAGAGGAAATTGAGAAACATGAGGCAGTTGAGGTGGTTGTGGAAGAAGAGGAGAAGGTGGAAGAGATGCCAGTTGCACCTGTAATCATTGACCAATTCAAGAGCAAGGTTAGTGATGCTAAAAACTGAATACAGACAGATAAACAAAATTCCAAAACGTTGGTACAACCTGCATTCAAAATGTGTGGATAAATATATTTTTGAATGATATATGCCAGTTGGAAGACTGACACTTGGCTTTAATAGTTGATTTCATAGTCCTTAGTTGATTGAACGGTCTGTTAGGAGAGACCTTTTCGAAAATGCAATAATTGTTTTTCTTCAAAATATTCAATTATCTTTCATTTTCCAGAGTACCAAGGAAGGGAAACCAGTGAAGTTCACTTGCACAGTGACTGGAACACCGAAGCCTGAGATCAAGTGGTTCTTGTAAGCATTAAAAATCATTTTTTTTACTGTAACATTTTTAACTTGATACTACAAATGCCTAAGTTAATGTTCCTTCTGGCTCAGATGGTGAACTTGTTGAGAATACTCCCTGGATTACCAGTACTACAATAAATATAGTTGATAATCATGAAGCTTACCATGTACTCAATTTTGTATCTAGAAACAAAGAACTTCTTGAAGCAAGTACTCATTTCATCCAAACCTTTGAGGAAGACGTAGCCGTACTGACAATTGAACATCCTAAACCCAAGGACACCGGTGAATACAAGTGTGTGGTTATCAATACCGCAGGAGAAGATGTCTGCACTGCCAAACTGACTGTGACAGGTAAATTCTTTTTGGTAGTTACATGTTTTAGTGGGAAATTCCTGTTTTCAGACTTTAGCACATAACGTTACTTATAAATCTGCAGTCTCCTTCAACATTTCAAATGAAGACAGTTGACTCGTGAGTAAAACATACAGGATTTGATTAAAGTTTGGTCTTGATAGAATTCTCTTTAAAGGTTTGATTTTAATGTTTATGTGGTATTTGTGTATTTAGATTCATGTGTTTTCAAAGCATTTGCACAAAGTTCTTCATAAACCAACGTTGTAATGTTAGTTGTTTATTCATTGCCAGATGTTTTTTTTTTACTTTTGATTTCTGTCTCAATTGCAGAAGTCAGACGAGGGCCCTCATTTATTGAGAAACCAGAGGTGGAAGATGCACCAGAAGGTGAGATGAGCCATTTTCATTTAAATGTTTCATTACAACTTGACTTACGATTAAATTAAAACGAACAGGTTTCCTGTCACTTAACTTACATTGGTGAACTTGGTTGGGTTCTTAAAGGAATAATCTCTTTGTTTCCATTTTATGTGAAAAGGAACTGAGGCCATCTTCCGATGCAAGGTTGATGGTTTCCCCAAACCCACAGTGACTTGGAACAAAGGTTGGAAACAGATCACAACAGGAGGAAAATTCACCATTACCTTCGACGAGGACACTGAGGAAAGTGTCTTGACCATCAAGGATACAACACCCTCCGATGCTGGGAAGTACACTTGCTATCTTAAGAACCCTCTTGGACAGGAGACCTCCTCTGTGAGTCTTAAAGTCACTCCTAAGCCAGAAGAGAAACCCAAGGAGGAAGAAATCACTCCCAAACCAGAAGAGAAGCCTGAAGAGGAAGCACCAGTCCAGGAGGTTGAGCAAGTCGAAGAGATTTTCGAGGTTTCCAAACCGGAAGAGGTTTCTCCTGAAGAGGTAACTGTTGAGGAGGTAGAAGAAGTTCCTGAAGAGAAACCTGAGGTTTCAGTTGCCAAACTTGACATTGAAGCAGTAACAGAGGAAAAGGCTGAGACAGAAGTAGCATTCAAGGTCAAGCCTCATGTCAAAGAAGAAGTTGTTCTTCCAGTTACCACTGAGTTTGAGGAAATCTCCATAGAAGTTGTCCCAGAAGAGGAAACCAAACCAGAGGAAGTTCCTGAGAGGAAACCAGCCTTCACTGTGAGTTCTGAAGAGGAGGTCACCAAGGTTCCAAAAGCTAAAGTGTCTGTGAAGGCTGTAACTGAGGAGCAGGTGGATTCAGCAGTTACTGCCAAGTTTAAGCCTCGCAAAGAGGAAGAGGTTGAAGTGCAAGCTGCTTTCAAGAGGCCAGAAGAGGAAGAAATCCCGGAGGCTATTCCCATCGAAGAAGAAGCTGCTCCTAAGCCTGCGACAACCTTTGCTGAAGAAATTGCCCCATCTGAGGTGACTCTTGATGTATCTGAGAAGCCAGTAACAATCAGAGGCATGCCTGAGAAGGAGGTCCTCCCAGAGGAGCTTCTAGAAGCAGAGGCTTTCCCTGAAGAAACAGTTGAGAAACATGAGGCAGTTGAGGTGGTTGTGGAAGAAGAGGAGAAGGTGGAAGAGTTGCCTATTGCACCTGTTATCACTGACCAATTCAAGAGCAAGGTGAGTAATCAAACACGCATTTGGTGTGATTGGCCAAAATTTAAATTAGTAGGACTTTGATCACTGGAACTTTTACGACTGTTTCGTCTGTCACACATTGGGCTACAGAGTCCAATGCAAACAAATATGCATAGTAAATAAGTACAGTAACAATAGAGATACACAGTACGTCTCACATGAACATATTTGACACTTCATACAATTTGAGTATCGGTATTTCTCCTTTTCATCATTCTAGGTATCTTTCAATCCGTTTTAATTTTCGTGAGGCCTTTTTTTAAAAGACACTAAAGTTAATTAGGTTTAAATGTAAAAAGCTGTACCTCACGTGAATCACAGTACCATGGAAAAAGTACTAGTCTGAAAGATTGGATGATAGATTATTGTATTGCAAGACATTAATTGATTAATATAACCATTTTCAAAATGTTTGAAACATATTCTATTTTCCAGAGTACCAAGGAAGGGAAGCCAGTGAAATTCACTTGCACAGTGACTGGAACACCGAAGCCTGAGGTCAAGTGGTTCCTGTAAGTGCCGTTCCTTTCTCTCAATAAGCCTCTGTACTAATGATGTCACACTTAAATTTGTTTACGTGTGGGCTTTCCTATGGTGCTCAGTGGACCGTGGGCCCCCCACTGGCTCCATAGGAAAGTGCACATGTAAACAAAGTGTGATGTGATTAGTACAGAGGTTTATTTAATAAACTATTGTGATTTTATCATATCGAATTCAGATGGTTACAATTCTTAAAGCACCTCTTGTTTCCATGTTTTATTATTTTGTTTTGAAAAGATAAATACAAAAAATGTCTTGCCATGTTCTCCCTTTTTCATATAGAAACAAAGATCTTCTTGAAGCAAGCACTCATTTCATCCAAACCTTTGAAGAAGATGTAGCCACACTGACAATTGAACACCCTAAACCCAAGGACACTGGTGAATACAAGTGTGTGGTCATCAGTAGTGCAGGGGAAGATGTCTGCACTGCCAAACTGACTGTGACAGGTATTTCTTTGTAGTTTCCACTCTGTTAGAGACGTATTGCTCAAGTTGTTAAAATGTGACATAACCCAAAATGGGTTGAAGGATTCAACATCCTAATGTTTCAAGAAGACCCAACACTATATTAACAACACATTTGTGAACCAGATGACTTTGATGCATTTGGACCTTATTATTCTTCAGAGCCATTTACTGTTCCTGATTTTTTAAAATTTTTATAGAGGTCAGAAGAGGCCCATCATTTGTTGAGAAGCCAGAGGTTGAGGATACGCCTGAAGGTAGGAAACCATTTCAATTCCAGTGTGCAAATTTTGGTAATAAAGTACTGAGATCAAACAGGCTTTTTCCATCCAATTTAGTTTGCTCTCTTCAGCCAAAATTGTTTCATTTTATGCATACAGGAACTGAGGCCATCTTCCGATGCAAGGTTGATGGTTTCCCCAAACCCACAGTGACTTGGAACAAAGGTTGGAAACAGATCACAACAGGAGGAAAATTCACCATTACCTTCGACGAGGACACTGAGGAAAGTGTCTTGACCATCAAGGATACAACACCCTCCGATGCTGGGAAGTACACTTGCTATCTTAAGAACCCTCTTGGACAGGAGACCTCCTCTGTGAGTCTTAAAGTCACTCCTAAGCCAGAAGAGAAACCCAAGGAGGAAGAAATCACTCCCAAACCAGAAGAGAAGCCTGAAGAGGAAGCACCAGTCCAGGATGTTGAGCAAGTTGAAGAGATTCCTGAGGTTTCCAAACCGGAAGAGGTTTCTCCTGAAGAGGTAACTGTTGAGGAGGTAGAAGCAGTTCCTGAAGAGAAACCCAAGCTTCCAATTGTCAAACTTGACGTTGAAGCAGTAACAGAGGAAAAGGCTGAGACAGAAGTAGCATTCAAGGTCAAGCCTCGTGTCAAAGAAGAAGTGGTTCTTCCAGTTACCACTGAGCTTGAGGAAATCTCCATAGAAATTGTCCCAGAAGAAGAAACCAAACCAGAGGAAGTTCCTGAAAGGAAACCAGCCTTCACTGTGAGTTCTGAAGAGGAGGTCACCAAGGTTCCAAAAGCTAAAGTGTCTGTGAAGGCTGTAACTGAGGAGCAGGTGGATTCAGCAGTTACTGCCAAGTTTAAGCCTCGCAAAGAAGAAGAGGTTGAAGTGCAAGCTGCTTTCAAGAGGCCAGAAGAGGAAGAAATCTCTGAGGCTGTTCCCATCGAAGAAGAAGCTGCTCCTAAGCCTGCGACAACCTTTGCTGAAGAAATTGCCCCATCTGAGGTGACTCTTGATGTATCTGAGAAGCCAGTAACAATCAGAGGCATGCCTGAGAAGGAGGTCCTCCCAGAGGAGCTTCTAGAAGCAGAGGCTTTGCCTGAAGAAACAGTTGAGAAACATGAGGCAGATGAGGTGGTTGTGGAAGAAGAGGAGAAGGTGGAAGAGTTGCCTATTGCACCTGTTATCACTGACCAATTCAAGAGCAAGGTGAGTAATCAAACACGCATTTGGTGTGATTGGCCAAAATTTAAATTAGGTAGGACTTTGATCACTGGAACTTTTACGACTGTTTCGTCTGTCACACATTGGGCTACAGAGTCCAATGCAAACAAATATGCATAGTAAATAAGTACAGTAACAATAGAGATACACAGTACGTCTCACATGAACATATTTGACACTTCATACAATTTGAGTATCGGTATTTCTCCTTTTCATCATTCTAGGTATCTTTCAATCCGTTTTAATTTTTGTGAGGCCTTTTTTTAAAAGACACTAAAGTTAATTAGGTTTAAATGTAAAAAGCTGTACCTCACGTGAATCACAGTACCATGGAAAAAGTACTAGTCTGAAAGATTGGATGATAGATTATTGTATTGCAAGACATTAATTGATTAATATAACCATTTTCAAAATGTTTGAAACATATTCTATTTTCCAGAGTACCAAGGAAGGGAAGCCAGTGAAATTCACTTGCACAGTGACTGGAACACCGAAGCCTGAGGTCAAGTGGTTCCTGTAAGTGCCGTTCCTTTCTCTTAATAAGCCTCTGTACTAATGATGTCACACTTAAATTTGTTTACGTGTGGGCTTTCCTATGGTGCTCAGTGGACCGTGGGCCCCCCACTGGCTCCATGGGAAAGTGCACATGTAAACAAAGTGTGACGTGATTAGTACAGAGGTTTATTTAATAAACTATTGTGATTTTATCATATCGAATTCAGATGGTTACAATTCTTAAAGCACCTCTTGTTTCCCTGTTTTATTATTTTGTTTTCAAAAGATAAATACCAAAAATGTCTTGCCATGTTCTCCCTTTTTCATATAGAAACAAAGATCTTCTTGAAGCAAGCACTCATTTCATCCAAACCTTTGAAGAAGATGTAGCCACACTGACAATTGAACACCCTAAACCCAAGGACACTGGTGAATACAAGTGTGTGGTCATCAGTAGTGCAGGGGAAGATGTCTGCACTGCCAAACTGACTGTGACAGGTATTTCTTTGTAGTTTCCACTCTGTTAGAGATGTATTGCTCAAGTTGTTAAAATGTGACATAACCCAAAATGGGTTGAAGGATTCAACATCCTAATGTTTCAAGAAGACCCAACACTATATTAACAACACATTTGTGAACCAGATGACTTTGATGCATTTGGACCGTATTATTTTTCAGAGCCATTCACTGTTCCTGATTTATTATTTTTTTTATAGAGGTCAGAAGAGGCCCATCATTTGTTGAGAAGCCAGAGGTTGAGGATACGCCTGAAGGTAGGAAACCATTTCAATTCCAGTGTGCAACTTTTGGTACTAAAGTACTGAGATCAAACAGGCTTTTTCCATCCAAGTTAGTTTGCTCTCTTCAGCCAAAATTGTTTCATTTTATGCATACAGGAACTGAGGCCATCTTCCGATGCAAGGTTGATGGTTTCCCCAAACCCACAGTGACTTGGAACAAAGGTTGGAAACAGATCACAACAGGAGGAAAATTCACCATTACCTTCGACGAGGACACTGAGGAAAGTGTCTTGACCATCAAGGATACAACACCCTCCGATGCTGGGAAGTACACTTGCTATCTTAAGAACCCTCTTGGACAGGAGACCTCCTCTTTGAGTCTTAAAGTCACTCCTAAGCCAGAAGAGAAACCCAAGGAGGAAGAAATCACTCCCAAACCAGAAGAGAAGCCTGAAGAGGAAGCACCAGTCCAGGAGGTTGAGCAAGTTGAAGAGATTCCTGAGGTTTCCAAACCGGAAGAGGTTTCTCCTGAAGAGGTAACTTTTGAGGAGGTAGAAGCAGTTCCTGAAGAGAAACCCAAGGTTCCAATTGCCAAACTTGACGTTGAAGCAGTAACAGAGGAAAAGGCTGAGACAGAAGTAGCATTCAAGGTCAAGCCTCATGTCAAAGAAGAAGTGGTTCTTCCAGTTACCACTGAGTTTGAGGAAATCTCAATAGAAGTTGTCCCAGAAGAGGAAACCAAACCAGAGGAAGTTCCTGAGAGGAAACCAGCCTTTACTGTGAGTTCTGAAGAGGAGGTCACCAAGGTTCCAAAAGCTAAAGTGTCTGTGAAGGCTGTAACTGAGGAGCAGGTGGATTCAGCAGTAACTGCCAAATTTAAGCCTCGAAAAGAGGAAGAGGTTGAAGTGCAAGCTGCTTTCAAGAGGCCAGAAGAGGAAGAAATCCCGGAGGCTATTCCCATCGAAGAAGAAGCTGCTCCTAAGCCTGCGACAACCTTTGCTGAAGAAATTGCCCCATCTGAGGTGACTCTTGATGTATCTGAGAAGCCAGTAACAATCAGAGGCATGCCTGAGAAGGAGGTCCTCCCAGAGGAGCTTCTAGAAGCAGAGGCTTTCCCTGAAGAAAAAGTTGAGAAACATGAGGCAGTTGAGATGGTTGTGGAAGAAGAGGAGAAGGTGGAAGAGTTGCCTATTGCACCTGTCATCACTGACCAATTCAAGAGCAAGGTGGGTAATGCCTTAATCAAACACACACGTTCGGTGTGATTGGCCAAAGTTTTGAAATAGGTAGGACTTTGATCACTGGAATGTTTACCACTGTTCTTCTGTCACACATTGGGCCGCAGAGTCCACTACAAACGAATGTGCAGTAACAAACGACATACACTGTACATCCCTTATTGAGCATATTTGATACTTCATACAATTTCAGTTTTGGTATTTCTCGTTTTAATCATTCTAGGTATCGTTCAGTGCGTTTCAACTTGCGTGAGACCTTTTATCTTTTAAAGACACTTAAGTTAGTATGTTTAAACTTAAAACATTTGTACCTCATTCAAATCACAGTATAATGCAAAAGGTACTAGTCTGTAAGATTAGATGATAGATTATTGTATTGCAAGACATTAAATTGAACACACCATTTTCAAAATGTTTGAAACATTTTCCTATTTCAGAGTACCAAGGAAGGGAAGCCAGTGAAATTCACTTGTACAGTGACTGGAAAACCGAAGCCTGAGGTCAAGTGGTTCCTGTAAGTGCCGTTCCTTTCTCTCAATTAAATACACTATTGTGTTTTTGGTTGCAATTCTTAAAGCACATGTTGTTGCACTATTTTATTATTTTGTTTTCAAAAGACAATACGAAAAATGTCTTGCCATATTCTCCCTTTTTTCATCTAGAAACAAAGAACTTCTTGAAGCAAGCACTCATTTCATCCAAACCTTTGAGGAAGATGTAGCCACACTGACAATTGAACACCCTAAACCCAAGGACACTGGTGAATACAAGTGTGTGGTCATCAGTACTGCAGGGGAAGATGTCTGCACTGCCAAACTGACTGTGACAGGTATTTGTAGTTTTTTTATTTTTTAGAGATTTACTGCTCATGATTTCAGATTGAGACACATTTAAAAATAAATTGTGTTACCACTTTCCAAACCTTCACAGAAAATCAAATACAATAAAACAACACCGAACATAGGTTTTCGGATGGTTTTTTAAATTGATGTTAATGTTTGGACCAAATTTTTTGTTTGTTAATATTACAGAGGTAAGAAGGGGCCCATCATTTGTCGAGAAACCAGAAGTTGAAGATACGCCTGAAGGTAAAAAAAAAAATTACATGTGTTTGGCTTTGTGTTCTAAATTACTAAGATCAACCAGGGTTTTCTCCAATTAAGTGTTGTTCTCTTGAGCAAAATTCCTTGTTAACAAACTTGATTTGTTTCGTTTAATGCAAACAGGAACGGAGGCCATCTTCCGATGCAAGGTTGACGGGTTCCCCCAACCCACAATTACTTGGAACAAAGGATGGAAACAGATCACAACGGGAGGAAAATTTACCATTACCTTCGACGAGGACACTGAGGAAAGTGTCTTGACCATCAAGGATACAACACCCTCCGATGCTGGGAAGTATACTTGCTTTCTTAAGAACCCTCTTGGACAGGAGACTTCCTCTGTGAGTCTTAAAGTCACTCCTAAGCCAGAAGAGAAACCCAAGGAGGAAGAAATCACTCCCAAACCAGAAGAAAAGCCTGAAGAGGAAGCACCAGTCCAGGAGGTTGAGCAAGTTGAAGAGATTCCGGAAGAGAAACCAGAAGAGGTTTCTCCTGAAGAGGTTACTGTTGAGGAGGTAGAAGCAGTTCCTGAAGAGAAACCTAAGGTTCCAATTGCCAAACTTGACGTTGAAGCAGTAACAGAGGAAAAGGCTGAGACAGAAGTAGCATTCAAGGTCAAGCCTCGTGTCAAAGAAGAAGTGGTTCTTCCAGTTACCACTGAGCTTGAGGAAATCTCCATAGAAGTTGTCCCAGAAGAGGAAACCAAACCAGAGGAAGTTCCTGAAAGGAAACCAGCCTTCACTGTGAGTTCTGAAGAGGAGGTCACCAAGGTTCCAAAAGCTAAAGTGTCTGTGAAGGCTGTAACTGAGGAGCAGGTGGATTCAGCAGTTGCTGCCAAGTTTAAGCCTCGCAAAGAGGAAGAGATTGAAGTGCAAGCTGCTTTCAAGAAGCCTGAAGAGCAAGAATTCCCTGAAGCTGTTTCAATCGAAGAAGAAGCTGCTCCTAAGCCCAAGATAACCTTCACCGAAGAGGAACTTCCTTATGCTGCTCCAGCCTATCCAGAAATGTTGGAAACTCTTCCAGAGGAAGAACTAGAGACCGCCATCACTAAACGTATCCGTCAACCAACAGATGAAGCAGATGTGCTTCCATCCACAGAGGAGGTTGTTCCTATGGAAGCTACTCCTCAGTTCGCTCCTACTGAAGTCTTGGATATCTCTGAGAAAAAGCCAGAGAAGATCAGAGGTTTGCCGGAGAAGGAAGTTATGCCTCTAGAACTTGAGGAGGTGGAAGCTATACTAGAAGAGACACCAGAGACGTTGGAGGCTGTCACTACCATCATTGAAGAAGAGGAGAAGGTTGAGGAGCTTCCTATTGCACCTGTCATCCTCCACAAAATCAAGGACAAGGTAGGCTAACGGAATAATGTGTATTTATAGAAAATAATAGTTACCTTTCAAAGTTTGTTGATTAAGCATGACATAGCTTGCGAGGTAGTCACGACCTCTTCATTCAGCGTTGTGGCTAAATCCCGCTCACATGAAACCTTTGGGGTGGTCACGTTAGAGCAGATTGTCATAGATGGCGGGCAGGTCGTGTTCCGCATCCCTGTTGAGTGTTGGGTTCTTGGTCTTGATCTCTATGACCCCCCCCCCCATCTTTCTGTTCCAGAAGCGTTCCTCTCGTGCTATGATTTGTACATTGTCCAAGGTGATGTTATGTTTCTGGTGAACTAAAAGTTCACCCACAGCTGCGAGGGGTGGGGGGTTGGATCTTGTGTGCTCCTTAAATCTGGTCCCCAGAGATCTGCTGGTCTCCCCGATATATGTATCCTTACATTCAGGGCAGTTACAAGGTCTTGTCCTTAGGATGTACGAGGGAAGACCTGATAGTATTGACCAGCTTGTGGTAGGATTCCAGTATCAGTCCACATGCTGCTAATGTGTGTTTAATAGATAAATGTCAGTTGACCGCCAAATTTAGACATTCTTTTAAACATTTAAAATGTTAAGTTGTATTTACTACAACACATTTTTTGTTTATGTTACTATATTTTGTAGAATGTGAAAGAAGGAACACCTATGAAATTCACATGTACTGCAACTGGGCAACCCGAGCCGGAGGTCAAGTGGTTCAGGTAAACAATTTGATTTTATTTGATGTTCCAAACATGTTTCCTGTGAGTAAATAATTAATTAATTCCACTTGTGTAAGCCTTTTACATATTTTGACTAACTCTGGCAAGAGGCAGTGAGCTACATTTTTTATATTAATTTTCAGGGATGGAACGCTCCTCAAACCATCGAGCGAAAACATCCAGACTTTTGAAGCTGACACTGCCATCTTGTCGCTACCCAAACCCAAACCTAGGGATGCTGGGGAATACAAGTGTGTGGTCATCAATCCATCAGGAGAAGACTACTGCACTGCTAAGCTGACTGTCCAAGGTATCGTAATGTCTTTCTTTTTTGATAGTAAGTTGGACTAAGAAATTGACGAGAACGGATTTTGAACCTGTGACCCTCTGTAGGTTACAAGTTCAAATCCTTGCACGTTCAAGTTCGTTGTCTGTTTCCCTTTGTGGTTCAATAGATGATTTATTAAATAGATAAGTATTGTTAAATGGATAAGTACTGTACCATAATGAGTAAAGAAATGTGCAGGCAAAGAAGACACATGTGATTGTACTCCCGCAGAAACCCTGGTGATTAAAGGGAATGTACAACATTTGCTTTTGCTGCAATTTTCATAAATAAATGAAATGGGAGGAACAGTATGTTATAGTAAATATTGTTAAAATGACGTGTTTCACATTTTGGGCTTGTAGATGCTGGAAAAACCACACACAAAAAATAATCGTGTTCTTCTAGTCTGGTTCCTTGAGCCCACTTAAGATGAATCGGAGCAATTTATAGACTTTTGGGAATTATAAGGTCAGAGAATCGGTCTAGAAGTACACATTCACTGGTGTGTAATCAATTGCAAAGAAATGCAGAATAAGGAAAAATTAGGAGCAGTTTTTGAAAAAAGCCAGTTTTCTCCAACTCTGGTCGGCCGACCGGCGTTGGAAAAATACCATATTTCTTGAAAATATCAGCACACCAGGAGCCACAATTTTACAGAATGCTTTTTACTGTTTTTTCCTAACAATCCAGTACGGTTTTTCTTGATAATTTGATAATTATTTTTTTTTATATTTGCAAATGTTGTATCTTCCCTTTAAAGGAAAAATGTAATAGGGCAGAGAGTGATTGCAGTCAAGACTGTCGAGACTTCTGTGCTGCGTTTTTATGAATTTATTGTTGATATGATTTTTATATGGTTAAAGACTTAACCACGTCATTAAAAAAACAGCCCAGGTAAGGGAGTATCCTCTACATGTACTTGTTTTAATTCTTAACTTTTGCTTTTGCTTGATTGAATTGACAGAAGTGAGAAAATCTCCTAAATTTGAGGAAAAACCAACAGTGCCAAGCACACCTGAAGGTAAGATTCTGTTGCTAATAAATTTCCAGAAATGCTTTTTAGAAGTAGAATTTTTTTTTCCAGACAGTAGGAGCTTATTGAAGACCTGGCATAGCTATTTTTCGAGAAAAAAAAAGTGGAACCAAAGAAAGATCAGTGGTTGAATTTTACACTTTTTCCCTTGTTCTCCGTTTCCGTTCATCTTGGTTGCGGCATTTCTGTTCAGGTACTGATGCCACTTTCCGCTGTAAAGTGGAAGGTTTTCCTAAACCTGAGGTCACGTGGACCAAAGGCTGGAAGCAGCTCACACCAGGAGCTAAGATTGACGTCAGCTTTGATGATACAACCCAAGAGAGTGTACTAACCATCAAGGATGTGAAGCCAACTGATGCCGGCAAGTACACATGTAAGCTGAAGAATCAATTGGGAGAGGAGAAGGCTGACGTCAGTTTGGTGGTCACACCGAAACCCAAGGAAGAGGTCAAGGTACCAGAGAAGCCTGAGGTCAAAGTTGTAAAGAAACCGGAAGAAAAAGCCGAACCGCTGGTAAGAATCTTGCTCTTATTGTTTTTTGTGCACTGAAACATTAATGTTACAGATATTTCCACTAGCAGCAAGGTTTCCCCGGGCTGTGTGTGAAGCCCCGTAAAAGTTCCTTTGTTCAAATTCTGTTAATTTTTGTTGTTAATTTGTATATTCATTGTTTCAAACTCAGCCAATTTGTGATCATTCGCTCAAGTCTTATGGTCTGTGTTGCCATACCTTAGCATTGCTGTAGTCTACAATCCTTTGGTTGACAGTACTATATGGAACTATTTTCTTGAAATGTCTACTCAAAATCATGAAATCATATTGAAGTGTGGAATCGGTTTGAAGGATGAAAGTTAACAAACTTTAACAATAACCATAAATGTTTCTTTAGATCATGGTTCCTTATCTGTTTATTATGGAGTTCAACTTTGCAACTATTGTGTTACAGTTCCGACATGTGTATTATATCTTTTATTGCTCCAACACTTCTATAATTCTTACCTTTTCCAAATTCATAAAACATACTTTAAAAGAGAAGACGGTGAGTTTTATGTTCTCTCTTTTTCTAGCCCACTGAGGAAGTCAAGCCATCCAAACCGGAGGAGATTCCTACTGAGGTGACTCCAGAGAAGATCGTTCCTGTCAGCAAGCCTGAGGTAGAAGCAGCACCAGTCAAAGAACCAGAAGGTGAGGCAAACTCAGTCAATTTATGATCATTCGCTCAAGTCTTATGATCTGTGTTGCCACACCTTAGCATTGCTTTAGTTTACAATTCTATGGTTGACAGTACTATCCGACAGCAGAAATGTATTGTATTTGTTAAAAACGGTTAAAAACGGATGTGGTTGGTCAAAGTTTATACTGTAAGTGCATTTTCAGTTCATAGAGGAATTTGACATGCTGTGTGTGACAGCTCAAGTGTGTGGCTTCATTTTGTCCAAAAAGTTTCAGTAACTAATTCTGCCCTCTTCAATCACTTTTTCATGTATGTAAGAAGTTCAAATTGGCATCAAAATCGAAAGTCTCAGTGCTATACTTTGGGAAAGGATTCAAATGAAAATGTCCTCATGTCCTACAATGGCTTAGAAATGAGATCTTAACTTGGTTAATATAAAAATTTTGGAACACACTAATAATGTGTGCATTCCTAAAGTGTATTCATTTAACCATACAAGTATTTGTACTGATGAATGCTCTATAGCATTACTACACTTAAAGTTTATGTACTTAACTTTTCTTTCAATTACAGGCCCTGCCAAATTCGTGGCCAAACCCGGAGCCTTTGTCGAGTCCATCGAAGACGAGGAAGCCATCATCACGTACGAGATCAGCGACGAACTGACCGATGTCAAGTGGTTCAAAGAAGGGGAGGAGATCCAACCAGGGGAGAAGTTTGAGTTCAAGAGGGAAGGCCGACGGCGCTCGCTGATCATCAAGGACGCAACTCTTGAAGACAAAGCCAGGTATATGTGTCTGCTGCCAGAGGACAAAGCAGGGACAAAACTCTTTGTGAAAGGTTAGTCTGATGGATCGTTAGCTTGTATAACTGTAATGATGTGCTTTTAAATCAGGTCAGTTCTTTTAGTTCTGTACACTTGTTTGTATAACCCTTATACGATTATGCCAGTCATAGGGGTTGTGGAATGCCTATGAAACCAAGAGGAGAGGTTAAAGTAGCGTTTGTTGTTGCGTTGAATAGTACTGGACTGCAGATATTCTCTTCACAACCATATCTGGAAAGAGAAAACTATGAAATTTCACTCTTTATTGTATGATGGAATTTGTGTCGGGGAGATGTAAATTCAGTATTGGGTTTTGCTCTTCACAGCCTTAATTTTAATAAAAGCTGTATACTCTGTCTGAAGGCTTGTGTAAGACAAAATTCACAAGCTTACTTGGGTGGGACTCAAATCCACAACCTCCTGCTTACTAGTGCAGACGTCTTACCACTCGACTACCAAGCTTGCAAGAGTCAGCTGGTTGGTTTGAATTTGAAATAGAAGCGAGTATGATGAATTTTGGGAGTGTGAAACGTGCAATACAAAGTTGTTTATTGCTTAAGAGTTTTCTTCTTATTAGGATATTCAACCAATTTCTTTGCTCACAAAGTACCAGTAGCTCAATAACAAATTTAAAATCTGTTTCCATAGAAACTGTCCACATCATAAACATCCCCGAAGAGACCACCATAAAGGAAGCTGAAAAGGGCATCCTGGAGGTAGAATTCAACAAAGACGTCTCCCGCAAGAGAGTCACCTTCTTCAAGGACGGTAAAGAGCTCAAGTCCAGCAAGAAGTATAAGATTGTCCGGAAGGGTACCACGGCCACATTGACCATCAACGACGTCTTACCGGAAGATGCTGGGGAATATACTGTCACAGCGGAGGAGGTGAAGGCGACAGTGAGGATGTTTGTTGACGAGAAGCCAAAACCAAATCCACCGATCTTTGTCCAGGTGCCTAAGGCTCTGGATGTCACTGAAGGTAAGAAATGGATTTAATAGTTGATATCTCCAACTTTGGCTGGGTTTTGGCTGATTTTTACATTTTCTAATAATGTTTTATTTTAGTTTATAGAAATATAAAGAATCAAACAGGGAATGGTTGATGTCGTAAATTTGTAAATGTTCTCAATCTTGACTTTAAGAGGGGAGGAAAATTGGGATGCTGGCTGAACATTGTTAATGATATTATTTCCTCTAGACTCCTATTTTTTTTTAAAATAATTCTCATCAGGACAGAAGTTTTGATTTAAGTGTCTCTTTTTTTGTTGTCTTTTTTACCCTTTCCAATATGTAACAACACATAAATTGGGTTTTATTCTATTTCAGGTGAAACTGCCACGTTCCGTTTAAAAGTTGGTGGCACCCCTACCCCAACCGTCCAGTGGTTCAAGGGATGGCGTGAGATCACACCCGGTGACGAATTCTCCATGACTTACGACGAGGAAACAGATGAGCATCGGTTCACCATTCACTCTGTCAGCACGAAAGATGCCGGCAAGTACCAATGTCAGCTGAGTAGCGAGAACGGCAAGACCAAATATGGTGTCTCCTTGATGGTGCAAGAGAAACCTGCAGAGGAGGTTCCATTCAATATTCCACTCAAAAGGTAAGTACAGTGTTGTAGTCACGTCCTCACAGATCCACCACAAGTTACTCCTGAGTCATTCTTATTTCTTCTCTTGTTTTTAACTTGTTTATTTTATGGTAATAAAATGATTAATTTTCTGTATGGTTTTCAAGCTACCCTTTTTTATGTGGTGTATGGTCTTCAGTGTTTTAAATGTATGATTTTTAGTAGCATTTGTAAATTAAACTGTAATTCAACATTTTGGCCGCAAAAGTTTAACCATGAACCATCAAGCTTATCACAAGTCAAATCACACGTTATTGGATAAACTGTAGCAAAAACATTCTCTTGTTATTGTTTCTTCCCTGTTCCCGGACATGTGCATGAATTTATGATTTGATTGTGACCAGAATTGCGATGGAATCGACTACAACACTGGGCATGCATATGGAAAACAATTTAGCAAAAGCTGGAGTTGTAACGGAGGTTGAGTTTTTTTTTAATATAAAACTGTTGTCATGTGGCTTTTCATCAATTGTGGGAGGAAAATCACCAAACTTAATAATGGTCATGAAAAGCGTGGTGTCTAAAGATATCAATAAATTAGATAATAAATAATTCATTAAGTGTTTTATAAAAACAGATTTTGTTTTGATACCACACTGTTGGCTAAAAAAGAACAGGGAGACGTGGAATAAAATGTCAAGCACTGTATTGTAGGATCCACTAAGATTAAATTGGACCGTCTTGATTGCAATTTTCCTGTTCTGCTCCTAGACGGCCGTCCCAGGAGCTCAGAGCACAGCAAGAGATTGACATCATGGAGCTCCTGCGAAGTGTGGAGCCCAAGGACTACGAGAAAGTGCTGCGTGAAGCTGGGGTCTATGACTTCCGAGCCATTCTCAAGCAGCTCAAGATGATGCAGAAGAAATTGGAAATCGAAGAGGAACCAGAATATGAGGTCAGGAATTGAGACTTTAATCTACAATGACAGATTTTTTTTTTAAAGTTTGGCGATGTTTGTGTGTGTGTCTCGTGACCATTTTCACGAACTAGTAACACATAACACACTAGTGGGTGAATTTACTGTGTCTATAAAATTATGAAAGGGCAAAAACTATTAAAACTTCCATATGTCATGCATGTATAGACTTTTTCAATACTACAACGTGTTGAATGGTACTCCCAAATATTTGTTTTCCCGCCAACACCCAAAGCTGTACTCTTCAAACCCGTCCAACAATTTGATTCCTCAGCACGATTCTTGGTACATTTTTCACTCATAACAGGAGCTGCCGGAGGAGGAACTCATACCAGAAATGGAAGCATACCAGATGGAGTCGCCCATGTTTTCTGCTGGACCCCTTGTTGAACCACCAAAAGGTACGTTCTTCCCCCCAGCCCTCCGAGTGCAGAATATTTCTCAATCCACACAAAAAAGAGACCATATGGCTTTCAATGACCAATTCAGTTCAAAACTCTATCTGAAAAACTTTTGAACATGAAATGTATATGAGAAGTTCATTAGTCGTTTTTATAGTCCATTGATTATTCATATGTAATTTTTATAGATGATCACATTTATGTACAGTTGATAACTGATTTCAATTTCTGTGCATTGAAGATCTTGTCTGTCATAAGTGTCAATTCAATTTCTCGTTTAATTGTTAGTTTTACCACTGACATGTTCTCGCTTCCTAGTCTTTTGAAAATGTCCCCAGCTTCTGCATTTTGGTGTGTTACGCTTTCGTCCGCTTTAAATACCGCTTATTAGCTTTGCACATACACCCTTAAGGAGTCACAAGAAGCTTTGAGTGTTGTTTACAATGGAGTTATACTTAATTGTTACATTACTTGAGACACTTCGAATGAGTAGTTTGGCACAGTGTTTTACTCACTGTGAGTAACACAAGACCTGTCCCTTGTTATTGAAATCCACCTGCTTTCTAGCTTTTTACACGGCACAGTCTTTCCACATACCCACCTCCTAATTAGCAAATAAAGGTAAGTATATTACATGGCATGCTTGCAAAATGTGATTTTATGGCTGCACGCCTTGCTTCCATCACCAGATAGGTAAGTATAAGCTTTGCATGCCTGTTCTGGAAATGGAACCCACCTCCACCCAGCAGGTGACAATTTAAAGCACCAAATTGCACCCAGTTGTACCTAGTTGTACCCAATTGTACCCGGCACTAATTGAGGTAAGTGTGAGTTTAGCATGCAAGTTCTGGGCATGGAACCCACTTCCACCCAGCAGCAACCCACCTCCACCCAGCTGATACAACAGTTTGGTATTAAGAAGTACCCAGCTCAACCCAACACCACACACATTTTATCAATACCAACCACCCATTGGCAACCTACAGAAGAGTTTGAATTTGTGGAGATGCTGGAACCGTATGTGACCGTGGCGCCCAACGAAACGGCCGAGCTCATGTGCACTGTCTCAAGTGAAAGAGCCAAAGTCAAGTGGTTCTGCGGAGATGAAGAAATCGAGATTGATGACGACAAATACAAAGTCGTACAAGCCCATAGAAGGCATTCCTTGTTAATCACTGATGTGACAACAGAAGATGCTGGACCCTACATGTGTGCAGTTGGAGAGAAAACCACTTCAACGATTCTCAGAGTAACTGAAGGTATACATGAGGTGGCTCCCTGTCCCAATAAAAATTGAGTAACTACATTTATTCTCTGGTACATTCTCTCACAATGTGCCAATCATTTAGCAAATCGTTCATGCCATAAAATGTAGCTAACCTTCTTAGGGTACGGGGAAAATAAACATAAAAAGCTGGTCAACTATGAATCTTTGTAAGGTTCCTTGTAAAATCTGTGAATAAAATATTTCATTTTGAAATAAACCACAAGGTGACATAGCAGAGCTGGACATGTTTGGTACTTTATTGTGGAGGTTCGGGGTTCAAATCCTATTTAAGTTCATTTTCTCTGCCCAACCAAAACGAAATCAAAGTTTATAAATAGCATTTGAGTCTTGCTGAGCAGTGTGAGTAGATACGTAAGAATTTGTTCCCTTGAAAACTTTAAAGATTCTGTATCTTCCTGTGTTTGAATGACACTATTTACTTGCACAAGTGCAGTTCTTCAAAAATGGGTTTACATTTTTTAAATAAACATCCAATTTTAACTTTGATTTTATATTGTCTTATTCTTTAGAATTGCCCAAGATCCTTAAGGATCTCCAGAGTCAGAGAGGCGATGAGTCTGAAGACGTTGAATTCACCTGTGAGCTGACCGATGACCTCCCGGAGGACCTTGAGGTCACCTGGTTCAAGGCAGGCACTGAGATTGAGCCTAGTGAAAAGTATGAAGTCAAGAAGGACAACAGGAGATTGTCGCTGGTCGTTCATGACTTGAAGAAGGAAGACCAGGCAGCCTACACGGTGATGATTGGAGAAAGACGATCTTCAGCAACACTTCAAGTCAAAGGTATCAATTCTTCCTTTTACAGATTAAGCAGATAGATTTTCGAGATGTCTATAATTGTGATTTGCTGTAATACTAAGAGGTAACTGGGTTCCGATTTCCATTGAGGGGGCTACTTAGGGGGATTTATTTTCTGGAGGGTGTTCTCAGTGGGCTTCTACAATATAAAAAGCTCATCTTTGCCTTTGATCAAATTCTGATTGGGGGAAAGGGGGCACAGGCATCATGCCTGTCGAAGATGGATATGCTCCCTATAACACCCCTCCCGCTTAAGTTACACCACTGGTGATGCTTGTACATGTGTAATACCCTAAGGAATTTGCTTTGCACTAAAATTCACATGCCTTAGTTCTTTCAATTCGTATCATATAGTTCCAAGCAAACATGATAAGTAATATGTCCTCATCTTAAATTTACTATAATTTTGTCTTCAGTCTTCTTGGGTAATATGATGTGAAATGCTGCATGTCAATTCATAATCATCTTTATTTTCCAGGTTTCACCGTCACTCCACTGCATGACACAAAAGCGACCGAATTTGACCAAACCGCCACGTTTGACTGCACAGTCTCCAGTGAGAAGGCTGTAGTGACGTGGCTCAAGGACGGCGAGAGGATCGAAGCCGGTCCTAAATATGAGATAAAAGAGGACGGCAAGAAACGAGTGCTCGTCGTTCATGATATCTCACCAGAAGACAAAGGGAACTTCAGCTGTGTCGTTGGCGACGCTGAGTCCATGGCCACACTGGATGTTGAAGGTTTGTTGACTCGATATTTCTTTATAAACTTTACGCCCTTTAAAAAAAAATCTGTATGAGAAAACCTGTCTCTGTTACATGAGGGTTTGTTTCCTTTTTTTAACCAATCATAAGTGGAATTGACTAGCTTAAATTTTAATCAATATTTGGTAAAACATTAATATTATCTGGTTGGGGATTTGTGCCTACAGCCTCTTCCAATGCTGTAATGTGCTATGGTATTGAAGAGGTTACAGGTTCAAAACCCACTGCAGTCAATTACTTTGTGCAATATTATACCATTTTTGGGATACTAAATCATCAAGTATTGTTTTCAGGATCTGGTTAAGAAATTATGTCCCTCTTTCATGTCTGTGAAGGTATTTATGACAGTCTTTCTCTCAATGGGGCCAGCAAAACAGACCCTTTATTTCCATTTGCAAGCACCTCTCGCCTCTTTCTATAGTTGCAAAGGGAGGAGGGAGTAGTCATAAACAACACGCAGGTTGGAAGAAGCAGAATGCAAAGCTTTACGAATACATTTTCAGAAACCTGCCCATGTTGCATGTCTTTTTATGATCATTTGCTGGTGTTTTTCAATCTACTTTGATAAATCAAATCATTATTCACTATCAAAATACTAAATAAGATACCTGACAGTGGACCCTGCTTCATGTATAGCAATTAATCCAAACCCTAGTAAGTGGCTGCCATCTTAGCTGGTGCATGTTCTCGTGCCATGACAACACCTTGAATCATTTCTTCCTAACCTTAAAATTGTATTCTTTTTGTATTGTCACGCAGCCACCAAGATTACCAAACCACTGAAAGAAACCGAGACCCCGGAAAAGGAGACGGTCACCATCACCTGTGAGATATCACATGAGAAAGGTGTCGTCAAGTGGCTTAAAGATGGTAAAGAGCTCCCAGACAGTCCACGGTTTAAGCCCAAGGCTGAGGGTAAGATTCGATCCCTGGTGATCGAGGACGTTCAGCGGGATGATGAGGGAGATTACACGTGTGTCGTTGGTGACGACAAGACTACGGCTGGACTCTTTGTCGAGCGTAAGTTGAGATACACAGCATTACCATATTTTTTTTATAACCAGAGTACGATTATTCAAGATTTAAGTTCAATCATGCATTTGATTTATAATCCCGGGCCTAAAATCATGGAACTTCTAAGCATAAGAAACATTTTGTGTGGGAAAACAGTTACCTTGTGAAATGTCTCCCTGTGTAAAGTAGAAGTTTGTTATAACAAACACAAGGGGCCCCCAAAGATCGGTTGGAACAGCCAAGGGTGGATCCAGAACCAAATTTTCGGGGGGCCAAGAGGGCTGATTTTTTTTTTTTTATTTTTTTTTAAAGAGGAAGGAAATTAAATATATAGTATCGTGCGCTTTTTCCACATAGTAATATTAAAACTAAAAGCAAGAGTAGCTGATGGCTTGCAGGGGCCATATGCAATGCTTTCATTTATTTCCTGAAAATTTAAGACAAAAAGGTGTGTTCACTCCTCTGATTAATAAAACCCCATTGTTTTGGACGGGGAGGGGGGGGGGGGCCATGGCCCCCACCCTGGATCTGCAAATGGGTACAGCAGTCCTTTGGTGTAGTTATTTGGCTCCCTGTGCTCATTATAAATGTACATAAAATTGGGATGCAAAGGTGATTTTCATTGTAGCCAAATGTTCAGTATAGCGGTGTTCTTTATAGCATCATTCTACTCCGTATGATTGTGACTCCTTTTTTTTCTAGCTCATATATCTTTGACCACCAATTTCCTCAGCGTAGAAGCTCCATGAAATTGGATTCAATTTTAGTTAGAGGCACTGATAGTCATGCACATTGCTTTGAAATGTTTGATGTTCCTTTGTTTATATAAAATGAATTGGATGAAAATTTGCGATGGGTTGGTTTCAACCATTCAATTTTTAGGTATCTGAGACTCTAACCAATGTAATGTACCCTGACTGAATTACATTATGCTCCTTAACAACGAGATTTTTGTCCTTTATCCTAACAGCACCACCAGTTGAGTTCCTGACCGAATTAACACCGATCACAGTCACAGAGAGGCAGACGGCCGAGTTCATCTGTGAAGTCTCAGACGAGAAAGCCGAGGTGACCTGGCTGAGAGATGGCAAGCCCATTGAGCCGAGCGACAAGTATCTCATCGTCAAACGGGGACGAGAACGTCGCCTCTCTGTCACAAACACCGAGTTTCCTGATGAATCTGATTATACTTGCGTCATTGGGGATCGAAAGACTTCAGCTGAGCTCTTGGTTGATGGTGAGTAGCATACAGATTGTTTCATCTCAGTTTGCAGAACCATCTAATGAAATGAGTGGAGAAAAGGCAAGCAAAATGAGAAGTGTTAATATTTATAAAAAATTTAAAAAGCTTATAAAGCACTTAAACGTGTTTCAAACAGATAAGACAAGTTGTTAATACTGCACTGGAAGTTTTCTGAATGATTTTTCACATTGTGTCAGAAGAGAAAAGAAAAGGCAAGCAAAACAAAGAATATTTATTTTGAGAACGCTTATAAAAATAAAGCTGAATTACAGCAAAATTTGACAATTTGAAATATTTCTCAATATTTTTTCACACACTGTGTCAGAACATTGTATAAAAACAGCATAAACAGTTGAAAAAAATGATTGAGTAACAAACAATGAAACAGTTATTTCCATTTCTTTATTTTGCCTAAAAGGGTCTTGAAGTTTAACTGGTGTGCATTTCATTTTCATAAAGATTCTAGCTGACAATAAATAAAAAAGGGTTCGGGAAAATTTTTCTTAAATTTAATTCTTGAATTAAATCAAATCTTTCCATTTCCAATCATTATAATTGAAATCTTTCCATTTAATCCTATCTCTTAATTTAATCTTTTAGAAGCCGAACCGGAAATCACCGTCTCCATGCAAGACGTCAAGGTGTCCGAGGATCAAGAAGCAACCTTTGTCTGCGAGCTCGACAAGGATACCTCTGATGTCGTCTGGCTCAAGAACGGCAAGAAGATTGAGGAGGATGATACCAAGTTTGAAGTCCAGCGCAAGGGCCGCCGACACTCGCTGATTGTCAAAGACATTGGTTTGGAGGACGCTGCCAACTACACATGTAAGGTTGGCAGGAAGGAGAGTTCAGCATCGCTTATTGTGGAAGGTATGAGTCAGAACTGTTGTTGAGTCCATCGTGTGTCAGCAACCGATTTCACGAAACTTTACGCAATTGCTTAAGTGCTTTTGCACCGTGATTTATTGCATAAGCAACATTTCACACTGCGCATTTCAGTTGTGACAATTTCATGAAAGTTTCATAGCGCGTAAGTCCGCAATTTGCGCAGATTATTATGGTGTAACTTGTGCAATCATTTAGTTTGCGTAAGTTGTGACGTAGCTATTGAAAATGACCTATTTTACCAACAAACTGTGATCGTTGTGGAGTCTTTTATTGCACAACTTATCAAGTTTTGTGTTTGAAGTAAATGAATTACTATTTTACTTGACAGAGTTTTTAGAGTTGCCACACAAGTCCGAAAAGTCGGATGAAAGTATTTTCAAAATGGCGGGCGGAGGTGATTCAACGAAATTTTCATAAACGACCAAAATCATACACAAACAGCCGTCGTAAATGCTGTTATTATCCTCATGAAAGATGTTAAGATTATTTAAAACATTGCGCAGCTATGAACAGTTTACAAGTCACAAGAAATGGGGGCTAAATGATGAGAGAGGAATACACTTGTCAATTGCTTCTTTTTTTATTTGAGACTGGATGACTTATGATTGAATACTAATGGACCTCTGTGGACTTGACTGAATGTTTGCTATTAGTTGCTTGATCTCAACGTCACCCATCCATCGGAAACTGAAAGTTGTAATGACGCTGTGCCCGAGTGACACATTATAAGAATTGCATGGAAAGAATGCATTTTCTTGCAAATCTTAAGGTGTTTCACAGGGCCATAAAATGTAGTGGAATCCCACTGACAAATTCTCCTCCATGTTCCCTACAGAGAAACCCATAGAGTTCACTGAGCCCCTCCAAGCCCTCCAAGCAAGCCCCGGTGACACTTCCACCTTTGAGTGCACGCTCAACAAAGACAACGTCGACGTGGTCTGGATGAGAAACGGCAAGGAGATCAAACCGACCGATCACTTTGTGATCAAGAAGGACGGGAAACATCATCAGCTGACGGTCAAAGGTGTTCAGTTTGATGACGACGCCGAATACACTGTGAAGGTCAAGGATGTGGAGTCCAAATCATCCCTGGTTGTACAAGGTAGGAACAAACTTTGCTTGCTGGTTCCCATAGGGCCAGCCTATAACTCTCTTCCTACCTGACTCAGTGACTGACTAACTGACTGACTCAGCCTCGACACCATGAGCTGCATGCACGTTCGTTCATCAACTGCCGGCCATGTAGAATACATAAACAATGCTGATTGACTATTTAGAGTGTCACTCACTCACTTACTCTACCGCATATACATCTGGGGTCCGTCGCGCTGATCTCCTGTGTCCGCGGTTTGTAGCCTGGTTCCAGAGCCTGTCAACCTTGCTGGGCGGTCCCAGTTGCTCGACCCAAAGTGTCCTTAGAGTGTACTGCACGCATATTTCGAAGACTGCACACCCTATATGCGCTTGCGTTATCTCCTGCGTGTCACATCACATGTGACCATTTTTTTTTTCAAGAATGTACTATGCTTGTACGATGTGGATTCTGGAAGCCTTGTTTTTTGCCCCCCAAAAAACCTGTATCTTGTGTTGTAGAGGGATGGCAGAGGTACATACATTTATTAAATGACTTAAAATAAATGAATTCCGACTTACTGATTGTCAAGCTAACCAAAGGTTATGTCTAAAGCCTTTTGAGCTCCTGGTTGAGGAGACATAGTTTACAATTTTAAATCCTTTCAATTTTTACAAGACATGGATTTCTGACCCTTCTTTCTTGACCCTTCGCAGTCCTCTGCCTTTGCATGATCCTTAAGACAGAGTGACAGACATGTGCAGTGAAGTTATGATTTCTCATTTTCATTTGGATTTCTTGTCTGCTGTTTCATCAACAGCTGCACCAAAGATAGAAATCGACACCGACAAACTGAACATCACCGTCAAAGCTGGCACTAAGATCGTTGTAGAAGCCACTGTGATTGGCTCACCTGTACCTACCACAACCTGGTCCAAAGATGAAATTGAACTTCATCCAGACAAGCGTATCACCATGACAACAGAGAACACTGTGAGGGCAAAGGTCAAACTGACCATTGACAAATCAGAGAGGACGGATCTGGGAGAGTATACAATCACTGCAGCCAATGATCTTGGCTCGGATACAGTTACTGTCAAAGTCATAGTCCTTGGTAAGTATCAGGAGAAGTTCTTGGGGTTTCAGGTGATTTTGCCTCCCCCCCCCCCTCCCCTACAAAATTCATGCTTTTTTAGCCCCTGTGATATTCTATCTTTTTTTAAAGGAATGACATTCTCAACAATTTGTAAAAACCTCAGCACAGTGATCCCCAAATTTGACTAGGTTTTGAACAAACAAAAAAATCAAAATAAATCAAGTTCACCAATTTTCCCTTCAAAATTCTAGCTAAAGAAACTATCCATTCACAGAAGGTCGATATACGAAATAGCCATACAAACATTTTGTTGCTGTCACCTCATATAAAATTTTTATTGACATATTTCAGGAAAGTGATTAAAATTGTAAAAAAGAATTAAACATCTCTGAACATCAAGTTTGCAAAGGTTGATTTACCCAAATGTTAGCCAAGAAACAAATAGGTGTTCTCAGTAGGTGAATATATGAAAGTGGAGTACGAAACTTTTGTTTCTGTCATCTCTTAAAAAATTAGATAAATTTTTGTCTGGAAATATTGAGCTTTTTAGTTTCCATTACGGTAATATTAAATATTGATAATTCTTTTCAAAGATTTGACTTGAAAAGGCAACATTCCTTGAGCCTCCAAATACTTCTTCACTTTCACCTCACAAGAAATAACTACATGTATTATTCCATCCTTTCCGACAGACAAACCTCAACCTCCCAATAACCTCCGAATCACCAGCATCACTCCTGTGACTATCTCACTCATCTGGGAGCCCCCTGAAGATGACGGAGGCAGCCCAATCACAGAATACATCATCGAGAAGAGAGACATGAAACGGGCGACATGGTCCAAAGCGGGAACCACAACCTCCACAGAGCTAGAATTTACAGTTAGTAAGCTCTTGGAAGGCAATGAGTACCTGTTCCGTGTCAGCGCTGTGAACAAACACGGGCAGAGCGAACCAAGGTTGCTTGGATCGCCCGTTGTTGCCAAGCATCAATTTGGTAAGATTCAGAAGACTTCCATGATCCACTTGCCATTTTTCTACGCCTTTTTTATGTTCCACATTCAGTTTTCTTGGGTTTTTCAAAGACGTGCTACAGTGGCGGATACATCATTTACGGAAGGGGGGGGGGTGTGCACCTAAAATGGAGGCGAATCCCAAACATACAAGCGGGGCATATATTTGCTCATGTGGGTGAAAATTTCTGTCTTTGAAGTGATACAATAACCAGTTGACAGCAGAAGAAACAGGGAATAAAGACAAGATGTACCTCCTAAAAAACAACTTTGGGAAAATGGAGGGGGGCGCCCCCTTCTGGATCCGTTACTGTGCTATATTTTGTCACCACTTCAAACTCTCAAGTTGAATTCATACTCAGTGCCGTCTTTGTATGCTAGACCAGGTCAAGTGGTTTTTGTTTTCATTTTCATCTTTGGCATACCATTTTCTGACTCATACCAACCTCTCAATAATTTCGTTACTTCTTACACTTATTCTTTTACCATTAATCATCATTCATTCTACATTTTCAGAACTCATTTCTTTCTGACAAATTCAGAACCTATGTGTATACTATTTATGTTTCATGCAATCTTTCTGCCTTTGTCATTGAACATGACTCATGTATGAGAGCAAGTTTGCACAATAACCATTGGCTAAATATAATGAGACTAGCTTGACCCAAACCATGTCAAGTTCATTGCATGTAGACTGTTGAAATTTTCAGAACCAGCCTCAATAGCATTTTTTATTGGTGGTTTACTATAGCTACGTATATTGTTAAGTAAAGTATTGCTCTTAAAAAGAGTGAAACTTCCACCCTCTTAAAGAGCCATATGGTGGACAAGTCTTTTCAATTTGCTCTTCACTCTTTTAAATTTAGCGAGTATAAATTCCTCATTGATATTTTTACCACAATCATTTCAACAAAAGAGAGTTTTTACTACAGTGCAAGACAAGAATCAACCAATGCTTAAAGCCAGTGATTGTTGCTCAAATTTGCTCTTAGATGCATCACATCAATCAATTTCTCTTTCTCAATCATTACCATCATCATCCATTTCTTCTTTCATATCATTACCTGTCCACCTGCCACCCACCTCCATCCCATCATAACAGACGTCCCACACCCGCCATCTAAGCCACAAATCTCAGACATCGACTCGAGCAAAATGACAGTCACCTGGTCTCCTCCTGAATTCAATGGAGGCAGTGAGATCACCGGTTACGTTCTCGAGAGACAAGAGGTCGGCCGCGACCGCTGGGTCAAAGTTAACAAGGTCGCACTGACTGACACGACCTTCACCTGTACTGATTTGATTGAAGGGAAGGAGTATATATTCCGAGTTGTGGCCGAGAATAAAGCTGGTTTGAGTAAACCAAGCGAGCCGTCAGACACTCACATGGCTAAACCACCCTATGGTGAGATAATTTATAGAACTGTTTGCACTTCTACATCACAAGCTCAAATCCCTCTTCTCTACTCACAAGTGGTTTGTTACTAAAGACAGTATTGTACCTAAAGAGATCCATTTTAGAGAGAAAAATCAGCTAAATGAACAAAACTATTTCTTCTTTGTTGAGTCAAGTGACCTATATTTGCTCTCTAAAGCTCTTTGATAATTTCTAATAATGTGTTTTGATTCAATGAATACAATGGTAATAATGCAAAATTGGGTGAGTATAAGGGCTCAGTCCAAACAAAACTAGATCTCGTGTTCCAAACGGACAAAATAAAACTGTTAATTTTGTGAAAATAATGAAAGTCATTTATTTCATTTCATTTCACCAAATTCGGTTTCAGCTCTGTGCCGTTTGCATGCACTTTCCACGATTTCGTTTTGGTAGCATTTCAAATCAAGTTGAAAACAAATTTAATGTCCTTTTTTTTTGGGGGGGGGGACCAAATTGACCCAACTTGAAATGTGTTCAACTTTTCAAATTTGCATCACAAAATCTCCCTGTTGCATCACAAAATTGCATTCAAATTCACTTGAACCAGCCTTAAAGAGAGTCATACACTTTTCACGGTATTGCCCGTTCATGTTTTTTTTTTTTTTGCATGTGTCTTAGATGTCCCGGGGGCGCCCAGCAAACCGAAACCAGAGAACATTGACGCTACTACCATCTCCATCACATGGAACCCGCCTGAATCTGATGGTGGCTCCCCTGTGACTGGATACATCATTGAAAGATGTGATGTCAGCCGTGGTCGCTGGGTGAGAGCCAATCGGGAGAAAGTAAGTCAAATATGGAAATGGATGGTAGATTTTGCCTTTGCTTTTACTCACGAGTAGTAAGCTTTCAAATGAGTTAAGATGGTGTTCAATTTTCCATTACATACTTTTACGAAGGATAATAGAGATTTAATGTATATGCCTATAGTTATACCCATTAGCACTTGTATTACATTGTATTACAGTGTATTTACTCCTTATTGAATCCATAAAACTATTGAGTGCTGGGATGGTTTGAGGCGGTACAAGGACTAATGGAATATAAAATTATACATTTTCTGTGAAATTAAGGGGACGTTTTGTTTGATTGGTGATTTCTGAAGAACATTGAAACTGCCCCCGAGGTTGAGGAGTACCACTTTTTTCACCTTTATTCTGTGCATTTTTGGTCATCATATTCATGTGTTCTATGCTGTGAAATATTCTTAATGAACAAAGATTGTAATCATCAAATTTTACTGTCATGCAAATATGACAAACTGTCATTTAGATCATCTATTAACTCAGCTTTCCATTGTCTTATTTACAGGTGACAGAACTCACATTCAAAGTCACAGATCTGGTGGAGGGCAACAAGTATCAATTCCGAGTTTCTGCAGAGAATCTAGCAGGTGTCAGCAAACCAAGCGAACCCTCTGATACCATTGTGGCTAAACTGCCTTACGGTAAGAATTCTTATTACTCTCATTTCAAATTCTTTTGGCTCTTTCTCTCACTTTAGTAAACTAGTCACCTCTATGGCTGAAAGGTATTGTCATCCCTCGCCTTAGAGTGATGACTGGCCAGTGTATTGAAAATAGGCTCCTAAGATGCCAACACAGCATTGGAATTAATCTTGGGAATCTCTCATTTTGTTCTGGTAAAGTCATGAAGAAAATCATGGAATTTCCATTTTAAGATTTCTGTGGGAACCCAGGTACTTGTATTCAAGAGGTTGCAGGTTCAAATCTCACATAAGTCAATTTTCTTGCCCTATCAATAATTACTTTCCTTGTTGTTTTTAGACGTCCCTGGAGCTCCAGAGAGACCAACTGTCAGTGACATTGACAGCACTCAGATGACAGTCACCTGGTCACCGCCATCGGTTGACGGTGGTAGCCCCGTCACAGGTTACATCTTGGAACGCAAGGAGAAGACCTCATCAAGGTGGACCAAGGTGACAAAGGAACCTGTCACAGAGACAACGTTGACAGTCAAAGATCTGATTGAAGGCAAGGAGTATGAGTTCCGTGTAGCTGCCATCAACAAGGCTGGAACAGGACCATTCAGTGAGCCATCAGAACCAAGAATCACGAAACCACCATATGGTAAGCTGATTTTCTAAGATGTCTCAAGTTACAAAATTGTAAAGGGTTAATGGGGCTGTCAATTTCGATCCTAGACAAAAGTATTCCTTAAAGAAATAATCTGCAAGGATCCAAGCATCAGTTTCTTACTTGTCAATTTCTATTTATCCCTACTTCGTAAACTTTCTTAAACTGTTAATGATTTCATCATCTCTTCTTGGAGTCAGCCCGTGCAACAACTTGAGACTTCTCCCAGCTTCATGCCCATCCCCAGAAAAAGGAACTATATTTGGTGTTAGAATTTAAATCTGTCTTCTTAATTCACAATGCAGTGGAATTTTGGTAAACTATTGAGGAAACAACCATTGTAATTAAAACTGGGGAAGAAGAATTGCATTATACCAGTGACCGTGTCCCAACTTACAAACAAGTTGGATGTGGTTTCTTTGTGCAAGCATCCCCTCAATTGCTACAAAGAAAGTGTAAAGCAAGACTCTTGGATCTATTTCTGTTGTATGCTGTACATAAATATGAGTTGAGTTTGTGCACATCAGAGTAAAGTATTGCATGTACTCCACGCCATATGCACACGAACCATGACACATACACACTGACCCACACACCCAGTCATCACAAGTCCATAGTGAACAATTATATTGTATGTTATTGGACACATTGGATATATCATGTTAATATTTTTGCGGATGTAATGTACTCCTTGATTTGCAGATGTTCCAGGTGCACCAGAGCAACCTACCGTCAGTGACATCGACAGCAATCAAATGACTGTCACATGGGAAACGCCCTCTAGTGATGGTGGAAGTCCAATCACCGGCTACATCCTGGAACGCAAGGAGAAAACGTCCACCAGATGGACACGGGTTACCAAGGAGACCATCACCGAGACAACGCTGACCGTCAAAGATCTGAACGAGGGCAAGGAGTACGAGTTCCATGTGGCTGCCGTCAATAAGGCCGGGACAGGACCATTCAGTAAACCATCAGACCTGCAAAAGGCAAAAGCACCTTACGGTAAGGAGGGTCTCTTCGATTTATGTACATCTTAAATTCCTGATCATTCATTGTCTATTTTTACAGAGAGTGGCAATGCAGTCAAACATTGAACACTTTCAAACCGTCAAATAAATATTTGTCCAAAAAATTATATGCTCAGTCATTTTTGTTCCATAATAGATTCTAAGTTAGTGAACAAATTAACTCTTTGCATGTGGGTTATTCTATAAATTTGGGTCCACTTTTTGTTGCTGTCCATGTCATATCTGGTATAAATGAGTTTAAAATTCTGGATGCACTCCTTAATGTAGTCACCCTCCAAGAGTGATGATAAATAGCAAACTAAGAACCCAACAAATAAAAATAAAAAGTCATTCCTAATGATACTTAAATGGCTTATTACAAAGTTCTGAAGAGAAAGGGACAGAACAAATGTCACACTTTAAAAATTCACTTTATTTTTTAGTATGTCTACAGCGTTACGAATGCATAAAAACACCTTTAAAAAATTAACACAGGAAGCAGTGGCGTAATTAGGGTTCTGAAGGGGGCACCTGGGGGTGCAGAAATTGTTTAAGGGGGCCACCTCAAGGCAAGTGATATATAATTGTGTTCAATTCAAGATTTTAAATGGTGGGGGAGGGGGTGAACAGACATCTGCTGGGGTGGGTATGTACGTAGTTACACCACTGACAGGAAGATATCATAGTAAGGGGAAGTCTTCAACAAAATTTAATTCTTTCAACATTCGTCTCTCAGATGTGCCAGGCCCTCCGGACATACCCACTGTCTCCGACATCGACAGCACAAAGATGACCGTCACATGGACAGTGCCCTCTACAGACGGTGGTAGTCCAGTCACCGGCTACATACCGGAACGCAAGGACAAGACGTCCACGCGATGGATGAGAGTCACGAAGGAACCGATCACGGAGACAACATTGATTGTCAAGGATCTGATTGAAGGCAAGGAGTATGAGTTCCATGTGGCTGCTGTCAACAAGGCTGGAACTGGGCCATTCAGTGAGCCGTCTCAACCACAGAAAGCCAAACCGCCATACGGTACTTGTTATCCTTATTTTCTTATCAGTAAGGTTGGGTAAAAATTATAATTTCTGTCAATAAAGAAGTGAATAAACTTCCACTCGTAAACAGCTACATGGGTTCAGATCTTAAAGGAGTTCTCCATTCAACTACACCTATTTTTGCCGTAAAGAATTTACCTAGTTCGTATACATAATTATCTTCTGAGATGTTCTGAAAACTTCCATGAAAGTGCTTGAAAATTCTGAGCATCAGAATGGGCTATTTAGTTTTTAATTTGAAAAATTTGTACATTTTGCTATAACAAATGTTGCAGTCAGCCAACAGACTACTTGAACGTAATGTATAGACTAAAAAAAAGTTTCTCATTGGTAGTTGAAATGGGAAAGTTTCTTTTAAATACACTTATATAGATTTTAGACAGCCAATTTAACCTTGGCCTGGTAAAGAAAGTAGGTAACTTCATGGTGACTGACAACTATTCAAAATGTTTTTTTACTATCATTCTTCAAAACCAGATGTTCCTGGAGCACCTGAGAAGCCAGAAGTGACAGCTGTCGACAGAACACAGATCACCATCTCCTGGTCAACTCCAGAATCTGACGGTGGTAGTCCAATCACTGGCTACATCATTGAGAAGAAAGATACCTCGTCAACAAGATGGACAAAAGCTCACAGAGACTCAGTCACTGAGACAACACTGACAGTCAAAGATCTGATTGAAGGCAAGGAGTATGAGTTCCGTGTAGCTGCTGTCAACAAGGCTGGAACAGGACCATTCAGTGCTCCATCAGAACCGAGAATCACAAAACCACCATATGGTAAGCTGATTTTCTAAGATATCTCAAGTTACAAAATTGTAAAGGGTTAATGAGCCTGTCAATTTCGATCCTAGAAAAAAATATTCCTTAAAGAAAGAATTTGCAAGGATCCAAGCGTCAGTTTCTTACTTGTCAATTTCTATATTTAAGGTCAATCCAGTTAGTAAGATATTTACAGTTCTTTTTACTTTTCAGCTTTGCTATTTTTCTAAGAACACCTCTCAAGACTTTTTGTGAATGTATGTGTCAAACTCTTTCAACAGATGTTCCTGGTGCACCTGAGAAGCCAGAAGTGACAGCTGTCGACAGAACACAGATCACCATCTCCTGGTCACCTCCAGAATCTGACGGTGGTAGTCCAATCACTGGCTACATCATTGAGAAGAAAGACACCTCCTCAACAAGATGGACAAAAGCTCACAGAGACTCAGTCACCGAGACAACACTGACAGTCAAAGATCTGATTGAGGGCAAGGAGTATGAGTTCCGTGTAGCTGCTGTCAACAAGGCTGGAACAGGACCATTCAGTGCTCCGTCAGAACCAAGAATCACAAAACCACCATATGGTAAGCTTTATCTCCTATATATCTTGAGTTACAATATTGAACATTATTATTATTTATATCAGGCTTCCAAGTAGTAAAAATTAATCAGTGTATTACATAGCCCTGATGGCTATGAAACATCCCTTTGGGTGTTTCATAGATATCCATGCATTTCATGGTATTGATGTGCATTTTGCTGGTTCCCGCTCAAGCAACAGCGTAGAAACTCACAGTTGTTAATCAGTCAACAGAGCGTAGTGTGCGGTAGGGTCGCACATACGCGGGGTACGTACGCACTGTTTGTCAACAACAAAAATGGCAGCTTCGAGCGGCGCAAGATTTGCTTCAGTAAGCAAAGAAATATACGATAAAATCTACGAAATCAAGATGCTGAAAATACCTTGAAAGCAACCAAGAAGACAGTAAATATTCTGATCGAAAAGAATTTACTGATGGAATTTGAGACACTGGATAAGCTTACGCTAGTGGGGTATTTTTTCGCTGTTCTAAGTTGACATTAATGTGGAAGGGAGGAAAGCAGATTGCAATTATTACAAGACAGTGTCGTAGATTTTTTTTTTTTTGATCAAGTCAGCCTGATATAAATAATAATTATAGTATTGGATGACTTTTTCGGGGATACAAGAATATTTTGCACTCTTTATAACAATTTTGCAGTCGTCTTTGACTCATGCAAAATTGTTATAGCTTGTTCAATGTATTTTGTATCCCCCTCAAAGCCATGAAATGTTATATAAATGTGAGCAATGCCATTTTTATTAATTCCAGTTGAATCTTCCTTTTAGAAAGATCATGCTAGCTTTATTTTTCATATCTAAAGTTACTTTGCTCACCTTTTAGAATGACTCTTAGGACTTTTGTATGAATTTATTTGTTGATCAAATGCTTTAAACAGATGTTCCTGGTGCACCCGAGAAGCCTGAAGTGACAGCTGTCGACAGAACACAGATCACCATCTCCTGGTCACCTCCAGAATCTGACGGTGGTAGTCCAATCACTGGCTACATCATTGAGAAGAAGGACACCTCCTCAACAAGATGGACAAAAGCTCACAGAGACTCAGTCACAGAGACAACACTGACAGTCAAAGATCTGATTGAAGGCAAGGAGTATGAGTTCCATGTAGCTGCTGTCAACAAGGCTGGAACAGGACCATTCAGTGCTCCATCAGAACCGAGAATCACGAAACCACCATATGGTAAGCTGATTTTATCAGATATCTTAAGTTACAAAATTGTAAAAGTTAATTGGTTTGTCAGTTTAGATCGTAGTGGGATATTCCTTTAAGAAAGATTCTGCCTGGATCCAAACGTCAGGTATTTTTAATTTTCTAAAGTTCAGGTCAATCCAGTCAGTAAGCAATTTGCAATAGTTCTTGGTTATTTGTCAGATCTGAATATTCTTTAAAGAAAACCTGTTGAGACTGTTTATGAATCTCTATGTCAATATCTTCCAACAGATGTTCCTGGTGTACCCGAGAAGCCTGAAGTAACAGCTGTCGACAGAACACAGATCACCATCTCCTGGTCACCTCCAGAATCTGACGGTGGTAGTCCAATCACTGGCTACATCATTGAGAAAAAAGACACCTCCTCAACAAGATGGACAAAAGCTCACAGAGACTCGGTCACCGAGACAACATTGACAGTCAAAGATCTGATTGAAGGCAAGGAGTATGAGTTCCGTGTAGCTGCTGTCAACAAGGCTGGAACAGGACCATTCAGTGCTCCATCGGAACCAAGAGTCACAAAACCACCATATGGTAAGTTTGTTGTCTTAACATTTTGATTTTTAGTTTGCAAGAAATTTCTTTCCTGACCCCCATATTGACTTTGTTATCTGATGAACCTGTTTATTCCATTAACTTGCTCAACATTTGTTAGGTACGTCAGGTGAAGTGGCTGTCTTTAAAAGAGAAATTGTGTAAAAAAAACTGCTGGTTCTTCTTGGAAACATTTCTTTTTGGGTGTTTGGCAAATCATAATTTGAATCCTTAAACTTTTCCAAAGTTGTACTCTCCAACATGGAAAGTCTTTAATGACATTTATACACCTAACTTTATTCAACAGATGTACCTGGAGCTCCTGAGAAGCCTGAAGTGACAGCTGTCGACAGAACACAGATCACTATCTCCTGGTCACCTCCAGAATCCGACGGTGGTAGTCCAGTCACTGGCTACATCATTGAGAAGAAAGACACCTCATCAACAAGATGGACAAAAGCTCACAGAGACTCAGTCTCAGAGACAACACTGACAGTCAAAGATCTGATTGAAGGCAAGGAGTATGAGTTCCATGTAGCTGCTGTCAACAAGGCTGGAACAGGACCATTCAGTGCTCCATCAGAACCAAGAATCACAAAACCACCATATGGTAAGCTTGATGTCAATGGATGTTGTTTTTTATTTTCTTCAAATCTCGTTCTTGAACAAGAGTCTTCAGTTCGGCATCTCATAAATCTGTTAATACAAACAACTTTGGCAAAGTCTTTCAGATACATCAAATGATGTGGCTGTCTCTCAAAGAAAAATGGTTCTTAGTAGTACCAGAGTGTTGGCCAAGAGTTAACACCTTTCGTTTTTCTCAGAGCCGTTTCTATTTTGGAGTTATTATCAAGAGTGACTTCATCTTAATGTTTCTAAGAACTGGAGGTGTAGGCACAAGTGAACGCCTGTGGTTCTTCAAAGAACTATTTCTCTTTTCGGAAAGTCATTTCATATGATGTATCTTCAAAATTTGCCAAAATTCATTCTGTAATATGCAGTTCTGTTATTGTATTATATAATTATCATCTTTCACCAGATGTTCCTGGAACACCTGAGAAGCCTGAAGTGACAGCTGTCGACAGAACACAGATCACCATCTCCTGGTCACCTCCAGAATCTGACGGTGGTAGTCCAATCACTGGCTACATCATTGAGAAGAAGGACACCTCCTCAACAAGATGGACAAAAGCTCACAGAGACTCAGTCACCGAGACAACACTGACAGTCAAAGATCTGATTGAAGGCAAGGAGTACGCATTCCATGTAGCTGCTGTCAACAAAGCTGGAACAGGACCATTCAGTGCTCCATCGGAACCAAGAATTACAAAACCACCTTATGGTGAGTTTATCGCGTAAATTTGTAAAGTTTTGAGTTTCCTGAATTTTCTACATTGAATGCTCCAGAGTCTTGACTTTGTCATTTTTTAAACCCGTTCATGCAATTTTTTTCGGAAGTGTCATGTCTCTCTGAAGTTTCAATTGAAGAGGCTGTCTGTACAGAAGAATTGGTTTTGTTTTAAAAAGAACCAGAAGTCAAACAGAGAGTTAACACCTGGCATTCTAAGAACCACTTTTGTGTAAGGGAGTGTCACTTCACATTACCTATTCTCAAACTTTTGTCCACAATGATTTGCTTCTGATTGTATTGGTATGCTTTCTTTTGACAGATGTTCCTGGAGCACCTGAAAAGCCTGAAGAAACGGCAGTCGACAGAACACAGATCTCCATCTCCTGGTCACCTCCAGAATCTGACGGTGGTAATCCAGTCACTGGCTACATTATCGAGAAGAAAGAGACCTCCTCAACAAGATGGACAAAAGCTCACAGAGACTCAGTCACAGAGACAACACTGACGGTCAAGGATCTGATTGAAGGCAATGAGTATGAGTTCCGTGTAGCTGCTGTCAACAAGGCTGGGACAGGACCATTCAGTGCTCCATCAGAACCAAGAATCACAAAACCACCATATGGTGAGCTTGTTGAATGAATTTGTTAAGTTGAATTTACCTAAATTATCTACCTTTAATCCCCCATGGTGTTGACTTTGTTGTCTTATAAGCCCATTAATACAATCAAATTTGGCAATGTCATGTTCTCTGACATTTTACATGAAGTGGCTCTGTCTGAAGGAGAAATGGTTCTGAGAAGAACCAGAAGTGATACATGGAATTAACAACTAGTTCTTCTAAGAACCCCTTCTCTTTTAGAGAGTGGCACCTCACATGACTTGTTCTCAAACATTTCTGCACCATACATTGTCTCTAATTGCATATAATTGTGTGCAACAGATGTTCCTGGAGCACCTGAGAAGCCTGAAGTGACAGCTGTCGACAGAACACAGATCACCATCTCCTGGTCACCTCCAGAATCTGACGGTGGTAGTCCAATCACTGGCTACATCATTGAGAAGAAAGACACTTCCTCAACAAGATGGACAAAAGGTCATAGAGACTCAGTCTCAGAGACAACACTGACAGTCAAAGATCTGATTGAAGGCAAGGAGTATGAGTTCCGTGTAGCTGCTGTCAACAAGGCTGGAACAGGACCATTCAGTGCTCCATCAGAACCAAAAATCACAAAACCACCATATGGTAGGCTTGATGTCAATGGATGTTGTTGTTTATTTTCTTTAAATCTCTTTCTTGAACAAGAGTCTTCAATTCAGCATCGCATAAATCTGTGAATACTAACAACTTGGACAAAGTCTTTCAGATACATCAAATGATGTGGCTATCTCTCAAAGAAAAATGGTTCTTAGTAGTACCAGAGTGTTGGCCAAGAGTTAACACCTCTGGTTTTTCTCAGAACCATTTCTATTTTGGAGTTATTATTTAGAGTGACGTCATCTTAATGTTTCTAAGAACTGGAGTTGTAGGCACAAGTGAACACCTGTGGTTCTTCACAGAACTATTTCTCTTTTCGGTTAGTCACTTCATATGATGTATCTTCAAAGTTTGCCAAAATTCATTCTGTTTTAATGCAGTTCTCTTATTATATTATATAATTATCATCTTTCCCCAGATGTTCCTGGTGCACCTGAGAAGCCAGAAGTGACAGCTGTCGACAGAACACAGATCACCATCTCCTGGTCACCTCCAGAATCTGACGGTGGTAGTCCAATCACTGGCTACATCATTGAGAAGAAGGACACCTCCTCAACAAGATGGACAAAAGCTCACAGAGACTCAGTCACCGAGACAACACTGACAGTCAAAGATCTGATTGAAGGCAAGGAGTACGCATTCCATGTAGCTGCTGTCAACAAAGCTGGAACAGGACCATTCAGTGCTCCATCGGAACCAAGAATTACAAAACCACCTTATGGTGAGTTTGTCTCGTAAATTTGTAAAGTTTTGAGTTTCCTGAATTTTCTACATTGAATGCTCCCGAGTCTTGACTTTGTCATTTTTTAAACCCGTTCATGCAATTTTTTTCGGAAGTGTCATGTCTCTCTGAAGTTTCAATTGAAGAGGCTGTCTGTACAGAAGAATTGGTTTTGTTTTAAAAAGAACCAGAAGCCAAACAGAGAGTTAACACCTGGCTCTTCTAAGAACCACCTTCGTCTAAGGGAGTGTCACTTCACATTACCTATTCTCAAACTTTTGTCCACAATGATTTGCTTCTGATTGTATTGGTATGCTTTCTTTCGACAGATGTTCCTGGAGCACCTGAAAAGCCTGAAGTGACGGCAGTCGACAGAACACAGATCTCAATCTCCTGGTCACCTCCAGAATCTGACGGTGGTAATCCAGTCACTGGCTACATTATCGAGAAGAAAGAGACCTCCTCAACAAGATGGACAAAAGCTCACAGAGACTCAGTCACAGAGACAACACTGACGGTCAAGGATCTGATTGAAGGCAATGAGTATGAGTTCCGTGTAGCTGCTGTCAACAAGGCTGGAACAGGACCATTCAGTGCTCCATCAGAACCAAGAATCACAAAACCACCATATGGTGAGCTTGTTGAATGAATTTGTTAAGTTGAATTTACCTAAATTATCTACCTTTAATCCCCCATGGTGTTGACTTTGTTGTCTTATAAGCCCATTAATACAATCAAATTTGGCAATGTCATGTTCTCTGACATTTTACATGAAGTGGCTCTGTCTGAAGGAGAAATGGTTCTGAGAAGAACCAGAAGAGATACATGGGATTAACAACTAGTTCTTCTAAGAAACCCTTCTCTTTTAGAGAGTGGCACCTCACATGACTTGTTCTCAAACATTTCTGCACCATACATTGTCTCTAATTGCATATAATTGTGTGCAACAGATGTTCCTGGAGCACCTGAGAAGCCTGAAGTGACAGCTGTCGACAGAACACAGATCACCATCTCCTGGTCACCTCCAGAATCTGACGGTGGTAGTCCAATCACTGGCTACATCATTGAGAAGAAAGACACCTCCTCAACAAGATGGACAAAAGGTCATAGAGACTCAGTCTCAAAGACAACACTGACAGTCAAAGATCTGATTGAAGGCAAGGAGTATGAGTTCCATGTAGCTGCTGTCAACAAGGCTGGAACAGGACCATTCAGTGCTCCATCAGAACCAAGAATCACAAAACCACCATATGGTAGGCTTGATGTCAATGGATGTTGTTGTTTATTTTCTTCAAATCTCTTTCTTGAACAAGAGTCTTCAATTCAGCATCGCATAATTCTTTGAATACAAACAACTTGGGCAAAGTCTTTCAGATACATCAAATGATGTGGCTGTCTCTCAAAGAAAAATGGTTCTGAGTAGTACCAGAGTGTTGGCCAAGAGTTAACACCTCTGGTTTTTCTCAGAACCATTTCTCTTTTGGAGTTATTATTTAGAGTGACTTCATCTTAATGTTTCTAAGAACTGGAGATGTAGGCACAAGTGAACACCAGTGGTTCTTCAAAGAACTATTTATCTTTTCGGGTAGTCACTTCATATCATGTATCTTCAAAATTTGCCAAAATTCATTCTGTTATAATGCAGTTCTCTTATTATATTATATAATTATCATCTTTCCCCAGATGTTCCTGGAGCACCTGAGAAGCCAGAAGTCACAGCTGTCGACAGAACACAGATCACCATCTCCTGGTCACCTCCAGAATCCGACGGTGGTAGTGCAATCACTGGCTACATCATTGAGAAGAAGGACACCTCCTCAACAAGATGGACAAAAGCTCACAGACACTCGGTCACCGAGACAACACTGACAGTCAAAGATCTGATTGAAGGCAAGGAGTACGCGTTCCATGTAGCTGCTGTCAACAAGGCTGGAACAGGACAATTCAGTGCTCCATCAGAACCAAGAATCACAAAACCACCATATGGTGAGTTTGTTGCGTAAATTTGCACAGTTTTGAATTTCCTGAATTTTCTACATGGAATGCTCCCGAGTCTTGACTTTGTCATCTTTTAAACCCGTTCATACAATTTTGTTTGGGTAGTGTCATGTCTCTCTGAAGTTTCAAGTGATGTGGCTGTCTCTACAGGAACAATGGTTTTGAAAAGAACCAGAAGTGAAACATAGACTTAACACCTGGCTCTTCTAAGAACCACTTTTGTCTGAGGGAGTGTCACTTCACATTACTTATTCTCAAACTTTTGTCCACAGTGCATTGCTTCTGATTGTATTTATATACTTTCTTTCGACAGATGTTCCAGGTGCACCTGAAAAGCCTGACGTGACAGCAGTCGACAGCACACATATCTCTACCTCCTGGTCACCTCCAGAATCTGACGGCGGTAGTCCAATCACTGGCTACATCATTGAGAAGAAAGAGACCTCCTCAACAAGATGGACAAAAGCTCACAGAGACTCAGTCACAGAGACAAGCTTGACAGTCAAGGATCTGATTGAAGGCAAGGAGTATGAGTTCCATGTAGCTGCTGTCAACAAGGCTGGAACAGGACCATTCAGTGCTCCATCAGAACCAAGAATCACAAAACCACCATATGGTGAGCTTGTTGAATGAATTTGTTAAATTTAATTTACCTAAATTATCTACCTTTAATCCCCCATGGTGTTGACTTTGTTGTCTTATATAAGCCCATTAATACAATCAAATTTGGCAATGTCATGTTCTCTGACATTTTACATGAAGTGGCTCTGTCTAAAGGAGAAATGGTTCTAAGAAGAACCAGAAGTGATACATGGAATTAACAACTAGTTCTTCTAAGAACCCCTTCTCTTTTAGAGAGTGGCACCTCACATTACTTGTTCTCAAACATTTCTGTACCATACATTGTCTCTAATTGCATATAATTGTGTGCAACAGATGTTCCTGGAGCACCTGAGAAGCCTGAAGTGACAGCTGTCGACAGAACACAGATCACCATCTCCTGGTCACCTCCAGAATCTGACGGTGGTAGTCCAATCACTGGCTACATCATTGAGAAGAAAGACACCTCCTCAACAAGATGGACAAAAGCTCATAGAGACTCAGTCTCAAAGACAACACTGACAGTGAAAGATCTGATTGAAGGCAAGGAGTATGAGTTCCGTGTAGCTGCTGTCAACAAGGCTGGAACAGGACCATTCAGTGCTCCATCAGAACCAAGAATCACAAAACCACCATATGGTAGGCTTGATGTCAATGGATGTTGTTGTTTATTTTCTTCAAATCTCTTTCTTGAACAAGAGTCTTCAATTCAGCATCACATTAATCTGTGAATACAAACAACTTGGACAAAGTCTTTCAGATACATCAAATGATGTGGCTGTCTCTCCAAGAAAAATGGTTCTGAGTAGTACCAGAGTGTTGGCCAAGAGTTAACACCTGGTTTTTCTCAGAACCATTTCTATTTTGGAGTTATTATTTAGAGTGACTTCATCTTAATGTTTCTAAGAACTGGAGGTGTAGGCACAAGTGAACACCAGTGGTTCTTCAAAGAACTATTTATCTTTTCGGGTAGTCACTTCATATGATGTATATTTAAAATTTGCCAAAATTCATTCTGTTACAATGCAGTTCTCTTATGTGACCAGGGGAATAGGCTCTTCAAGTTTGAGATGGGAATATACTGTTTTTATTTCTCAGTGGCAGCATGGCAGCTGTGCGCAGCCAGCGCTGTAAAACTTTCTTTAAATCACAAGACTTTTACAACATGTGTGTGTTCTTGTCGGTGGCCAACACAAAACTGAATCAAGCTAATCTAAACCACAGAATGTTGGCCAGTGCCTCACATTCCTGGGCAAACCACACAGGGATCATGAATAAACAGAGCTAATGAGGGGGTGATAAAACAAAGTAACTAGTGTAGAAAAGCTAGAGTCTATCTAATGAATAATAATGAGCTAGAAACAAAGACTCCAGTCTGGACCATGCGGTCAGGCCTCCTGCCTGGAGTTGATTACTTTTCCAGAAACTTGGAATGTGTGGCTGACCCACCCAGGGTTAAAGGACAGATTTTCTCACAATATAACATGTACATAAAACGATGAAGATAATAATAATTTCAATACTTGGAAAATGCGTGAACATGAAAAACAATCCAAAACTTGTGAAAAAAATCCCACGTACCGACTATTGGGGTAAAAAATATTAATAAAACTTTCAAAAGACATCAGAAAAGCAAAGATGCCAAAAAAGATATGATTGAAATATTTCACCGGTTACACTTATTATATTATATAATTATCATCTTTCACCAGATGTTCCTGGAGCACCTGAGAAGCCAAAAGTGACAGCTGTCGACAGAACACAGATCACCATCTCCTGGTCACCTCCAGAATCTGACGGTGGTAGTCCAATCACTGGCTACATCATTGAGAAGAAAGACACCTCCTCAACAAGATGGACAAAAGCTCACAGAGACTCAGTCACTGAGACAACACTGACAGTCAAAGATCTGATTGAAGGCAAGGAGTATGAGTTCCATGTAGCTGCCGTCAACAAGGCTGGCACAGGACCATTCAGCGCTCCGTCAGAACCAAGAATCACAAAACCACCATATGGTAAGTTTGTTACGTACATTTTTAAAAGTTTTGAATTTCCTGAATTGTCTACATTTAATGCTCCAGAGTCTTGACTTTGTCATCTTTTAAACCCGTTTATACAGTTAATTTGGGTAGTGTCATGTCTCTCTGAAGTTTCAATTGAAGTGGCTTTCTTCACTGGATAAATGGTTTTGAAAAGAACCAGAAGCGAAACATAGAGTTAACACCTGGCTCTTCTAAGAACAACTTTTGTCTAAGGGAGTGTCACTTCACATTACTTATTCTCAAACTTGTGTACACGATGTATTTATATACTTTCTTTCGACAGATGTTCCTGGTGCACCTGAAAAGCCTGAAGTGATAGCAGTCGACAAAACACAGATCACCATCTCCTGGTCACCTTCAGAATCTGACGGTGGTAGTCCAATAACTGGCTACATCATTGAGAAGAAAGAGACCTCCTCAACAAGATGGACAAAAGCTCACAGAGACTCAGTCACAGGGACAACCTTGACGGTCAAAGATCTGATTGAAGGCAATGAGTATGAGTTCCGTGTAGCTGCTGTCAACAAGGCTGGAACAGGACCATTCAGTGCTCCATCAGAACCAAGAATCACAAAACCACCATATGGTAAGCTTATTCTCTGAGATATTTTAATTAAAACAAGGGTGATTTTTTATCCATTTAGCAAGATTTTCCTTTAAAAAAAATTTGGCTTGGATGAAATTTCAGGTCCTGTTACGTTAACAGTTTGCATATTTCAATATTTCATGTCAATCCAGTCAGGAAGCAATTTCTGGTACCTCAGTTTATATCTTTTATCTTAAGTAACTTTGCCTTTCAGGGTATCTCTCTTGGCTCCATAATAAACCATTTTTTTACTCAAACTCTTTTAAAAGATGTCCCTGGAGCACCTGAGAAGCCTGAAGTGACAGCTGTCGACCGAACACAGATCACCATCTCCTGGTCACCTCCAGAATCTGACGGTGGTAGTCCAATCACTGGCTACGTCATTGAGAAAAAAGATACCTCCTCAACAAGATGGACAAAAGCTCACAGAGAATCAGTCACCGAGACAACTCTGACAGTCAAAGATCTGATTGAAGGCAAGGAGTATGAATTCCGTGTAGCTGCTGTCAACAAGGCTGGAACAGGACCATTCAGTGCTCCATCGAAGCCAAGAATCACGAAACCACCCTATGGTAAGCTTGCGTAAATGCATGTATCTTGAGTGTCAATTTTGCTTGAATTTTCTACTATGAATCCCCAAGTTGGAAATTTGTTCTTTTTACTCCTGATTTTAAAATCAAATTGGACAAAGTCTCTCGGATAATGAAGTGAAGTTACTTTTGCTAAAAGGGAAATAATTCTTCGAAGTCTTTGAGGTGATACACATAGTTGCTGCTTCCAGTCCTTCTTAGCACCATTTCTGTTTTAGAGAGTGTAACTTCACATGGATCATTCCCAAATTTTGTCCAATTGAAATTTCTGCCATGGAAAGTCTCTAATTACATTTATACAATTAACCTAATTCAACAGATGCTCCTGGAGCTCCTGAGAAGCCTGAAGTGACAGCCGTCGACAAAACACAGATCACCATCTCCTGGTCACCTCCAGAATCTGACGGTGGTAGCCCAATCACTGGCTACATCATTGAGAAGAAAGACACCTCCTCAACAAGATGGACAAAAGCTCACAGAGACTCAGTCACAGAGACAACACTGACAGTGAAAGATCTGATTGAAGGCAAGGAGTATGAGTTCCGTGTAGCTGCTGTCAACAAGGCTGGCACAGGACCATTCAGCGCTCCGTCAGAACCAAGAATCACAAAACCACCATATGGTAAGTTTGTTACATACATTTTTAAAAGTTTTGAATTTCCTGAATTTTCTACATTTAACGCTCCAGAGTCTTGTTTTTTTCATCTTTTAAACCCGTTTATACAGTTAATTTGGGTAGTGTCATGTCTCTCTGAAGTTTCAATTGAAGTGGCTTTCTTTACTGGCAAAATGGTTTTGGAAAGAACCAGAAGCGAAACATAGAGTTAACACCTGGCTCTTCTAAGAACCACTTTTGTCTAAGGGAGTGTCACTTCACAATACTTATTCTCAAACTTTTGTCCACGATGTATTGATATACTTTCTTTCGACAGATGTTCCTGGTGCACCTGAAAAGCCTGAAGTGACAGCAGTCGACAAAACACAGATCACCATCTCCTGGTCACCTCCAGAATCTGACGGTGGTAGTCCAATAACTGGCTACATCATTGAGAAGAAAGAGACCTCCTCAACAAGATGGACAAAAGCGCACAGAGACTCAGTCACAGGGATAACCTTGACAGTCAAAGATCTGATTGAAGGCAATGAGTATGAGTTCCGTGTAGCTGCTGTCAACAAGGCTGGAACAGGACCATTCAGTGCTCCATCAGAACCAAGAATCACAAAACCACCATATGGTAAGCTTATTCTCTGAGATATTTTAATTAAAACAAAGGTGATTTTCTATCCATTAAGCAAGTTTTTCCTTTAAGAAAAAATTGGCTTGGATGAAATTTCAGGTCCTGTTACGTTAACAGTTTGCATATTTCAATATTTCACGTCAATCCAGTCAGGCAGCAATTTCTGGTACCTCAGTTTATATCTTTTATCTTAAGTAACTTTGCCTTTCAGGATAGCTCTCTTGGCTCCATAATAAACCATTTTTTTACTCAAACTCTTTTAAAAGATGTCCCTGGAGCACCTGAGAAGCCTGAAGTGACAGCTGTCGACCGAACACAGATCACCATCTCCTGGTCACCTCCAGAATCTGACGGTGGTAGTCCAATCACTGGCTACGTCATTGAGAAGAAAGATACCTCCTCAACAAGATGGACAAAAGCTCACAGAGAATCAGTCACCGAGACAACACTGACAGTCAAAGATCTGATTGAAGGCAAGGAGTATGAGTTCCATGTTGCTGCTGTCAACAAGGCTGGAACAGGACCATTCAGTGCTCCATCGAAGCCAAGAATCACGAAACCACCCTATGGTAAGCTTGCGTAAATGCATGTATCTTGAGTGTCAATTTGGCTTGATTTTCTACTATGAATCCCCAAGTTGTGAATTTGTTCTTTTTACTCCTGATTACAAAATCAAATTGGACAAAGTCTCTTGGATAATGAAGTGAAGTTACTTTTGCTAAAAGGGAAATAATTCTTCGAAGTCTTTGAGGTGATACACATTGTTGCTGCTTCCAGTCCTTCCTAGCACCATTTCTGTTTTAGAGAGTGTAAGTTCACATGGATCATTCCCAAGTTTTGCCCAATTGTACTCTCTGCCATGGAAAGTCTCTAATTACATTTATACAATTAACCTAATTCAACAGATGCTCCTGGAGCTCCTGAGAAACCTGAAGTGACAGCCGTCGACAAAACACAGATCACCATCTCCTGGTCACCTCCAGAATCTGACGGTGGTAGTCCAATCACTGGCTACATCATTGAGAAGAAAGAGACCTCCTCAACAAGATGGACAAAAGCTCACAGAGACTCAGTCACAGAGACAACACTGACAGTGAAAGATCTGATTGAAGGCAAGGAGTATGAGTTCCGTGTAGCTGCTGTCAACAAGGCTGGCACAGGACCATTCAGCGCTCCGTCAGAACCGAGAATCACAAAACCACCATATGGTAAGTTTGTTACATACATTTTTAAAAGTTTTGAATTTCCTGAATTTTCTACATTTAATGCTCCAGAGTCTTGACTTTGTCATCTTTTAAACCCGTTTATGCAGTTAATTTGGGTAGTGTCATGTCTCTCTGAAGTTTCAATTGAAGTGGCTTTCTTTACTGGAAAAACGGTTTAAGAAAGAACCAGAAGCGAAACATAGAGTTAACACCTGGCTCTTCTGAGAACCACTTTTGTCTAAGGGAGTGTCACTTCACATTACTCATTCTCAAACTTTTGTCCACGATGCATTGCTTCTGATTGTGTTTATATGCTTTCTTTCGACAGATGTTCCTGGTGCACCTGAAAAGCCTGAAGTGACAGCTGTTGACAGAACACAGATCTCCATCTCCTGGTCACCTCCAGAATCTGATGGTGGTAGTCCAATCACCGGCTACATTATTGAGAAGAAAGACACCTCCTCAACAAGATGGACAAAAGCTCACAGAGAGTCGGTCACCGAGACAACACTGACAGTCAAAGATCTGATTGAAGGCAATGAGTATGAGTTCCTTGTAGCTGCTGTCAACAAGGCTGGAACAGGACCATTCAGTGCTCCATCAGAACCAAGAATCACGAAACCACCATATGGTAAGCTTATTCCCTGAGATATTTAAATTTAAAAAACGGTGATTTTCTATCCATTAAGCAAGATTAAGAAAGATTCAGCTTGGATGAAATTTCAGGTCATGTTATGTTTACAGTTTGCATATTTCAATATTTCACGTCAATCCAGTCAGGAAGCAATTTCTGGTACCTCAGTTTATATCTTTTATCTTAAGTAACTTTGCCTTTCAGGACATCACTCTCGACTCCATAATAAACCTTCTTTTTTTTACTTAAACTCTTTGAAAAGATGTCCCTGGAGCACCTGAGAAGCCTGAAGTGACAGCCGTCGACAGAACACAGATCACCATCTCCTGGTCACCTCCAGAATCTGACGGTGGTAGTCCAATCACTGGCTACGTCATTGAGAAGAAAGACACCTCCTCAACAAGGTGGACAAAAGCTCACAGAGAATCAGTCACCGAGACAACACTGACAGTCAAAGATCTGATTGAAGGCAAGGAGTATGAATTCCGTGTAGCTGCTGTCAACAAGGCTGGAACAGGACCATTCAGTGCTCCATCGAAGCCAAGAATCACGAAACCACCCTATGGTAAGCTTGCTGTGTACAAACATGTATGTTGAGTGTCAATTTTGCTTGAATTTTCTACTATGAATCCCCAAGTTGTGAATTTGTTCTTTTTACTCCTGATTACAAAATCAAATTGGACAAAGTCTCTCGGATAATGAAGTGAAATTACTTTTTCTAAAAGGGAAATAATTCTTTGAAGTATTTGAGGTGATACACATAGTTGCTGCTTCCAGTCCTTTTGAGCACCATTTCTGTTTTAGGGAGTGTAACTTTACATGGATCATTCCCAAATTTTGCCCAATTGTACTCTATGTCATGGAAAGTCTCTAATTACATTTATACAATTATCTAATTCAACAGATGCTCCTGGAGCTCCTGAGAAGCCTGAAGTGACAGCCGTCGACAAAACACAGATCTCCATCTCCTGGTCACCTCCAGAATCTGACGGTGGTAGTCCAATCACCGGCTACATTATTGAGAAGAAAGAGACCTCCTCAACAAGATGGACAAAAGCTCACAGAGACTCAGTCACAGAGACAACACTGACAGTGAAAGATCTGATTGAAGGCAAGGAGTATGAGTTCCATGTTGCTGCTGTCAACAAGGCTGGAACAGGACCATTCAGTGCTCCATCAGAACCAAGAATCACAAAACCACCATATGGTAAGCTTGTTGTCTGAACATTTTGATGTTTATTTTGCAAGAAATTTTCTTTCTTTACCCCATGTCTTGACTTAGGCACTTGATAAACCTGTTTATACAATTAACCCTGCGTGAACATGTGAAGTGGCAGTCTCTAACAGAGAAATTTTCTAATAACTACCAGAGGTGTAGTCTGAGTATCACCTGTTATCCATGGAGCCAAGTCTGCTGCATAACGTCTGATACATATGTCAAAGCATGGAATTTTATGCGATTCGCTCCACAGCTAAACGGAGTTGTCTTTGCTTAATCTTGACGTCATATCCTTCCCAAATCAGGACTAAAACTGTGATTGGTCAATTCGAATGCGGTGTTTTGTCATACAAAAACAGCCGCGCACATGTGGCATATCATAATACAGAGCGCGTGACCACAGCCTTTGTTGCTGTGTCTAGAGGGGTATGTTTATCCATGTCTAAACGAGACAGCGGGTGAATGACAGAAGACCTGACATAGAAAGCACCCGCCGATTGGTCATAATCTAGAGGTCAAGATGCGGTTGTCTTGCATAATTAATCAGCGAATCTGTTCAAAAATTATAGACCATGGCTTTCACCATGGTCTATTACAAAGAGTACCAGAGGTGTTGGAACAGTATAAAAACCTGCAGGTTCTTCTCAGAATTAATTCTTTTTGAGAGGTGGTCAGATCATATTTATTGTCCCCAAACCTTTCCAAGTTGTACTTTCCACCATGGAAATTCTTTAATCACATTTATACACTTAACTTTATTCAACAGATGTTCCTGGAGCTCCTGAGAAGCCTGAAGTGACAGCCGTCGACAGAACACAGATCACCATCTCCTGGTCACCTCCAGAATCCGATGGTGGTAGTCCAATCACAGGCTACATCATTGAGAAGAAAGACACCTCCTCAACAAGATGGACAAAAGCTCACAGAGACTCAGTCACTGAGACAACACTGACAGTCAAAGATCTGATTGAAGGCAAGGAGTATGAGTTCCGTGTAGCTGCTGTCAACAAGGCTGGAACAGGACCATTCAGTGCTCCATCAGAACCAAGAATCACAAAACCACCATATGGTGAGCTTGTTATCTGAATATGCCATTTCTGATTTGCCTTAATTCATTTGTCTTGGAATTGTGGACTTATAAAATGGTTTATACCAGAATTTTTGGGGATTTGTGACCGATACATCATTTAGAAGTGACTATCCCAGAAATACAAATGGTTCTAAGAAGAACCAACGATGTTTACACAAAGGTGACACCTCCAGTTTTTCTCAGAAGTAACCTTTGGTTTTTCTCAGAACAATAGCTCTTTTTGCTATACTCAACTCATGTTAGGAGGCTGGTTCCTGAAAACGAACAGAAGTTTCGGCAGAATTAACTGCTCTGGTCAAATTCTTTTTGAAACCTTGTTCTCTTTTAGAGATAGTCACTTAAAATGATATATCCAATAAGAATTTGCCCAAGGTGCACTCTCCACTGTTCATTACCTGTTTAAGCTTTTACACATTTAATGTCTCTAAAAAGATGTACCTGGAGCTCCTGAGAAGCCTGAAGCGACAGCTGTCGACAGAACACAGATCACCATCTCCTGGTCACCTCCAGAATCTGACGGTGGTAGTCCAATCACTGGCTACATCATTGAGAAGAAAGAGACCTCCTCAACAAGATGGACAAAAGCTCACAGAGACTCAGTCACAGAGACAACACTGACAGTCAAAGATCTGATTGAAGGCAAGGAGTATGAGTTCCGTGTAGCTGCTGTCAACAAGGCTGGAACAGGACCATTCAGTGCTCCATCAGAACCAAGAATCACAAAACCACCATATGGTAAGTAATTTTTCTACCAATGATTCTGTTGTGCGTGTAACTTAAACAAACTGCCTCTATGACAGCTGTCCTTAGATCTAAGAGAGTGTTTGGTACTTAATAGCAGGCTGTGTCTCAATTACCTGGCCACAGTTGCTATTATCACATACACCTATTGAAGCAGCTTAATTCATGTCCCATCGAAGCATGTATTACTTCTAACTGTAGCCGAGTAATTCTGACCTAGTCTAATACAAAAATTGTTAATTCAGATCAGGTGACTCACAAACTGTAAATATTCAAATTCAATCTGTTTGGGTCTTCGGTTAAAGTCCCATCTGAGCAAGCTTTTGGTTTATAGTCTTTTTGCTCTCACATTGCTCGGAGTATACAGTGCTTATAGAGTAAAATATCATTAATGGAAGAAAACGAATATTTTAATAAAATCGCTGTTCTTCGTTTTACAGATGTGCCGGGACCACCTGGTAAGCCCGATGTCATTGAAATTGCCAGTACCTCCATGACCTTAACCTGGACAGCCCCTGCGTCAGACGGAGGCAGTCCCATCACCGGATACATCATCGAGAAGAAGGATCGCTTCAGCTCACGTTGGCTGAAAGTCAAAGAGACATCCATCACGGAGACAGTGTATACGGTTGTAGATCTCAAGGAAGGGACCGAGTATGAATTCAGAGTGTCGGCAGAAAACAAGGCTGGTGTTGGGAAACCGAGCGAGGCTTCTGACAAGACAGTTGCCAAACCACCTTATGGTAAGTAAGATAATTCACGACCAAAAAAGAAAGAAAGTGACTTAGATTATCTTGAATAATCAACCTTTGATTTGCATTTAAATTTCTTGTTGAAAATCATGATTAACCACTTTGCCCCGGGATTTTTTTGACATTGATGGGACCAAGGCTTGGGATGGTTTTTCCCAAACCAAATCTCGATTCACTGTTTCAGGCCTTTTGATCTTTTAATGCGTTGACTGCAACACCTCGTCTACCCTCTCCCCTTGAAAAATCTATTGACTTCAACACACCAGCCAACCCCTTTGGAAAATCCCGGACCATCTACTTTGATGTTTTGATTTTTTTGTTTCTCCTCTATTTCATCATACCAGATGCTCCTGGTGCACCAGGTATCCCAGAGATATCCGACGTGGACAGCACCCACATGACACTCACCTGGACCCCACCCACTGACGACGGAGGAGCCGACATCTTAGGTTACATCATTGAGAAGTGTGATGCTGACAGGAAACGATGGGTCAAAGCACACAAGGAGGATATGATAACAGACTTGACATGCACTGTGGCTGACCTAGTAGAAGGAACCAGTTATATGTTCCGGGTTAGCGCTGAGAATATTGCGGGTGTCGGCGAATCTAGCGAGGCTGCTGGTCCTCAGAAAGCTAAGCCACCATATGGTAAGCCATCTATGGAAATAGCATTTTAAATCGAGTTTAAAGGCATTTAGGATCACTTGCTTTTCAAACATTTTGTTAGTTTCCAATAATAACACCACAAAGAAGAACATTCAAAACCTAAGCTGTGAGGTTTTAGCTCAGTGGATATTACAGTTTTTGTGAAACAGTGAAAAACCATGCACAACTTTTTTGTTGGAAAGTCTTACTTTTATACTGTAATGACTTTCTTGAAAATTGAGTCAATGAACAGTTGGGGGAATTAATGTTTAGATAATTCTGACAATATGAACTTTGATCAGTAATTCCATAATGACTGTGAAATTTGTACTTCACAGGCAGAGGATACCCTCTGAAATGTTAAGTTCCACAGGTGACAAGAATTTGCTGTCACATGAAATCGCTGAAAGTTTGTCCTTCAAATCTTATCCTTTCTCAGATGTCCCAGATGCTCCCAACAGTCCAGACGTATCAAACATTGACAAGACCTCTGTCAAAGTCACCTGGAGTCCCCCAGAACACGACGGGGGAGCCAAGATCACGGGATACGTCGTTGAGAGGAGAGATGTTGGCCGAGACCGATGGGTGAAGGCTCATAAGACACCGCTGATGGATACCAGCTTCACAGCTACCGATCTGATTGAGGGCAAGGAGTATGAGTTCAGAGTCAGCGCACAGAACAAGGCTGGCGTGGGCGAACCAAGTGCACCATCTATTGCTATCAAGGCCAAATTGCCTTATGGTAAGTTCAATCAAATTAAAGTATGACTTAAAGTGACTTTCAGTAACTAATAACTTTCCCCAAATCTATCACTTTGAATTGTCAATTGTATAATTAATTTAAATGTTTAGGCTATGTGCTCTTTTCTCTTGGTGGTATGTCTACACTATTTCTTTTTCTCTCATCAAGGTACAGCATTTATACCATTGACTTAGAGTGAAGATGTTGTCAACTTTGAAATTTCAATAGTTATCTGTCAAATTTATAAACTTATTAAATTAACCACATTGAGCTGGAAACTTCAGTTGGCAGAGTACCATTGCAGTAATACAGAGGTCGCAGGTTCCCATTTCGGTCAATTATTTTGTCTAATGTCAAGTTTATACATTTCATTTTTCTTTTCACCAAAAGTCTCAACAAATGCTTTTTTTTGTTTCTAGATGTACCAGATGCTCCGTTAATCCCCAAGATCTCTGATGTCACTGAATCCTCCATGAAGCTGGACTGGACCGCACCCAAATCAGACGGCGGCGATGACATCACCGACTACATCATCGAGAAGAAGGACCGCTTCAGTCCACGATGGACCAAAGCGGCCCAAGTACAAGCCACTGAGACCTCTTGTATTATGGATGGTCTGAAGGAAGGCAATGAGTACCAGTTCAGAGTGATTGCTGCAAACAAGGCTGGTCCAGGGAAGCCCAGTGATTCCTCCAAGCCTACAGTTGCCAAGTCACCGTATGGTAAGTGTTCAGTTGAAGTAATACTTGAATTAACAAACAGCAAGTCGGTTTGAAAAGAAGGATTTTTAATTGGTCAAGAAGATTCTCATTTTGCCCAAGTAAGTATTGATTTTAAGAAAACAAGAAATTTTACAAATTCAAGGCATAAATTTTAGACCTTAAGGGAGTTATTAAATTATGTTCCCCTCAATTAAACTGTCATTCTTATTATGACTTGATTCAAAATGGGTTGAGTTAGAAAACATATGCTGTTTTTAATTCATGCAATTCCACTTGATTCAATTTGTAGAGATATTTAATGGAAAATAATGACTTTGATAACTTCTTTTTCTAATGAGTTAAGTTGACTAGTGATCAAGTAGTTTTGGATTATTTATGTGTATAATTGATATCAAGATTTTGGAATTATGTTTACTAATTAATTAACACTTATCCATTTCTCCATCAGATGTTCCTGGCACTCCAGGCGCACCGGTCGTCTCAGATATTACAGCCACCTCGATGACCCTCAACTGGTCTCCACCTCAGTCTGACGGTGGCACTCCCATCACTGGCTACACCATTGAGCGCAAGGACAAATTTAGCTCCCGCTGGTCTAAAATCACCAAGGAGCCTGTAGCGGAGACCACCTTCAAGGTGACTGACCTGAAGGAAGGGGAGGAGTATCAGTTTAGGGTGACAGCCGAGAACATCCGCGGTCCTGGGAAACCGGGCGATGCTTGTTCATTCGTGAAAGCCAAGCCTCCGTATGGTAAGTGATAATAACTTCTATGGGCAGCCTCGCACTTGTCTAAATATATTCCATTTAGGCATTACTTTAGTATAAGTGTCAATAGAGAAGTTTGATATTATTTTAATAAAAACGACTCTAGCTTGGGCCCCCTTTCTTGTTATCTTGTATTTTAGACTGATCACTATGTATGTGTATTTCCTTTGTAATTTGTGTGTAGTTCTGAATAGAATTGGCTAAATCAAGAAATTTAAACTTCAATCTGGTGTCCTCAGGAGGGCATGTTTTGAAATTTCAAGTTAACTGATTCTTCTCAGAACCACACACAATTCTCAAAAGCGATACATGCACAAGATATTTCAGTAATATCCATCACTGACTCATTGATTCTCCACTATGCAAACTTTCATGTCGCCGTGTCCGTGCAACAAGGTTGTATCTCCTAAAATGGGCCGTACGTGAAACGCGAGTTTCAGAATGTCAAAAGGTCGTATCTCACTTAAAATAACCCGGATGTACACACAAAGTCAATGGAGGTCGAGATACGATGCAACGATGTGTTACATCAGTCATGACAATACGTACCTCTGGTTCACAGATTTGCCAGGCAAGCCATCAGCTCCCAAGGTCACCGATGTAGACAGCAGTCACATGACAGTCACATGGTCACCTCCCGAGTCGGACGGAGGCAGTCCAATCACAGGTTACATTCTTGAGATGAAAGACACAAGCTCCACACGCTGGGCCAAGGTATCAAGAGAAAGCATCAGTGAGACGACGTTCAAGGTCAAAGACTTGAAAGAGGGAACTGAGTACGAGTTCAGAGTGACGGCTGAGAACAAGGCTGGGGCTGGGAAACCAAGCGATGCATCCAAGGCCCAAGTTGCAAAATCGAAATATGGTAAGTGACTGTGAAAGTTTTGATTTTTTTGACAAAAAAGAAATTAAAGCAAGTAAATTACTTATTAATTCAAGTCTGCTTCAATGAATAATTTAAAATGTGTAATTAAACATTCCCTAATTTTTTAAGCCAGATTTTAAAAAGAAAATGACAGTAAAATAAGACTGCATAAATAGTCTGGCACACTGCTTGGAAGAATTTATAACTCTTTATGTCTTTATTTTTACCCCCAGATGTACCAGGTGCCCCAGAGAAGCCCACAGTCTCTGAAATCACAGCCGTTTCCATGACACTCACATGGTCTCCTCCTGACTCCAACGGAGGTAGCCCAATCACAGGCTATGTCTTAGAGAAGCGAGACATCTCAAGCAAACGCTGGCTGAAGGTGTCAACAGAAACCATCACCGAACTGACCTTTGAGGTCACTGGACTGACCCAGGGTTCAAAGTACGAATTCCGAGTCAGCGCCCAGAACAAAGCTGGAACAGGAAAACCAAGCGCTCCTTCAGATGTCAACGAAGCCAAGCCACCTTACGGTACTTCTCTTTAATTTCAAATTTCTTTTTTGTTAATCTCAAGAATTCTTAATGACGCATGAAAGAAAATATGTGCACTTTACTTCAACAAAGCTCAGAAACTTTTGAGCAAAAACAAAGACTGACGACGTGCAGAGTATACTGTCCAAAACCTTGAGTTTCCCCGGTTCTATTCAGAACCTTACAACAGAGATCTGTTACATGGTGCAACCGTAAACTTTATCTTATTGCTATCTTCACCATGCAAACCTTCAAATCATATAAAGACCAAAATGTCAGTTTCTAATATGGAATCAATTCTTGATGCACCTGGTCTGATTCAAACAAGTACCACAGTTTGAAAGTTTGACAGAACTACTGTACCATCCTAATTACCCAAGGTAGCCTTGGCTTTGATTGAACCACATAGTATCTAGAATTGTAAATTTCCTGGGGCCCTAACATAGGCCGCGGACCCCACACCATACAGGTTTTACTTTTTTCATTTTCAGAGACCAATCGTATCCCTGCAGGTTACAGATATGGTTGACATAACCCAGTGTGCTTCACTTTGTAATATGTTTCCTCAAAGCTCACATTCAATGTGGATTTGTTCTCAATTATTTTACTCCTCTAGATGTCCCAGGAGCCCCTGGTAAACCAGAACTCACAAACGACACAGAAACAACCATCCACCTAAAGTGGTCTGCTCCCAAGTCAGATGGTGGCAGCCCCATCACTTCGTACATCATTGAGCAAAAGGAGAGCTTTGCAAGATCCTGGACTCGTGTCCTGGAAACCAAAATGACCAACGTTGAGTGTACGGTCAGCAACCTGAAACAGGGATCTGAGTACCAGTTTAGAGTCAGTGCTGAGAACAAGGCTGGTGTGGGCAGTCCCAGTGAACCTTCGAACCCTATCGTTGCCAAGTTGCCATATGGTAGGTCTCCATTCATGGTTTTCAGAAGCAATTGTTTTCTTCTAAAACATTATACTTTTGCCCCCCTGTTCTCCTAGTCACAGTCAAGGTAGCTTTAATCTGGAGAGTGGGGACTAGAGTTTTAGCTTCAACTCCCTAAAAAACAGTTAGTTTGTTAGAATGTTTTCCAAATTTTTGAAGTTTTATAGAAATGTGCTGTCTTTCAAAATATCTTTTTAACCCCCAGCCCCAGCCCTCCCACCCAAAAAACGAGAAACTTTGCATCTACAATTTGGAATTCTTAAATGTTTGATTTAGTGAAAGATGTTTTGAATGTTTGTCACATTTCTTTCAAATGAACAGATGTTCCTTCACCACCTGAGAATGTCAAACTCTCTCCCGTGTCGCCAACATCCATCCAGCTGACATGGAGTGCACCATCAAATGACGGGGGCTCTCCAATCACTGGTTACTACATCTACCAAAAGGATGCATTCTCCTCAAGATGGAATAAGATTACCTCCGAGATTATTGAGGAAACTTCGTACAAAGTGAAGTCTCTAGCGGACGGCTCTGAAGCTGCGTTCCATGTCACTGCCGTTAACAAGGCTGGGGAGAGTAAGCCAAGCGAGAGTGTGGCTCTCAAGATCCAACCACCAGGAGCTCCAGAAGCTCCAGAGATTGAAAAGATCGACAACAAATTTGCCGTTGTGACCTGGTCAGCTCCAGACAACACAGGTGGTAGTCCCATTACCGGTTATCAGCTTGAGAAACGAGACACTGCCAAGGATCGCTGGGTGAAGGTTACCAGAGGAGCAATCAAGGAGACGACTTTTGAAGTTAAGGATCTTGTCAAGGATGCTGTGTATGAGTTCCGAGTGGCTGCTGAGAATAAAGCAGGCATCGGGGAACCAAGCCAGCCATCTAAGAGAGCTGTTGCCAAGCTGCCTTATGGTAAGATGATACTGTATTTGTGGGTATAATTCAAAAGAAATCAAATGTCAAGGAAGAACTGAAGTATTGTTGGCATTGTGACAAACATCCACATTCTCTAGTTTAGTTTATCTTCCATGAAACACTTAGATGCCTCTGGCTTTCAAAATTAAATTAAAGTTCATAATTGTAAGTCCGTATAAAATTGTGCATTGTTATTTAACCTTAATGGGCATGTATTGGACATCTTGGCGAAAACCTCTCTAGGCACGGTAAGTCCTCTATCTCAAATTGCAGATATTTTTGGTGCCATGTTCTTTTCTTGTTTCACATTCCTTTCAAAACTGGCAGAAAAAAAAAATCACTGACATGCCCATATTTTGTCTCTTTGATCTTCTTTTATAGATGTACCTGATGCTCCAAGCAAACCTGAAATTACATCAGTCAACAAGACTGAAATGACACTGACATGGAACCCTCCCGGCTCTGATGGTGGCTCACCAATTACAAGATACATCTTGGAGAAGAAAGAACCGTTCTCCTCCCGATGGTCGGAAGTCATCAAAGTGACTGAGACTGAATTCAAAGTGACTGGATTGAAGGAAGGGACCGAGTATCAGTTCAGGGTCAGTGCTGAAAACAAAGCTGGTGTTGGAAAACCGAGTGAACCCAGCGAATCCAAAGTGGCCAAATTGCCTTTTGGTAAGTTTTAAAATGAGTTTAAGAAACCCTGTTTATGGATATTCTTTTGTTTCCAAAAAAAATCTGTAATTGTTATGGCTGTTCCTCTAGATTCCTTGAATTATATGTTTTTCTAGTAATCCAACTCCAAACAGAAATAAAACAAAAAACATCAAACAAGTACAAGCAAACCAAATGATCTTTTTTTCTATTTCTACAGATGTGCCAGAATCACCCAAGAATCTGGCTATCACTGACAGCAAACCAACCTCACTCACTCTGAGTTGGTCAGCTCCTGACAGTGACGGAGGATCTCCCGTCACTGGTTACATCATCGAGAGGAAGGATAAATTCAGTAGCCGCTGGACCAGAGTCAATACCGCCTCAATTCAAGAGACTAGCTTCAACGTCACAGGACTCCAGGAAGGAACCGAGTACGAATTCAGAGTGATTGCTGAGAATAAAGCCGGCTCAAGCAAACCCAGCGACTCTGTGGCTTTAAAGATTCAACCACCAGGAGCTCCAGAAGCTCCAGAGATTGAAAAGATCGACAACAAATTTGCCGTCGTGACCTGGTCACCTCCTGACAGCACAGGCGGTAGTCCCATCACCGGTTATCATCTTGAGAGAAGAGACACTGCCAAGGATCGCTGGGTGAAGGTTACCAGAGGAGCAATCAAGGAGACGAAATTTGAAGTTAAGGATCTTGTCAAGGATGCGGAGTATGAGTTCCGAGTGGCTGCTGAGAATAAAGCAGGCATCGGGGAACCCAGCCTGCCATCAAAGAGAGCTGTTGCCAAGCTGCCTTATGGTAAGTTATTTTTATCTGTAGTAATAAATTTTTAGAATATTTCTTGCCTTGAGAATCCATCCTAACCATAGAAATCAGACCAGTTATCTGATATTGCACCTGATTGATAAACAATATAAAGAGTTATACTGAAACTACTGAATGGAGTAATTCTCCGCAAATGTAAGAAAATTATATATCCCCTGAAAGAAATTCCTTAAAATCTGGATTGTGCATCACTTTTGTTTGATAATTAGACGTGCCTGATGCTCCTAGCAAGCCTCAAATAACCTCTGTTGACAAGACCGAAATGACAGTTTCTTGGACTGCACCAGACTCTGATGGTGGCTCACCAATCACCAGATACATTTTGGAGAAGAAGGAACCGTTCTCATCCCGTTGGACTGAAGTCACCAAAGTGACCGACACTGAATTCAAAATAACTGGATTGAAGGAAGGATCTGAGTATCAGTTCAGGATCAGCGCTGAGAACAAAGCTGGTGTGGGTAAACCAAGCCAGCCTAGTGAACCGAAAGTGGCCAAACTGCCGTACGGTAAGTATCTCCTTATTCCCAAATGCTTCTTAAATTCAAAATATGAAACGAAACAATTGATGCACAACAATAGCATGTGAAACAAAATTCAAAGGGATGCAGTGAGTTTAATTTGAATTAAAGATGACATTCTGTCCCATATGCATTAATCGCTTTTATCCTCCTGATTATTCATGTAGCATTTTCAACAATATTTTTTTCTTCAGATGTCCCTGATGCTCCTAGCACTCCTGAGGTCTCAGACATCAAACCAACATCACTCACTCTCACCTGGACTGCTCCAGAACATGACGGTGGATCTCCAATCACAGGATACATCGTGGAGAAGAAAGACAAGTTCAGCTCTCGCTGGACTAAAGTCACCATCACCTCCATACAAGACACAACCTTCAATGTGATTGGTCTTCAAGAAGGCACTGAGTACGAGTTCAGAGTGAGTGCCGAGAACAAAGCTGGAGTTGGTAAACCTAGTAATCCAGCTTCCCTGAAGATCTCGCCACCAAGTGCTCCCGGTAAGCCAGACGTGAGTGAAGTGACTGATAAAGCCGCTACAGTCTCATGGAGTATTCCTGAGTCTGATGGAGGCAGTAAGATCCTCGGATACATCATCGAGAAGTGTGACACCTCAAGAGACCGATGGGTGAGGGTGAATAGGAGCCTTGTGAAGGAGACTACTCTCAGAGTGGAGGAGTTGACAGTAAAGACCAAGTACCAGTTCAGAGTCAGTGCTGAGAACAAGGCTGGAACTGGGCCTGCCAGTGAACCATCAGATGTAGTGGAAGCTAAATTGCCATATGGTATGTCCTGACAAAGTTTTTTTGACAAAATTTACAAAGTTTGCTTTCTTTTATTTATTTAACTTGAGAATTGTGTTTTTATGTTGCTGTTTTGGATTCTTTAAATTCAACTTTCAAGATTAACCAATAAACACGTTTTCTTTAACTGATAATTTTCAATAAGCAAAACCCTGAATTTTGTTAGAAAGTGGAATGTGCACGGGAAATAGTCAAAAATATATTTTCTCATTAATTGGTTATGATTGTTTTTCTTCTAGAAATTCCAATGTCACCAGGCAGACCCTCCATCAGTGACATCACAGCCAACTCCATGACCCTGTCTTGGAGTGCTCCAACATCCGATGGAGGCAGCCCAGTCACGTCTTACATCATCGAGAAGAAGGAGTCATACGGCAAATGGTCCCAGGTTGCCAAGACTGACGAAGAGTCTTACAAAGTGGTCGGTCTGAAGGAAGGTCAGAAGTATGAGTTCAGAGTAGCCGCTGAGAACAAGGCTGGCAGGGGAAGCTTCAGTGAGGCCACAGCTCCAACGGAAGCTAAAGAACCTTATGGTACGTTTGAAGATATTTTTGAGAATTTCCAATTAAGAAATATTTACCTGCTTGAAAGTACTCTTATTCAGGGAAACTGATTGTGTGACAAAACAGTTTACTTGGGTATAAATTTGGTGTACAAATTCAAGAGTCTCAGAAATTCATTTGAGAGAAGAACACCTGAAGAAGGTCACGGCATAGTGACAACATATCCAGTATTCGCCTCTGTTTCTTCTTATAACCACTTTTCTTTTTAAGAGATTGCCACTGCATGGTGCATCTGCAAACCTTCTTTCAAGTTGTAATTTCCATCATGCCAACACCCAGTTTTGTTTTATATACGTTAAAAAACAGAATTATAAGAAATTATTTTCTTCATAGTGTTTTGATGGTAACAACTTTGTAGTGTCAGATTTCATTTGTTTATTTTTTTGATTAATTCTCTGTGCATTGTATCTGATTGGAAGTTTATTTGATGACAAGATAAACCAATTTATGACATTTTTCTTTCTGCAGTGGTTCCTGATGCCCCAGGCACACCAGACATTTCAGACATCAAGCCGTCATCACTGACGCTATCCTGGACAGCTCCTGAAAATGACGGTGGGTCTCCCATCACCGGTTACATCATCGAGAAGAAAGACAAGTTCAGCTCCCGCTGGACCAAAGTCAACATTTCCTCAATCAGAGAGACAACGTTCAACGTCACAGGCCTACAGGAGGGAGAGGAGTACGAGTTCAGAGTGACCGCCGAGAACAGAGCGGGACTCGGCAAGCCTAGCAACCCAGCGTCTCTGAAGATTAGTCCTCCGAGCGCTCCTGGCAAACCCGACTTAAGCGAAATCACCGATAAAGCCATCACCCTGAAATGGACTGTGCCCGAGTCCGAAGGTGGAAGCCGCATCACTGGTTACTTCATTGAGAAGTGTGACACTTCGAAAGAGAGATGGGTTAAAGTCAACCGGAGTGCCGTCAAGGAGACGACATTCAGAGTGGAAGAACTGACAGCTAAGACAGAGTATAGGTTTAGAGTCAGTGCCGAGAACAAGGCTGGTACTGGGCCTGCCAGTGAACCATCTGATGCTGCAGTGGCTAAACTGCCTTATGGTAAGTTCCAATTTCAATTAAAAATTATCAAAACCAAATAAATGTATTTTTGTCTATTCATCTACTAAATTTCTTCTTCGATTTTCCAAAAATTAGGATTTAATTGTTGTTTGTGATGTTTCTATCTACATTTCAAGCACTATGTAAACATCCACATTGAGATTAAACAACATATAGCAGTTATTTTTGTTTATGGAATATAAAAATCAGCAGGTCCAGCCCACAACAGCAGCAGTTACAAATTTAAAAATACTTTCCCTGAAACATTTCTGAGATATTACTGAAATAAGAGATGCAACTATTAAAGACAAAGCTGAGCTGGCGTAGTCATTGAGCTAAAAAAAACTTTTCAAAAAAATTGTTGAATAAAGACTTGAATTCTCAAAGATCATAGTATTAAAAAATGTACAAACTATGCAAAATACAAACCAAGGGTGCAAAGGTAGCATATCTATGAAGTGACATTTTATTCAGGCATGCAACGTTTCCTCGGATCCGCTGATTTCCTTGTTTCTTTCTCATGAATGCCATTACAATTTGAAAAACACTTTACAAAGTCTTGTGAGGTTTGGAATGTCCTTGTTTTTTTTTCTAAATTCCCAGTTGCATGCCAGTTTTATTGTAAATTTTGTTTTTGTGACAGATGTACCCAAATCTCCGAGCACACCAACCCTTAGCGACATCACCTCCAAGTCCATGACTCTGTCTTGGGAAGCCCCGAGATCAGATGGGGGAAGCCCCATCACCGATTACATCATTGAGAAGAGAGAACCCTTCGGCAAGTGGGTGCAAGTAGGCAAGACGTCAGACACATCGTACACAGTCAAGGGTTTGAAGGAAGGCCAGGAGTATGAGTTCAGGGTTGCTGCTGAGAATAAGGCTGGAATCGGCAACTTCAGTGAGGCAACTGATTCAACAGTTGCCAAAGAACCTTACGGTAATCATATCCAGATCAATTTTTTTTATTTGTTTCTAACACCTGTTTCAGACCAGCATTTTAGAGTCGATGGAACTGAATTATTCCAAAGAGTACTTAAGTTCATGAAAAGGTCAAACAGCTATTGACGATTGAAACAGCTAGAGCAACTAAGCCACAAATTGATTATTGTAGTCATTCAGACAGACTCAAAAGTCTGGTCCGTGGAAAATAGATACACACATTTGTCTGTCAGAAATCAAAATCTATTTCGGTTGACCTAAGTACCTGCTAATACTATTTGGTTTAGCTCAACTCTGCCATGCCAATCTGAAGTGCTGTTATTTATTTGACACAAAGATTGTTTGATTTGGGAAAAAAATCATTAGATTTTATATTTTGGATTTTATTATTTTGTACTTTTCTCAATTGTAATAAATAATGGTTAAATATTCAAGAGTCAGATTGCCATACCTGATATGGCAATGAACTTGAGCATTCAGACAATATCGGTGATGGCTTGGAAAACAAAATCTGTTGAAATTAACTAAATGATGACTTATTAAATTTTAACATCAATTTTTTGATTTTCGTTCATCTGCAGAGGTGCCTGGAGTCCCTGGAACACCAGATATCTCAGACGTAAAGCCGACCACCCTAACTCTTACCTGGACAGCTCCAAAGAGTGATGGCGGTGCTCCAATCACCAACTACATCATCGAGAGGAAAGACAAGTTCAGCTCTCGCTGGACTAAAGTCAACATCACCTCAGTCACGGATACCAGCTATAATGTCACCGGTCTCCAAGAGGGGACAGAGTACGAGTTCAGAGTGACAGCTGAGAACAAGGCTGGTCAGGGTAAACCGAGCAACCCCGCTTCCTTGAAGATCAGAAAGCCTGACGCTCCCAGCAAGCCCGATGTTTCTGACATCACTGACAAATCTCTCATCCTGACTTGGACGGCCCCTGAATCAGACGGAGGCAGTAAGATCCTTGGGTACATTGTTGAGAAGTGTGACACCTCAAGAGACCGATGGGTGAGGGTGAACAGGAGCCTTGTAAAGGAGACTACGCTGAGAGTGGAGGAGTTGACAGTGAAGAGCGAGTATCGCTTTAGAGTGAGTGCTGAGAACAAGGCAGGAACAGGACCAGCTAGTCCACTGTCTGATGCTGTTGTGGCCAAACTACCGTATGGTGAGTTCCAATTATACTTGGGAAAAAGAAAATATTCATCTTTATTTTTGTAATCCTAAAATGATCCTATATGATTAATCCCTGTAGAACCCACAACCGACCTGCCTGTTATTCCCTGTAACACCCCAAACTGCCTGAGCATGCTACCGTTTTATGGTTTCAACAGGGAATCAATACAAAGTACATGTAAAAGAATGAAATATTGATAGAAATGGGTTAAAAAGTAAACACTTTACTGGTATTTCTCTGAAGTATCTGCTTCTAGATGAAAACAAAGTTGATTTTTCTTTTCATCCCATGATTTCACTGTGGGAAAGCTTTCATTAAATTTGTTCACCTAAATTATTGTTTAAGATGAATATATTCCAGGGGCCAATTTCATAGAGCTGCTTAAGCACAAAATTTGCTTAAGCACAAAAACGTCTTGCTTAATAAAATCAGGTTACCGGCCAAAACTCCATGCGATTGTTATGCTAAGTAAACAACCGCTAAATACCAGTCACAAGCAATGTACATCGCATGGAGTTTTGGCCGGTAACCTAATTTTACTAAGCACTGTTTTATCGTGCTTAAGCAAATTTTGTGCTTAAAGCAGCTCTATGAAATTGGGCCCATATCTCTATAATTTTCCCCCTTTTTGTATTATTGGTGAAATATCTGTTCATGAATTCCAACTTTATAATATCAAAAAATAGACAAACCAGACTCGCCAAGCAAACCAACCATCAGTGACGTCACAGCTCACTCCATGACCCTGTCCTGGAAACCACCGACTGAAGACGGAGGAGCCAAGATCAAGGGCTACGTGATCGAGAAGAAAGAACCCTTCAGCTCCAAGTGGTCTCCCGTCGGTAACACAGAAGACACGTCCTTCACGGTGACAGGATTGAAGGAAGGGACTGAGTATGAGTTCAGAGTAGCTGCCGAAAACAAAGCTGGGATGGGAGCGTTCAGCCCCACCACAGCGCCTACCGTGGCAAAAGAGCCTTATGGTAAGTTTGTCATTTATATTTTTGGAAAAGGATGCGACTTTTTTTTTACATATTTGTTTCAGTGCTAATCGGTAAATGCTCACTTATAAATATCTGTTATTAATGATATCACAGATGGTTTTCCTCAACCGACTATACTGTTTAAGTGCTGTATTTTTAGCGCTGTCCAAGATCTTGTGAGGAAAGTGTCACGAGCTTGCCTGGGTGGGATATGAACCCCCAATCTCCTACTTACTAGTGCTTACTACAATGAAGGTTTTCTCACTAGCACTCATATAGCACTGGGCATTCAGAGATTATAAAAGTCAAAAGGCAAAGGCAAAATCAAGTATTTATTTAATTTTTACAGACAAAAAGTCTGGATAAAGGCCGACAGTACTTGGTGTAAAGATAGTAATAAAAAAAAAATACTGTGAAGTTGATCATTCCAGTTGTCATTTTAAACAAAAAAAAAGTTCTTTTAAAGTTTAACAAAGAAATTGACTGGAGCAGGTTTGAAGAAAGACAATTTGAAAAAAAAATTGTCAAGATTTTTTTTTATATTGGTGTATTGTTCTTAATTTGACTATTTAGGTAAAGATTGAAATGTGTACCACCTTAATGAGAAAAACGTAATTAAATCACGTATAAATAAATCAAATACTTCTTCAACTTACAGATGTTCCAGATGCCCCAGGCACCCCTGAACCAACAGATGTCACCGAGCGCTCCATCACCTTAACATGGACTCCACCACCCTCAGACGGAGGCAGCAAAATCCTTGGTTACATCGTTGAGCGAAAGGACGCCTACAGCACCAGATGGGCTAAAGTCACAAGAGACAGAGTTACAGAGACCACACTGAAGGTTACGGACGTCAAGGAGAACTCAGAGTACACGTTCAGAGTGATTGCTGAGAATAAGGCAGGACCTGGGAAGCCCAGCGAGCCGTCTGCACCTGTTGTTGCCAAACGTCCCTACGGTAATTTGTTCTTTTTTGGCCAATTTTCTAGGAGCAAAGAAATGTTTTCCTAAGCGTGAACAGAATATTTGCTCAGCAAAAGCAGGTTACCACGCAAAACATATCCTGCAGTGTATATTTCTTACCCTTGGTACTCAGTTTATTTGTGCCCAGTACATGAATTTTCTAAGCGATATTTTGTGCTAAGCAGCTGAATGAAATGTTTTCCCGGTTGGTTTCATACGACAAGGCCCAATTTCATGAAAATATTGAACAGAAATGCATATATCAGCTGAAAACAAGTCACAAGCAATATACACATCAGTAAATGAACCTGCATTTGCTAACCAAATGTTTTCTGTTGAGTAAGACTTGAAGATTTGCTGTAGCTCCATGTAGGGCAATTCCGTATTAATTGGGACGTACCTGTCAGACATTTTTATGAGTTGCTGTTGGAAAAGTGAATTTGATACATCACTAATAATGTGACATCTAATAGGTAGAAAGCAATTACAGACCAAAGTAAGGTACCACCAACTTAAGACCTTGTACATGTTTATCACGTGGTCAGACGTACGTTGTACGTAGTCAAATCTCTTTTGTGACTACGTGTGGTTTGAATAGAACCAGTTTGGTAATTCAACATTTCAAACAGTATGCCGTGTCCTTCTGTTTTCTGTGCTGAGCAATTCTGTGCTTGAAGTATGCTTGATATTGAACACTATTGAACACTTCTGGTTTTCATGCGCACTCTTCTGGTTTTTAGGTTTTTATGTGCTGAGCTTCTCTATTTATAAATTGTCATTTCTTTCGAATACTTCTGTTTCACAGACCTATTTGGTTTTCATGTGCTGCAAGCTAATTTCCCAATTATCACTTCTATGACTCATCACTTGCCAAAATTTTCTTTATACAGACGTTCCAGGTGCCCCGGGAACCCCAAGCATTTCTGACGTCACAGCCACCAGTGTGGCCCTCTCCTGGACCCCACCCCCGTCTGACAATGGCTCACCCATCACGTCCTACATCATTGAGAAGAAGGAGAAATTCAGCAGTCGCTGGAGTAGAGTCAATCCGACCTCAGTAACGGACACGACATTCATTGTTGAGAACCTCAAAGAGGGTGATGAGTATGAGTTTAGAGTGAGTGCTGAGAATAAAGCTGGAGTTGGGAAACCGAGTCAGGCTACGATACCTGTGGTTGCGAAGCCACCCTATGGTAAGTGTTCACCACCCCACCCCCCCCCCCCCCAAAAAAAAATTCAAGGAAATCTTGGTTTTAATTTTAAGACGGGATTGGGGTCTGGGATTATAATTTGTGATGGATTGGGTTTTGGACAATTCCAGTTTTAGAAATGAATAGGGGAAAAGATCCACATTGTTTCTTTTGCAAAGCATGTCTCCTCATCTTTGAAGGCACCGGTATAGTTCTAGAAATTGCAGGTTACGCTTGTTTCAGTTTGGCTTTCCAAAGTGATGCCTAAATAAATTATTGTGAACATCAAACATAAGTTCTACTTTTGAAATAAAAACTAAATTCTATTTCAGTGAGTCGCTCTGATTACATTTTGGTTCAGGGCCACTCTGGTATGATTATATTTTTAGATTATATCTTAACAATCTCCAAATTTTTACTTTTTGAAACGCATAAATTAATTAATTAAATAATTATTTCAACTTGTAAGACTGAGTTATTTTAAAATAGGAAAAATTTTATTTACTTGTACAAATGATTTACTTCTCTCAATTTGTACTGGTTTTGTCGTAGATGTTCCTGATGCTCCAGGCAAACCCAAAATCACCAGCACTACAGCCAAGACGGCCAATATTACCTGGGCAGCCCCACCGTCTGATGGAGGCAGCCCAATCAAGAACTACGTCATCGAGAGAAAAGACAGGTTCTCAACACGATGGACCGTCGTGAACAGAGATGAGACGGTGACCGAGACAAGCTTTGTGGTGAGAGACTTGAAGGAGGGTGAAGAGTACCAGTTTAGAGTAGCCGCTGAGAACAAGGCGGGAGTCGGGAAACCATCTGAGCCGTCGGAGCCTAGGGTCATCAAGCCTGCATATGGTAAGAAGAACAGTCTGCACAAAATGTTTTCAATCAGATCTTTCCTTAACGTAAAAGGATTAATGTTTACTGGGTTTATTTTTTGCTGTATCACCGTGGTAAAATACTCCCCTAAAAGACAGCTGAGCTTAATTCTATACATTAATTTTAGAAACTTTTTTGGGTGAAGAAAAAATTGGGGGGTCAAAACCAGGACCTTCTAATCAAAATCAACTCACTCCTAACTCCTCATTTGCACCGAATGAAAAAGATTCTAATTACTGTTAACCTTGGTCATTTCCAGGTTTCAAGGATAAAAAGTGGATGTTTGCCTGTACTCAAAGAGTTTAAATAACCTTTTTTTTTACTGCAGCATAAGTCGAAAAGTAAGAGTAGTTTCTTTCAGTTTCTTGGTTATGGATGAATGTTTTCAAAAGAAATATAGCGAAGTTTTCACAAGTCCTACAAATCAGTCCTAAGTCAGTCCTAAGTCAGTCAGAAGTCCTCCGAAGTCAATCACGTAACAATCTCAAGTCTAAGTTTACAGGCTTAACAAATGACTGTCATCATTCATCATCATTTCCATTTAACGTCCATTTTTCCCACGCTGTGGGGTGGGACATTGTCTTTCCTTAATGGCCCTGTTCCACGCAGTCCGATTTCTGACTGTGTAAGGCATATCCTTTATCATTGTCCATCTCCTGCTACTTGTGACCTTTCTTGTGATTGACTTGTGATTTGACTGGTGACTTGACTTGTGATGGACTTGTGGAGATTTGTGACTTGACTTGATTCTGGTTTCTTCTTTTCTCAGATGTTCCAGGAGCACCAGATGCCCCTACCCTCACTGACATCACGAGCATCACAATGACACTAACCTGGTCACCCCCACATGACGACGGTGGTAGTCCAATCACTGGCTACACCATCGAGAAACGAGACAAGTACACTACGAAATGGACCAAGGTCAACAGGTACTCAGTGACCGAGACAACACTCAAGGTGACCGAGTTGAGAGAAGGGACCGAGTATGAGTTCCGAGTAGCTGCTGAGAACAAAGCTGGAGTCGGGAAGTTCAGCGAGCCATCTCAGAAGAAGGTTGCCAAACAACCTTATGGTGAGTATCACAAGATTTGTTATTCTCTCTCGGAAATTAAAAAGATAGGGTTTGAACATGTACTATCACATAAATTCCTCATTCATCTTGAATTTTTCTTTTGATTTTTAACCTTATTAATGGCATTCTTCAAAGGCAAGTATCTTCAATAAATATAAGCTGAATGAATCCGCTTGTATGGTTTCTGGAAATGATAGTTTATAGTTTTTAAAGCTACAAGATAAAAAAAACTTGAATCAATACAATTATAGTTTGAAGTGTAAATCACAAGTAGGAAATCATATTTCAAATTTCTAATGACAGATTTGACTGCACTGGCATTTATCATTGAATTAAAAGTTTGGCTTGTTTGATTTTCAGAAGTTTGGTACCTCAAAATATTGACATGATAAACATAGTTACAACTGAAGTAAAGCCACTCCAAAGATTTCTTGATGAATTTTTCTCCTATCTTGCAATCACAGATGTACCAGGCATTCCCGGCACTCCAGATATCTCTGACATCACAGCCACGACGCTCAACCTGACATGGATAGCTCCCTCTAGTGATGGTGGAAGTCAAATCACGACGTACATCATTGAGAAGAAGGAGCAGTTTGCCAGTCGATGGAGCCGAGTCAACAAAGACTCCATCACCGATCTTACATACAAGGTACGTCATTAACAATATGCAATGCCCTGACACAGTTTATATGTTACACTTCTGGCATAAATTTGTAGATCATGCATCACATTAAATTACAGTGATTTTTATTTTACATTGATTCTTTATCATGAAATGATTAGCAGAAAAATGCATTGATAATTTCGAAAACGAGGAAGCATGATCCAATCTAAGCATACAAAAAAATGGATTAAAACAACCCAAAATTTAGGTTTTTAAAATGGCCGCAATTGAGGGTGGGGGTATCGTTTTGATCTTTTTTCCGAAATTGTCGATTGCCTAGCTCACAAGCTTTCATTTGGTATATAACTTACCCAGACAAAATAAAAAAATACTAATGAAAAAGGTCCCAGAATTTAACTCGGTCCAAAAACCTCAAAATTAGGGCTGAGTTTAAAGGGTTATTTTACATAAGTACAATTGTCAGTTCAGTTTCTCTACTTTTCTGTAATTTGCCTCTCACATTCACGTATAAAGCCAGTACATACTTCATACAAGCGCAAATGCAAAACCAACCTAAGTTTGACTTTGCAAAACATTCATCATGGAATTCACTGAAGTTTGTTCAATGTTTGAGAATTTGCGTTTGCTCGGAGAATGAACTGGCCCTACCACTCCAAGTTACTTTTCAGGAAAACCAATAACAGTGTGAGAAAAAAAAGTGAATATGTCAATGTTAATACAAGTATCAAATTTTACCTTTGCGTTGCTTTCACTACCTTAATAAGTTTTTTTGTTCTCAGTAAGTCTTACTGTCTGTGCATTGTATATATTTCTGTAGGTGAATAACTTGACTGAAGGCAATGAGTACCAGTTCCGAGTGACAGCTGAGAACAAGGCCGGTGCAGGGAAACCTAGCCAACCTACAGCAACAGTCATTGCCAAACACCCATATGGTAAGTGTCGGCATACCCAGAGTTATTCTAATTGTTCAAAACTTCTTACTGTATTGGTTGACTGGTTTGTTTTGAGAATGTGTTTATGTAATTGAGATGTTTACAAGCCTTGGCAAACTGAAAATAAGTTTTATCCTTTCTAAAGTCTGTGGAGTCATTTGTGTTAAACCTACAAGTTATTTGAAAGTATTGTATGCTTATGAGTATGTGAAAAACTAAATTGTAAATTCATGAAACCATAACACCACTAAAAACCACTGTCCCTTTTCCTTACACTGTTGAGCAATTTGGACTTGGTGGTATATTTTATGTGCCCACACAAAAAAGATTGTTATAATTTTGACATCATACGGGATGCAAATAATATTTTTTTAATTGTAATAAAGTACTTATACCTGGACACTTTTGCTCAAATTGAGTTTGCCATTTGGGGCAAACCAAATTTCCACGATAAATATTAATGTCACTGGATATATTTTAAATATATTTCAGGTGTTCCATTAGCACCAGGCACTCCAACTCTCTCCAACATCACAAGCACCTCAATGACTGTGACCTGGTCTCCGCCCGAGTCTGACAATGGCAGCCGCATCACCGGCTACATCATAGAGAAGCGGGATCGCATGAGCACACGCTGGACTAAAGTCAACAGGGAGACTGTGACGGAGACTACCTACAGTGTGACTGGCCTGACTGAAGGATCGGAGTATGAGTTTAGGGTCAGTGCTGGGAACAAAGCTGGGGTGGGAGAACCAAGCGAGCCGTCGAGATCGACTGTTGCCAAACCGCCATATGGTAAGAGATTGCCGTGATATTCTTAAGTGCTTCTGTCAACAGTTCAAGTCAAATGACAAGTCAATCATAAGTCAAATCACAAGTCAATCATAAGACAAATCATATGATGATTATAAGTCAAATCACAAGTCTATCACAAGTCAATCATAAGTCAAATCATAAGATGATCATAAGTCAAATCACAAGTCTGTCATAAGTCAATCATCCGTCAAATCACAGACCTATCATAAGTCAATCACAAGTGAAATCATAAGTCAAATCACAAGTCAGGGCACAAGTCAATCACAAATGAAGCCACAAGTAACGGGGGAAACATTTCATTAAATTTTGTTAACTTTTGTTCAAAACGCTTGTGACTTGACTGGAGACTGAATGACTTATGATAGTCTACTCCATTGTCTGCTAAATTCTTGCCTTTAAGAGCTCCAATATTTTCAGAAAAACAATTTGCAAACAAATTGGCAAACAATTTTTGATAAGTTGATATTTCTTAGGAAGTACTTTTTTATGTCAAATAATTTGCAAAGTATATTCACATGATATAAAGAAATATTTGTATGACAGTTTTTCTTATGATTTAATCTTGAGAAATCTTTTTAAACCAGCTTTATTTAAAAACATTAAATTTTCATAATCTCCAAGATGAACCAGATGCACCAGGCCAGCCATCCATCTCCAACATCACCGCCTCCTCCATGACACTAACCTGGACTCCGCCCCCTTCAGATGGCGGTAGTCCCATCACAGGCTACATCATTGAGAAGAAAGATCGCTTCAGTTCTCGCTGGTCGCGCGTCAATGATTACAGTACTCAGGATGTTGAGTACATTGTGAGTGGTCTGAAGCAGGGTTCCGAGTATGAGTTCCGAGTAGCTGCTGAGAACAAAGCAGGAGTTGGGAAACCCAGCGAGTCGACTGGCTACAAAGTGGCTAAACCTCAATATGGTGAGCAAGTTTTTTTTGATGCGAAACAATCTGATTTGATGAGATGACCCTAGATTTTAATGCTGAAATTGCTCTGGATTTTCCAAAAGGTCCTTTAGTTTTTTTTTAGTTAATCTTCTGATCTTTTCATCGTCAGTGCTCTTGACGTTTTTATTTGTAAAATATTTGCCATCTTGATAGGTGAAGAGATTTTAAAGAAACAGAAGATACATTCATTTTGTAGACCCTCAAACGACAAGGGTGTGGTTGTTTTGACCATTATAATCTATAAATTGCTTCATGCTGGCAAAAATTCCAAAGCAAATTGGTTACGTTGCTGAAAGAATTTGCCCTTAGTAAAAAGCTAAAAGCACATTTTCACTTGGGTAATTTTTGGCAGTAAATTTATTTTTGCCGTCAAATTGGCCTTATATTTGCTTGAAGCATGAACTGGCCTTATTTTAAGGTCAACTGCACACCAGGATTCAAGGGAAAAAAATAACATACTAAATTAATTTTTTACACTCTCCAAAAACCCTTTCCTCAGATGTGGCTGACTCACCTGGCACCCCAGAGATCACCGACATCAAACCGACCTCCGTGACCCTCAACTGGTCCCCTCCAGACTCAGACGGCGGTTCCAACATCCAGGGATACATCATCGAGAAGAAGGACAAATTCTCGCCCCGCTGGACTCGCGTCAACGCCTCTCTCGTCGAAGACACTAGCTTCACTGTCACCGGCCTCTCGGAAGGCCAGGAGTGCGACTTCAGAATCACTGCAGAGAACAAAGCTGGGCCGAGTAAACCGAGTAACATCTCTACTTACCACATTCAACCACCTGATGCTCCGAGTTGTCCCGAGGTCTCCAACATTCAGGAGAACTCTTTAACTCTCAACTGGTCTCCACCCCAGTCTGACGGTGGCAGTAAGATCACCGGTTACTATGTAGAGAAGAGGGATGTAACTAAAGACCGCTGGGTGCGAGTCAACAGAGCACCTGTGAGGGAGACTACGATGGTTGTTCCTGACTTGATGTCGAAGGCTCAGTACGAGTTCAGAGTGATTGCCGAGAATAAGGCTGGGCCTGGGAAACCTAGTGAGCCTACACAGCAGGTCTTGGTCAAACCACCTTATGGTAAGGATTATTGGTGTTTCTGTCTCTTTATGTGTAGATTATGTGAATTGGTATAATTGCCTGTTTAAAGTCCTCTTTAATGAGATAGGTACCTTGGTTTGCTTATTTCTTTGAGAGTCAGATTGGTACAACGACTCTCTCCTTACCTTTCTGTGACCCATGTTCAATGCCCACCAGGCGGATATGTGTATTGAGGTTTCAGTCCCAACCTGAATCCCCAGATGTTTGTCTGGAATCCTTTTCGAATTTGTCCCTCACCTTTAAAAGTTCTTCTCTCTCTACGTTTCTTCAGGTTTTGAGCTACAGTGCTGGGTACTTTTGAGGAACCCTTGGGTTTCGTGATACCAACAAAATAATTGTGATGGTTCAAATCATTTGCATTTTCTTGTTATTTGGAAAGCTTTAATGTATTTTATGATTTTTACTTAATAGAAATCCCAGAGTCTCCTAGCACTCCTGAAGTATCCGATGTCACCAAGACATCTGCCACAGTGTCATGGCAACCACCCACATCTGATGGAGGAAGCAAGATCCTTGGTTACACGGTTGAGATGAAGGAGCAGTACTCAACTCGCTGGACCGTCGCAGCCAAACCTCAAGACACGGAATGCAAGGTCACCAAGCTGACTCCCGGCAAGGAGTATGAGTTCAGAGTGAGAGCTGAGAACAAGGCTGGGCTGAGTGAACCAAGCAGACCTTCCAAGACCTTTGTTGCAAAGGATGCTTATGGTAAGTTAAGTTAGGTTAAGTTATGCTTATGGTAAGATATAGATAATTTGGGTCTATGCAATAATTGTTTACGACTGATTTCTCTCTAAAAAAAATTCACTGTTTCAATTTATGGATTTAAGTTCATCACCTCTCAGTGAGGGTATGCTGCATGATGGCCGGCAAAGACACTGTTTCATATTTACAACTGTTTTCCCTACTACTAGATTGCCATTAGTGCACACAGCATATAAGACTCAATTTATCTTTGCGTAGCCAGACATTAACTTTGGAAAAAACCTGTTTCCAAAACTATGAAGAAAGGATTTCAATTTTCAATCTGAAATCTCATTTCTTTAATTTCATCAGATGTTCCTGATGCACCCAGCCGACCCACTGCAAGCAACATCCAGGAGCATTCAGTAACGTTGTCATGGTCACCGCCAGCATCTGATGGAGGAGCTAAGATCTCAGGCTACATCATTGAGATGAAGGAGGAATTCTCTAGCAGATGGACTCAGGTATCGAATTAGTCTACAAATTACAAAAGAAATGTCTTCTTTGTAGCCCTTTTATTATCAAGGATTAATGAGAATTCATTTTTCTGCACGTGCCAATGGAAGGACATTTTTAAGATTACTGTTGTCATTAGAAATTTTTGTAAAAAAAAATCTTCGAAATCCTATATTATGTTTAACAAATTACAAGTAACAGATAAAGTGTTTTAAATTTCAGTCTCATTTGAGAGACCGACAAGTCTTTTAAAAGTATAAAACAGAACTTAAATATTTCCATATGGACCAGAGTTACACAAAATCAATTGCACATATTTGTACAAACTTCTTTTCTGACGTCCAAAAAGGTGACCAAAGAGCGTATCACAGACACTGAGTTCACAGCAACCAAACTCAAGGAAGGGACTCAGCACACATTCAGAGTGAGTGCAGAGAACAAGGCTGGCTTGGGTAAACCCAGTGAACCATCCGCAACAGTCACACCCAAGAAACCGTACGGTAAGTACCCACAACGTATCTAGATAGTACTGGGTTTTTTTCCAGTAGTTTTAAAGAATGTGTACCTTTTCAGACAGTGAAACTTGCCATTAACTATGTGCATGCTGTTTGAGATATTTCTCAAAAGAAACAAATGGTACCGCAGTGTGTTTCATACTGCATGGTACTTTTTACAGCGAAATGAATTAATTTTGGTAACAGTAAGGAACATCAAATGAATGTTATTTTAATTTTAACTTTTACTAAAGTGTACTTACATGTACTTACTGTCACTTACAATAAACTATGAACCAGACCGTAGGCAAGAAATAAATGTAGTATAAATAAAACTGATAAAATGTTCAGTTTTGCATTAAAGTATCCATATAAAAATGTCTTAAACCATTTGTCCATATACTGCCCCAAACCTCTTGATTTTATTGATTCATCAGGGAATAAGTAAAAGGTAATACATTGTAGTAATACATTGTAATACTACAGTGGAACGTCGCTACATCGCTATACCGAACATTGTCCTTGGCTCCCTATTTTTGTGCCCAAAGCCTACCGAACATTGTAGTTAAAAAAATGTCAGCAGAAGAGTGACAAGTGGCTGTTATTTCCCCAAGGAATAGAAGGGATACGCCACCCATTGCTGTAGGTAGTAAGCTCAAAAACTGTGTAATTACATGATTCAATAGTCGGCAGGTGTTCAAAGTCGTCTTTCAGTAACTACCAGGGCGTGCAAATATTATTTATTGAAAAGTGAGTACCAGAGCACTGGCAGCTTAAAATCGCTTTACTGAACGATCGCTATTACGAACAATTTTTGTGGACCCAGCGATGTTCGTTATAGCGGCATTCCACTGTAATAGGATGCAAATCGACTTTGTATTGACAAATCAAGTTATCAAGAAAATATTGCTGTGGAGATATTTATTAATTTATTGTCACTTCTTCAATCTTGTAGGTGTTCCAGATGCCCCAGGCAAACCAGAAATCACAACCTCGACATCAACCTCAGCATCCATCACTTGGACTCCTCCGTCATCTGATGGCGGTAGCCCCATCACCGGTTACGTCATCGAGAAACGAGAAGGCGATATGGGCCGCTGGACCAAGTGCAGTCGATATGAAGTCACCGAGACATCGTTTACCGTGAGGGATTTGATGGAAGGGAAGGAGTATGAGTTTAGAGTCAGTGCTGTGAATAAGGCTGGCGCTGGTGAGCCTAGTGCACCGTCAGAAAGTGTGACTACCAAGCCACCGTACGGTGAGTTTACTGGACAATGGATGCATCTATGACTGCAGCTGTTACAATGTCTGTGACAGTTGAATAATTATTCAGGCTTCCAGGTAATTTACAGAGCTCATTCCAAGTCAATGACAAAATAATCAAAGGTTAATCACAAGTCAGTTACAATTTGAGTATTCCCATATCCAGTTAAAAACTTTTCAAATGCATTTTGAGAAAGACAGTCCTTTGTCATTGTTTGTCCCATATTACATGTGACTGGCTTATGATTTGACTGTGATTTGACTCGTGATTTATAAGATAATTGTCATTCACTTACACTTGCTGACAATGATACAAGTAGTTGTGAAGTAAAGAACGACATGAGGTGATCCAGTAGTTTACATGTTTATGGCCAGTAAATTAATGTTTTGAGTCACTGTAGAAAACCTTGAAATTATGAATTACGGTTATTGGAATTAGATCTCAAAATCTCAACTGAAATTGGTACTCAGGCTACCAGCATTTTCTACAGAAAAGCTGTTTTTCCTCACCAGAGTATAACCTTTGAAATGGTCCTCATAACCAAGCAAATGCAAATTTTATTCTAAAGATTTGCTCAATTTATTTACGAAAGAGCATTTTTAAAACAAAATTGTTTTAATTTACTCTAAACAGTGTCACCTGATGCACCCAGCACCCCAGAAGTTACTGACACAACGTCTCGCTCCGTCAGTCTGTCATGGAACAAACCCAAAGACGACGGCGGTGACAAAATCACCGATTACATCATTGAGAAGAAAGAACCGTTCAGCATCCGATGGACTGAGGTCGGGCGTACTCCAGACACTAGCCTGACTGTCAATGGTCTGAAGGAAGGGGAGGAGTTACAGTTCAGAGTGACAGCTGTGAATAAGGCGGGGCCGGGCAAACCGAGTCATGACACCGACAAAATTGTTGTGAAACCACCTTACGGTACGTTTCAAATTAGTCAACCTTATAATAATAGTGGAGCGTGGCCTAGTGGTTAGGGTTCGTGACTCATGATCAGAGGGTCGGGGGTTCGAATCCAGCTCCTTGTCATATGTTGTGTCCTTGGGCAAGCCACTCCACCCCTGCTTGCCTCTCTCCACCCAGGAGTATAAATGGGTACCTACCAGGCGCGTACGCAGGGGGGGTGTTTTGGCTGTTAAACACCCCCCTTTGCCATGTAAAAATATGGAGGGAAAAGAGAGTTATGTGACCGAGCGCGGAACAATTACAAATTATGTGCATGTTCTCAACTTTAAGCTTTGAATACAGAAGACACTTTATAAGAGCAAGAGTATATAGGCCTATATGTATTTGAAACAAGTGAAACAAAATATCCCCTCATAATTTAAAAAACTTCTGCTAAAAAAAAAAACAGGGGAAAGTGGCCAGGAAACGCCTCAGATTGCACCACAGAGCATCTACGATCCAAAATTTCCCGGGGCCCTTAAGCGGGCCCCGGACCCCACGCCGTAAGTGCTTCGCGCTCCGCGCGAGCATTGGTCCTCCGGCCAAATTAATCCCGGGACATACCGTTATTTAGTTTTACTGTTGTGGATTTCCTCAGTTAACAGTTTTGTAAAAAACGGTCAAACGGTATTAAGTCACACACAAAAAATACTTTTTGTTGTTGTTTTTAATTGTAGAAAGCGTTAAACGGTTAGTTGCTTTATTTTTAGAGTGTTGTTTTACAAAATCATGACAATGACAAAACGGTCAATAGTCTTGCCGACCATTTTTTTATTTTAGGTTTGGCAATTAAGCAATGCACCGGAATGTTAATTAATGCGTCCTTGGGATCGAGTCATTGCCTGGGCCCCGCTCCTTACATTTCGTTCTCACGACAAAATTTGCGAATTGGCTATTGAAGAGCCGCGTCGACTTGAACCCCACTTTCCTTCAAAATGTCTGCAACTTCATCAAATGTCTTATTACCATCCTGTTTCCATTGTGAAAAGTAATGTCCTCCCTTGAAGTTTTCCAGCGCCATTTTGCTTGGAACTCTTTAAGCCCCACCAACTTGACTGAATCGCATGAGAAAGGGGTCAGGGTCCGCGCCAGGAATCACATCACGCATTAATTATGCCGAGGTAACACTTCTTCGTGTAAAACATGGTTCCCCTCCACCCCCTTGCCCACCGCCACAAAATGCACCACGGACTGTTAACCATGACACTGGAATAAAAAAACAGTCTGTATTTGTGTAATCTGTAAAACAAAAATCATTGATCGTTATGCTATAATGAATTTTACTAAACTTATAAAACGGAGAAACCGTATTTATCTTAATACCGCTTGTCGTTTTATAACACTGTAAAACGACAAAACGGTCGATGATTCGTTTACTGTTTTTGTTTTTGAGGAAATCCAAAACGGTAAAACGAAATAACGGTATGTCCCGGGATTCAAATTATGCTATAATTTCACCCTAGCGGTGCCCCCACCATTTTGTACCTTCAGCAGCGAATGGCTCTACAAGTGGCATAAATCCCTTTCCAAAATAGAAAATTGTGAAAAACTACGGAGATGGAACATGGTTCTCAACTTTGAGTACGTAACAAACTTTATAAACCACACAAAAAATAACAATTTAAAAGGAATTTTCGATGTTTAAAACGTTTTCTAAACGGTGGAAGTGGCCAGGAATCGCCTCAGATTGCACCACAGAGCATCTTAAATCCAAATTTTTCCGGGGCCCTTAAGCGGGCCCCGGACCCCACGCCGCAAGGCCTTCGCAGGTCCTGGACCCTTCATTACAATAATTCTAGGCCCCCCGGCAAATGGCAGTCTGAATCCGCTCCTGTGACCAGAGCGCATATGTATCCTGTATCTGAAGTTTGGCCTTAGGGGTGGGGGCGGTTTACACAAAGATTCCCAACGGATGAGAATCATGAAATCCAGAGGACGAAGCTGAGTGATTTTAGCCAATAACAAGAACAGATCATAGCACTTCGGCAGCCCGTGTCACTTTTTTTCTTGAATTTCTTTTTTTTTGGTTTAAATGCTGTTGAGGGAGGGGACTGCCCACATTGACCCCTTTACTCATATGTTCATCATACTCTAAAGACACAGAACATTTTTTCCCGATTTACTATGCTTTAGCTCAAAAAGATAACTGATGGTCGTGGGTTCCCGGCCCTTCGAGTTTAACCCGTCCAAATATACCCTCTTTTATTTCTGGCGCCAACACAAACTCCTGACTTTTATTTTAGCGTGAAGTTTAGCCCACTGATTTACCATCTTCATTTCTAGCGTCATAAAAGACGACATCCAATTTTGAAACACCCCCCTTGAAAAAATCCTGCGTACGCCACTGGTACCTACATTAGCTGGGGAGTAACCTGCGATGGACTGGCATCCCATCCAGGGGGAATAGAAATATTCTCAGTCGTTTCATGCTACTGAAACCGGAGATAAACGCCGGCCTGATGGGCCACATAGGCTTGTGACAGAATTTACCTTTACTTAATAAACTCTAATTTAAAGTACTGGTTTGTTATGCTTCATAACTGATGTGGGAATAAATGTGGGTTGGTTGGGATTTTGGTCAGTAGTTTTTCAACATTCATGGGAGATTTCAGAATTTGTTTCGTTGATCAGATGAATCAGGAACAATGCGATGGTGATTACAGAAAATTGAATTTTCCATTAATGACATCTGAAAATCTGTGAGGAAATGTCCCAAATTTGCTTGGGCAACACTTGAACCTGGGACTTCTTGCTTACTGGTGCAGTAAGCTTGTTGGTTTAGTTGGCTCAGTGAAGTCAATAGATTCTATAATGAAGTCTTCCTATTAAGATATTACGTATTTCATAGTGTAATTTGCAGTCTTAAAAGTTTTGAGTACATCAATTTGTAAATTTACATCAACAATGAATTTGTCGTATTTCATAGTGTAATTTGCAGTCTTAAAAGTTTTGAGTACATCAATTTGTAAATTTACATCAACAATGAATTTGTCCTTTCCAGGACCACAAACTAAAACAGGGTTTCCACAGTCATGGAAAATTCGTGGAATTAAAAGCTAACATGGAAAATCATGGAAGTTGGTTATTTTACTAGGAGTCATACAAAACATTGATATTCTACGAAAAAAAGTTAAGGAGTCATACAAAATGTTGATATTCTAAGAAAAAAGTTGAGGAAAAGTCATAGAATCCTGCACAACCCATATGTGATGATACATTTCCTCTTTATGCACGTATGCTCTGTACTTGCATAGGCTCCTAAAAGTGTGTATGAGTTGGTCATGGAAAGCTCAAATTTTGTCCTTGGAAAAGTCGTGGAATTTCATTTTAAGATTTTTGTGGGGAGCCCTGTTATATTAAGGGATCATCTTGTTAATACAAACTAAATGATTTATTTTTGAAACATTTTGCATTTCAGATGTCCCAGATGCCCCTGGCCAGCCAACAGCCACAGACGTCAACTCTACTTCCATGACAGTGAACTGGACCGCACCCAAATCTGATGGAGGAAGTCGCATCATCACTTACATCATCGAGATCAAGGAGCAGTTCTCCACGTACTGGAAGAGAGTCAATCCTCATGAAGTGACTTCAACTTCCTTCAAGGTGTCTTCCTTGAAGGAAGGTAACAGCTATGAGTTCAGAGTGAGTGCTGAAAACAAGGCTGGTGTAAGCAAACCGAGTCCAGTGTCGGAGACGTACACTGCTAAACCACCATATGGTAAGTGCTGTAGATTTGTCTTATTAGAATTAACCCTTGAAGAAAACACAAGGAAATTTAAAACATTCATGTAGTGATTTTTTAGTTATATGATATTAATTTTTTGTGTATTAGTGAGGTAGTTCCAAAAAAATTATGGTTTGTTTTAAGAATGAAAGCCGTCGTGGATTTCTCATTATTATGTTTTTACTATCAGAAAAAGAAATTAACAACAATTTACAGTTTAATAAGCATTTTATACATCATCTGCGTCTGTCATTTGAAAATAGAATTTAAAAAAAATATTTATCAAGTCATGTCACATTGTAAAAGGTACCAGTAAAAAAGGTGTTGAGAAATTGCATATTAATGCTGTTACGAAATCTTTGCAAAGTTTTGCAAATTGTTGCAAATTTTGTGTTCTCAGTTATATGAGCACATAAAATGAAAATTAATTTGTTGAATTTGTGAGGTAATTTGTTGAATTGGTAAGGTAAAACTACAAGCAATAACTTTTTTCACTTTTTTTTTTTCATTCCCAGATGTTCCAAGCCAGCCTGGCACTCCAGACATCTCCAACATCCAACCCACCTCCATGACTCTATCATGGGCTCCACCTACCTCTGATGGAGGCAGCCCAGTCACAGGCTACATCATTGAGAGATGTGACACCGCTAGCAATCGCTGGGTTCGAGTCAACAAGTACACGGTAAAAGATCTGAGTTACACCGTTGCAGATCTGAGAGAAGGCAACGAGTACATGTTTAGAGTTAGCGCTGATAATGCTGCAGGAGTCGGCAAACTGAGTGAGGAATCGGCGGCGAAGGTCGCTAAACATCCTTATGGTAAGTCAGACTGTTTGTGTTCAAATAAGACTTGTTTTTTGGGTCCATCACAAGTTAATCACAAGTCAATTCATAAGTCCAGTTACAAATACTTGAATAACAAATGAATGCCTTTGTCAAGGTTTATCTGAATAGTCTGTGACTTGAGTTGGGACAGGTTGATTTGTAATGGTTTCGCCTAAAACAAATTTGGTTCAAATTTGGTCGTGGGTATATTTTCAATGAAAGATAGTGGAGATTTAAATTGAGGTGATGTAATTTTTAGGAGGAAATTGATAAATGAGTCTTCCTTTATAGTTTTTGGTCACAGGCCAAGAGAATAAATCATTCCTGATATATGTTTAAATTGAAGCAAATGACTGATATTAGGTTTAAATTGTGACCCAGCCCAATAAACACATGAGCTTCTTTTAGTTACAATCCCTCGATATACAGTGGAAATCACTAAATATCTCAAAGTTGCCACTGCTGTAATGTCTATTTTCAGTAAGATGTCACGATAAAGAGTAATGGAGAGATATAATTTGCTCCTTCAAATGTAGATTGGAAAAATGTCGTTAAATCTCATTTCATGGGATGTGCTTATAAATACATTTGATAAAAATCATGTTACAGATATCCCTGGCGCCCCGTCAAGACCGCTCATCTCACACATCGACACTACCAAGATGACAGTTAGCTGGTCCCCACCAGACTCAGACGGTGGCAGTCCAATCACAAACTACGTCCTGGAGCGCAAGGACAAGTTCTCAACTCGTTGGATGAGAGTCACTCGTGATAGGATCTCGGAGACTGAGTTTACTGTTCAGGGTTTGATGGAAGGGACTGAGTATGAGTTCCGAGTAGCTGCTGAGAACAAAGCTGGATTGGGACCTGCTAGTGAGCCATCGGAGAGTAAAGTTGCTAAGGCACCTTACGGTGAGTTTGTAGGTTTAAGCTCAAAAATTTGTCACAGTAGCTGTGAGAAAGGTTGCTGTTAATCAAGTTTCTCGAATTGAACCCTCAATGTTAGTTTTATTTGTTCGGTCATTGATTTTATTTAATTCAGTTATGTTTTTAAATAGTTACATCAATGGGAATTAAATTACTTTTTTTAAATTATTTTGATATAAGAGATGAAGTCAGTTGCACCACAAGTCAAATTAAATCACAAGTAAAGTAAAAAAAGTTGGGAATAAACAATGACTGCCTTTGCCGTAGTTCATTTTAATGGCTTGGGCCATGACTTTTAAGTGGATGACTTGCAATGAGATTTTCTGGACTTATTTGGACTTTTAAATTTATAATTGCTTCAACCAGCTTCTGAATCTGTAGTCAATACAGTGTGGAGTGCTGTGGCCTCGTGGTTAAGGGCACTGGATTCGTGGTCCGTGGGTAAAGCTGCGGGTTGTGGGTTCGAGTCCAGCCGGGGTCATGGTGCGTGTGCCCTTGGACAAGGCACTTTGTCACTCGTTGCTTCTCTCCACCCAGGAGTAAATGGGTACCTGTGAGGGCAGAGATGGTTATTGTGATTGAATAAGCTTGCTTGCACCTAACAGGCAGCATAGAACTTTATACTCCCTAGGGAGCTGAGATGGTAATTGGAATGTTTAATTGGCCCAATGATCAGGGGTAATAATAATACTGTAAGCGCTGTGATTTAGTTTACTAATAAGAGCGTTCTTAAATGCCGATTATTATTATTATTATTATTAATACAATATAGCTGTTAAAAGGATTTTTTTTCCTGTCTTTTTACTTCCAGATGTTCCAGATGCCCCAGGCACTCCAGACATATCTGACGTCACCTCCTCATCAATGGTCCTGACCTGGGCTGAGGCTTCTTCAGACGGAGGCAGTCCCATCACGACTTACATCGTCGAGAAGCGAGACCGCTTCACATCTCGCTGGACCCGCGTCAATAAATACAACCTCACCGAGACCACGTACACCGTGACAGATCTCAAGGAAGGGTCTGAGTATGAGTTCCGAGTGTCTGCTGAGAATAAGGCTGGTGTGGGTAGACCCAGTGAGCCATCAAGAACTGTCAAGGCTAAGCCACCTTATGGTATGTTTATATCTCATTTTATTAGGACTGTTTCCTTATTTCTGATTTTGGTTTTTTTTGTTCAAAAATTCTTCGTCAAAGGTGTAACTGGCCTGATTGTGCTGAAAAAACCACACATAGAGGGATTTTCCATACAAAATTGCTTGGCACGTTATCGTTAAACACTATAACTATGCCTCTAAAGCACCAAAATTGCCTTTCTCCTTTGTCAAAATTACTCTAGTTTTATAGAAATTCTACAAATTACAGAGGATTTCCCAATTCTTTGGCAAATTAGGAACTCAGAATTTGTTGACATCCGCAACATAAACGGCCCTTGAAATTTGAGTTTTGAAAGTCTTGAACCTCCCTATTTGTTGATTTATATACAAATGGATTTTGCCACATTTTACTCTTAGTCCATTATGTTTGAAGACGAAACATTTATTACAAGTTGTTTAATCCCAAAACTTGTCCTGTGATTTGCATCCATAGAGTCACCATCATCACCAGCCACGCCCGTGGTATCCAACATCACACCCGATTCCATGACCCTCTCCTGGTCACCGCCCAAGACAGACGGAGGCAGCCCCATCTCCGGTTACTACGTGGAGAAGAAAGACCGCTTTGGGCTGCGCTGGACTAGAGTCAACCGTGAACCGACCCAAGACACGACGATGAGGGTACCGGGACTGAGCGAGGGCGAGGAGTACCAGTTTAGGGTGGTTGCCGAGAACAAAGGAGGTGAAGGGAAGCCTAGTGAGTCGACAGGGCCAACAGTTGCCAAGGCACCTTATGGTAGGAATTGTTATTGGTTTGTGATTTTTTGTTGGACAGTAAAACAATTAATATAATCACCGAGTGTTAGTTGTAACAAGTCTGTAAATTTGAAAAATCCAGTATTGGATTTTGCTCAAGTACGCTGACACAGGATTCTTCATATAAAACCTTTATTTGATTTTTCATGCATGTATTCATATGCATATATTGGTACAGTTCAACATTCAATTGACTTGATAACTGAATAAAAACCACCCATATTTCATTTTTTCCCTTTTTTTTTTAAATGCATCCCTCTCGACTGCCCTTTAGAATAAAACGACTATCAGTATCACCCATATTCTGATTTATTTTGAAATTTTTATTTTTGAGAAAAATTCATCTCTTTTGACTCCCCTCGTAAGAAAATAACTTTTAGTATATCTATATTCAGTAAGATGTGACAATATTTTCTATTTTTTTATTATATTTTTTTTATGAGAAAATTGCATCCTTTTTGACTCCCCTTTTAAGAAAATAACTTTCAGTATCTCGAAGTTGTCTGAGTATTACTGTTGATCAACATGACAAATTATGAAAATTAATCATTCCCAACAGATGTTCCTGGTGCACCAAGCGTCCCTCAAATCCCCAAAGTCACCGAATCCACCATGACTCTGCACTGGGCCGAACCCCTCTCGGATGGCGGTTCACCCATCATCGGCTATCACATTGAGAGGAAGGAAGCTCTTGGCAGACACTGGTCTCGTGTTACCCGTGAGCCGGTCAGTGATGTGACCTACAAGGCTACTGGCCTGACTGAGGGATCGGAGTATGAGTTCAGAGTGTTTGCTGTCAACAAGGCTGGAGTTGGTGGTCCCAGTAATGCGTCAAATGTCACCAAAGCAAAACCACCTTATGGTAAATTTTGTCTTGTTCGATGAAAACTCATATCAACAGATTAACATATTAAACACATTCCCATTGAAGATTTCTCAGTTTACAAGGTATAGCAAAACCCACTGATAAAGGAGGAAAGGAGAAACCAACAGAATATGTTGTTTTTGTAGGTGTTTTGTGTATTTGTTGTTGATCAGCCAATCGGATTGTCAGTGGAAGGTCGTTCTTAGGTCAGGGGTAGTAAACTTAACCAACCATGTTCTTCTGATGTGGATCAGCAGGTAGATATATACAAAGCAGTAGGTCAGGGTTATAAGTTTTAAGTGTTTCAATATCTAGAAGAGTGGACAAAAGATTGGTAAGAATAGTTGGTTTTCAAGAAGGTGTGAGTTTGTTACCCTGGGCTTTGCTTTTCAATGATTTAACTTACGAGCAAAGACTTTATAAATGGAGTTTGAGTACCTAGCGAGGGCAAATGATTGATAAAGTTGAGTGTTTACTTAACTCAACCCTCCACTTCTTTCTTACTCGTACGTGGTGTAGGATAAGGCAGGATAGAGGAAGGTATAATCAAGCCACAGATACAAAGAAAATGTCTTTTTTTATTGGATTCCTACACAGCAGAGGATTTTTGAGGATTTAGAAGGTCTTAGAAAAATGTCCAGAGAATAAAATTTTATGAAAGTCAGATTTGTACACAAGATTTCTTGTTTGATTTTCCCTCTTTGTAGATGTACCTGACACTCCTGGGACACCCGTCATCTCCGATACAACCTCCTCTTCCATGCACCTGTCGTGGTCTGAGCCTGAATCAGATGGAGGCAGTCCAATCACCGGCTACATCGTGGAGAAACGGGAGCGATTCAGCACCCTGTGGGCTCCTGTAACCAAACGAGAAGTGCCCGAGGCTTCCTATACAGTGACTGGGTTGACGGAAGGGACGGAGTACGAGTTCCGAGTAGCTGGTCAGAACAAGGCTGGAGTTGGCAAGTTTAGTGAGCCGACAAGACCTACCGTTGCCAAACCACCTTACAGTAAGTGTAGCACCAAACGTCTCTTTGATTTTTAGTTTTACAGATTTTCATGTGTTTCACACTTGAAACTAGTTTACTATGGAATAATTCAATGAATCACAAAGGGAACTGACCAGATTAATCAATATTTGGTTGAACCTTGAACCTTGTCTGACATGGGATTTTGGCACACAACTTCAATAGAATCTCAAACCAAGTGTATAAAATGTTTTAAAATGTGTCAGTCTGTAAAATTGTAAAAAAAGAGTTCGAACAATAACAAAGCAATGTCTTTGTCACAAGTTCATTTGAATTAATTGTCACTCAACTTGGAATTTAATGACTTGTGTTTGAAGAGTGATTGACGTGTGATGGCTTGATTACAAATCAAATGGTTCAATATTTCTTCTCTTCTTCATTCAGATATTCCTGAAGCACCTGGCTCACCGGAAGTCACAGACATCACAGCAAACTCCATGACTCTTCACTGGTCCCCGCCATCCTCTGACGGTGGCAGCCCTATCACGGGCTACATCGTTGAGCGCAGGGATACCAGCAAGATGGGCTGGACTGTAGCCAATCGGGTACCGATCACCGACACGACGTTCACCGTGCCAAACCTGCGGGAAGGGACTGAGTATGAGTTCAGGATCATCGCTGAGAACAAGGCGGGAACTGGCAAGCCAGGAGCAGCCTCGCAGCCTAAACTTGCAAAGGCTCCATATGGTATGTGTCTTATTCCTAATTTGTGTTCCCAAATTTTAGGTTAATCAAACATATGAACTAGTAGTCATTAAAACCAGTGACCTGGATTACTTTACCAGGACTCTACATAGGTAACCATTTTTAGCTCAAATGTTAACGTCTGTGTACTGGTGATGCTAGTCAGTGGGAATATTTAATTTAAACATGTGTCAGTTTAAAACAAAATATGGAATTTTAAAATTGTCATTTAGAGAAAATTCAGTGAAATCTTCCTTTTTTTGCTAGACATATATATGTTCGTTTTTACAGAAGTTTTTTTTTTTAATCTTCTATGTGTTTAAAGGAGACTAACCTTTTGAATTTATTGAATGCATAGATAGATTCCAGTAATTTATAATGCTTCAGTATTGTTAATGTATCGTCATATTTTGTCATTCAGATGTACCAGATGCCCCAGGCACCCCAGAGATCTCCAACATCACCGCGACCTCCATGACCCTCACCTGGTCTCCACCCAAGTCTGACAATGGCAGTCCAGTCACCAACTACATTATTGAGATGAGACAAGACTTTGCCATGCGCTGGACCAAGATAAGCACATCTGTTATGGAGACTACACACACCGTGACTCGCCTGTCTGAGGGCAGCAAGTATGTGTTCAGAGTGGCGGCTGAGAACAAGGCCGGCGCTGGGAAATTCAGTGAGCCGTCTGACCAAGCCTTAGCCAAGCCACCTTATGGTAAGCTATGTGATAGAGTAGGCCACTGACAGCGACTTATATGATTTCCCATGCCAATATTAAGTTGTGGTTAGCCATTGAGAGAGCCGTTACATCAGCCTCAAATGGAACCTACGGAAGACAATGGCTCTTCATGTTGCACATTGTTTAATTCTGTCTTATGAGACCATTAGTACCACACTCAGGGAGTAAAATTATCATATTTATAAATTTTTGATTGTGAGTTCAACTGATTGCAAATTTAAAAGCATCAAATGAAAAAGTGGAAGTGAGTTGTGAATGGATTTATGATATTCAATTTTAAATTTCGGTTTTTTGAAAATGACATTTTTAATGCTACAGAAGACTTCAAGAAAGAGTTGTAATTCCCATTAGAAGGATTATTTAGAGGCAAGCCTGTCATAATTACCTAAAGGTAATCCGTTCAAAAATTTCATACAAATTTGCTTAAAAATTCCAAAGTTTGTAACAAATGTAATGAGGGAATATTCTGTCATATTTTCTGGGATTCATCATTTGCTGATCGCATTCACTTGTCACCCACAGATGCACCGGGTTCCCCAGATGTGCCAACAGTGTCTGACGTCACTGCGAATAGTGCCCTCTTGAGTTGGTCTCCACCCATCGAGGATGGAGGTGCCGACCTCACAGGTTACGTCATTGAAAAGAAGGACAAGTTTTCAACACGCTGGACTAAAGTGGATGAGGTAAGTCTAATGTGTAAAGATTTACTTCTACAACTGCACCGTCAGTTAAGTTACAGAATGAGTATGCTAGTTACAAGAAAAATATGAGTCGACAAATTTGTGCATTTGTTTTTTTCAAAACTTAGACAAGACGTTATGAAAGTTACTTTAAGAAAATTATGAGTTGGCCAAATTGTGCATTTGTGCTTCTTCAGGACTTAGACACAGTGAAATGGAAATGTACTGAAGAAGAGCAGTTTTAAAATTTTGAGTTTTAAATCTGGTTGAGCAATAATGGCCTTTTTTTTCGATGGAAGTGTATCACAGCAACACTTTCTTATGAGATGTTAGTGTTTTTCTATCACAGTGGATTATCTTATTGCACTATCTTCTCTCTTGTAACGATAAAACCTCCGAACGATGAAACCTTTTCAAACTGAACTTTTGTGTATCATTTCATAAGGTGAATGCGGATGTAACATCTCTCCCTGTCCGTGGCCTATCTGAGGGTAATGACTATGAATTCCGTGTCAGTGCTACCAACAAGGCTGGAGTCGGCAAGCCGAGTGACTCGTCCAATAGATTCACGGCAAAGGCGCCATATGGTGAGTCATAGGGGTGTGCATTTACGGATAGCATGGGATTTGAGTACCCGATTGAAAAAAAACATGGGTACCTGGCTACCCGTTAAATTTCAGCAAATTGGTGATCACGAGAAGATATTCTAGATTTTATGCTGACTTGTCAAAAGGAGAGTATCAAAGTTGATACCCTGTGCTTCTCAAGAAATGGATTTTTTCAAGGCTAGTAAAATGGTCCCAGAGTGCACACAATTGTATTCAATCGATTCATAATGGCCACTCACTGGATGTCTGCATGGCATTTTTCAGGGCAATCCAGTTTCGGACTTTTTTCAAATGGGTTTCTTTCATGTCATTCTTTCCAATCATGACATTTAATTGCCTTATCGAAACTTAACATTATGTTCAATGGTTTGGTTCTCAGATGTTCCTGATGCACCAAGTGCCCCAACAATCCTAGAATCCAGCGAGACCTCAATGACTCTCTCCTGGACCCCGCCCATCAGCGACGGTGGTAGCCTCGTCACCGGTTACATCATAGAGAGGCATGATCTCAGCACTAGTCGCTGGGTCAAGGCACACAGGGAACCGGTGACAGACACGACGTACACTGTCCGGGATTTGACAGTGGATAAGAAGTACGAGTTTAGAGTCAGTGCTGAGAATAAGGCCGGTGTTGGAAAAGCCAGTGAGCCATCGGCTCCTAGAACGGCTAGACCTCCATATGGTATGTACTGTCTCAGGCTGTGTCTTAATGACTCGGCTATGGCTAGTAGCAACACACGGCTAGGTGAAGTAGCTTAAGCTGCTCCCTAGCCATAGCCAGTAAATTCGGACATGACCTTAGGTTTCATTAGGAACAAGACTGTTGCTTTCTTCAGTTTTCACAATTTTGTAGGCTTTTTTTCAAACTTGTAATAGTGACTTTCCATAATTCCATGGAGCTAAACATCACCTGTGATGCTGTCGCGATTTTGTAACAGATAGTGAATAGATTCTGTGGCATTCGTTTGATTTGACTTTGTGCTAACAACATGAAGAATCTGTCTATAAACGGGTGTAATCCTTTGCATCTTTGACCTTGATCATTAATCATTGACAAGATCTAAATAAAGTCAACTCTGTCATCATGCAACTTTGTATATAGATGAAAATCTATATTGCATGTGAAGCTGTGTACACAAAATTTAAGCTGAGAGTTTTGCCCGCATGTTTCTACACTTCTGCGCATTTTCAACTGGTTTTCTGCCTATTTCACAGATGTCCCAGATGCCCCAGGTAAGCCAGAAGTCACCAAAACAGACAGCACCGAGATCACCATCGCTTGGACCCCACCCTCGTCAGACGGTGGCAGCAAGATCATCGGATACATCATCGAGAAGAAAGATCGCTTCAGTACTCGCTGGCAGAAGATCAACCGCTACACAGTCACTGAAACCACCTTCCAAGCCACGGGGCTGAGTTTCAAGATGGAGTATGAGTTTAGGGTGAGCGCTGAGAATCAAGCGGGGGTCGGCAAGCCTAGCGAGCAGTCTGATGTTGCTGTTGCTAAACCACCTTATGGTAAGAATTGTTGAGAAGTAAATTTTACCATTTTCTCCTGTAAAAGAAAGTTTTTGCTTGAGCTAAATGGACAGGCCAATGTCCACTGACTGAGTCACTGATTGAGCCACTGACTGACTGATTCCACTATGAACATCTTCATCCCTTAAAAATTCCCTGAGTACAAATAATATCCTAAATTGAGACTTTCAGGTGCAGCTGGACTTTGAAAGCCCAGTCTTGTTAATCAACATTTGCAGGAGCAGAACTAGCCGCTTCTATTGCATCAAATTACTCTCATTCCTTCATAAAGTTGACATGAAGATACAGGGGCGGATCTAGCTGTTCAGGAAACGGGGATTGATACAATGGTAAAGGCAGGGTGTGAGTGAAGGCCTGCTGAAGAAAATATTGAAATCTGCAATGCTTTCTCCTGCATTCTAAGTCAATTTGAGAATAAATTTTGGAACTTCTATTTATTATTTTGGTCTCATTTTACTGGTTTCATAACAATATTCAGCGGCTAGATCCCCTACTGGGAAAGAAAAGTCCCATATTTTTAAGGTTCTTCCCGTGTTAAGAAAGCAGTCTCACAGTTTGCATCTTATCTTCAGTACTGATACATTAAAACAGTTTTTAATGATTCAAATAAAACCAGTCAGTCGATCTAATTAATCCAATTAATTTTAGGGTAAAAAAGTGTCCAAAATATTACAGTACTTGGTTTTAATTGAGATGTAATTATGATATAACAATAACGTGGATTAATTTTTCATTTATAAGATGGAATTTTGAGTCGGGGGTGATGTAAATCAAATTAGGCTTTTTTGCCCTTCAGCGACGTATAATGAATAGTTAATGCGGTACCCGCTGCTATGTATGATTTTAACCAGCCTACCGATCCCATTAGCTCGGTGGTCCATTGGTAAGACATCTGCACTAGTAAGCAGGAGGTCGTGGTTTCGAGTCCCACCAGAGTGACTTTTTCCAACTTTCACTCGGGAGGTAACACACTGAGTATACAGTGTTTATACGTCGGTGAAGGGCAAAAAAGCCTAAGTTTTCATTTACTTATCAAACTATTTTTCGTCTATCTGTAGATGTTCCAGAATCTCCTGAGAATGTCACCATCACAGCAACCACCTCCAACTCAGCCTCCTTGTCCTGGAGCCCACCTCGTTCAGACGGCGGCGCACCAATCACCGGTTATATCGTGGAGAAGAAAGATCAGTACAGCTCACGCTGGACTAGAGTCAATCGCATCCCAGTCACAGAGACTCAGATGATTGTACCGGACTTGAAGGAAGGCATGGAGTACGAGTTTAGGGTCAGCGCTGAGAACAAGGCTGGTGTTGGACGGACCAGTGAACCTACTAGACCGACTGTCATCAAACCACCATTTGGTAAGTTGATAAGTATGGATACCTTTTTCTCGTCTGACAGAATGCAGTTTCAGAGGTCTCGGGGTGCTTTACTTCAGTTGTTAAAAGTTAACAAACTTTCAAGGACCACTTCTGTGAAGTTTAACGTATTTCTGCATAAAACAGCAGCAGTGTTTGAGGAGGGATGTTTTTAGCAAAGGGCTCGGTTCACCCGGCAGGCTTCAAAAGTACCTCATCTTATTCATTATTATTTAATTGTTGATTATTTATTTCATGGATTGTCAATACCTGATGATCTATTTTCATATCGCTCAAGTCAGTCGTCGTTTTAATTTACGTACCCTAATGTTGAGGACCATTTTATTGAATCCCAATACCTAATTTTGAAAAAACACAGATCAAAGTCGCTTCCATAAGGTTCTAGTAACCCATTGTAACTTCTTGTTTTACATTGTATTCAATAGTATTTATACCCTGATGAATCCATAAAACAGTAGAGTGCTTAGGGAGGTTTTGGAGGATAGAGTGAGTTGAGACAGGGTGGTGTGTGGGGTGGTACAGGGATGTTAGACCTACTATCCTCTTGCGTCCCAACCCCATGTCCCAACTAGGGCTGAATTTTACTTATGTAGAGTGCCAGACCCATGTAGTTCATGTGGAATTTTTGCTAGTGTGAAAGGGGTTCTCAAAATCTCAGGGTTCAACTTGGGTCCAAACAGATTTTGGATTGTGTGAGAGGGATTCAATGGGTCAGTTTTCCAAACGGTTCATTTCCACTTTGCAGACATACCAGGTTCTCCTTCAGCGCCATCAGTCACCGACATCACCAGCACCTCCATGACCCTGTCCTGGTCACCACCCACCACCGACGGAGGCAGTCCAATCACTGGCTACGTCATCGAGAAGCAAGAACCGTTCAGCTCTCGTTGGACTCCCGTAGAGACGTTTACCGGGACTTCGGGAACCATCGGAGGTCTGCGTGAGGGGAATGAGTATCAGTTCCGTGTGGTTGCTGCTAATAAGGCAGGCAACGGGAAACCTAGTGCGTCAAGTCAGCCGAGGGTGGCCAAACCTCCATATGGTAAGAAAGGTTATAAATCAATTTTTGTGAACAATATTCTGGCTTAAGCCTGGTTCATCCAAAGGCGAAAGCCAAGCAACTATAATCAGATATTGAGATGTTATTGTGTCGCTCATCGTTACCCTAACAAATTAGCTTTGCAATGAAATTCTCATGAAGTATGAACCAGCCGTTTTGGTCAAATAATGATAAACCATTTTTGGACTTCCGGCTGTTAATTTTTACACTGCTGAGCAAATGTCACTATCCTTAGTCAAAGGTACAATGAATTAATTGGCTGTGGGCTGATTTTTGAAAAAAACCTAAATTAAAGTGTTTTATACTCTGGCAACCTTACTACTCTGGGACTGCTTGTCTTAGTTTTAAAATAAGGCTATATTTTGTTATGTCATGGTAACTTTGAGAGGCTTTATGCAATAATGTATATGTTTTTCTTTACAAAACTGATATATTAATATACTGTAATCGTCTACTTTGCTCAATTTTGTAGATGTGCCTGGCCCACCCGGTACCCCATCAATCACCGAAACCACAGAAACCTCCATGACTCTTGAGTGGTCTCCACCTCTCTCTGACGGCGGCTCCAAGATCATCGGCTACGTCATCCAGAAGAAAGAGAAACTGGCCCTGCGATGGGTACCAGTGAATCACCTGAGTATTGCAGAGACGACGTACACTGTCAGGGATCTGGTGGAGAGGTCAGAGTACCAGTTTAGAATCCTGGCTGAGAATAAGGCTGGGTTTGGCCCGCCTAGCGACTCATCGGTGACTAAGATGGCAAAACCTGCTTATGGTATGTACACTCAAATTTTAGAAATAGACTCAGTAAGAGTAATGGCTGCTTTTAGTTGTTTCTCACTTGATGTTAAAAGTACCCTACTGTAGATCAAATGTATCTCTTTGTGGTATTAAAAGATTCAAGCTATTGGTTATACTGAAGCAAATATTTTTTTTTCTAAAGTTACTCACAGAACAGTGATATTTCTTGTGCTAAGGTGACCTTTCCCTATTTGGGACGTGTTTCCCGTATTGCAGTTATTTAAATTTCACTTAGAGATCATACTTTTAAAAAAAATTTGAAAATCACATTTCACCTCACAACAATTTGCCGTATATTTGCTCCTCAGGACTTCGTTTTATATTATACAAATTGATTTAATCAATAACCAATTTTCTTCAGGAAATTGTTTCAAATTATAACCATATTTTTTTCATTTTCTAAATAGATTTTGAAAAATTTCTGTTGTTGGTTCAAGGAGTAATTTCATTGGAAAACATACTTACACCTTTTTCTCTGTTTTGATTCAGATCTACCAGGCCAACCTGAACCACCGACTGTCACCAGCACCACCAAGTCAGCCATCTCGCTCTCCTGGTTGCCTCCTCTATCCGACGGAGGTAGCAAGATCACTGGCTACTTCCTTGAGAAGCGAGAAGCCTTTGGATTCAAGTTCTCTCGGGTCACTTCTCACTCCATCCACGAGACGGAGTACACAGTGACCAACCTACGGGAGGGCAGTCAGTATGAGTTCAGAGTCAGTGCTGAGAACAAAGCCGGAGCCGGACCACCCAGTGAGCCTTGCAGACCGGTTATTGCAAAGGCTCCATACGGTAAGATCTCTTGCCTTAAAGGTATAGTCCATCATTTGTAATTTGTGCATTTTGTTTGTTTGAAGCAACAAAAGTGCTCAATATCTGAACAAGGATGCTGAACAACCAATCTGATCAAGTTTCAGCTCAGCTTCAGCTGCATTTTTTGAAAAAAACAACATTCTAGGATCTCGTTTTCAAATCAAAAGTTGCTGAATCATGTTTTGAATTGGGCCTGAATTGAATCAGGGTTTAATATAGATGTCAACATGACAACACTTTTTAAACCATTACTTTATTCAGACAAGAATTATTCAGATCGCCTGTTTTAGTAATATCACTCTTTTAATCTAAAGCCACATTGGCATTGGACTTAAGTTTGTAGAAATTTACAGTAAGTGATTGTTAATATTCCATTGTGGTTATTATTGTAGTCATTTGTTATGTAGAACTAACAATGTTGGCCCTGTAAAGCTTACCGCTGCAGAGCAAAAAGCTTACAATCAACAGTTGACAATTTAGTAAGTTTACCGGATGTTCACACTGGACTTTATTTGATTAAGTTGACGACAGTCTCCATTAGTTTTACCCCAAAAAAACCAATGCAAACACGGCCTGAGTCCCAAACATGTAATGTGTCGTGGTCTTTGAATTATGTAAGTAAATTTTGTTACAGCTTGTCATAAGTTTACAATTTCCATCATTTTCCCAAATAAATGTGTTCTCAGTGTGTCAACACATTTTAAAAAGAACAAACTGGTATGTTTTCCAAATTTTCCTGATTTTTCTGATTTTGGATTGTGTTGGTCATATTCACGGATTCCATAAAAAAATTAAATAATGTTTCCAGATTTATAATACTTGGTCAGTCTCGGTTAGATGTATCCACTCTTGTGTTTACTGAAGAGAAAATTGTATTCATTTTGGATTTCTAGACACCCCGAGTGCACCAGGAGTTCCAGCAATCTCCGACGTGACTGCTACCTCCCTGACACTCACTTGGACCCCACCGACCCAAGACGGAGGCAATCCAATCACAGGATACATCATTGAACGAGCAGATCGGTTCAGCACCCGCTGGTCCCCCATCACTAAGGAACCAGTGACGGGATGCAGCTATGTGGTCAGGGACATCCCTAAAGGAACGACGTATCAGTACAGAGTGTCGGCAGTCAATGATGCGGGGACGGGTAGACCGAGTGACGTAACTGATGCCAAGGGAGCTGCAGGTAACGCCACGACTATGGCTATTTGCTGTAGCCCACAAATGACAAAAAATAGCCATAGCCACAAAATAAATGATTTGGATTTAATCTATGATACAGAAGTGCACACATATTGGAGATGAGGGGAAGACAAAAAATAAGTGATGCAATCGGTGTAGGAAACTGCATGTATTATTATAAAACTTATTAAAGGTATAGTCCATCATTTGTAATTTGTGTGAAGCAACAAAAGCGCTCAATATCAGAAGAAGGATGCTGAACAACCAATCTGATGAAGTTTCAGCTTAGCTTCAGCTGCATTTTTCGAGAAAAACAACATTCTCGGATCTTGTTTTCAAATCAAAAGTCATGTTTTGAATTGAGCCTGAATCCAGCGTCCGAGACACATTCTCACTAGCCAATTGCAGCTACGTGATGTCAAGCACTGATCCGACGAATTATAGCAACCGCGCGCGTGTGCGTTGTGCCGAATGCTTGCGTGCACTTCGCCGAATAACAAAACGAACTACTAATTTGAATTTCCTACAGTGCTTTTTAGGAAGCACCGTTGGAAAGGCCTTCTTTCGTTGATTTCTTCAAAATGACAGCTTGCCAGAAAGAATAATTTCACAGGGAGATTAGTCCCCTTATTATCTTTCAGCCAAGTATGTTTTTCAACAATAATACGCCAGTTACTTTTTGGATAGCTGCCAATGATGGACTCTGTCTTTAACTACTGATCAGCATAGCATGAGAAGAATATGCCATTTTATAATCAGATTTTTTTTCGGAAAAAAGGCTGGGTTGTAATTACTTGAGTCAATGACTTGACTCCTATTTGACTCAAGTCACAATTTTCAGTGACTCAACTCAACGTGAGTCATTACAGACAAATCACTGCCTTAGAAATGGCTTGAATCGACTTGAGTCACAAAATTCAGTAACTTGTTTCAGCACTAAAACGAATACACTAAATCAGTTTTTTTCTAATAAATATTAACTCTTGTAAATGGTATTACTTTAACAATGAGGTCTTAATGAAAACAAGTAATATTTTATTCACAGTTGCTCCAAAGCTTGACCTGAACAAATACCGTGACACGCTGGTGGTCAGAGCTGGTACCACCTTCCACCTCGACGTCCCCTACAAAGCCAAACCCAAACCGACGGTCAAATGGGACAAGGATGGTGTGCCTCTGGTGTCTTCTACTCGCGTCAAGATTGAGACTAGCGATCGAGAGACGGTCTTGACTGCCAAGAACTGTGTAAAGGGAGATGAGGGAGCATATAAACTTAGCGTCAGCAACTCAGCAGGCAGTGAGAATGCAATCATTCACGTCCAGGTGAGAGTTGTGGATAGGACTGTCGCCAAATGGTAACCTGAAATGTTGTTAAGTAACATTCATTTTAATTAGCAAAAGAATGAGTTTGTGATTATGGATCTGTCATTGACAGGAACTTGAGGGTACTGGAATTTGTAACATGGAATATCACATTTCTGACCCATTATATGTGAGATATAAGCAAAAATCAAGCATTCAGTGATTGTATTATAAGATATCAAGCTTCCTCATTTCATCCCAAGATTGCAAGGAAGAATCTTATTTACATCAATTTTCAGCTAAAAATTTTATTTTTGTTTTTCTATTCACAACTTAACATTGATTTGCAGTTAATATGTGATTCGTTTACTTTCAGGAGGTTGCATTTACAGAGACTACAAAAGGGGAATTCAATCATATAGGTCTAACAACTATTGACAAGTTATTTTTTCTATATTTTTCTCCTCGTGTGTGAAGGTTCTTGATCGTCCCAGCCCACCTCAAGGTCCTCTAGACACTCTCGACATGGACAGCACCTTTGTCACTCTCTCCTGGCACCCGCCATCAGACGACGGAGGAAGCCGCGTCACACACTACGTCATCGAGAAGCGCGACACAAAGCGAACGTCTTGGGCACGTCTACCGGTCAACATCACCGATACCACCTACAAAGTCCAGAATCTGATGGAGAAGGCAGAGTATGTCTTCAGGGTGATTGCCATCAATAAGATTGGCGAGAGCGAACCATTGGAGGGAACGGAAAGGATTTTGATGAAGAGCAAATACGGTAAATCTCTCAAACTATTTACTAATAATTGATATGATTTGTGCCCTGCTCCCACAAACTTGAATACAGTTTCCAGGTTTCAGTTGCCACTCTCTCCTTTTTGACCTGTAATGCTTTCAACTAAATTCCCTAGAATTGTTCATCATCTGCTGACAAGAAATAGCGCATAGTATTTGAAAAGTTTAGTTTATTAAGATTCCTCTCGGAACCAAGTATAACTCACAGAAGTAAACAATGTGCGATTGTAACCATCCACTTGATTCTTAAAAATTTAAGATTGCTGCAACATTTCGAAGACTTATTGGCTAGTTAAAACCACTGGAAAGTTCTTTTTTTATCCAGTGGTAATTAAATTTAAAGCTATACTTTTATTTTTACTTTACTAGAATTTGTGGGCACTGGTCACCTATAAGTTACACTGTTTCAGTTCTTTCTATGAGGAGGAAACTTTAAATTTTGATCAACTTCAATGTGATATATATTTGTTTACTTGTTAAAAGTTCTAAAGACCAATACAATTTTCTTATTCTTACCTATGTTCCTACTTGTATGAATATTGTGAAATTGTAATATGCACCAATATTCAAATTACTGGTACTACTTTAGCTCATATCCTTGTGCACAGGAATTCCTCACAAGGCTATGCAAGGGATTACATAATTGAAATAAATGTTGAGTTTGTACCACCAATCTGGCCGGGGTTCGTATTTTATTCCTTTGCATATGGTACAATACAATAGAAATGTCATTCAGTCCTGAAGTTCATTGTTCTTTCTGACATTTCTCTTACTACAGACGTCCCAGGTGCCCCCAGCACTCCTCAGGTCACCGACACCACGGCAGACTCGGTCAGTCTCTCCTGGCTCCCACCATCAACCACTGGCGGAGCAGAGATCATCGGTTACATCATCGAGAAGAAAGACCGCACCAGCATCTACTGGACTAAAGTGGCGACCCTCGGCGGAGACGAGACGTCTTGCATCATCACCAGACTCACGCGGGGTGGGGAGTATGAGTTCAGGATCGTGGCTGAGAATAGAGTGGGCGTCGGAGCTCCTAGTGAACCTTCCATCAGAGTGAAGGCAGAAGAGGCTGCAGGTGAATTTACATTTCTAATAATTTTGTAATCTCCTTTCTTGTTTGGCTCAAAATCAGTTTTGACCAGTTTTGGAGTACCAGAGATATTTACATTATACTAGCCAAAAAGCATCATTCAACACCAAACATAATAAATGGAGATAATCAAGTACATTGCTTGAATTACTTAGCCATGCTTGATAAGCCAGTTTTTCAAGGTGATACCTTCAAATTTCACAAATCTCTTGACATTATCGTATGACTCAAAAGGGATTGTGACATTTGACTAGCACCTCCTGACCAAAGATACTGACAAATTGGAAGACCCAAAATAGGGTTGGAATCTCAAAAGTACAGCACCAAAACAGTGTTTCATAGGTCATAGATTTAAAACCCTCCTCTGTTTATTTTGTTTGTTCACTCGTAAAATCTCTTGACACTCATAAAAATTCTTCAAAATGTTAATTTAACAGTAACCCCTAAGCTTGGAGAAGTCAAAGAACCCATCACAGCCAAAGTAGGCACCACTGTCAGAGTAGAAGTACCATACACCGGCTTCCCTGTGCCACGCACCACATGGACAAGAGAGGGCGCTTCACTACCATCATCGCATCGCATGAAGGTTGAGACAACAGACCGCTCAGTCGCCATGATCATCAAGAACTGCGAGAGATCTGACGCAGGGAACTACACCGTCGCCGTCAAAAACGACGCCGGTAGCGACTCGGCCAAGATCGAAATCAAGATCTTTGACAAGCCCAGCCCGCCACGCGGACCCTTAGAACAAACCGACGTGACTGAGAATGCAGTCACTCTTTCCTGGCGCCCGCCTCAAGATGACGGAGGTAGCCGAATCTTCAACTACATCGTGGAGAAACAGGGAGAGCTTGACTACAAGTGGAAGCCAGTGACGGAGAATAACATCACTGATTTGACCTACCGAGTGACCGGGTTGAAGGAATATAAGAGATATCAGTTCAGAGTGATGGCTGTGAATCAGTTTGGTACGAGTGAACCATTGGAGGGACAGGCAGTGACACCCAAGGGACAATACAGTGAGTTCTGTCAATTTCTCTCATTTTGTGAGGGATTAATCAAATTTTGTTTTTGAAATGTTTAAAATGTTATTCGATGCATTAACATATTGCTTTAGTTTACAACTGAAAATTTTAGCTGGGAAAAAAAAGGATTTCTGTTAAATGTTGTGTGTTTGTGAGAATGTAGCAATTTTTCAGAAACATTTTATAGCATGTTGTAAAGATTTTTGCAAATTAAAGAAATTCTTGGAAAGCTTTTAGAAGTTCTCCTCCAAAGTCACAAGATACAGCCTTGTGTGACTTATGTGTTGGCAATTTATTGAATGAGACCAAAAAGTAAGTCATATGCAAAGAAATGGAAGAAATCTCCGTCAGTTAAATAATGAAAAAGGGTTTTAGGGAATTAAAAGAAATAATTGAACCAGCTGCATAAGAAAAGTACCGATGGTGTTGTTATATCATCAAAAATAGTTTTGATCATTGCAAGACTTGAATCACTACAGTTTCATTTTGCTTTGTTTTGACGTATTTCTTGTGTTCTTGTCTCAGATGTTCCTGATGCCCCAGATGCTCCAGACGTTTCCAACATCACCGTTGACTCCATGACCCTATCCTGGAGCCCTCCTCTGCATGACGGTGGGGCACCAGTTAGCGGCTATGTAGTCGAGATGAGACAGACTACCAGTCCACGCTGGGTCAAGGCGACACTCACACCGATCCCTGACACTACATTCAAAGTGAGTGAAACAAATTAAATTGAAACTTCCTATAAAAAGATGGTTGTCATAGTGCTGTCTATACTCCGTGGAAATGCAGACATAAACATGAACTTGTGATGTCGCAGCAAGTGCACGTTTAATCTTTATTCATGTTGCATGGACCAGTCACTTCTGTAGTGCATTTTTGAAATTGGTCATTCGAGGCTAAAAGGCACTCTTGATAAACAGCTTCTAAGAAGAATTTTGAGATGGAAAAAGACAAAGGATATCAATTTTTGAAGAACAGAGACAAGTATTTTTGTTTTTGTTTTAAAGAAAAGTGGATTATTTATTAAACGTAGATTGAGCTCAAGGAAAGTAAGCTGTAAAGCTGAACTTTTGTTATAGTTTTACTCTATGTGGATAAACCCAATGAATGACATTCTTTGTATTTGACAGGTTGGTCGATTGCTGAGAGGCAGTGAGTATGAGTTCCGAGTTTCTGCCGTCAACCGAGCAGGAACTGGTAACCCCAGCGAGCCTTCACAGAGTGTCATTGCTGAAAACCCACCAGGTTAGTTCCGTTGGATTTGGATAATAGTCATTCTATAAATTTGGCGTCCACCTTTTTACCAGTCGGTTTGACACAAGTAAGACAGACCATCAAATCAGAAAAACATATAGTTGCGGTAGAGCATCCTCGATAAATCAATGAATTTCAAAGAAAAGGCATTCCATAGAACGAATGAGTGAATAAGGCTTCACTAAAATTAATTTTTGGAATTCCGGTACCAGTTTGATTTTTTTTTATTAGCTTGCCTTTGTGTAAAATGGTATAATATTTTTCTGTAATGGAACATTTTCTGTTGAAGGTTGTAAACTGTTTTTCCATATCACAACTATAATTTTTTTTTTTCAAACCAGTCCCTCCGAAACTGGACCTAGACCTCAAGTACCAACGTGTGATCACAGTCCGGGCCGGTACCTCCTTCCGTATGGAAGTCCCCTATAAGGGCACGCCGGTACCCACCATCAAATGGACACACAACTCCAAACCCATCGACCGTACCATACGGGTCAGCATAGACACCAGTGACTTTGTGACTGTCCTGAACACGAGGAACTCTGAGAGAGGAGATAGTGGTGATTACGTGATCACTGCTACTAATAAATCGGGTGAAGCTTCAGCGACTGTGACAGTCAAGGTGTTTGATAGGCCAGGGCCACCTGAAGGACCTTTGCAGGTGAGTTTTATGGTGGTTACTCAATGTATTCCAGCAGTCTTTGAAGCTTTTATACTAATTAATATTGAGAAGTCATGATGGACATAGTCTCTGCAATGCCTCAATATGCCAATGTGATGAGGTTCTGTATAAAACTGCAATATTGTTATTTTTACAGTATGCAGAGAGTATTGTTGGGAAAGAAATGTTCATACTTTCAATTTTTAAAATCAATCCAACATTAACAAGATACAAATGTTTTATAAATCAGTCATACCTGAATTTCGAACTGTTTAGGTTTCTTTTTCTTTTCCTTTTGATTTCAGTGTATGAAATTTCTGCAAGATATTTCAAAATTTGACAAATTTGCCAATTATCCAAATAAATTGTCAAAAATTACTGGAAATTTTGCAAGTGTATCCATACAAAAAATTGGTTTAATTCCTATGCAATGTCACAAGAATCTGTCTCAATACTTCATTCTTCCACACAGTTATTACGTAACAATTTGATCAATGACTACCAGTTCTATTCATAAGATGGGATTTTTGCGTCGGGGTGATGTGAATCAAATTAGGTTTTTGCCCTTCACTGACGCAGTTATGTATACTCAGTTAATGCGGTACCCGCTGCTATGCACATCAGATTCAAACCAGCCAACCGATCCCATTAGCTCAGTGGTCCAGTGGTAAGACCTCTGCACTAGAAAGCAGGAGGTCGTGGGTTCAAGTCCCACCGAGTGATTTTTTTCCAACTTTCACTCGTGAGGTAATACACTGAGTATACAGTGTTTATATGTCGGTGAAGGGCAAAAACCTAATTTGACTACCAGTTCAAAAACTTTGTCCTGTGGTACCACTCACTTATAAATTCCTTAATCTTTTTTTCAGGTCATTCGTCTTGGCAGCAACGATGTCACTCTCTCATGGAGCCCGCCCTCAGACGACGGTGGCAGCCAGATCATCGGTTACATCTTAGAGAAGCGCGAGGGCAGCATGCGCATGTGGACTAAAGTATCTGCAGCCTTGACGGAATGCATGCACCGTGTCCCTGGACTGACTGAAGGGAGCGAGTATCAGTTCCGAGTCCGAGCCGAGAACAAGTCTGGTGTCAGTGAGCCACTGGAGGGAGAGAAGGTTGTGCCTAAAGGAGATTACGGTAAGTCATTTTTAAAACACAGTTTTAATATTTGCTTTTGAATTATTCTTGTCCAAAAAACACGAAAAGCTGTATGTCCTCTTAGTGATCTCTAAGTGCCATTTCTCAGGATTTTGAAGCATTGCTAGCATCATGGCTTTGGGTTTGATTCGTGGCCAAATGGTGCACATGGATTTTTGGGTTCTGACTAATGTCCTCACAAAGATATTGATAAATTAGGACACTGCCAACATAGGGCTAGATTGCTCAGTTGGTAGAGCTCCGGTATGCCATTCCAGTGGTCTCAGGTTCAAATCCCAATTAGTTTGTGGTATTTCATTAATGTTACTTTCTTGTGGTTCCAAAATGGTACCTCACAATGTACAGACCAAATCTACACCACTGAAAAAAAATTGCATGCATCGTCATTATCATCATCTTTATCATCATTGTCATCCTTATAAAAATTAGGACACAAAGCCACGCTGGCAATGTGACCTTATTTACAAAGGCTCTCCAACCGTGTTTGCTTAGGAAATGTAAAATAGCCTCTACAATATTTCCTTGATCCTAATTATTGCAGAGGTACCAGGCAAGCCGGGACCAGTCAACGTTGCCAGTATCCATGGCGACTCCGTCTCCCTCAACTGGTCGCCCCCATCCAAAGATGGAGGAGCACCAATCAGCGGTTACATCATCGAGAAACGAGACAAGTCTAGCGATACTTGGAGTAGAGTCAACGCGGCACCCGTCACCGACAGCAGTCATAAAGTACCTAGGCTCATCCATGGGACAGAGTACGAGTTCCGTGTTAGTGCGCTGAATAAGGCGGGAGTCGGGGAACCAGCTTTGACTCCGGGACGAGTCTTGGTGGAAAGACCTGCTGGTAAGTCAATTTTAAAACAACATTTTTAAATTAAATAAAAGATACAACGCCAGTTGACAAAGACACCGTGATGGTGTCGCAAGCTCCTGATACGAGTTCTGTAATCAAAGTCTCAAAAAGGTATCTTTTATTTAATTGATATAATAATGGGACAGGAAACAAACTTTCCTGCTCGAACATTTTTAAACAAACTAATGTAGACTGTAATAACTATGGCTCATGTTCACAAAAGTTTAGTATAACTGTAAAAAGAGATATTCCTAATTGTGGAATGGTTATGAAATGGATTTCTGTGGTTGTTAGAAAATGACAAATGTTCAAATTTAAAAATTGTAGAAAAATCGTTTTAAGTCTGTATGTATGCTGTTTTAATTTCAAAATCTTTGATTACTTAAGTTCTTTTGCCAATCGTTAAATAGATCAGTTCTCCTCATTTCCCATATTAACCAGATTTGATTCATAATTCAATCACTGGAATCCATTCTTCCTCTTTCATATGACATAGGTAAACATTATAGCATGTTTTATTTATAAAAAAAAATTACTGTGACAGTTTTGATGTAACCCTCCCCGGGTTGATCAATATTTGTCCTGTTTTGGATTAAAAAACAACAAAAGAGTAAATGAACTTTAATTTTCAACCTATCAGCTGCCCCTAAACTTGAGCTTGGAGCCTTGTACCACGACACCGTCACGGTCCGTGCTGGATCCAACCTCCATTTGGACATGCCCTGCCGAGGCAAACCTACCCCAACGGTCACTTGGACAAAAGATGGCTCAGACCTGGCAATAGATGCTATCAGAATCCGAGCAGCGACTAGCGAGTTTGCTACCAATCTGACTGTTAAGAACACTGGGAAGGATGACGCAGGGACATACGTACTGACAGCGACAAATAAAGCAGGGTCTGACAGTGGTACCATTAAAGTGGTAGTTTTAGGTGAGTTGAAGTTTGTTTTTTATTCGGAAGTTTCCCCTTTATGAGGCAGGAAGCCATTTAAGTTGAAGGAGTACAAAACATGAGTTTCAAAGAAAGACACAAAGACAGTACCCCAAAAGCACATCTGAGCAGTAGAGGTAAATGCTGTACATAACCCAAACTGGAAGCATCCACATTGGACTCAACACAGATCAAGTCCAATGTAGAACCACTTAGTCAGGGTGATCACAACAGATGTTGTAGTTATACATCAGTTACCCAAACTACTAGGTTATCATGTGATCATTGTGCAATGATGTTAGCCTCTCCGTGCAGCTCCTTACTCAAATATTTAAAGTAGCTTAAAGTTTTGCACTGAGTAAACAATGTACATGAAAGTCAAGTCAGTGAAGAGCAACAAGCTAATGTTGAAGTTGATATTTCTTCAGTGCCATATTTCATCAGATATCACACAGTAAAAACTAAGTATCCAAATAATTGTGTTCTCAACAGACAAACCCGGCCCACCAGAGGGTCCTCTGAACACAAGTGACATTACCAAGGATTCTGTCACGCTGTCATGGCAACCACCAACCGACGACGGAGGCAGCCAAGTCACCAATTACATCCTGGAGAAGCGCGAAGCAGAACGTCTGACATGGACGCGCGTGTCTGCGACGGTCAGAGGAACGCGCTACACAGTGACTGGACTGATCGACGGTACGAAGTACATGTTCAGAGTCAGAGCCGAGAACAAGTACGGACAGAGTGAGCCACTGAATAGCACCGATGCTGTGCTGGTCAAGAGTCCATTTGGTAAGCAAATTAATTCAGACATATCTTAATAACCAGTGTGGGCAATTTCAATGCACTGCTAACCTGGATATTTGTTAAGCACAAATAATGTTTACTTAGCACAAATGGGTTGAGTTTTTCTCAGCATATGTACATTTTCTGAGCAACATTGTTTGTTTAACGGCTCCATAAAATTGTTCGATCTAATTCTAAAGAACGGAATTAGAGATTTTTTTTGCTCAACATTTTAAGGAAATGTGTATGCGTCCTACATATCCCTCGGATGTGTTCATGGTGCATATCTCTTTATTTTGTCCAAAAGTCAGCTCGGATATTGAGAACAAGTTGTTGCCAATCGAAACACAGATATGCCCTTTGTAGCAATTTTACTGAAGTTCTTACATTATATCATTTGTCAGTGAAAAAACCAGTTTTGTTTACTGATCTTCAATAGGGATCTTTCTTCTAGAATAGATGCAGTTTGATGTGAACCTTATTTGATGAAAAGTCATGCTATTCTTAAAATAATTAAATCCATGACACTCAGATCAAACAGTAAGATCTATCAATTTGCATGGAGAACTAAATTCGTTTGGTTACGTTGAATGACTGACATTTATCACAGTTACATCCATTGCACTTTAATAATGTTACTTTATCAAAATGCTATCATTTGTCAGATGTCCCTGATGCACCTGGCATCCCAGAGATCTCAGGCGTCACCGACACTACCATGACTGTCTCCTGGAAACCGCCTCGTAGCGACGGAGGCTCCGAGATTACCGGCTACGTCTTAGAGATGAAGGAGACGTCTGGCATCCGCTGGATGCGAGCAACCAGGAAGGTCCTGAAGGAATCCAACTTTACCGTGACCGGTCTGGTCAAGGGGAGGGACTATGAGTTCCAAGTAGCTGCTGAGAATGAGGTGGGAGTGGGACCCATGAGCAGGAACTCAGCGCCAGCCACTGCAAAGACACCTGCTGGTACGTATTATGATCACAGTTTGACAAATTGTTGTTTTAGACCTTTTATAAATGCATATTTACTTTGTAATGTATAATTTGTGTTAGCTTTTTCCCCGCGGGGATAAAATGGTCGATAGAGCAAGTTTGAGAAACCTTTTTAAGTTTCAATTTTAAATTTGACATTAGCACAGAATGACAACGGGTAGAGATGGAGAGCTTATACGGACCAACTTTTGATTTTTACTTCTATAGAACAAAGCCCACTGCTTATGTATTTAAAGGACTTTCTACACAAGGCCCATACACTTTAAAGTTTTTCCCGTCTAAGTCTCGTAACAGTTGCCCTTGTGGCTGGGCAACAACTGTTGACTTTAGCAGGTTTATAATTTTCTCGTACTCTTCAGTTTTTAACCGCACTTAAAGAACAACTGTATCCTACTTTCTAATAGTAATTTTCTCGTATTCTTCTTAAAATCATGAAAAAGAAACATTAATTTGGCATCCGTTTTGTCAAGTATCAAATTTTTTTCTAAATTGGTCTCCTTTCTCAACAGAAACGGCCGAGTTCACTGAACCCCTGACAGACATCTCAGCCAAGGTTGGCAAGACCGTCACCCTAGAGTGCCGCATCTCCAACGCCAAAGCCGAGGTGAAGTGGTTCATGGACGGAGTTCAGATCTTTGCCGTAGACAGACACAGTATCATCAGGGAGGGACAGCGTAGAGCTCTTGCGATCAGAGACGTTGGACCCAGAGATATCGGAAAGTACTCATGTAAATGTGGGGACGCGTGCACAGAGGCTACAGTCAGGGTCAAATGTGAGTGCTGTCAAGGTCAAACATGACTTTCTAAATTTTAAAAATATGTAGCCCATCAAAATGTACCAAGATCTTTCTTACCTAAGATTGTCAGAATTGTAGTCAAGTTCATTGCAAGTCAAATCACAAATCCAGCAGCCGCTTTCACAAAACTTTACGTAATGGCATAACTCATCTTGCTCAACAAATTATGGTGTAACTTGCACAATCATTTAAGGTGCGTAAGTTGTGGCATTGCATCTAAAAATGAACTATCCAGCAAATTGTGATCGTCATGGAGCCTGTCATTGCACAACTTATCAAGGTTGATACAAGACACTCACAGCTGTGTGTTTTGATTTTTACTTGTGACAGAATTTTTAGAATTGCTGTACGATTCCGAAGAATTTTTCATAATGGTGGGTGGAGGTGATTCAATGACTTTTTTGTGACCAAACAAAATCATACACAAACAGCTGTTGAAAATGCTCTTATTATCCTCGTCCAAGATGTTTAGATTATTTAAAACGTTGTGCAGCTATGCCACATTTCATAAAATCGAAAGATTCTCTTAAAGTCTTTAATTTTTTTATCTTTAACATTTTTAACAATGAGATTTGCAACTTTCTTCCATTTCCAGCTGAACCAAAGATCGACCTCTCTGACTACAAAGACGTCATCACCGTCCGTGCTGGTAACATCCTTCGCCTCTATGTGCCTTTCACCGGGTGCCCAACACCGACCGCCGAGTGGTACCGTCACGACCGCCGCATCAGTGAAGACAACCGAACTAAGATTGAGAAACAAGAGAACAGGACTGAGTTGGTCATCAAGAACACCATCAGGTCTGATACTGGGCAGTACTCGCTGACCGTCAGTAATGAGGCTGGCAAACATACGGCTAACATCCATGTCATTGTTGTTGGTAGGTATTTTATTCTCCTCAATAGAATCTTTGTTTTATTGTATCCAGTATGGTCGTCACCAAAGGCAAATCCGAGAGGGGTTGCCAATGGGGAACAGCCTCTCCTTCCCCCCTTCCCCCCAAAAAAAATATGTGAAAACTCTCGGTTTGTTTGTTTTGTCATTTAAATAATTATACCATAAAAGGAGTGCAGATGACTGTTTTAAATCGATGCTACACATCCCCTTCCCCATTTCCTTATAAAATATTGATAAAAATAAGGTGTAACTCCCACCTTGGTTGTCGCAAAATTATTTGAACAAAAGTTTGGTGTTGCAAAGAATTCCCCGAAGATAGTGAGGACATAGTCTAGTATCAGAGTATTAATGGCAGAACCTGAAATTCAAAATGATTAATAGAATACTCTTCAATTGCAATTTTTTTTTTGAAGTTCAGCATGGATTATCATCCTTTAATGGCAAATCTCTGCTAGATACTGTGTAGTACATGAAGTCTGTTGATTATAATGACATATAATAATATGTCTTCATGCATGTAATGTATATAATGATATTACTGGATCACACCAAAACCTCAGTAAAAACACTTAAATCATGCCCCAAAACCTTAGTTCACCCGTCATAATTTAAACACTATTTGTTCTTTTTATTTAAAGTTGTTTATCTAATGACACATTATGCACCATAAACATATTTCATTGTGAAAATCAGAGTTTTACAGGTGTTCGTTATCGTCAACTTATCATTTGCAGATGTTCCTGGTCCACCCACTGGCCCTCTTGAGATCTCCGACATCGGCCGGTTCTCAGTCAGCCTCTCCTGGTCCCCACCACGAGAAGACGGTGGCTCCAAGATTGAGTACTACACTGTGGAGAGACGAGAGAAAGGCCGTAAGATGTGGACAGTGGCTACGACTTACGCAACTACCACGTCTTACACGGTGACGGGACTCAGTGAGAACATGGAGTATGAGTTCCGAGTGAGCGCTGAGAATATCAACGGAGTTGGTAGCCCTCTGGAAGGATCACAGGCTGTGGTCTGCAAGAGCCTCTACTGTAAGTTTTTTTGGTTTTTTACAATTATTTTGGCTAAGAAAGAAATAGACTACTGATGTAATGGAGTTATTAGAGTACGGTACTTAAAATAAGATAAGTTGATATTAGGCTTTGGCAAAGTGAGCCTTTCAATTAATTTGAAGGTTGCGTATCAGCGTTACAATTTATAAACTATTTTAAATTTTAACGTTATTGTATACTCACTGTATACTTGGTGCTGTCCGAGAACTTGCACAATAAAGATGGTCAGAGCATACTGACCGGGACGTCAAGTTTATACCTCTGGTTCTTTTCAGAACCATTCTCTTACTTGAGAAATTATTCGCACATGGTGTTTCCGCAGACCTTTCATTATTTAGTATCTCCACCATGCAAAGCCTCAAATCTTACTTACGATAAAGTTACAAGCTGGCTTTGGTGGACCTCAACCAGTGACCGCTTGTTTACTACTTCTAACCACTCAATCATCAAGTTTGCGCAGCTTGTGTGACATAATTTACATCAATGAAGGGCAAAACGAAATCCACAGTTGACATCTCCACAATTCACAAACTTCCATCCTGCAAGAAACTGTGATCTGTTTGTGTCCATTATGATTCAGTGACGACATTATCTGAACCAGATCAGATATTGCCCTCACTACACCTTGCGTACTATTTTGCGACCAATTTATTAAGAGTTGCTTCCAAGCTTTCAAACAATCGCTGTGATATCTTTCTGTTATTTTTCTTCAGCTGTGCCAAGTGCACCAGGCAAACCAGAAGTCCACAACATCTACCACGACCACATGACACTGACGTGGACCGAGCCGCAACACGACGGCGGCAAACCCATCACAGGCTACGTCCTCGAGGTCCGGGAAAACTTCAGCAGTCACTGGAAGCGCATCAACAGGGAAGCCGTGTTGGACACCACGTACACGGTCAAGGGCTTGGTGGAAGGCCATCATTACGAATTCCGGGTGACGGCTGAGAACTCCGTCGGGCTTGGCAAGCCTAGTCAACCGACGCATCCACCCAGGATTGCCAAAGACCCTGCAAGTAAGTATATCTAAATGTTTCTTTCCGTTTTGTCAAACTTTACTGTGGTGGGATTTGAAGTTGTAACCTCAGATTACTGAAATGTAACCACTTTCAACTGATCTACTTTTTCATGCCAACTTTTAATGAGGTGGAATTCAAACCTGTAAACTCCAGATTACCGTAACAGTGCTCTATCAGCCAATATTAATTGATCTACTTAGCCTGAGGGAAAGAAAAGAAAAACCCAAATTTGGGAAAAAATAAGTTCATTGAAATATATATAATATCTAATAGAAGTAGTCTTCCAATTTGTCAGTGTCCTCTATTTTGAAGAATTCTTTTTTTTACATATTATGATTGTTATGATTTATTATTTACTCAATGTGGTCCAAATTTCGGCAAAATCTTTTAAATTGAAAAAAAAAGTTGTAAACATCATTTTGTAATCTTTGTCATTTTTCTCCGTTATCCTCTTTTCTCAACGTCACTTAGGACGGCCATCCCCACCCGGCTTCCCAGCCATCAAAGACGTCACACCGACCTCGGTCAAGCTCAGCTGGACCGTGCCATTCTCCGACGGGGGTCAGCCCATCACCCACTACACAGTAGAGCGTAGGAGGAAGGGCTCCTATGACTGGACAGACAAGATGACCGCCCCTACTAACTCCTGTCATGTTGAGAACCTGACTCCCAACGTGGAGTATGTCTTCAGGGTTTGTGCTGTGAATGCTGCTCAGATGGAGAGCGATCCTAGCAAAGCATCAGAGGCATTCGTCACAAAAGAATCACTCCGTAAGTAATCAAAAATATTTAGTAATTAGAAAATATAGAGACAAAGCTATGTTATTGTTGTAGGCTTGCCTTTGTGTCATTTTTTATACACTTTTATTAATATTTTAATTTACAGACTTTTTTAGATTGTGATTAATTAAAAGAAAAAAAGGTTAATTGACACATTTTTTTCGTACAAAGTGAATAAGTGTCTGTCTTTTGTTACCCTTTTTAAGTGAGCAAAATTAAGAAGTTAAAGTAAGCATCAGCTTTTATGGTTTTACAAGCCTGTTTTTATTTTTTGCTAACACATTGAACAGAGACCTTGGCATGAATTCCTTTGTTTTTTAAGTCATTGGTATTGCACAAGTAATTTAAAAACTGTATCTTTTACATTATTGTGTCTCTCGTTACAACTGATTAAAGTTGTGGAGTATGTGATCAGCCATTTCATTTGACAATTTGAATCCTTCTTTTTTTCGTAGCTGGAGTACCACCAACATTCACTGAGGAACCACACAATGTGATGGTTGCAGAGAAGAGCAAAGCTGAGTTTACCTGCAGAGTTGCGGGCACACCAACGCCACAAGTGGACTGGTAAGTTTCACATTTTTAAATATCGGCTACTACTAAGAAATTGGTAGTTTGAGGGGTGCCTTTTGGCAAATACAAACATATACCACATACCCTACGTTGTTCTGGGCCATCAGCAGCCCGAAACCCTCTGCCAATTATTTTGTGGATTTTCCCGTTTTCCCCGATCTCACCTCTGAATTTGTCAACAAAAAGTCATTGTAGAACCCTAGCCTGTAGATAGGAGGGTGTGGGTTTGAGTCTCACCCGAGCAATGTAGTAACTTTCTTTCTTTTTTTCAGAAAAATTCCATAGTATTATGCTTACATTAAATTAAGGAAGTACACATTCTCAATTTTGAAAAAAGTAAAAAACACCTGTTTCAGACTGGCATTCTAGAGTCACACAGAACCAAATAATACCGAAGATTTTAATTAGGTACAAAAAAAGTTCAATGTGTGAAGCGGTTAGGTGCAACTACGTCGGAAGATACTACATCCTAAACATAGCTAGAGGGGTGTTTCACAAGACATGAAGTAAAATTGTTGAACGAAATCGTTAGAAATTATTATTTTTGACTTGTTTTGACTTTTTGACCGAAAGGTATTTATGAATAGGAATTTCAGCTTGGGCCTTTATCAGCGTCCAGGTTCCTAGCCGGCTTTAAACGTGCCTGTTTAAAACCAACCAACCACATATTTATTCCCTTATGAAATAGTCAAGCTTATAATGATTTTCAATCTAAATAAGCTTGCTACTTTAAGCTGTTTAGACAAACCGTTACATTTGTATCTTGGTTGTCACAGGATCCGTAAGGGAAGGGAGCTATTCACCGGTCGCAAGTTCAGCATAACAACAGACAAGGATGGTCTACACAGATTGACCATACACGAAGCTAGGGAGATGGATAGTGGAATGTACACGGCAGTGGCACAGAATGAGAACGGGAAGGTCCGAGCATCTGCAGAGCTCCACATCAAATGTAAGTGACAATTGGCATTGTTTGTGTATACATTGTATCAAGCATGTTTATAGATGCACAATATTGCCCCCAGTTTGTAATATGTTAATGAGTAAATAATGACTTGTACTGGCACTTATTCCTGCACATTGGTATTAGGATGTGTCCAGATAGATATTGATTGATTGTCTTATGAGATGTATTTCTTGGGTTATTATGAGAAGAACCTGTTAAGTTTTTTTCAGTAAAATGGAGAATGTCCAGTTTATACTTCAAATTTATGCAAATATGAAGCAAAGTTGATGTCACAAAGTATGTGCAATAAAATCACAGGAATTGAAGTGAGTAGCACACAACTTGCCTTAACATCACAAATTGTGCATTTGCCTCTCCATTTGTGCTATGCAGGCACTGTTGCTCAAAACTATGTGTAACACAAACTTACTATACTTGTACTAATGTCACAACTACAAAACCCTCCATCAATTAACCTGAATGACTTGAAACGTATTTCGCAATATAATCCCAACTTGTGCCTTCATACAGCGCTGCCATCACTCGACCTGGACCGCCGCATGAGAGACTTCAACATCCGTGCCGGCAGCACTCTCCACATCACCATCCCCTTCACCGGCACACCCAAACCCACCCTGAGGTGGAAGAAAGAAGACGGAGAAGTGATGGAGACTAAAGGACGTTACCGCATCGATGCCTCGGGAGGCGAGGCCGACTTGACTATCAGAGAGACAGAGAGAGAGGACAGCGGCATCTACACCCTGGAAGCTGAGAATGAGTTTGGAGTCCAGCAGGTCTCTGCTAAAGTGCATGTCGTTGGTAAGAATATTGGAATTTCTTTTTGTGCATAGATTTCGGGAAAATACCGAAAAGTGAAAGTGTTCTTTTTATTTTTGTGCAATATGCATGAGTACCTTGTGATAGAGCTCATCTTACAAGGGTGAAGACCGGTAAATAGGCCCAAAATTCCCTTCGCATTCCAAATCATGATTTGTGTGCCCTAAATTGTTTTGCTAGTAGAGCTAATTTAAGATCATCTTTGGATGGAATTTTCTCCCAAAAGTCATCTGATTACCACCTGAAAATTGAACAGAAAATGGAAGATGATGAAATGAGCTTTAATTTGATGGTGTCTCAAACACCTTGGAGAGTTACAAGTATTTTGAATAAATTTTGGAAGTGCGAGTATTTATCACTGAGGTCCACTGAAGTCGATTTACTGGCCTAACAACAAGGACTACCTAAAGCCATCCCCTTTATAGCAAGAGTTATACTTATTTAATACGGTATTATATAAATTTACGACTTTTTTTGTGTCAAAAACATGATAAACAACAACTGAACACTTGTATTATTGTAGTACACTTGTGATTCATTAAATATCCTCAACACAGAACAAAATAATTTGAGACATGAGCACTCATGATCATTTTACAAATGTTTCTGAAAGTAGTGCTTTTGGTTTTCATAAATTATCAAACTTTCCTAAAACTACATTTTCTGTGAGAGGTTGCTTACTGTGAATTGCCATAATTATTTCAACTCCAGATAAGCCAGGCCCTCCCACTGGCCCGATCCACACTGTAGAAGTCAGCAAGAAGTCCATCACATTGTCGTGGCAACCACCGCTCGATGACGGAGGAAGTCCCATCCTACGTTACATCATAGAGATGAGAGAAGCAAACAGGTGCAAATGAGATAAAAAATTAACTTCCAAAAGAAAAACTCAAAACAAATTTCATTTTGATTGTTTTCTTTCTGCTCAGTGTTGTATCGCCCTTTCAACTGAGTTCCAACACCTTAAGAAACTTTGAATCGCTTAAGAGCACTTATACCGTTATTAGTTTTCAGAAGATTTTTTGTAAAAGATCCATTGTGATGTTAAGAAGGTTAAATAAAAAAAAGGTTATTATTTCAATGATAATATCTAAGAAGACTCTTTTAAGACTTTGATTGATTGCTATTACAAATAGCTTTCTCAATATTGTTTTCCACAAGACGTACTAGTATAAGCAATTCTATTGGTACCTCTCATAGATAAAAAGACCTTCACCAAGCCAGTTTCATTGGTTTTTTCCCCTAGAACTATTTGGCAGAATGCTGGCTCCGTGTCATCAGCTACTGAGCATACAGTCGGCGGTCTCATGGAGGGCACTGCCTATCTATTCCGTGTCTCCGCTGAGAACCAATATGGCACCAGCGAGCCTCTGATTGGGCGGGAGTCAGTCATGGCAAAGGCTCCTTATGGTCAGTTCCATTGTCCATATTCCTGACAAATTGGTGTTGCTATTGATGTTACATTTAACATTTAACGTTTCTTCATTTTCTATAGGGCCAATTCGATAAAAAAATTCAAAAGTATGAGAAAGATACCAGTATATAAAACTGACCAATTTAAACAAGATAAGCGTCAGCTTTGCAAGAATACATCCAATACCACAATATTAAAAAAATAGGAGTGAGCTTTCCCATGTAAATTGTTCTTGAAAAGGCTTTCATATATACTGTATTCCCAAAGCGACGCTATTACAGTGTCTCCAAGTTTGTGAAAATGTTAAGTTTGTGGAAAAATCACAACAGTGGGTATATTCGCTAGAAAGTTCAAATGTGCAACTTTATTTGAAGTTGTCACGAGGCCAACCACAACAAAATTAAAATCGTTGGGTGCATTCCTTATAAAGTTGGATTAATCCCTATTTCATGTTAGACAGTGCAATTACTTGCTTTACCAACCATTTATTGTTACAAATGTTAACACTTTTTGGTATTGTTTGTTTTGTGTTTGTCTCCTAAAGATGTTCCTAGTGCTCCAGGTAAGCCCACAGTGTCCGACATCCAACGTCACTCTGTCCATCTCCTATGGGTGCCACCAGACTCAGACGGAGGCAGCCCAATCACCAACTACATCATCGAGAAGAGAGAGACAACGAGTACACGATGGTTCCGTGCAAACAGAGAAGAAGTGACAGGAAACAGTCACACGATCATCAATCTCATCGAGGACTCTGAGTATGAGTTCCGTGTGATCGCAGAGAACAAAGCTGGCTTCGGTCCGCCGAGTGCTTCCTCACAGAGAGTGGTGGTCAAGGATCCAAGAGGTTTGTTAGCACCTACGATGTGGTTATCTTCGAAAACTTGTGCATCTCTCTCAGTCTCTGTGTTGCGTATATGTACACTGGTCAGAATCTTTTAAGGTTTTGAATTGAGCAATAGCAATTCTAAAAGTACGAACAACTTGCAAAAAAATGAAAAACAGGCACAATTCTTTTTTTGGATAGAGGAAAATGTTTTAGTCCTGATTACATTTTTTTTACAATCTTTCTTGTCCCTGAGATTTGCATACTACATTTTTATAGAAGCCTTTTATAGCTACTTTCCATTAACTTTCTCAAGTACAAGTCAAACCCAAAGACTTCCAGCTTTATGAAACACAAAAGAGAAAATTAATCAGTTGCTCTGGATCCAAATCTTGTCATTTATTGCAGTACAGTCCAGCTGCAGACCTCTGCAGTTACGATGGACGTACCATTGTTACTGGCACAAAAGTCATCTGCCATTGGTGTTTAATCATCAAAGATATCTTTTTGAGTCGAAAATAAGATAATTATAATTTTCTGTCCCTAACCAACAAAATAGGCCATTCCATTGGGCGTGGGAAACAACAGGTGCGGGTCACCAATGCCACACTAAGTGTTCCAGACACATGTGTCATATTCAAGTACATGCATGACCGACATTCTACATGCACCGATCTTTGTACACCGGCAATCGTGAACCCCCTATTGTCCCTAATCCTCATTCCTTTGTTTGTACTGTAACTTTTTAGCAACAGTTCTCTTTGGTTTTCAATCGTAGATTATCGGTCAATCGTGGACCCTTTGTTTGTGCCCATCCCTTTTGTCCCTAGTCCACGATTGCCGGTGTTTACATACTTATGTCAGATGTTAATCATTGCGGCGCTCATTGGATTGGTCTATTTCCCTTATCAATATGAATGATGTTTTCACTCATTGTCTTATTTATCTCACCCGCAGGATCCATCCCAGCCGCCTTCGTCCGTACTCCACACTCCATCGCCGTCACCCAAGGCAGAGCAGGCACCTTGGAGTGCGAGGTAGCTGGCTACCCCTCTCCTCAAGTCTCCTGGTACCGTCTGGGCCGTGAGATCCGTGACGGCAGGAAGTATAAGATCCGAGCCTGCGGTAACATCCATACGCTACAGATCAGTGACGTCTATGATGAGGATACTGGGGAGATTACGGTTAAGGTCACGAACAAAGCTGGGTCGCAGACGGAGAAGGCTGATGTCCAGATACAAGGTATGGCTTTCACGATTCCACCTTTTCCTATAACTTACATGGGTAGTTCGATAAATTTGGGATCCACTCTTTTTCCTGGCCCTGTTACATATCTGACATTTATGTTTCTATAATTCTGATGCAGCCCTCAAGGCAGTCGTCTTCCAAGAGTAGTTATGAATAGCTAACTACTTACGCAATAAATTAAGAATCATCTGAAGTCATTCTTTTATACTTGAATGGCAAACTACAAAGTACCAAGGTAACAGGGACAGGAAAAATGTTACACTTTGTTACTTTTCTTGAAGGAACAAGTAAACGATTGCAATGAGACCTGTATACATTAACATTTCTGCTTTTGGACCAAATCAACAAATGTTGAATACTGTGAGGTTGAAATTAAGATATTCAAAAAATTACGTATTCACTTATAATTTGATTTTGCATATAGGAATGAACTCTTTTTGTTACAAATTCCTTTACATTTGATTTGCTGTGTTAGTATCCTTGGGATACAAAATATGTTGTCGTATAGAGAGACTAACAAACTTAGAATGGATAGCACAGTCTGCAGCCTAATATGGTGTTTTAGATCTTGCAGGGTCAAAATCCTACTCCAGTCAGTTTCTTAGTTTATTCTTCTATTTACAACTTTTCTAAACCTTGCATCGTCTTTTTCTCTCAACCCACAGTTGCTCCTAAAGTCAACGTACCGCCTCGCCTCCGCGTCCCACTTGACTGTCTTCAAGGTGAGATCTTGAAGCTTCGCATACCCTACTCTGGCATCCCTCTACCCACCATCGCTTGGGACCGTGACGGAGTGGACATCAAACCCGCCGGTAACCTGGAGATCAAGACTAGCGACAAGGAGACCACGCTGTCCATCAATAAGGTCACCAAGGAGGATGCTGGGAAGTATACCGTGGTGGCTACTAACGAGTTGGGATACGAGTCAGCCAGCATCATCATCAACATCCTGAGTAAGATCATTATGATTTTGAAGTCTGTAATTAGATATTTAAGATTGAGTGTTTTAGCACTCAATCTTAAATATCTAAAATATCTGTCATTAGATATTTAAGATTGAGTGTTTTAGCACTCAATCTTAAATATCTAATTACAGACTTTACAATCAAAATTTGGTCAAAATAAACAAAAAATTATTTCGACCAAATTTTCTTTGGTGTCAGTTTTCTGGAGCTACTAAGAAGAATGTTTTGCTGAGGAAATTTGTGCTTTGTGCCTCCATTGCATTGCCTCTCCAAGAAGTTTTTTCATAACAAAACTTTGAACATCGATTGTGAAGATTTTAGTAACAAAACCCTAGTTCAAGCGATCTGGACTCAACTTATGGAGCTGCTTTGTCAGGTCTATTTCTTAGAAAGCTTGAACTGGATAATCGTTTTACTCTTGATTTACTTTCATCTCATTTGAGTTTTCCTCACTTTGATTTCCTAGGGCATCCCGATCCACCTCGTAACCTGGAAGTCCTCGACGTTACCTCGGACACCGTCCGTCTCTCATGGCAACCACCTCTCCATGATGGAGGTAGCACCATCATCAGCTACGTGGTCGAGAAGCGCGACGCTGGATCCAACACCTGGGCTCGCTGCATCACTAGCAGAAACTGCTTCCACACCATCGTCGGGTTGAAGTCTGAGTCTGAGTATCAGTTTAGAGTCTCAGCAATGAATTCCTATGGTGCTAGTGAGCCTTGTGAGGCATCCTCTGTCATTGCAACTAAACGTAAGTTGGTAATTTTTTATCTTTATGGAATTTGTTTGTTGCAAGGCTAGAACGCCACTTGATGTAAGAGCTATTAAAGAAAAAGTGGAATAAAGAATAAAGAATTAATTTCTGAAGAAGTACGTTTAGGTTTTTGGCAAAATTTACTGATTTTATGTAAGCCCTCTATTTTTTCTCTGTAGTACTTTATAACAAAACAATACAAAAATGTAACATTTTTTTAAAATTTTTATTTTAAAGTTGAGCAAAGACTGGGGTAGGGTTTGAACCTGCAACCCCTGGATTACCGATTAGCGGGGTTTGGACCTGTGACCTACGGATTACCGGAACGTTAATCTGGAGCATAGGGTTTCAAACCCCACTCCAGGCTATTTCTTTGTTCAACTTTCAAATTATTCTAATGCACCTCTCAATGCAGTCTCTCATTGTAGTTTGTTGTAAAAACGATTCTTGTGTTTTCCACCCTTAGAGTTGTTTTAGCTGTTAACGCTAAATAAGTTGTTATATTTTGTACTGCAACAGCATCAGCCTTGACTCGTCCAGAGCTAGAGGACTACGAAGCCAAACGTCGCTACTACGACTCCCTGGTTGATCTGAGCTGGGTCCCATCACGGTTTGACTACATCAAGCGATTCGGCTCTGTCTATGATTACTATAACATCTTTGAAGAACTCGGAAGGTAAGTACCTCTTGCTGCCCTAGCCCAAAATGGAGTTCATCTCTTTGCCTCCAAGTACATGCTGCTTCCAAATCTGTGGTCTAGAGCTGTTGTCTTGGCCTTTGCCTATTACAACTACTTAGGAGCAAGCTGGAAGCCTGTTTCAGACACGGCATAAGTTAGAAGTTCAGCATTAAGTTAGGCAAGATTTTATTCTCAAATCTTATATCTTATATGCTGTTGAAGATAGCAAAACCTTTATCCAGGGTCAAATGTAGTTCCTTATTCTCAATCTTTTTTTTCAAGACATTCAGCCATGGCAAGCATCCGTGGGTATTGATTTCTACACCTGTTGCAGACTGACATTTTACAGTCTTGTCCTCCAACTTATAGTATGAGCGACGCAAAGTGACTCAAACAGAATTTGATTGCAGATAGTTGAACTTGATGTATTAATTTCCCATTGACTAGACTCTGGAGTCATTCCTAATAAATGTAACAGTTGATCTTCTGCCGAAGTTGCTCCTAACTGTTTCAAATGTCAAATATTTCATTTAGTTCATTGGAATCTTCAGAATAATGTTCTTCTGGAACGGTCTAAACAAATATGACATATCTTGATACAAAATAAGCAAATCAAATTTATCTTTTAGTGTTGTAGATTTTTAATGAAATTCTTGCATTTCATATTTGACTTTCCTGAAACTCATGTTTTTCCCTTCACAGAGGGTCATATGGTGTGGTCTACAGAGCCGTCGAGAAGGCGACAGGCAAAACGTTCGCCGCCAAGTTCCTGCGCTGCCAGGGTCACGAGAGAGACGTCGTCAAACGAGAAATCGATATCATGAAACGACTCCATCACCCGGCATTGCTGTCTCTTCATGAGGTGTTTGAGAACGATGAAGAGATGATTATGATCATTGAATTGTAAGTCAAATCCCACTCACACAGTGTGACGAACAGTTTAAAAGCAAAGATTCTTACTATTTGAAAGTAGATCTTAGTTGAAATTCAACCATCTTATTCTTTTGATTTGGTTGTTGTTTTCACTGTTTGACTAAGTGGAGTTTCCTCAAAATTAACTCTGAGAGCATACTGTTCTTAATATTCAGTTAACGGGTTCTATTTCACACATGAAGGATTCACACAATTTACATTTTTTTTTTAGTTCAGTGGAATTGTTTAAAAGTTCAAGAGTCTAATTTCTAAGAAACCGTTTAGAATAATTTTCACAGACTATAACCAGTGAAGCTAATCTTTCCTGCTTGTTTACCACCATCGTTTGTGCTCCACAGCTTGTCTGGGGGTGAGTTGTTTGATCGTCTGGTCGATGAGAGCCACATCTTGACTGAGCCTGAAGTGGTTGACTACATGAAGCAGATCTGTGAAGGAATCAGACACATGCATGAGAAACACGTCCTGCATCTAGATCTCAAGGTAAGATACAGCCAAAATGTCTTCAGAGAATTTATCATTGGGCAAGTATTGATGAGGTAAAATAATGTACCTAGATATAACATGACCGCTCATTGTTTTGAAAAGAACTTAATAATCTGGAGAATCAGCGTGAAGGAGTTTTGCCATAGTATAATGTACCTCCTTTTTGATTTGTGCATGGTTTTAAGGAGGACCAGTAAAGTTGATATTTTGGTCAGCGTACTAGCTCTGTCTGTCTTGGAGAAAAGGAAACTCATAAATTTCAGAACTGATTGTTGCTTTTGGATTATGGTATGAAATATAAACAACTTGTCAAACGACCATTCCTTGATTTGGATTTTTGATTTTTGATTTTGGTTTTTTGATTTTGGATTTGAGTTATTGCAAGTTTCAAGTAGAAGAAAATTATTTCACATGAGACTTTCCAAAGACTTCACTTTTTTTAAAGCAAGTACTATTTTTTTTCAGCCGGAGAACATCATGCTCCGTACGCGTACCGGCAATGACGTGAAACTGATTGACTTTGGTCTAGCCAGAGAACTTGATCCTCATGAGCAAGTGCGTGTCATGTTCGGCACGCCAGAGTTCGTTGCCCCAGAGGTCGTGAACTTTGAACCCATTGGTCTACCCTCAGACATGTGGTCACTTGGAGTGCTGTCTTATGTCATGTAAGTTTAAAGATGAACTCCTTGTGTGTGGTTTCCCAATATATATATTAACTTAAAATGATGCCTTGTTGCGATGAGAAATGGATATATTGGCCTGTTGTAATAGAGCATTATTAAAGTTCCAATTTTTAACCCTAAAAAGGCTAGCACGTAATTTTGTTTTTTAGACGAACTTTTATGGGTTTGTAAACTGATGTCTTGTGAATGTTTTGACACCACAAAATGTCAAATTGTCAACGTGGGATACAGAAAAATCTTTTGTTTTCCGTTGACTGTGTATAGAACAATGCACTTATTGGTGAATGAAAGCTTGCAATATTAACGATCATAATTTTAAAAAAAACGCTTTGTCAGATTGAGCTAAATCTGTAAATATGAATTAAGCTGAAATGTTTCTACTTGCATACCAAAGTTCATAACTAGTGATTACTGCATTTCTGAGATCGGAAATATTACAATTGTCTGATCATTTATTTTAGGCTGAGTGGCATTTCACCATTCATGGAAGAGTCCGACATTGACATCCTCAAGAGCGTATCCAAAGGAGAATGGGACTTTGACGAGGAAGCATTCGCTGATGTTTCTGATGAAGGATTGGATTGGATTGAGAAGATTCTCATCAAAGACAAGAAGTAAGTTTGTGTATCATTAATTTCGTTAAGTTTCTGATTATTTATCTGTGATTTATCTTTTGTTAATCATTGTTACTATTTTTGTGAAAATTTACAATTTGAAGGAAATTTATTTAATTAATAAATTTATTTAACAAATCCCTTTTCAGATTTATTCCAGGAATAAAAATGCCTGTGATTTGGCATATTAATTCTAAAACGTGACAAGTAAGCATTTTTCTTGTCTTTTGCCTTTTTCTCTGTAAACTTTTACTGTTATTTCTCCTTTAGCAAACGGATGACAATCCAAGAAGCCCTGGCCCATCCATGGCTCAATGTAAGTGATTCAGTACCTTTTTTTGAAATTGTAAAGTTTAAGTTGTGTGTTCCTCGGCCTTTCAGATTTAGAACAATCATCACGAAAACGAAGCAGGTTTTACATTCCAGAAGACCCTCAATAATCTAAGTGATTATAAGTGTTTGACGTAAGAGTTTACAAGATTGTTTGATTCTTAACCTAACTGTTTTTTCAATTACAGATGGACACAGATACCCTCGCAAGAAGACGTGCCCGACGACTCAACTCCAGGCGTCTCAGAAAACTGCACGAGAAACGCAAGCCAGAGGTAAAACTTCTACCTTCTCAAATCGTTTACTCTAACTGAGAGGAATCTAGTTGCATACTTTTCCTTAAAGAGTTACTTCATCTTATTAATTCAAATGTTCATTTTGTTTTAGGGAGCTGGACAGACCATCAATGCACTTGGCCGCCTGGCTCATGGGGGCGCTCTTCGTGAGATTCACAAGGTCTACCGTGGCCAACCCCTACACGAGAGGGTAGTCTACATGGGTAAGTTGCATCTTTCAGGAGGAGCTTAAGAGATCTTTTTGGTGCATCAGCAGCATTTAAAGGCATGCATTTAGGATCATTTACCATTTATGCATTTTGTTCGTTTCCAATAATAACACCGCTGAAAAATGAAGAATATTCAAAACCTAACCATTGAAGTTTAAGGTCAGTGGATACTTTTTTGAGAAAAGAATATCCAGGACATAGATTTTGAGAAAACAGCAAAAAAGAAATACCCAACATTTTGACACTAACATGATTTTGTCCATAGCACTCTGTATTTCCGAAAATCAGTCAGTTGACTAAAATATGAAGAAAATCACCTGCACTTCTTGAATTCTTCAAATGTCAGCAAGCCAGACAGAATAATTACACAGGATATTTAGTACTAGTACGATCTTTAATCCAAGTAAGCATTTTGATAATAATTTGGTAGGTTACTTTTTGGGATAAATGCAAATGATCCTATATGCCTGTAAGGACCTTTTTATTTGGAACGCTATTTATTTTATTTGAGTCAGAAGATGACAAAATAAATTGATTTCTTTATTTCCAGATGTGCGTGATGCTGCCCCTAAGTTTGTAGTCCCTGTTGAGACAACCACAGCCATCGAGGGCAATGCAGCTCGCTTCGAGTGTGAAGTCTCAGCCCTGACCGAGCCCCTCATTACCTGGTTCAAGGGTAAAACACCCCTCCAGATTGGAATCAAGTACAAGATGCTGTATGATGATCGCAAGTACACACTGGTCATTCAGGACACCAACGTTGATGATGTAGGGGAGTACACCTGCAAAGCGGTGAACTCGTACGGATCGGCAACGTCAGTGGCTTCACTGGACATTGAACGTAAGTCAGAGTTTCTGAATATCCTGAATTCTTTACTTCTTCTAAAATGACGTATTTTAGTGAAATCTTGATAAGTCAAACCTCAAGGGAACAGGTTCAAAATTTGACTTAAGCAAAGTTTTGAGTTAAGCAGGGTTGTATATCATTGTTATACTACTGAAGGCAATGGATTCTTTGTTTTGACTTGACAGTTTTTTGAGTTATCAGGGTTTGACTTATGGAGATTTCACCGTAATGTGTTTCCTTCTTTTTTGGGGAGAAATTGTAGGATGCATTTATGAATCCCTTGTCAGTCCTCCTGTGAAAGTTAAGAGAAGTGTATACTATCTTATTTTTGTAGTACTTGATGAAGAGGAGTTGGAGCGACGTGGAGAAAGACGAACCCTTGAAATGAAGAGACAGAAGTAAGTTTTGTGCGATGATTTGTTTGTATTTTGAACAATTAAACAGTTTCCTTTTTTTTTATTATTCAAATCGTGTTTGTTAGACAACAGCTTTTCAAATATATGTTACTGAATTTTTTTTTCACTTTCAAATCCAGTACACTGGCATTTATGCAATCATTCAAAAATATAAATTCAATACAAATAGAATACAAATACTTTGGAGGAGCTCTGACCCACTTCAAATTTTGAGGGCTAAGCATTTATTTAAATCACTTTACTTCAAATGTACAGTTGTGAAGGGAGTCGTTTTAAACAAGTACAAAATCTTAACGCATAAAAAACTGGCTAATATAAATAACTTCCAAACTTTAGAATATATATTACAACAAACATTAACAAGAAAAGCAGGCATGCCATTGTTAGTCATGAACAGTTTTCTTTTATGATATTTTCTAGCAAAGATTTCCTGTTTGTTGTAATCATTGTTTGCTAGGATCCCTCTTGGTGAGCGTGCTCGTCGTCTACGCGCCATGCAAGCTGAGATGGGAGCTGACCAACCCCCACAGTTTGTCAAGACACTACAAGACAAGGAATGTGGTCTAGGATTCATTCTACCACTCTCATTTGAAGGTAAGAATATAACATCCATTGCATACTGGCATTACAGACTTACGCTGAGCCAAATTATTTGATAGATAAAAATTAAGTTCCACGTTTGAAACAGGAGTGAATACATACACAGGTCATTGAAAATTGTCCGTTGTAGTCACTTAGAATGACTCCAGAGTCTTGTCAATGGAAAATTGATACACAAAGTTTGCCCGTCTGAAACCGAAAGGTATTTTGCTTGATCGTAGTGGCTCCTAATACGGTTTTATTTGGCGCGACTCTGAAGCACCTGTCTGGAACAGGTGTTAGCCTTATCTTAATAATTCAATGTTCTTACGTGTTGTTTGCATCACCCTTGAACAAAAAATCTTGTTTTAAATTTTGTTGAAAGTTCAATTCGTGTTATTATCCATTGACCCTGAATGTAAGATCCTGTTTCTAACATAGAATTGTATTTCATTCATACATTAATTGCCTTTGTTTTGATATATTTTACACCCGATTTTCTTTTTAAAAAAATTCTTTGATTACTTGTTGCTGACCTTTTCCAAACATTTTTGTAAACATCCTGTGAGATTTGCATTTCTACCTTTGATCCACTTGAAAATTGTGAATAAATCATATCTGTCATGATTAAGAGTTCGGGTACAGTACAGAGTACACTCATGAAGAATGAAAAGTACGAGTTTTGGGTTAATGTACATTCATGGTGCCAAAGTCAATTTCTCACGGTTGTTAAAATAACTGCGTAAGCAAACGGCTTCCCTCATTAATGTATACAAGGACGTCTATTCAAAACCTGCATAAAAATCTGGTTGGGGAAGGCCATTCAACAGAACATTGTCCGGTTGTAAATTGTGTGACTGAGTGCGAATGGAAAGGATTTTATTGTACTGAAAACTCCTCATAAAGGTTTCCACACTGTACAAGTTACAAGGAGTTATCGCTGTGCCCTGTATAAACATTGTGGCAAGTTTCGTGTCTGACTTGTTGCTTACTTGATTTGAAACGGTCGTCCTCATGATGTGCAACGTCTGATTCCACAACGTCTAATTCCACAATATACAAGTTACAAGGAGTTATCGCCGTGCCCTGTATAACATTGTGGCAAGTTTCGTGCCTGACTTGTTGCTGACTTGATTTGAAACCTCATGATGCGCAATGTCTGATTCCACCATCAGTGACCGTGCCACCAGAACCAACCAAGGTGATCTGGTATCTCAACGGTAAACAGCTGAAGGAAGGACCGCGCTACAAGTTCTACGTGGACAATGGTACCTACACATTGGAGATCCAGGAAACAACACTTGATGATATGGGTGAATACTGCGCTGAAGTGACCAATCAGACGGGAACGTCAATCACAAAGTGCAAAGTGGCTGTAGATGGTAAGAAATAATGCTGAATTTGAGTCTTAAACTGAAGTATAAGGTGGTAAAGTAGAAATTAAACCTGAGAAACTAGGCGATGTGGTCTGAGTGTTTGAGTTTTTGATATCAGATAGGACTCTGAGTATTTGGACAAAAAAAAATTGTTCAAAATGTCAAAATATTTGCAAAAGGACACAAACTTGGTTCAGAGTCTTGTAGTCAATATTTGTTCATTTCTTGCTTACCTCTGACGTATATCCTACTCATTAAAAAAATACTCAGTTAACATAACATTGGTTGTATGAATGCATGGATGTAGCTGGTCCGTCGGAACGGAGCCTTGTTTTTATGCCAAGTCATATTCTGTTGGTAAAGCAGCACTTGGATAACTTCCATTGACTTGATATTTTGTGTACAGCCAATTTCATGGACAAGTATGCAGGCTATGTCAGACCGCGCTTTGTACAACGTCTACGCGATATCCTCATCGTTGAGGGCAGTGCAGCAAGACTGGAATGTAAAGTCACCGGTATGCCGGATCCAGAGATTAGATGGTAAGATTCCCATCAGTTTTAGACCAAAAAATAATCGAAATATATCTTTCAAAAATTTCTTTTTAAAGTTCAAGTTTTAAAATAGTGAGCACAGTATTTATATCTAAGCGTAGTTATTTTGAGTACATGTAATTTTGTGATTTGTGATGTTGAAAAAGTATGCTCACAGCTAAAAAAGAGTTTTAGCGCACATGTTTATAAGAATGGTACAAACACACACAAATTAACCAAAAAAAGAATAAACTGTCAAATTCTTGTGATAAATGAGACTTTCTGTGGCTTAACTTGACAGAAATGGAAACTCAATGACATTCAAATTCATGAAATTGTACTAATTTTTAAAAACGTCCTAGTTTATTGTTACAACAACTTTAAAATGCAAGAAAAGCATTATGAAACAATTAACTGTCCTATCACATTCAACACAGGTTCAAGGACCACAAGGAGATTGAAGATGGCACCCATTACTCTATGGAGTTTGATGATGAGGACACATGCACCCTGATCCTGCAGGATGTGTTCTTGACAGATGCTGGAACCTACACCTGCCAAGCTTCTAACCTCCTTGGTCGTATCTCCTGTGACTCACACGTCAAAGTTGAACGTAAGTTTTTGCATGATTTTTCATCTTTGTTTCACATTTTTAACACTATGAATGGCCTTGTAAACTTTTGTAAGGACACAAAAACAAATCCCCCGTCCGAAAAAAAAAGCTAAGAAGATGATAAAAGATAAATAATTTCTATCTACGGATTCTCGGTAGATCAAATGGTGTATGGAATTATTTGTTGTTAAATTTCATCAATAAATGTGATCATTGGCATTTAATCAAATTTAAACAAATCGAAGAACAAATTGTCTACCTAAGACAACATGACATTATGCTTTGTTAACATTCATGCTTTGTTTACATGCATGCTTGTTATGTACAGTGCGGCTAAGTTGTAATGTTAACAATGACGTTTCAGTAACTATTTCATAGATCTACTAACAATTAAAAACTTATTTGTTATTTGTTTCCTACATTTACTGATAACGTAATTTAGAAACTTTGTGAGTTTCACTTGCATCAATTTTTAACTTGGAACGCCTTAGTTCTTAGTGTTGTGAAACAGTTGCATTAAAAGTTACCCTATTTCAGCATCGGCTTGTTTAGATCGACTTGATAAGTAAAACACTCAAAACTACATCAAGAATATCTTGGATATTGATTTTATCCACACATTTTCTCAAAATGTGATCAACAATTATAGTGCCCTTGATTTTTAAGCTGATTGTAATAATTGGTCTTAATCAGGATTACCCCTTTGCAGTTATAGCACCTTGTGGTTAAGCTGCTTAATCCAGACATTAAGCAGATTATCCCTCTACAGTTATATTCGATGTGCAATAACCCCAAATATAAGGATAGTTCAGCTTAAAATAAATAACGCCCCTGCTACCTGTAGGCTCATAGGTTTTTCAGTAACTGGAATTTCAAAGGGAAATAACTGTTTCTGTATACATTTCAAAGAAGGGGGAAGATTTTGGCATTTGGGAAAGATGAACAGTTCTTCTTTTGTGGTTCAATGTTTGACATAATATTAAGTGGTTTCAAACTTAAACCGAAAAGTAACAAAATTAAATGCATCATTGTCACTCAATCTATTTTTTAACCCCTTTTACGTGTACCGAACCTACCATAAACTTAGTTTTATAAAGCTGTGGCGCAAGTCCAAATGTTTGAAATTTATACCCAAGTGTAAGCGAATGGAATGCATTGTTCTGGTATAATCTGACTCTTTCCCGGTTGCATATGCATAAGGCTATTGCCTGCTAGTATTAAATATCAGTTACTCTTTGTGTAAGCTCTATCAGCTTGGGATGTGAATTGTTCAGTTGGTTGCAGAGGTTACATGGTAGAGTTTGGCAATTGAGGATAAAATGTGGTAGCGTTTGGAATTCAACTGAAGCTTAACTTTGAACAGCATTAGGTAGGCCTATCTATAGATAGCTTAATCGATAATAGTCTGATGTAGGATGAGATTTAAGGAAACTGGGTTTTTTTCCTAGGACAGTATCATCACGAGTTTTGATTTGGATTTGGTCCATCCAGCTGTGAAAAATTCTTTAAAATCAGAATCATTAATCGGTTTTCAATGGCTCAAGGGGAATAGCGTTTTATATCTGCAGTTGTCACGCAGCAGGAGTGTAGCATATCTATTTTATGGCTGGGTTTATTTTTGGTGGGTTTAAAACATAGTTTACATACTGAAGTTGATACTTCGGAGCAGATGTTATACACAACTGACAGTTTGCCTTTTGATTTCTATGTGACTTTGGCTAAATTAAGGGTTTCTGGGGCCTTTATGTGTTACTGCAGGATGTTTATTGATGACTGCTTGTGTGCATCAAGCAGACATTGCTGGTCGAGAAACATCGTACCACAGTTTATTCTCTCGCTTCAGGATACTGCCAATAAATTCTTCTCATGACTAGAAAAATAGACACAGCTAAAATGAAAGCAACACCAGGAGTGAATTCTCTTCTTAATTTAGATGGCCGGTAACTTAGAATAAATAAAGAAGTGTTGATAGCACAGGCTTAGATAAACTAACCGAGCTCCATCCATCACAGTCTCTGAATTCAACGTCGGCACAAAACCAAACATCTTAGGAATCAATGAGCCAGTACCTTAAACCAGAGAGACAACCAGACATCATGGATTCGGCTACAGCGGCTGGCTTTCGTCGAAGTTTTTCTCAAAATTCAGATGACGATGCTGAATCTTGCGTAACCTCTGTCTTGACGGAATTCTTGGATTTGAACGACCTTGATGACTGTGAAGTTTTTCATGACGTGTTGCCAAGTTCGCAATCACAAGTGCCTAGTTCTTGCGACACAGCCAGAGATGTTCTCAAACGCGTACCCCAGGTTATCGTTAGCTTGGATTATGATCTTGAGGACACGCGACTTTCGCCAGAGGGTATGTCCAGTAAAGTATGTCCGAAGAAACTTTAGGGCTAGGCAAATGTTTCATCTACAGTTCAATTAAATTCAATGATAATATTTATTTCCATCAAAAGCAATGTAAAAGAACTATGAGAACAATAGGTTGTTATGTAAAGGTGGAGGCATGATTATAAAATGCAGAAGCTTATAGAGTGGCAATGCAAAACTGAAAAATAATTCTGATAATTTCAAATAACTTAAAGAAAGACCAACAAACCAATGGAAAAGTACAAACGAACACAAACAATAACCAAGGACAAACTGACGAACATTTGCATGGATATGAAGCTAATGTGCATGTATTAGAATAGCAAGACATTCAAATATGCTGCTAACAACATAATCTGTCTGCATGATTCTACAAAGTAGTGCAAACTTCAGAAATCAAACAATCCAGCTGTTGAAAGACCTCAACTAAATGAGCTGCAAATAAAAGCTGTTCCTGAGTGGTTTGGCATGGTGCAACACCTGCATGTGTTTTCTGTCAAGATACTAATTTGCGAGAGGCTAGCTACTAACCGTGAAGTTAATTACGATGAAGTTGCTGAATCCTGCTGTTACTACACACAGGTTGTGGAGCCGAGAGTGAGCCAGGATCGGAACTGTCAAGGTAAGTTGGAAATCAGATTTGCTGTTTGTTTGTTTGTTTGGGGGGTTTTTGTAGTTCTTTTTTTTCTCTCTTTTTCTTTCCTTGTTTTAATATTTCAAGTGTTCAATGCTTGGGCCTTGTGATGAACTTAAATTCCAGCAGAATATTTAGGCTTGAACAATAATCCAGTAATTCACATAAATGTGGTTTAGGCATCAAATGTAGGTATAAGTTCCACCAACAAAAACATTGCTTTAACATTTTTTCAACCACAACTAATGATGCCAATCGATTACGGATTAACAATCTGTTTCAAGTGTTAAGTGCTGGGTCCTTGTGATGAGCTCAATTTCAGAAGAATATTTAGGCTTGAACAATAATCCGGTAGTACAATACTTTATCAACATTGGTTACATTTCCATTCTGGGTCCATGATTATTCTATTCAGCAATTTTAAAAAATAAAGTAAAAGACTTTTGCCTTTGAGGTTTAGAATTTAGAATTTATTTCTAATTGATTTATTTTGAAAATCATTATTCTTCAGTACAGAAAATGCTGCAACCTTCTGCCCTCAAAATAATAGTTGAAGAATAGAGTGCCCTGTCTTTATTTCAGCATGCCCCCAAAATTTATGTCATCAATCTGGATACGAACTGTTATTGTGTATATATTACTGTGTTTTCCTTTCCTAATATTCCTGTATAGTGTTGTCGTAACCTTTAAGGATGCTCATCAGATAGAGCTGTAGCTTTGAATTAATTGCCCTGTGCACTTTCTCTATGAACAAAACTGTAGCATTCACATTTTGGCAATATTTTATTTATTTTATTTTTTTTTTAGATCAGATGTTTTTTATTTAGCAATCATTAAAATTAAATGTAATATGCCAAGTTGAATAACTATTGCCCTCTGAGCAGTGTTATAGTTTGATATTTGTTGAACTTGTATCATCTGTTGAAGGTATGGCAAGGGATATTATTTTCCAGTATAAATTTAACTTTTGTAGTCAGGAAACAAGCTTGCTTCAGAAAGAAGTCATATATCTATTTAAACTAAATTGCTTCAGTGATTATTATTTTTAAACTCATAATTTTACGGATGTAATTATGAATATTTCACAGAGATAAATGTTTCCTTTATGTCATTTCTAACAAATAAATCATTCTAATCGCAGGGAATCCAGTATTGAAGACCTAGCTGCAATCTCCAAACACATCCCAGCCCGACGTCGTCTGAACTGCACTCCATTCTTCAGTCTGCCACTCCGTCGCAAGAAAGTCGCCGAAAATGACAGCGCTCGCCTCACCTGTGCCGTACAGGGCTACCCTGCGCCCAAAGTGGCCTGGACCAAGAACGGAAACCCAATATACGATGGGTACTACTACAACATTACCAACAGATGGGGTGTATGCACGCTGGAGGTGCGTAGTGCTAGGCTGAGTGATACGGGAACCTACCGATGCACAGCTACCAATGAAGAGGGTCAGGATAGCTCGGCATGCGAGTTGGTTGTGGAAGAAAGTAAGTAATTTTATTTTGTTTTTTATATTTTTTAATATAAAAAAAACACAGTCTCAATGATGTTTAGGTGTGCATTTTGTACGTGGTTGATATATACCATGATGCAAAATGAATAAGGTAGGGTGGTTTGCAGTAAGTGAGGATGGTTTGAAGTAAGTTATTCTATTCTGGACTTAATTTATGCTCGAGTTGTGAAATTTTGCTGTGAATGGCATTTAAACCTAATTGAGATAAGGCAGAAGTTGCACAGGCACCAGGTATTCATGACAGTCACTGCATTGCCAGTGATCAGTGAACTCTAGATTTGGAGATTTGATGTTGAGATTTTATAATAAGTATCGTGACCTGGACATTGAGGGGAGTAATTCACGTAAATGTGGTTTAGGTATCAAAAGTAGGTACGAGTTCCACCAACGAAAACATTTCTTTAACATTTTCTCAACCACTACTAATTATGCCAATCGATAATGGATTAAAGATCAAACGTTAAGAGTTTGTAATTTTCACCTAAATTGAATCTGCTTCAAGTTTTGATTATTTGTTTGTTTGACCATTTAAGGAATGGAGCCAGATGAAACCTTCGACTACATACGTCCATCCTTCCACAAACCTGTACGAGGCAAACGTGTCAGGGAAGGCAGAACAGCACGTCTTGAGATACAAGTATCTGGATATCCTGAACCGCAAATTGTCTGGTATGTCGGCAATTTTAATACTTTACTTTCATTTCTTGCATTTTATTCCACTGTTACCTATTTTTTTTTCTCTCAAGAAAAGGTTTTACCCTGTGTCCTGTTTTATTACACTATGCTGCATTCACTTCAAAAGTGTGATTGCAAATTAACACATAATCTAGTGCATTTGAACCATATTGTCAATACGCAATGATTGGGCAATATTTTCAAAACAGGTCACTTGAGCATTTTGTAATCTGTGATGATGACATTTATCCCAATTTAAATTTGTATTTTAAATTTCTATCCCGTTTCATTTTGGGCTGTAGGTACAAAGACAACGTCCGCATTGATGAAGATGATCACATCTCTATTGAGAAGTATGCCGGGGGAGCTCAGACCTTGGTTATCACGGGAGTAACACCGACTGATGCCGGGCGGTACAAAGCTGCGGCAAGTTCACCCGCTGGCAAGGCCTCCTGTGCTGCAGACCTGATAATCCTGGAAGGTGCAAACGATTAATTAAAACGATTTTTGTAATAAATTAAGTAGCATGATGTTTCTACAATGTACAAAATTATAATGAAAAAGAGTTGTAACTTATGAGGCAAGGTTTTCCCTTTTCTGAAAAGTGATTGTTTTCGTTTTCTTACTACATTGCATTTAGTTATATACATTTGTACAAAACTATCCATTGTTTAGCAAACATCGATTTACAAAATTATCATTTACCAATCATTAAATCAAGATATCTTTTTGTCTCTTTCCAGAGTTAAGGAGGACAAAAAGCTTAATATTTTGTAGGAATGACAGCTGATCATCTTCCTTTTTTGTTTTATTATTTTTAATCTGTAGTTGAGGCTGATATTGAATCAGAAGATGAAGGAGAAATTGGCAGGGGAAGACGCCGAACTCGTCACAAACCAAAAGCAGAACCCAAGGAACCTAAACCACATCGAAAACCACACAAGGTGCGTCCAGTTGCTGAGACCTTTGAGGAACGAAAGGCAAGAAGAATCCAACAGAGAATGGAGCAGCCTCTACTCTATCGACCATCTTCAGTACCTGTGAGAAGTCGCAGACGTTCCTACAGTCCATCTTACATCCCAGCGTTCGGACCTCCTCCTCTGTACAGTCCAACCACTGACGTGAGGAAACAGAAGCACTTGGCAGGATACAAGCCAATTCCTTATTCCCGAACACCAACACCTGCTCGTGCCCAGTCAGTACCTGTACCTGTTTTCAGACGCTCTGTCTCGCATCCTGGGGTAGATGATGGGTATGGACCTACTTACATCCCACATTACGAGATTCCGAAGAGGGGAAAATATGGAGAGTTCAAAACCCCAACTCCGTCCTATGTGCCTCATCACGCACTCCCTGGAAGTGCTGCTACACCTACGCCCCACGATGAGCGATACTTTGCTGCTGTGTTTGAAGATTACATGAGTGCCTCGGAATACGAGTATCAACTGAGAGAGAGGACTCCATCCTTCCCACGGTCAAGAACACCAAGTGTGTCTAGGGCTAGAAGCACAACACCATCACGAAGAAGAAGAACCCTATCATCAGACTATGAAGATTACTACGGAAGGCGGTTGAGCTACGAAGGAAAGAGAACCCGAAGTATCACTCCAACAAGAGCAGGACGGATAACACCCTCGGCACCTGATTACGAAGCTTACATGAAGCACCTAAAAGCCCTCAAGAAGCAAGCTCAAGCTTTCAGACCTAGTTCCGTTCCTGCGAGACAACTACCAGAGATTTTCACACCAGTCTTTGATGAAGAAGAAAGAATTCGTCCTGTGCCCAAGAGGTATCCTCAACCAGTCAGGGCCAAGTCGGTTCCTCCAAAAGAAGGTCGACCGATCAAGAAATCAGAAGCTGGTCGTTATCACCTACCTTCATTACGAGAGTTCATCGGCAACAGGCCACATCCCTTCATGCCAAGAGAGAAGTCTACTCTTCCTGAACGAACACCGAGCAGAATGTCGAGCACCTCTGATTATGAAGACCGCTCTCTGTCGTATGACAGAAGGCCTCGATATGACTCACAGAGTTCAACAAGCTCCTACAGAGGTAGGTCAACAACTCCAACGGCCAGGTACGATGCAAAGAGTACAACTCCAGCTTCTGACTATGGAGAAAGAGACTACCGCCGTGTCTCTCTGGAACGTCCACCCCCTCCGAGCTTTAAGCAGAGGTCCAAATCACCAGGTATGTCAGCTATTCCAAAGCGAAGTCGCACACCAACAACACCTGAGTATGAGAGATCCTTTGACACTTTCAGGCCAAGATCTATTTCACCTCATGCTGCAGCTCCAAGACGAGGCACAACACCAACTTACTCTGACTCAGAGCACAGGCCTAGAGACTTCAGACTATTATCAACTGATTCACTTGAGTCGTATAGCTCAAGGTCACGTTCACCAGGCCTGAGACGTTCTGTGACACCTGTTGCAACTGACTCTGAACGTACACCAAGGGAAATCATGATCATTGAGAGAATGATGTCCTATGATTCTACCAGTGACAGACCTCTTACACCTGCCACAAGGAGAAGTGTGACACCATCCTATGAACAACGAGAGAGAGAAACCAAAAGATCAACTGTGAGGAAGTCCTCAGCTTCACCCACAGTTTCTTCAGTTCCAAGACGTGGTAGCACTCCAACTTACCCTGATCAAAGACATAGAGACTATCGCTTGTCATCTTCTGACAGAGAATCCTTTGAAGGTCACAGGCCAAGACCCAAGTCTCCAAAAATATCTACACATAGACGAAGCACAACGCCATCTTCTGATGCTGAACGACAACAAAGAGACTACCGTTTGCTGTCAGTGGATTCCATTGAGTCATTCAGTAGAAGGTCTTCGTCCCCTCTTCCTGGCCGTCCAATCACACCAGTTGCCACCGATTCTTTGCGTACCCCAAGAGAGATTCGCATTATTGAGAAATTGGCATCCTATGATTCAACAAGAAAAAGTGGTATGTCACCGATCCTGGGAACAAGACGTACTGTAACTCCATCTCTGCATCTGCAGAGAGATGTCAAGAGGCCAGTTTCCCCAATGAAACCTTCATCGGCAATTTCATCAGGCCAACGACGGAGTGTGACACCAACATCGTCTGAGAAGTATCGTAGAGATTATCATGGGTCATCCTCATCAGAAAGAGAAACCTTTGAAACACACAGAAGACGACCTGTCTCACCAGAGGAGAAAAGACGCCAAAGACGAAGCGTTACACCAACGTCTTCTGAATCCGAGCACAAGTACAGAGATTCCCGCTTGTTGTCAACTGACTCGATTGAGTCATATGGTGGCCGATCTGCATCACCCCATTCTGGAAGACCAGTTACTCCAGTTGCCACTGATTCACTGCGTACTCCCAGAGAGATTCGCATCATTAACAAATTGTCAACTTATGATACATCCAGAGAGAGTGCCATGTCACCCATCCCAGGTACTAGACGCAGTGTGACACCCACATATGAGCGACGACAGAGAGACGACAGAAGACATGTAAGTCCGAAGATTTCTGCTTCCCCTGAGTTGTCAAGGAGTTCCTTGACATCAATTTCTGATGTAACCCAGCGATCAACCACAAGAAAGTCATATGCATCTCCTAGACCAGCCTCTCCGAGAGAAGTCTCATACCGTGACTCTCAGCGAGAACACACAGGCTACAGAAAAGTGGCAACTGAGAGCAAATCCTACGAGACCCATCTTGGACCTCGGCCTGCATCACCACTCGCTGAGCGTCCAGTAACACCAATCGCTACAAATTCTCTGCGTACACCAAGAGAGATCCGTATTGTTGAGAGGATGTCCCAAAGGGACAGGACCTCTCCTCAACCTGCACCAGCTGTGAGAACATTTCATACATCTCCTCGACCTGCCTCCCCAAGAGAACCCTTGCCCCGTGATTCTGGGCGAGAACGCACAGACTACAGAAAGCTGTCAACTGAGAGTGAATCTTACAAAACCCATCTAGAACCTCGGCCTGTATCGCCACTTCCAGAGCGTCCTGTTACACCAGTTGGCACAGATTCTCTACGTACAGCAAGAGAGATCCGCATCATTGAAAGGATGTCAACAAGAGATAGAACTTCTGTACCACCTCCTCCCTCTTCTTCAAAACACAGAGATTATGGCGTATCAACACAAAGCACATCAAGTTATTCAAGACCTGAGCGTAGAGATTACCGTTCTTCATACACCTCTTCCTCCCCATCTTATGACAGGTATGAACCTCGCCTTTCATATAGGCAGAGATCTTCGTCACCAGTGAGACGCTCAGTCTCACCAACATCTGGAAGGTCTTCACCGCCAATCTACTCAAGAAAATCAATTGAGGATAGGGATTTGTATTCATCAACCAGCAGGAAGTCTTACCGTGACAGCTACGAGTCAAGCCGTAGCCACCGGCAGAGATCACTATCACCGAAAGTTATCACAACAGACTTTGACCAAGACTATGCCTCAGCTGGTAAGCGATATGACATTGATAGATCTTACATGGAGGATTCTTACAGAAAGGCACCCTCTGAATCAAAGCTGTCACCAACTTCAGCCGAAGATCGATATGACAGAAGCTTTGATTCATATACCACTTCTTCAAAACAGAAAAGTTCGAAGCTTGGTGCCTTTGCCCCAGTCGGTGTAAGCAAGCCTGGCTCTGTCCCTAGAGCTGAACTACCTTTCAAATTGGAATCGGATCTGCTGGAGGAATCAGGTTCTGATCACTCCAGCCCAGCAAGATTCATCCCTCTTGCTGACGAGGAAGGCATAGAAGCCATCTGCCTGGGCACACAAGAAAAGACTCCTGACAAGCCTGAAGATGAAACAAAAGGAGATGTACCTGAAGATGTCAAACTCACCAAAGAGGATGCTCAGCAAGAAGAGAAGGAGAAGGAGGAGAGAGCAGAAGATGAGAGAGATGAAGACTCCGAACGTTTGATTGCCAAGAGGAAGGAGGCAATGATTGAGACTGATCAGAAGATTGATGACACCGAGGGAGATGGACCACCAGAGTTTGTCAGACGCATGAGGGATATGACAGTCAGTGATGGAGCTCGAGTTGTCCTGGAAGTGCATATCACTGGTAAGTTACTATTCGGCTGCTTTTTTTTTTCTTCTTTTATTCTAAAGTTTTGCTAGTTATGATGAAAGTAATCTTCAACTTGATAGTTTGTGAATGGTATGGGTAATATGGATACAACAGTGATCTAAAGAAAATTGAGTAATATAAATAAAGGTAACTTAGATTTGCCCCTAAGTTTTAGTATTGTCTTCATTTGAGTAAATAATGACTGTATTTGAACATTTTTGATATTTTAACTAGTAAATGAATTTGGATTTACCTTGAAACCCAGGTGCACGTCCAATGGATGTTGGCTGGCTCCGTAATGGTCAAGACATACCAGACAGCGATGAGTTCCGTTATGTCAGCCGAGGTAATATTCACCAGCTGGTGATTGCTGAGATCTTCCCTGAAGATTCTGGCAGATACACCTGTGAAGCGTTGAATGATCACGGCGAGGCTGACTGCCAGTGTACACTGAATGTCACAGGTGAGGAAAAAATAAACTAACGGGTCAGATTATACTAGCAAGTTGTAGAGCTAACCTCCTTTCCTACTTTAACACCTTAACCAAGTAGTCCTTGTGTACTGCCCTAAACCACCCCACCTAGTACTCCTCTTACTCCTATTACTCCATTCTCTTGTGGATTCATCAGGGAATAAACACAATGTAATACAATGTAGTACAGATGCTTATGGGTCAATTCCTTTCACCTACAATCTGCTCCAACAAAAAAAGAAAATCACAAAGTCAAATAAAAGGATACATTCCTCCTGCAATTAAACTATCGCAATAGAATCGCGTCAATGCAGCTTGTGAAGTATTGTCCAATTACGTGATATATACAAATGGACGCGGAACGGGCACAGTCTGAGACAAACACAATTTAAAGTACAAAATTTCATTGGATTGTCTAAGGGGCGGGCTAACTCGCATACGGCGATAGGTCAATTGCTTGATTTCTAGTTTTCTCAAATTGTAAATAAAATATTGGCACCATACATGTGTTTATACTTTTCCTTCATACCTCAGATTTCCGGCCAAAAAGTCAGAGTCTACTTACATTCCTGCAAATTAAATTTTTATTAAAATAAATTAGCGCAGGACTAAAAGACAGAACTGTTGTCAGCATTAAAAGTCACCATTGATGATTGAGTTTCTCTAAAGGATTGGAGGCGGTTGTCTAATTTTTCCAGACTTGAATGTATTTCTACAAGTAAAATAAATCCAAAGAGTCTTAATGTAGCATTGCCATGGTAGACAAGAAATGTTACATTGACTGAAAGGAGCTCTTAGAAATAGTGGAAGTCCCGTCAGAATACACCTTTTACTTACTAAATGCCAATTGTTCACATGTGTATTTGATTCTACAGAAGAGCCTAGTGTCAGTATCAGTATCAACATGAGTCAAGACATCACTTCGACGACCACTGACCATCAAGCCCTCATGGATGATGAGAACATCCCTCCAGAGTTCTTTGAGGAACCCCAGTCACAGACTGTGGAGGAAGGAGGGATGGCACGCTTTGTGTGTGATGTAGACGGAGAACCAGTCCCTACAGGTATTGTACAATGATTGATTTTACTTCCAAAAGTAAAATGTGTAATTATACAAGATAGATTTCTTCGACTAATAATAATAGTAATAATTATTCTTAAAACTATAAAAGGGCGACACTTCCATAGACTTGAGCATAACTTTCAATGACCCTAACCCCACTTTTACCCTAACTAATCTTTTTAAGTTGTTTGCAACAATTCTCCAAATAGTAGTAGTTAAAACAACAAAAGAGCGACACCAAATTGTCACCTTAATGGTTTGCGTCGCCCTCATATAGAAAAGTTAAGCACAAAGTGTCGCCTTAACATAGAATTGAGAAGAGTAATACAAACCATTTGTATTAAAGGTGCACAGTATTGGAAAACAATAGTCATTCAAAGGCGCCGGTCATTGAAAAGTCAATGTGTGTGAAAGTACAGGTCATTATGTGCGAGAGAGAAACTGATTAAAGAGGTGGGTCTTTAGGTGGCATGTGAAGAGAGATAATCCCTGTGTTGCCCTTAACTCGTCTGATAAGGAGTTCCAGAGACAAGGATCACTTCATAATGAAAAGATACTGAAACTAAGGAAGCTTGTGGGGCAAGTATTGTGCAGTTTTTAGAGGATGAGGTTTATGTGTCTTGTGATGTTTTACTCAGGTTATCATAGTCAAATATAAATTTACTAGTGTACACAATTTTTGAGAAATTTTCTACTTGACCACCTGACTCTGATTTTTTGCTTCAAGATAATTTTCTTATTTTTCCCCTGACTTCAAAGACTTTGTGTCTTCAATGCTAATCGTGAAATACATTTTTATCCAATTGTGTATAATTTTTTCCTGAAACAGTCACATGGTCTAAAGACGACGTACCAATCAGAGACGGAGGCCGCTTCCGGGTGTACTCGGACAAATTCTCCCACACTTTTGAAATTCCTGTTGCCCTGGCAACGGATGAGGGAGAATATGTGTGTACAGCCACCAATAAGGAAGGCCAGACAGAATGCGGATTTAGTCTGAGAGTTATTCACGACCAGACACCAGCCGTTACAGACAAACAAGTCATTGAGTAAGTTTGGCTTAAAAGTCAGTTTGCTTGTTTGTCTTTTTTCTTCTTTTTTTTCGCACAAGCTATACCCGTGTATAGCATAGGCAACCGTGTTGTGGTCAAGGTATATGTGATGGATCACAAAAGTCAAGTCATTAGTAAATCACTAGTCAATTCACATGTCCAGTCTCAAGTAACAGGTGATGAACAGTAGCAAAGGAATGCCTTTAACTTGATATAGGACTGGCTGACTTGTGATTGACTTGTGATGACTTGTGTTCAACACTACTAGGCATAGGTCTACCAGAAAGGGCCTTGAGAATTTGAGTAAAATAAGCGTAACTTCAGCCCCCAAATTGTCAGTCTCGAGTGTCACAGCTTTCACCCCTGAATTATTGTGTTTTGTTTCCGGTCTATTCTATCACCCTAATTTGTATCTATTCTATATTCTTTCTTGAATTTTGTTCTGCTGTAATAATGCACCACATATTTCTCTTCACTGCATTTAACTTTTCTCTCACTCACACCTGCTTCTTTCACCTTCTTACAGTGAGACTGGACCACAGTCCTCTCCACCTGTCACTTCACCTGAACCAATAGCAATCATTGCACCTGTTGCACAATCTGCTCCTGCTGATCAGGACAGGTCAGATCAATTTTTTCATTGGCCGTATGCCTGACCGATTGAGGGCGCTATGACAATGCACTATGAAAATGGGGATACAAACATAATGGACGTGCTTTTAATGAAATAAATGTTCTTATACTATTGAGTGCCTGGATTCCAATTTACAGATTAAAAGCTGTAATAATGAACCATGGGTTGTTTCAAAAACTGACAAATTGAGTAACTATCGCACAAACTCCAATAATTTCATTGGATAGCGCCCTGATCAGTCAAGAATATACACTGGTCTCGCTGTATGTACTATTCTCTTTCTTGTCTTGATTTCTTTTATTTCAGAGTGAAAAAAACACATTTTGTATGTGAGTCTTGTGAATTAACCTTTCTCTTTTTGCAGAGCATGTACATCTATTCATATCTTACAATTTTTCACTGACTAAAGCAGTACAGTTAAATGCCGCTATAACAAACATGTTGGGGTCCATAACAAATTTTCATTATAGCGGTTGTTCGTTGAAATTTTTGTGCATTATAATAGAATTTACTATTTAGGGAGCCTAGGGGGATGTTCCTTACAGCCAAATGTTTGTAATAGCGGCGTTCATTGTAGTTTAACTTTGTTTTCAACACTGGACTCCCTTAAGCACATCTTGATATTCAAAGAAATTGGTTTAAATTTTCATCGTAGATCTCAAATTTTTTCAATATTTTTTCTCTGATCAGTGAGGTGATTGCTCAGTTTGAAGACTCCACAGATGCTGTGGATGAACCAGTCCGATTCTCAGCCGATTCAGAAGCACCCATCTTCATAGAAGAACTAAAAGACCAGGTAAAGAATATTCCAGATAGGTTACACAGAAAAAAAAAGAATTTAATTATTGAGACTTCAATAATTTCCTGCCCTTTTGAAAACAGAATACGGAAAATTGGGCAACCGCTGCCTTACTCGGGTCACTTAGCTTAGTTACCATAGCACCAGTAAAAAGATTACAGGTACCAGTCTCTCCCTGTCAGCTGGGTTTAACAAAAGTTGAAAACTATCAGTAATTATGAAATTTGAAGGCAGCCTATTATATAAGTATTTCTTTATAAAGCTTTCTTTTTTCATGAAGTTACTTCCGATCGGAAGCATTTGGCTACCGCCAGCGGATGCGATGTCCTCACATCTAATCTGTGTCAATACTTACTGCCCACTTGAATATGTTTCAGTTTGGTTATCGTTCATTTATTATAATCAAATATTTATTATCATTCTGACCATAGATCAAGACTATAACGTTATTCAGACAAACTTCGGTGAAGGTTCAGGGTGGTTATTATTGTTCAGATAACAGCCATGTTAAAATTAAATCCGCACAGGCTGCCAATGTGGAGGTTTAATAAGTTTCTGAAATTTAGAAATTGTTTGAACATAAGGGGAGGTTTCGACCTTTTAGTGATGTCATTCGCTGTTTTGTATTTTTAGATATCCATGTACTTGGTTTCTTATGAATAAGACATTTTGCAAATGATTATAGCACCTCCATAATCCATATTTGGGGAGGATGCTGGGCAGTAAAACTTTTTCATAGAGTTAAATCATTCTGTGACTGAAAGTTGTTTATCCAAAGTGGAAGTTTTTAACAGTGTTAATTTTACCACAGGTTGTCACCGAGGAAAGCGGGACAACTTTCCAGTGTCGCGTCACGGGGCAGCCCCTTCCCGACATCACCTGGTACTTTGAAGACCGACCAATCAAATCGTCCAAATACTTCCAGATGAGTGAGGAAGACGACCTGTGTATCCTCATCATAGCCGAGGCGTACACAGAGGATGCTGGGAAATACAGTTGCCATGCCAACAATGAAGCAGGGGAGGCGGTCACGTCGGCCATGTTGATGGTGGAAGGTGAGGCATTGGTTTGGTCTGTAATTACAACATCTTCAACTTTCACAAACCAAATGACACCCCGTCAACCAAATTTGTCAACAAGTTTTGTAGACTTTCAACATAAAGCTGGATGGCTCAGTTCAGGGGCGGCGGAATCGGGCCCCCCCCCCCCCCCCCCCCCCGATTTACCCAAGTGCCCCTTTTTGCGGCCAAAAATGTGCCCCCTCAAGCATAAAAGAGCCCCCTCGAGCTGAAAAAAAATGTCCCACAAGGTTTCTGCCTATTAATTGTAAGTAACCATTTCCCCTAATGGTAAAAATAGTTTTGATATAAGGAGGAAATATGAAAACCAAGCCCCAAAACCCATACAATGGAGCCTGAAAATGGGCACATAATGCGTAATGACGATATAATGATCGGTTGTGAAGAGCGCCCCCGATGTTGGAAGATAGTACCAGCACACCCCCCCCCCCACACTATTTGATTGTACAGAGGCCAAGTGTCCAGTGAAAAATATGTGTCGACCTTTGAGCACGGATGTGCAAAAAGAAAAAAAGGTGAGCAAGTGCCCCTTTTTGGTGATGCCTCCCCAGTTTCAAACCCGTTCCGCTACTAATATTTTGTTCTCTCCTACTATTTAGAACCAGCCCCACCTGCTGACATGACACCAGCACCTGCAGCTGAACCAGTCAGTCAACAAGCGCCCACTTTTGACAACAAAATACAAGATTGTGAAGTACAAGCCAATAGTGAAGCACGATTTGAATGCACTGTCATTGGAACACCCCCTCCTGAGAGCAAATGGTAAGGGCCTTTAAGGGCCATAAATCATTGTTTGTAATATTTTGTTTATATAATGTTTTAAGATGCACACTATTAAACTATTCATGGGAATTTAGGCAGTGATCTAAGCGGAAAGGGGTTTTTTTTTGGGGGGGGGAGACGGGGTGTTGCCAGTCACCCATTTCTTGCTTCAGCTTTCCTTTATGTGATCAACTGTCAAAATGGTTTGGAAGCAAAATTTGTTTGAACAATATTGTTATTTTATGGCTGTCACCTCCTTAATAGCCCCCAGTTTATTTCTGAATCGGTGCCCCCCAAAAGATTTGCTTTAGGCACACAAAATTTGCATAAATTCATATTTTAGAAGACTTTGTTTAACCTGGGAAGAGTTCAGGCAAAATCTTCCTGTAAACAAATAAGGGGTAATACATTAGGTTCAATTTTGTGTATTAGATAAATTGAGTACGCCTAGGCATGCAACTGGGAAGTAACAAAAGAAGAGGAAATTCACAGTTTTACAAGATTTTAAACAGTGGTTTTCGTTTTCCATTTTTTAATGGCATAAGTGTGAAGTGAAAAACGAGGAAATCAGCTGATCCCAGGAAAATTGCATGCCTAAAGCCATTGTTTATATGTCAGTTATCCCTAAAGCCAACTTTTCAAAACACCTGTTTGTATGATTCCAGGTTCAAGAATGGTAAACCGTTGAAGAACGGCATTCGTCAAAAGGTCTCTCAAGGAGAAGACGGTCTCTGCTCACTCATCATCCCGAGAGCACAGATGGAGGACAGCGGTGACTACGAATGCAAGGCGGAAAACGCCCAGGGCAGTGCATCATGCGCCGCTAAACTCAACGTGAAGAGTAAGTGGATGAAGCTGGTCCGAGACTCGGTCAAAATTGAAACATGACAAAAAATTTCATACTTCAGGAAATTGGATTATGTTGTTTTTTGTTTTGATAATGATGTGTAGCATGTGAGTATGATAAAGAAGTTCCTGTATGGAATGTGATTTTATTTGTCAGGGTTCTGTTTTTTTGTTGAAATTTTAACATGATTTTTTTTCACCATGCTGGTTATTTTCTTCCAGATATAGCGAGTGATCTATCGAGGTTTCATTGTAAATGGGAAATTGGGAGGAGCTGAAATTGTTTGTTTTTTTGTAGTCCAATATATTTATAGAAGAATGAGTTGTTTCATTTGTTTGTTTCTTTTGTTTTGTTTTTGTATTGTGAGTGAATTTAATGGATTTCTGCTAAATAAGGATTTTGTTTGGGGTTTAGACGTCTCCTGACGATGATTAGAGCCGGCTAGTCGAAACGTTGAGACCAAAATTTATCTCACTCAGTCTCAGTGAAGATAATTGCGAGAAGTCCCATCGCCTTCCAACCTAATGGCAAAAGTAGATAATAAGCAGGACAAGTTCTTTTGAACTAAGCAGGACAGTTATTATCAGAACAAAATCTACTTAGCGCCAGTAGTTATTACCACATAGTGTTACAATCTATCATCTTTATTTTTTACACAATGTGTTTGTCTTTTTGTTTTTCCAGCTTCTAAAAAGCTACCCTTCCTGAACAAGTTTCAGCAGGACAAACCATCGCCTGGCAGTGGGCCGGGAGGCAAGAAGGCCCCCATAGGTCCAAGCAGAGGGGGTAGCAGTGTCATGGCAAGAGCTCAGATGTTTGGCAAGTAAAGATGGCAACAATAAGACATCAACTATCGAGGCTGGTGATTTCAGTAGCAAAAAAAGAACAACAGTTTCAGCCAAGTTGTACCACTGAGTAAAAGTCAAGTTTACTTACTGGTTCAACTTTTTCAAATGTGTTTGGATCGACAACTTAAAGCAAGTAGTTTGGGATAGTAACAAAGTAAGGTCATGCATATTTTGTTATATCATAAACCATCTTCATTTTAAAACCTCTCAAAAATTCCAAGCTATCTCCTCAAAAGTACAGTCACCAGCCTCTTTCTTTAACCACATCAGCCCTTTATCTTGCCAAGAATTCAATCAAGTCAATCTTACCGATTTTAATATAAATTGTTGACATAATGTGACATTAAGTTTGTTCTTTCCGTTCATTTGAATGTCCTGTCAAAGTGTACTATTGATTCTCTTTGATAAAATTTGTTGGTTCTGAAATTAAGTTTTTGTATAGTACTGATAGATTTAGTACTTTTACAGACATTATTTATTAGCAGTAACGATATCTTTTGAAAACTTCTCGGGTAAATTTGTGCACTGTGCACAAACGTTTTATATATTAACAGTGTACAATAGAAAAACTATATGTTTTATTATTCCAACACATGAAACAAGATGTAAATATTCCTTTTTTTAAAAACCAAACTGACAGAGAGAGAAAAAGTTTATATTGTAAATCAATGTTAAACTTGTTTAAATATGTTCCTTGCAGTAACTTGGATGTAAAAACAAAATGTGGTTGGACTTAAACAATCACTGGTGAAATTTGCGTCTGTAAAATTTTGTTCACTGCGGAACTTTTTTTATAAAATGAATGACTTTACTACGCCGCGTTCCCACGACCCGACTTTTCCCGAGGTCAGTGAGAGTAACGCTGGTGTTTTTTTTACAATGACCAAGGATTTCCACAGAGATGTGTGAGATCCTCCAAATAAATGGCCCTCGTTCTTTAAAGGGACTGGAAGGGCCAGATTAAATAGTACTTCAAGAGGAGAAGAGGGTGGCGCCCTCTATCCTCAAATGGACGACAGTGTTGATAATGAAGCTGAGCTTCACTGAAACATTCCGCTGTCTCCGACTTTTAAAAAACAAAAGACTTTATATTGGTGCCTTTTTGAATGGATCTTGATGCACGAGGTAAAACTTGGAAGACGTCAAGAAGATGAAATTCACCAAAGAGGGAGGAAAAAAAACTCTTGAGAGAAAAGAAGATGACAAAACGCAGAATGTTGGGGCTGCGTGAACCGGGGACGGCTTTGAGGAAAACTAGGAGGCATTGTGGTGGTGCATGTCCTTAAATCCCTCAGCCTTTCCCCCCAAAATTGTTTACATTAACTCTTAATTTTATTACTTTTGGGAAATCTTTCCAACTGGATTAAAACGACTTGTCAGTTCTATTTTCTAATTTGAAATTCTCTTATCTATTATCTCTCAAAGTTTTGTTTGTTGCTGACAACTCAAGTTGACAACTTTGTCTTTTCATAAATCTCCCGATAATTCATTGAATGGAAACATTTCTCGTCATTCTGTTTATGAAGTATTCATTATCAATTCGATAGTGTTATTATTTCACTTAGTTCGGTTAAACTTATGTTTCTATGTACTGCTGTGGTTTTAAATAATAAGAACCTCGATCTGGCCTCCAAATATGGATGTAGATGACGTCATAGTCTGGATCGAATCGCCTGGTTTCGTGGTGGTAATCACGTGATTCTCCAGATTGTCATTTGTCATCTAAGTTGTGGGCGTTAATATCTTGAATGATTGTGGGGGTCAGATTTTTCCCTTGCATCCCTCAGCTTCGTGTTCTCCTGAGTAATAACCATACTTAATTGATAATACGAAATATTCAAAAACTGACCAGAGTAATTCTTCCTTTAAATTTCCATGTATTTTCTTGTATTCTTTGTTATCTGTTTTGTATCAGAAATACAGTTTAAAACTTTAAAACCTGCTCTGTCATAAAATGTCATTTTAGCGTCTAAAGAAATCTCTAGAATTTCAATAGACCTTGATCAATTATTTCTTCTAGGACTTGATGGAGAGAAAAAAACATGTCAAACTAATCAAATTAACCAATTTTTGATAACACGGGAAAATTAAATATACGTCCGGCCCACTTCAATCGAATATCAACCATAATTCTTGAACATTAAAATCGGTATGAATGCTTATAAATTATATCTTCTAGAACTTACATGTTGGGAAAAAAACAGTGTCAAACTAATCAGATTAACCAATTGTTGGTAACGCGGGAAATTTAAATCCACATCGGGCTCACATCAATTGAATATCAAATATGATTCTTGGACATAAAAATCGAAGTACGAATGTTTACTCTGGTCAGTTCTTGAATGTTAAATAAATAAAATGTTCTGTAATTCAGACCCTGGTTTGTACCGTTTTTGGCACTTGCACATGCGTTTTACCGTGTTGAGTATACTTACTTATAGATGTGTTCTTGGCTGATAATAATTTTTGAACCCGAATCACTATTTCATGGTTGGATTTGAATGGTGAAATTAACTAAAAGCAAATCAATGCATTGAAATTATTGCCCATAACTTCAATAATATTTCATTTTATTTGATGATGCAGTAATTTTGTAGATTGACATTTATTTTTCAAATTTTAATGTATTTATTATACAAGGCACGTTTTCGAATCAGGGTCTATTAATGTTTCACTGTTGTTTTGTTGAAGCATTGCACATAGATTTTTTTCTATTTATTTAAATTATTTATTTATTTCTATTTACATTTTTCTTAGCCGTACTCCCCTATATGTAGTGCACTTCAATAAACGTGCAATGCTCATGAAAAAGAATTGTCTGGCAAATGTGTGGATTTTTATCTGAGTGTCTCTTACTTATTTTTCTTTCTTTTTCCCTGATACGGTCTCTCGTGTTATTTTTGTCCATAGTTTAGATTTTTCAACGTTTAGATTTTTCATCGAGGCCGATTTTTAATTCTTTCTGTCGGTAACCTCACGATAAGAAGATTTAGTCTTCATAGAGGTGTTTGCGTGGCAGGATAATGAACACATTTCGGGGAACCGTTTATCAAATGCCACCTAATTAAAGACATTCTCTTTTGAATGTCGCGTTATTCATTTATCGAAAATACACGCAAGTAAACAGAAAGGGAGGTGATTGGACGGATTATTCGAAGGAGGGGCGGGGCTATTGTAACCCATAGGCTACCTGTGCTTTATACTGACGGTCAGTTTTAAGCTCGGTGATTCTTTCCTTCGATTTCCCCGTTAAACTTCCCAATAATACTCCTGAATATTTCCCATCGTCCAAAAAGACACAGATATACGCCTGAAACAAATCGTCGTGAAACGGTTTTATCTCTCGGTTTCGTCGCTTGATTAATAATTTTGACACACAAGACAGAAACCAAAAGGAATACAGGAACTGGGAAAACAATTGTCTCATTCAAGGTTTTCGGGGATAAATAGCCGGTGCATGCACTTTTCAATCGTTGGACATCATTCCCGCGTGAAATAACAATCAAACCTAATATCATTATTGTTTACGCAAGCCTATATTCATCCTGGGGGTAGGCCTACTGTGTCCAGTTGATCCCCGCTAATCATGTTGACGTAGTAGCATCTTCACCGGCCGTGGGAATTATTAACGCTCGCGGCATTTTCCCCATCAATACAAAATGATGGGTAAATTGTGACCATTGCATTTAAGTCAATATAACGAGTTTTGATTCACGACACTTTGTTGGTTTGTACTTGTAGGCTACAGCAGTTAAATAGCAACATTAAAATAGTGTCTCGAGTTTTAACGTTCTGTTGATGACCCTGCGCAACGTGATTTGTACATCAACTTGCTTCCTGCAGCCACTGAGCGGTTTCCGTTTGGGAGTAATTGGATTCGCATGAGGAACAGGCTTGTACGAAAAGTGCAACAAACAACAGAGAGAGGTGTCCCATAAACAAATTGTTGGATCATAGAGCTAGGACCCAGGCCTAATCGAGATGCGACGGGGACGCACTTTTAATGGTGAGTATCTGGGTTTGATTACATTACATTAACATATTAAGGATTTAGTATCAATTGTTATAGTGATGAAGACTTTTTTTTTAAGTGACCGAATCCTTCCCGTATAAATCACTGCTGTTAAAATGAACATATATGAACATCATTTGGTTTTCGATCAGCATCATCGTTTTGAATCACAATGAGTAGATGTCTTTGGAACCTTTGGTTTTGTGGGAACTGACGACCAATGTCCGTATGATTATCGTCATACCTGTTCCAGGGGCGGATCCAGGAATTTTTTCGGGGGGGGGGGGGTGTCAGGCCCGTCAGATTTGTTTAATGTCCCAGTGGCGTAACAAGTTCATTTTTATTGGGGATACAAAGTTCGTGAAAAGGGCACTCGCAAATGTTTTGTAGACAGGTTTTTTTTCCTCCGGACACTCGGCCTCCGTAAAATAAAAATCCTTTCCATTCCGACGATTACTTCTATTGAACCACCGTTTTTATAATATGTTAGTATATATTAAAGAAAAAAAACATGCCGACTCTGTTAAAAAGGTATAGGCCTAGTAGTATTATTTTGCATGATCATAAAACTTATTATATTTTTCCCAAATTTTTACTTTCTACATTTTCCCGCAAGGAATGAAATGATATATAATAAACTGTTTCTCCCAGTTATATTCCACCTGCGATTAAGATAAAACTTAAATATCACCACAACGCTTAAATGTCATTAACAAAGGTTAAAGCTTACCAGTTTAATTACTGGGTTCGAAGTTTAAAGGTCAAATGCGTAGAATTTTGCACTTGGTATATGTCAGTCATCAATCAACATTGTTCAGTCATAGAATAGTGGAGTTATATATGGAAACACGTGAATGACAAGAATGTCAATGTTTACCTGTCTCAGCTATGTTTACATTTTTACAGCAGATAGGAAAAAAAAAAGAAATTCAGAAAGTTTCACACGACTTGCAATGGAAAAGAGTATTCAAGAGATCGAGAATTATGTAAGGAATGTTGCAGAAATTGTTATTATTTGCACTGTGCATATATGAAGCGATGGGGGCATGCACACTTTCACATTTTACAACCATTAGGCCTAATGAATAATTTCAGTCGTCACAAAATTTTAATCATGACAATAAAACAAAAAGTAAGTTCAACGACACCGCCAATAATCTTGCAATTCCGATTACAAATCATTGCTAATAGTTTTGATGCGGTATGCATGGCGGTATTGACAAATATGAATTCCTAAGACCGTGACACAAAGTTAAATTGTCATTACAAGAAAAACAGTCAATACCTAATATATTTTTTTCCAGACAGGCCTATGTTTGTTTATGGACGTAGGTATATCTGTTGCCGTAATTTTCAACCATTAAAAACAACAACATTGTTCGGTTCATTATGTTTTTTTATAGGCCTACATGCCCAGTTGGTTTATTCAAGTCGGTCTTTTGTAAATATCCCCTCAATTTTTTTCTCTTTTCGTGAATAAAACCACAAATGTTCCAGTTGATATTTCCTTTTGTAATAATATGCCGTGTGTCAGGGTCAGAGTGGAACGCCTACTGGGGCATTTCCTGCCTGGAACCAAGGTGATACCGCCCTCTCTCAGCGAGAACTTTCCGTAATAGGGCTGACTCACTGCCTGCAATTCCCCAAGCACTTTTAGTTTGCGGTGTCAGCAATCGAAAGACCACACAGAAGCGTAACTATTTATATAATACAGGGGAAGTAGTTAAAATCCTGGTCAGAATAACAGTTGTGCTTGAGAAATAACCTAAACATTTCATCAGGTTTAATACACTGCGTACGCGTATTTCTTTTCAACACAATTCTGTCTATTATACTTTGATATTATACTAGGAGTTGATGTCCGTAATTTTGTTCGTTTGTTAGTCAGTAGGCCCTATGTTTCTCTGTCTGTAATTTATTGTCAACTTCAGAAATGATATAATAATATAAAATTATGAAGCTATGGAAAATTTCGCTGATTTTACCAAGTTCATGTGTCTTTTTGTTAGCTTCAATTAAAAATATTGTTAAAGAAACGGAAGAAACTACCTTTACAGAAAAATGGAATCACCCAATGTGGTTAAAAATAGATTATACTGAAAAAAAACCAAAAGAACAATACATTCCATTCAGGGGTGGAATCGTGATTGATCATCAGCAGTATGGATCAGGGTTTGTTGTTGTTTATTTAACTTTGTCTTCCCGCTCTGTTTCCATTCAGATGGAAATACCTGAAGGTTTACCCGTCTAGTGCGGTTTGACCCGAAGTTAAAACCACAGAGGTTCAACTTTGACGTGTGTCCCATTCAAGTGAAGTTCTTTGTGTCAATGTCATGCCTGATGGTTGTGTAAAGCGTGGGCATAGTACGCTTGTGACGAATTCCATCATTCAAGCTTTCAAAATAAATTGAGTTAACTCTGTGTCATCAGTAAATAGACAGGGGTCCAGGTAGACCCGTGCTTTCCGTGTTCAGGCCATTATGTTTTAGCAGAGCTTTAAGTTTGTTGATAAATTATCGTGGAGTTCCAGTAGCGTTTTACTACACGGGGACCGGTTGCAGAGTACATCCGGATGAGATACTTTTACGCCGTTAAGCCACGGACAGTACTTAGCCAAGGCCTCGCTTGTTAGCGTTGGAATATCGTGAAGTCATCCGGTGGAATTGGAAACAACACGAGGTTACAGACAGCGTATAGTGATGGATTCTGGATTCTATTTCCATCCTTGTGTTATGTACTCACCGTAAACATAGACAATTGTCGGCAAGTTGTGGAATGTGAACTACTGGAGTACTGACATCACAGTGACATGTGCTTGTGACTTGCACAAATCTGATTGTGACTTGCACAAATCTGATTGAAAGTCTTGCCTGCATTCGCTGCAGAAATTGTATAGCAAACCATGATGGAGGTAGAATTCTACCTCCATGACCAAACCGACCGTTGATTTGATATGGGTCATCCGTTCTTTCCTTATTGTAGAATTATATTAACTTCTGATGACTATTTGATGGAGCATAGAGGGATGGAGAAATAGAGATTGTCAGTAACTTACAGGAGACTATAGACACTATGGATAGCGCTAGTGATTTGGAATACGAGTATGACACGGATTCGACCGAAGGTAAATTTAAGCATTATGATATAATTTGAGCCTTATGATTTTAGCTAGACCGAAAATTGGGACTCTCTGTGTATGAGAGTCCCAAAACTTAAGCGAGTAAAAACATGCAACACAAGAAAATAGACTGGCACATGAAACAACCAGTCCAACACCCCTTTTAAGTTTTGTACTGCATCAATCAACCGAGTCAAAAGGAACATCTGGTACCTAGTCTCTATACCCGCACATAATAGTCATCAGGTCATGCCACCAGATTACTGAAGGGTCAATCTTCTACTTTTTTCTTATTATATTTATAGGCTTCAAATTCAAATCACTTGGTTTCACTCTCACTGTCTCAGGTACAAAATGCTGCAGAAATTTCTCCCTTAAAAATTGAATTGAGACCTCAAACAAATTACTGAAATTTTGAGAATTTGGAGAATTTTGTCGGCTAAAGCGTGAGTAAAGTTGGCCTGATTTTGTTTTGCATGTTTTCTGCACTCGAGGTCTCAGTCTGAATTTTTATAAGCCATCAGCCTCGGTCCAAAATTGTGGCCACCGGTATAAAATGAGGGGGAAAATCGTCATAGCGATTTTTGGCAAGGTATACACCTCCAGCGATGGAAAATATGTGATAGCATTGCAGCGGTGGCAGCTTTTTGGGTGTTATCACCCTTTTTTTTCAAAATGTCCATCAAAATGCTTGTTACCACTCTAGGGGCGGTATACCTTGCGCATGCGCACTATAATAATTTATTCCCTGATTTGATACTGGCCAAACCTGGGCGGTATACCTTGCGCATGCGCACTATAATCATTTATTCCCTGATTTGATACTGGCCAAACCCCCAGGATGATGGCCTATTAAGCATGATGGAGGATCTTAGCTCTCCGTGGTCATGATGATAAAATGGATTTTTTTTTTTTAATTTAGAACATATGCCGAGTTATTTATCCATTAAAATCTTCGAATGTAATGCGGTTTAAACTTCCACGCCTCCATGACTATCAAGAAACATGTTCAGCTTTTTAAACCCTGTTTTAATTAGGTAATGTATTTGATAGGTTTCCTATATTGGCATCGAAAACGATGTCTAGTGTCCGGAATAAAACTGTCGGAGTTATTTCAAGGACAATCCATTCGTCCTTGAAGGTCTGCTTTGCGACCCCAACTGCACACGTATTTCCTAACGTGACCTAGGAAAAAGTAAGGCTAGGTGTGTTTGTTTTCATAAATCGACTCGCCATTTTTCCAACTGATTTCACTGGATGTAATGCTAGACCAGATTGTTTAGTCATAGGCCTACTTACAGAAATATAGATCCAAGTGAGTTGAAATAGTTTCCCTTGCAAGAACGCTTCCGCTGTTTGTGTTGTGCTTTTATATGCGTCGAGCTGTTATCTTTCATTTACAGTCGCACTATAAGTTAAGTTTCTGGACTTGCCTAAAACGAGGCGGAACCCCCCCCCCCCCCCCTGCTCTGATACCCAAGAAATAAATTGTAACACTTGTAGTGATAATAATCACCTATAAATTATGTCCGCCTGTCCGCAACAATCGGACCTTTTTAGGAGCCTGAACCCCCCCCCCCCCCGCAAAAATTCCTGGATCCGCCCCTGAAAACTGTTCTTTTTTAAAGACAATATGCCCGATTGAGAGAGATTGAGCTGAAGCCTGAATGACGTGTGATTTTTTCACAACCTACATTTCTGGTTTTCAGTATTATGACTGACTGGGGAAAAAAAACATCTTTGCATAACAGAACGGTGTCCCGCGGCTATTAAATTTTTTTTAAAAGTGCAAACTGTAAAACGTTTATTCGGACTAACTGTTTGCTTTATAAAAAATAATATTTGGGTGGAATTTGATCGGTTATAGTCTGTTATGGAAATCATATACTGTATAACCCAATGTCTTGCGCTATCAGCACACCCCCACCGAAATATATAGGTTCAGCAAACACACTTATCGAAATGTTCAAATATTATTAAATTGACGAGCAGGTCGATCGTTGAAAGGGTTGTCTGGGATCGTTAGGGGTGTAGAGTGTTTGTCATTGTGGACACTCCGTAAATCTCATAGTCCAGGGATGAACCTTCACCATTTTTGGTCACCCGTGATGGTTCAGGGGCTATATTAAATTCAACTCAAATCTTTCCTATTGTCACGTTCCCAGACTCGTTTTTGACTGCGAGTAATGTGAATCTAATTCCCATGGCAGAGGTACCAGGCTTGGGTACAACACTTACTCTCCTCTGTGTTAAAAGTGGTGGGCAGCCGTGTGAGGCAACTTATTAGGCAGAAACACGTGGGAGAATATTATATTATGCAGCACTTAAATTACTAACGAGAATAAAAGTTTGCATAAGCTTTCATAGCAACAACTACTACATCAGGGATGCAATTTTTTGATTGAATGATGCAAAACATGTCAAACCAGAACTTTGTTGTCAGATGCTGTCAACATTCAGGGCATTAGAGCTTTCCATGTGATATTTCTGCAAACATGTAAAGAATTACATTGAAGATGTCAGTAAGTTAGTATAATTGTAACTTGATTATAATGGGGAGGTGTAAATCTTTCAGAAAACGTGCAGTATGAGTTTCCTAAAGATGTTCACTTCACCCTCGTCAGATGAGGAAATACCTGCACGTTCGTAAAGGACTTACCGTTGCAACATTTATTGTTTAGTTGACCTGGGGCTCTCTCCCTATACTTATTGAAGGTTTTGTCGTGATTTCTTTTTGACGGTTACGATGTTTGCCAGTTGAATGAGTTTTTAACAAAGGATATTTTAGTGGAGCCCGCAGGCTGCTACTGGAGTTTAACTAGTTTTCATATGCCAAACAAACCCCGTATTCTGAAAATTCGTCGAAATGGCTACACGCACACTACTTTTTAAATTATCATGCTGAAAAGTCTTCTTTGTGTGTTAACTGAGAGAAGGGCTTTTTGTATGTTAAGTGAAAGGGGATTTTCCCTTTACAATTAGAATTTTTTTATTTAGGCATATAAATGATTGTTAAATTTAAAATGATTCCGTTCATAGTGATCAAGTGGGGTCAGATTGAAATGGTACGGTTTATAAGAAAAAGTCAGGAGTAGTTTGCGGATGGGAAGTTACCGTGTAAAGTTAGACCAATTGTAACAGACGGGTTGTTTCTGAGAACAAGACTTGGTCACTCGACGTTTTAGTCAGTATGCAGTGATCGTCATCAGAAGAATTCTGTTTTTCTATCTCGATGACGGTCATGCATATTGACCGAAAACTCGAGTTGATCCCTGCAGTTCTCAGATACACTTTCCCCCAATTAGTCGCTTGGCCATCCGCGCATCGCCACACATACCTTTGTTTTCCTCTCTACCATGCAGACCTCAAACCGCATTGAGCAATTTGGACTGCTAACTGCTGAACAACCCTGAATGTACATTTGTACATGGACATATAATCTAGAGTTTTTTAGTGGAGTATTATTTTTCACAAGTCCTTGAGCTAGACTCGGTATGAATAATGTTCTCCTACTCGTAATTTGTTGCAGTGTGCCATTTCCTTCTCAATTTAGGCGTTTCCCCGCATATTTCCCGACAATTCACAAAAGTCAAGGCAGTCATCAGATCATAAAACATCTCTTCAGCCGTGTTTTGTGTACCATTCAATAGACCTGCCGTCGCCTCACTATGGTCTGACCTTAGTGTGTCGCGAAGTAAGTAAGCAAATGCATTACACAGCAAAAGCCTTTTAGTTGAGTTCTGCAACAGGTTGATACCGTCGGGCATGCGTCTGATTGGCTCAGAAGTTCGGTCAATATTTCAACATCTTTTGAACGTAACCAAAGGTCTTGAACTTCTTTCCCATTTCTGTGATTGCAATTCGGTGTTGATTGGTTTAGTGTTTTACCTTGACAGTGACAAAGGATTTTGCTGTCCGGTTGCATACTTAAAGTTTCTCAAATCGTTATTCAGGACATAGCAAAATATGAGTCGGCCATATTAACTGAAAGCAAGACTCCATTTTTGGAACTTGCGAGTAGAGATGAAAGCAATGGAAAAGAGGTTCATTACAAATTAACACCAGTCCGCTCTGGTGAACAATTAACCATTTGTTTTTAACCAATAACCTAATGTTTTTAAGCCACGTTAGAAAATAATGAAGTGAGGTTTGGTTGCACTCCAATCAAAAAATAGTCTGGCACCGTCCCATTCAACAGTTTACAATTTATAAAATAGATTCAGGGAACACGATCGAAAATGGCGTCCTTGTGAATAAGGCCTATTGTTCCAAGACTTGTAAGTGCTCCGTCCGTAACAGTACAGTCGATTACAAGTTTGAGGTGACTTACGGTCGAAAGGTGTAGAGGTCAAATACCTAACAGCAAAAATTCCATCCTTTTTCATCATTAATTTACATTCTGCCCCACTAGTCATGGACATTTTGATACGCAGTGTACTGAATGAAAAGTCTAACCACATGCATTTTTTTCTGATTTTGTTTGTGAGCTAGGTATCGCGGTATCGTGGGTCTGTAATGTTTTGTTGTTTGCATTACGGCAACATCATGAACTAACTATTGCCGACGCCAAAAAGTCGGGAGCATTATTTCGGTCCACTATACTTCAGAATATCACTACTTTGCAAGAGGATATCACTCCTGATTTTATGTCGAGGGCCAAAGACAAAACTTGTACGGTAACAAAAGTAACCAATGTTTGATTAACCTCAATTCTGACATGTGTGGTTACATCAAGTCAAATAAGAAGAGCATTAGGCAATATTATTGTGCTTAGTTGTTTCCTTCCTCCATTGATTAATTAAGAACAGATGTGCTATGTTGATTTGAGGGTAGAGGCTTAGTTCTAGTTTTGGAAGCACTTTGGTTCCATCCTAAGTTGACCTAAGATTATCCGAAATCGTCCAGTTAAGGAATAGTTAGATTTCCCTCTTTTGTGTGTACCTCCATTTTGTTTTGAGTTTTGACACCCCCTCATTTGCAACGCAGGATCGGGCTTTGCATTGGAAATGCACGGAGAATTGTAGATGATTTCTTTAAAATTGAAATAAGGCTAAAGTAGCTACAAATATAGAATGTTCGCAGATTTACCTCCAAAACATAACAAAATTATAAAGGTAAAGTGACATATGTAATTGCTTGGAATAACGGGAGCTTACTGAGGAATTATGGGAAACGACAGTTGAAATAAATAATCATTATTATTGATACTTTTTTTTATAATGGATGTAAATTATATTATCTTTATTACAATAAAATAATGTCAAACAAACAAACAAACGTAAGGGAAGTTGAGCTATACAAGTCGTGTTTTTTTTTCTAGGCGTGTCTGCTTTCCAACACATTTGAATCGAGTTCATGATCCCTGTGGCTAACAGCTGGTGTTACCCACGTGGGCAGCACATTAGGTTACCATTTTAGTCTGACTAACATCCCTAAGTTCTTTCAATAGGCTTGACTAAAATCCTGAAGATTGTTCCCTTTTGTTGATGTTCATTCGAGTTTTTGACTGGCAACAACGCCATGTCGATCTAAGTCGATGATACATGAGCATTTTGACATTCCTAAACAAGAACGCCATTCACGTCAGCTGCCTAATTGGGAGTCGATAAATCCGGGTTTTGATCCGAATGAAGTGGATTTTCTTCCAAGGACAGTGTATCGTGAAAGGATTTCTTGACTTATAAAGGCATATAGGATCATTTGTTTTTCATGCTCTTTCTTCTTTTTCCAATAATAACTCCATTCAAAATCAAAAGACGAACGTTCAAAGCTTAACCTGTTGAAATTCCTGCTCAGTGGATATTACACATTTCGAGAAGACAGTGAAAAAAAAAACGTCTTAGCAAGACTCGGGGTGTTTAGTAACAGTATACCATATCCAAGTAAGTTTTTTTTATAATACGGTGTGCAAATGATATGTATGTCTTTTAAAACTTTATTAACGAAAACGGTCTTATTCTAGAGAGGAGAACGATCTTATTCTTGATCACGATGGAGGAATAAGAACCCATGCGTCATGCATGTCCAGAAATTCTGAAGTATTACCCTTTAATTAGTGCACGGAAGGCCACAAACGGCCAATTTTTGACATTCAAAGCAGCGTGTGAGGCTGACACCCTTAAGCTATATATGACCCCCTGTCGTGAGTCTAAGCTCGCTGGAACACGACAAAAGCACGAATCGGGAATCTGAATTCAAAGGAAACAAATATTTCAAAATATAGGCTAAAGATGGTGTATAGTGTATCAGATTTGGAGGTAGATCACAGCACACTCCAATATAACCAGGTGAACAATGAAATTTGTTTATTGTATGACTATGAACTCATACAGTCGGGGGGGGGGCCTAATCTTCAAATTCAGCTTTATACACACATTGTGCATAAGTGGTATGCTACCTATTCAATACACAACGAATAATATTTACACAGTTGACAAAGAAACCATGGCATGAATGTTGTTGAACGCCAGTTGAGGTCGAAATTCCAAAACCTGAATTTTTTTTCAACCCATTTGTTATGTGAAGTTATGTGGTATGGACCTTGAAGGATTTCACATTGCAGAAAAAATGTACAGTTGTTGTAAAAAAACAGGTCATGTTTTGGAATGTCTGACCTGAGATTTGTCACCAAGAAGTTGGTGACAAGTGGCACACTCCAACCATGCTCCAACAACAAACCAAACCCATACTTTCACACTTTTGACCTTGGGCGTTTATTTCGCCTTTGACACCCCACCCAGGCCTACTTATAACTGGAATTCAAAGCCTAAAGTAGCCTTTTTGTCAATCCCAAGACATGTTGTCATGGTATAGCATTTTTTTGCACGACCCCATACATACCACCTTCCGTCAATCAGTACCGGACAAAGCCGGGTAAGTAACCCTAGCCTCCCCCTTCTGTGTCCGGTCGAGCTGTGGGGTAACACAACCCTCGGTATGTGGGCTATATTTGCTGAAAACAGAGCTTGGTTGGTGTGAACTCTGGACAAAATAACACCTCAAGTGACACAAAAAGATTTTGATTATGTTCATGCTTTTTATGTACTGAAGCTTTAAAAATTATTTTGCATTTTTTACGAACTAAATTGTTTGACGCATGGTACTTTTTTATCTAATATTTGTTGGTATATTTATCAACCTTGTCTGTTCTGGTCCTCCTCAATTTCGTTTGGTTCGTTTCCCTGGTAACCTTGCCTTGCTATATAAGTATCGTATAATGCCTTTGGGTAACCAGCCATGAAAGCCAAGACTGAGAGATGGAATGTGTTGGCCATAGGCTTACATAGCTCTGTGCTCGACTTGTCTTTAACATAAATACTCGAAAACATTTCTACCTACTGTCCAAGTAAACCTCTGCGAACATGATGCTTCAAAAGCTTTTCTTGTTGAAAGATCATCCCACTTCCGCAGGACATTAACCCGGCGATTTGACAGTGACGTCACTGTGTATTGAAGACAACCATACATGACGTCATTGACTTGTTTCCATCATAATTAGTAGAGTATTGAAGACTCAAGCCAGCATGACAATAGGTTATTCTATACAGCATGACGTTTTGAAAACGAAAACATTCGACCCCTCCCCTCCCCCTATAGTATTTGTGGTATAACTGCAAATGGACCATTTTCTGACTTGATTTTTGTAATTGAAAAATAAAGATGTTCATCATTCGTTTTCGTAAAAGTATTCTGACAAAGTTTGATATTAGTCCCATAGCCTGAAACAAACCATGTATTATAACGAGTTGAAATTTTATAGTCCAAATCAAAGCCTCCAATTTCACTCTTTTTCCCCAAACGCGCAAGGACATTCCTCTTTATAATGCACTCCTAATTCCCCAGCTAATCCTCTTTAATCCGTTGTAGAATTCATCCTTAAGAGGACCAGTGGTCACTAATCGCCCCTCAGATTTGTCATCAGACTCACTGGTTCTCTTGTACGCTGACCATGATTGACTGAGCGTGTCATTGGTACGGACAATACGGCCAGATCGATCCACACCACTGACCGAAAGCACCTTGCATACCACTAGGCCTACTGACCACACTGGACACTTGTTGGAGGCATATTCAGCCTGATCAGCTTTCATGAAGTGACTTGGGAATAATGTGCATGTTAATAGGAAGCAATTCAGCATCTGAAATCGCTGAATCAGACGGGGTTGGCTATCTTAGGTGAAAAGAACCCATACTCATCTGGCCTCTTCCATAGGCACTTGACGTCCTCTCTGAAAACTTGTTCAGATGAACTGTTGGAAATATGCATAAACACGTTTCTTTCGCTACTTTTGTAGACGCGGAGCCGTTTGAGCCCAGGACAGCGACCATCAGGAAGAAGGAAAAAGTGGAAGAGTATTATGACATCAAGGAGCAATTGGGAAAGTAAGTTATCCAAATAAGTTTCCAACTTAATATTGAATATTATACTATTAGGGATATGATCTCAAAATAGTCCACGGGCATCCGTAAAGATAAGCCAATCACTAGACTTATAACACACTTTATTGCATTGCTCATTTGCCTGTTTGGGTTTTTTTTTTAAGTTAAACTGGAAAGATTCAAAAGCATAATTCTTATTTCTTCATCCTGTCTTCAGTGTAATGTTTATAATGGTAATGATTTTTTTCATAAGTAACAAAAATCGTTGAAACTAGGGTAATTGGGAGATATTTGTTTTCTTTTCTTTTTTTAAACTAAGTTTGAAATTGCGTCTTGCAAACCTATACCAGACCGGCAGACCCTGATATCAAGTATATGCCCCGATGGTAATTAAACTCACTGGGAGGTGTGACATTTTGGACCCTTGTGACTGTTGAAGAAAAAGAAAATGTCTCCCACGTTTGCCAGGCGCGGCCAAGAGGTCCAAAATAACATACAGTACTATTGACTTTAGCAACAGGTAGCGTACATCGCACTCTTTTCAAATATACATGCACGCACCTCCTAATTTATTATTATATCAAATGCCTCGTGCTGCATGTCATAATACCGCACCTATCCTTCAAAACAGAAAACAAAGATGTTGACCGAAAATTGGAATATTTTTCATATCTGTATTGATTAATATGTCAACTCGGCATACCATTGACATGATAATGTAGGCCCGCCATACCTGTGTTTAGTAACAAGGTGTCTACCGTGACCATATTTAGAAGCTACCTTAGTACCCGTTTGTTTGCACTTTGGATTGCTGTTCATACCGACCAGTGAAGGGGTGTATAGAATTCAAAAAGACAAGGTCAACGGGGTCAATAAAACAAACAGACTACCATTGTAGGAATGTAACAATTGATAGAGCCATTGATAAATGATTATATTGAAGTCGGGGGAGAAGTGACTTGTAAAAAGATTTTGCATTAATTTTCGATTGGCAGATTTGTGAATTGGTGGTATGTGTAGTGAACCCAGATAAAGTTGAAATGACAGCAAAAAAAGTATTGCTGATCCTAAATTATCAAGGAAATTGTTACGATTAGATTATTTTTTTTCACGGTGTTAAAAAAAGATCCATTTTAACTTTGATGTGCAGATATATATTTTAAAGACAATACGATTTTAGTAGAGTCCTAAAATGAATAATTGAGTTACTTAAATATTAGAGAATTCCCCGAACTGCTGAGGAAGAAAAGTGTTAATTTCAAATACAATTCGTAGAAATCACGATGGACTTATGTTAAAAAAACATTAAATTAATTATTGTTATTTTTTTGTGTGCAGATTTTGAATTTGTCAAACATGTAACGAATTCAAATAAGGCTGAAAGTTTTATCATAAATTATCGATGCATCTTAATAATACAGTATTAAGAAACATTCATTTGATAATTTTGTGGCAGTACTTGTAAAGCCTGCAGCAGGTATATCAAAGTGCACGATACAGCGTTCCACATGCATGTCTATATCGTGAGGCGTTTCGCAAAGGGAGACCAAGCGATCATTACATCTATACCTGAGATCATGAAAAGCTCCATTTAATCCCGAACCTTACACAAATTCACAAACGAAGAGCTGACTGCTGACTAAAAAGACCACCAGGATTGTGTAGTCCCATTCGCTCTAGCTTTTTTTGTTGGGTTGGGATAAGGAACGCAATTTACACACCTCTTCACACATTCTGTTTAGTTCGTGGGGCTATCATGGACAGCCAATACGGAGATAGATTCTTCTTTTTTAATGACTTTGTCCTCCCCTTGCCCCTCAAAGTCCATTTAAAGATGGGTTGCATTGTAAAAAACCTCAATTAACTAACCGGGACTGGATATAGCACAGTATTGTGGTCGATTCTAACTTTCCCGGAATAAATCTCACGCAAGAATGCCCCTTTTACCAGAGGTGGTTTTCCATTATTTTTGTCTTGACAAGAGCCTAAGATGACTCGGATAAACTCAACGTGATTCCGCAGTGTTGAGGAAGCTTATGAAGGGAATACGGAATTGTTCGTATAATTTAAACCCGATTTAGGATTAATAGAAGATTCTTCATTTACACAGGTGTGGAAGGGTGAGAATCAGTAATCAGTTGCCTCATGAAAAGGCATTTCTCGGTAATGTTTTCATCTAAGTGTCCCTGTTTTTTTATGCGTCCCTATTCGTAGTCCTAAAGTGCAAACTCTCACGTCACTTGTTATGCCATTCTAACTCCAAGTCACTGGCTACATTTAAAGATGTTTTCCTCACCAAACTGAAGTGGCAAGGCAACAAATCCAGTTTCGACTGTTTTTGGAATGCTTCGTTTCTAACTTGACTGGGGAAAAAAGAGAGACTAAAAAGAAGGCCTACCATGATAAGCGATCACAAGCGCCTATGGTATTGGAAGTACTTTTCTGTAGTTGCCAAAATGGTACCTAATCAGGGGGAAATCCCCATAGACTTGTGCACACGTTTTTCCCCAACTAAATGTGCCCCAACCCAATATTCCCTCATCCCTTTTTCCACGAATTTGGGTATTTTTTACTAATTAGACCACGAGCAACAAACATAACCTAATTGCGGCAGTAAAATGTTGACTCTAAAGGGGGCTGTTACATTAGGGAGGCATCAAAACGTCTCCCTAACGTCCGGTGTCTCCTTACGTTCGGAAACAAATACGATAACAGGTCTACCAAAGGTACGATACACAGTTGTAACGCTATTTATTGAGCGAACATTTTATATAAAAATATTCAAATGCGCTTTTACAATAATTAAAACTAGGTACAATAAAAAGTGTACATTCAAAAATGCATTTAAATCACAGGATACAATAAAAATTGTAATTTAAATCAGCAATACATTGAAAGACGTCGATAAAAAATAGTGTTAAGTTAAATTCGTTACAAAAAACCTACAATAAAATCCATTACAAATCAAAAGCCGTTTGAAAGAGATGAGTTACTGCATGGTTAAAAACTGACTAGATTTCGCCCTCATGCTTGCCTCGTCCTCTTGCTCGGTATCGATTAGTGTTCAGTCCTCCTAATATTTTTGCCCCAGCGTCTGTGACCTGGGGCGATGTTGACTTTTGATGGACGTATACGTCGATACAGGATCTCACAGACAACATTCTTTCTGTAAGAATTGATTGGAATTTCGCAGATTGTTGTTGGTACTTGGTGCGTGTAACACCATGGAGGTGTAAAGCTGTAAAGTCGATACAAAAGAGGAATTTCTGGTTTGGGCAAGTGCCAAAATAGACATACTTAGAGCTTGGAAAGAAAAACAGAAACACTTTTATTTTATTTTATTAATTTGTTTTATATCTTCGGACAGTAATTGAAAATATATTTAGAAAGAAATATTGTCATGGTCTAGACGAAAGTTTGTAAAATTGTCATCAAAGATGTCTCAGACCAAAAAATGATTATTATACAGTAAAGATAATTACTATATAACTAAGATCAATAAAAGAATCTCATATAAAAATCCCCCCAGAAAAATAATTACTTTAAAGATATTTGGAGGGGAAGCGCATTAACTTTCTGCTTTTGCTATATACGATTCTAAAGATTGGTGTCACCTTGTGGTGAAGCAGAAGAGAAGACTGCTGGTCTTTCCTCGTTTACATTGATTCGGAGCGTTGCTGGATTAGTTTAAAATCCCTCATTAGATTCACCAAACATCATTCCAGAGAAAGCGAGCCTTAAATCATTACAAAAATAATCTTTTGAATTATAGCCCATAACGTCTTCTTTTTATCTCTCGTTGATCGTTCTCGATGTGCTCTCTCGGCAAAAGACACTTTGTACGACTTCATTAAACTTTGGGTAATGTTTTGATAGGTAAAAAACTTAAGATCTGACACAACAGAAACCTTAGTTTGTTTTTCCCGGATGTTGTGAGAAGTTGACTCAAGGTAACCTCTGGTGAGATCTTTCAGACTTCAGACCCTGTTTCGCGCTCTGTTAGACGCATAGGCTTCGTCGTGGCGTCAAGCGAGGCGTGTCGGTTTAGAAAAGCACAAGATGCTAATTTAGAAGATTTTTAGGGAATGCGATAAGTAACAACTCTTTTGTATCTGGGAAGGCCACATTTTGTGATGTTTAATCGCCATGAAGAATTGTCCAAGCGTGTCTGATGCGAGGAAACGAACGGAATAAAGAGACCCTAAAAGATACTAAATGGATGTATAAATGGATGTAGGAAACGCTTGTATAACAGTTATTGTTGAGAAGGAATGCGGAGTTTGGAGCTAGCAATCTGGCGACAGGTTTCTTTTCATGAGTTTGAACAAACTGTTCCCCTTTTTATATTAAAACGCCACAAAACATTAGTATCCTTTTAAAATAAATGGGATCATTCTCCTGTTAGTGTGTTTGTGGGAGTGAGAAAACAAGCATGAGAATTGAAATGTTTCGATCAACTGAAACGTGGTTTGATTAGCTGAAATACACATGTACCGAAAGAGAATTAGTGAGGAAATATAGTTTCAATATTCGATGCACATGGGTGCTCTCTGTTTAGCCTCTTCGTGCAAAAATTAATATTATGAAAATATTTGACTTGAAAAAGGTAACAAATAGTTCCAACATTGATCACTCTGCTGTATCACAAACAACGACAAGCTTGTTAAATGGAAAATGCAACATTTGCAAACATAAAAAACCCAAAATGATCAAATTATCACGGAATACGTTACTGGATTGTTAGGGACTGACAATCTAAAGCATCCTTTAAAATCGTGGCTCCGGCAGTGTGCTGACATTTTCAAGAAAAACTGTAATTTTCCAACGCTGGTCGGCCTACAAGCGTTGGAGAAAACTGGCTTTTTTTCAAAACTTTTCCTAATTTTTCATATTTAGTTATTCTCACTATTCTTTGCAATTGATTACACCTGTGAAGGGGTACAAGCCTGCTAGACCAGCCCGGATTCTCTGACCTTACAATTCCCCAACGTGTATTAATTGCTCCGTTTCGTTTTAAGTGGGGTCAGGGAACCAGACTACAAGAACATGACTGGTTTTCTTGTTTTTTTCAGCATCTACAAGTCCAAAAAGTAAAACAAGTCAGTTTAACAAATTTTCTATAACATACTAATCCTCCAAATCCATTTATTTCTGAAAATTGCAGCAAGAGTAAATGTTGTACATTCCCGTTACTCCCGTTAGGCCTAATCTTCAATGTTTGCTCTCTGTATTGTCAACTTGAAAGTTTTAAAAGTTATCAACTGTTTTGCAGAGGACGCTACGGCACCGTGTACCGCTGTATCGAGAAGTCGACGGGGAAAGTATGGGCGGCCAAATACATCAAAGCACTCAAGTCCAAAGACAAGGACATGGCGCGAAACGAGATCGACACGATGAACCAACTCAAACATCCCAAACTGCTGCAATGTGTGGACGCGTTCGAGACCCCTAACAGGGTTGTCATGGTGACAGAATTGTAAGTACAATCATGGAGCTCCATGTACAATGTAGATGATGCCATCATTTGTATGTACAGATGGGGCGCCCTCTGTTCAATATACTTGGAAGTTGAGGGCTGCATTTAAAAACAAAACAAAAAAAACTTGTTGCATTGTTAAAGGACAATTTTCTGAGATGTTCACAACAATAATGATCTTTTTTAACTTGTTTAATTTGTGACTATCAGACAGTCCGACGCCGATGCATTGTAGAAAAAGAACCAGATGATGATCTTGTAAAACTTTTTCTGTTTCTGACGAATTTTAACAGCATTTATATACCATCAATCCCTCAAATTTGAGGGATTGAGGTAATGAGAAATAGTTTCTGGAAGAGGAGTGAAGGTGTGGTCAGACTGCCGTCCGCCATCTTGGCTTGAGAACAAAACAAACTTAAAGCTGTTTGTATTACACTTAAGCCCATAAAGCTTAGACCTGATGACTACAGGCTACACTAGGATTTCTCTGGGTGCGTTGCCTGGAGGAATAAGAACACATCCTCCATGCCTGAACCATAGTTCCTTGCTCTATGCCTGAACTGAGGAAGCCTGATAAGTTGGTGCACCTCTTATCACGGACTGCTCAGACCCATCTTCCGCAAGATTGAGTCGCTAACCAAAACACTTATATGGCAATTAGTTCCTTGTTTAGGTCAACTGAAGTACATGCCCCCAAATCACCTCACCACAGATATGCACTGATCTTTGCAAGATTCTTTATCTTCTCCTAATGAACGACGAATAACAAGGAAGACCCTAAAATGTAGAAGATGTTTGTTTTATTTTTCGGTCGGGTTGCTTGCTGAGCTTTGAGTCATGTTTTTCCAGCCGTTTTTATCGGTGCAGTGACCCTGTCTTGCTCGATGTACGCAGGCCGCCCAGGGACACAGATAAAACTCTTGTCATTTATGGGGCTTCATCGATGAATAGACTCAGATCTCCAAGGATTTCTGCAGGTGGTAGGCGATCGGGTCTCATGAATCGCCGGATGCGAGACCCACGGCTCCTGGTCTACAAGTACAAAACACTTCACGCGGACTTCGTAATCCGTCGGAAGTCCCCCATGGATTACTCTGTCCATAGACTTCCAAAAAGGTCTTTCTTTTCGGTCTAGGACTCTGTCTGTAACGGTCTTACAGATTGTCCATACATCTATACCATCAGTTAGGTTGGTGCTGATCACTTGAGTGTAAATACACGAACAAAACACTGTGGTGAAATCATAAACTCGATATTGCTGAAGTCAAAACGTGTTTTTTTTGTTACACTATGCATGAACAGTACGAATTACAAGCGATATGAACTGAATACGTGCACGTCTACTCAGTCTGAAAACCAACCAAGTGGTGTAAAGTCTTTTATTTCATTAACCCTACTGCCTAGGAATAGGATGCAAGCTCAATCCCGCAAAATCCTCCAACTGCCTCCATGTAAAATTGCATACAGTCTCAATCCTCCAAAATCATCCATTAATTTCTTGAATGTGGTCCTTGGAGGGGTGACCACAGCCTCAATCCTGCAAAATCCTCAAGCAATCACTGTCAATATGTTGAGGCAGAGCCAGTGACATCCTTCAGCAGTGTGGATGATTTCAAGTATAATAGGCCTACATTTATGCATGGCTGAGAATAAACAACACACGGTCCGGCCTAAGACATTAACACAGCGCATCCTCCAAAATCAGCCACACATTTTTGCCATATAGCCTCAATCCTGCAAAATCCTCCATTTTGCAAAGAAGATTTGGGAAGGTTAGGGTTAAGAAATTGCTACACCGCTTCGGGAAAGTGTTCATGTTCTGTTCCGTCTGTTCCCCTGAATCAAACATCACTACCTCTGACTGAAATACGACTACCTCTAGAGAGAGAAAAAAACGGGGACTTTGACATCTCTCACCTGTCAGAGAAACCAGGTGAATGTATTCGCAACAAGCCTGCGTTTTATCAAACCGCACGAGGACCAGTGATTCACCGCAATGCGTCGCCCCTCTCTCTGGAACGTTTCTACTCACCCGTGGACGGTCAGGATTCGCCTCCGGAACAGGAAGCCTAAAAATTCGCTGTCTCATTTCCTCCTTGACAATGTCTGCCGTGTGTTGAGTAGCCGGCGGTAGAACTATTGGGGTTTGGGTAGGGGAAGTCTTGCATTTGTTTTAATTTTTTTCTCTCCCTGGGAACTTGTCAGGATTATTTTGACGGCTTACTAAAAAGAAGTAGCAGAAGGAGGGAGAAGTAGTGTGTCAATATATATGTATCCCAGAACACAGTCGTGTTGATCGTTCATCCCTTTTGATTCTTTCATTCTCTGGGAACGGGGTCTTATAACTTGCCTCTATTCACACAAAAGGACAAAATCTCACGACTGATACTATATTTTAATCAAGTCCTATCCCGACCCCTTTTCCTGCCTTCAATTTGTAGGGGCACAAAATCCGATAGCAGTGCCTTCAACAAGACGATGGGTAAAGTTTTCGAGAAGTTCATGAATTAAAAATGACCATTTCCAAGAGAGACGTGTGGTTCTTCGAAGACAACGACTCGGTCGACGTTTTTGGAATTTCGGTCATTATTTGCTGTGACCGTCACCTTGAGAAGAAAGGAACCTTGTCACTTCCTAATAATAATAAGGTGTATCTGAAAACTCCCTTCAGGTTATACTTTCCGTCAAATGAAGCCTTAAATGACATAGTGTTTGTTTTTATTATACTTGAGAGTCTTAAGGGATCATGTTTTAGTTTTTCTCGTCTTGGTGGTCTTTGGAGTTATAGAGACCAGCATGGTTTGCAGTATGAAGGCCCATCGTGAATTTCTAGCAAAATATTTGAAGATTAACCCAAACACACCGAAATCCTTCAAAACCAACCATTAGAGGTTTGGACGAATTTGGCATGATCAAAAAGGTAGATCTAACCGTACCAAGCCACTGTTGCGTTACTTGATATTATATCCCTTGTAAGTTAATAAATTACGATCCTCTAGGCTTCCAAAACTGTGGTTGATTTTGGAGGCTTCACGAAGGTTCCTAGAAAAAAAAATGTAGATGAAGTTGGGTTCAAGAAAGTAGACATTGATCCCTTATAGCAATAATGGTTTCATTTCGAGTCATTTCGGCGTCACCGCCGGTTCTTTGGTGTCGGGTTGTCGTGTGATTTCCGTCTTGATTGATAAATGTTTTTATGCCCGAGGACAGGGAAACACCCTCAGTCAACTTAAATAATGTGACGCGTCCTCCATTGATTGAGAGCATTGACTCATTCCACCGGAGAGTAAAGATGACATGATCCATTCACCTTTCAGGGCGCCCTCTTTTGACAGGGAAATACACACACAAAAGGTTGCTGTAGCTGTCTTTAATGTTTCAAAATTGGACAACTTTTCAGTGAACATTCTTCTTCACTTTCGAATTTGCAAGAGATACCTCAAAGAGTTTGTTTACTTAGTAATTAAAAATATTTTGTAAGGTTCAAAAGGCTTCCCATTATGAATGGAACTTGGTGATAATCTTAACTACTGATCTATTAAATGAATATAAGTGATTTTAACCCAATTCGCCCCTAGATTTGAGATGAAGATGAAGATGACGATGAAAAGAACATCATCTTTAAGTAAACCTTTCCATCTGTTTCGCATTTGCAGTATTTCAGGCGGAGAACTATTCGAGCGTGTAGTTGATGACGATTTCGACCTGACTGAGAGAGAGGTTATCATGTACATGCGCCAAGTGTGTGAAGGAGTACAGCACATGCATCAATACAACTATCTCCACCTCGATCTCAAACCAGAGAACATCATGTGCGTGGACAAAATAGGAACAAGGTGAGATGAGTCCGAGGAAAGCTAGCTTTTTGTTTCTTTATTTATTTGAAGAGATTTGAAGATTTGCATGGTGAAGGGTAATAATAAGGTAAGTTGTTGCAGTAGCACCATGTGGCAACATCTCTTTTGTGAGTATGTGTGGTTCCGAAAAGAACTGGAGGGTACTCAACGTTTCGAACAGTATACTCTGCCCGTCGTCAGGAGACCAGTTTCCTGACGACGGGCAGAGTATAAACGTGGACATTTTTTTCGAGGGGATGATTTCCTTTTTGTGTTTTTTTCCCTTTTAAAATTTCAATTTCTTTTTGTTCATACACCTGTTACATCTTTCATTTTTAAAATAATAGACTCATGATAACTTTTCGTACCCAAAGACGTAAACTAAAATTTAAAAAGTGCTTAATCCTAACCTTTGCAGAGATTTATCCTCAATCCTTCAAAATCCTCCAACTGCCTCCATGTAGACAGTCGATATTGCCTCAATCAGCTAAAATCATCCACATTTTGGCTTGAAATTGTTCAGTGGAGGGGTGACCACTGCCTCAATCCTTCAAAATCTTCAACACCCTTTTAAGATGTTGAAGCAGCAGTGCGGATGACATTTAATTAAATATGGCAAGAGGACCTCTTGACTTTTTCTTCGAGACACAGAAAACTTTTTCTACGGTACATTAAGACCAAATCAAGTAGGTGTGTATGGTTTCTCGTATATTGAACCCAAATAAGACAGTTATAATCAACTGATGATCAATTATGCCTTTCCTGTGTGGCACTTTCTCTAGGGTTTTGGGCAGACGATTACATCCCTGGGTCGCTGACCGTGTTGTCTTCTAAGCAGAGGGGGCAATGGGTCATACCCCCACTGGGCTGTAACACGGCAGCCACAAAAATAATAATAATAATAAAGTGTCTGATGAAGGATTGCGACGAATGTGACTAGAGAAAAAAGTTACCAAAATCACAACTGTCTATCCTTGATTTTTTTAAATCATTTTTATCAGTTTTTATGGGAAAATGAGATGACATTGATGTAAAATGAGGGTTGTATAACAGAGAACTTTGTTTGCAGCTCGCCTGAATTTATTAAAAATGTAGACAAGAGAAAAGGACAATTTCACTTTATTCCACTTTCTTGACATCGTAATCAACAAAACAAAACAGGAAAAGGAAACAATAAACACGAGAACGTCAATAATTATAAATTCTAATTATCCATTAAATGTGTACTTTGTATGCACAAGAGAGAAATAACGAAGTAAAAGCTTTTTGACAACAAAACAGAACGGTCATTCAGACATTTTGTTTTGATTTTCCCACAGCATCAAGTTAATCGACTTCGGGATGGCACGGAAGTTAGACCCGGATGAGAACGTCAAGGTGCTTTTCGGTACACCGGAGTTTGTAGCCCCAGAGGTCGTCAACTACGAGCGGATCGGCTTCCCGACTGACATGTGGAGTCTGGGGGTTATCTGCTATGTCTTGTGAGTAATAGCTCCCAGGAGCATCGATCTGGGCTGGCGCGTGTCTGGAACATCTGTGTCTTGAAGAGGTCATAATCAGGCAAAGGCCACCATCCGGTTCGTAAGTGGCTACGTCACACACGCGCACGCACCATGCACTAATTACTTGCGCCCATTGGCTTAACTCGCAACTTTGCACTACTTCCGGTTCCAATGGTTCAAATGATTGTCAGTGCTACTCCGTTTGTAGTGGGCATGTTTTAACTTCAAATGACGTCATACTTACGAACCGGATAATGAAGTGGCGCCACGCCCACGCGCATGTCGTATACGCATTTGAGGTGCGGGCAATCTTATTGGTCAAAGTGCGCGCGTTTGTCACCTGTGCGTGAACGTGCTGCCACCCATTGATCTCCATTAGAGTTCAATGGGCCTTATTCACGAGTCGGCCACAAGGGCGGATCCAGAACACAATTTTGGAGGGGGCCAAAAAAATTTTGGTCCCCCAAAAAAGTGGGTCACAAAAATTACGGCGTGGGGTTCGGGGCCCGCTTAAGGGCCCCGGAAATTTTTTGGATTCTAGATGCTCTGTGGTGCGATCTGAGGCAATTTCTGACCACTTTAACCAATGTTTTTTGAGGAAAAGATGGTGGTGTACTCATTGCCTGCCTTTATTGCGATGTCACATAAAAAATAAAAAAAAATTGTTTCGTTTTGGGGGGGGGGGCCATGGCCCCTTGAAAGTTGGGTACAATCTTAATTTTTGGAACTTGCGAAGAGAAGTGAAAGCAATTATATTCCTAATTAATTCCAGTCTGTTTCAATTAATAATTTTTAATTTTTAATTAAAAATTCCCTAATGTTTAAAGCCAGATAAAAAAACAGTAAAATGAGGCTGCATTGTGCCTGCATAAATAGTCTGGCGCCATCCCATTGAACAGTTAACACTTAATGACATACGTTAAGGGAACTCGACAAATGGCTAACTCGTGAATAAGGCCCATGCTATATTGGCTTGAACTCGAACAGAACTTGGCGATATATGATTTACGGCAGGTGCTGGGTTTTACCGTGTTTGTCACTCGCACCCCAAGACACAACTTGAAACCAAAAGCACTAGGCCTAAAAGAATTATGCAGAGTTCTTACCTCTTGTTTTCTGTGCCAGGTTTATAGCTCTATCTGAGTCATTTAAAGATTCGAACATTTCTACAACATTTTGTACGCCTATACAAGATCGAATTGTGTCGAATAAATGTAATTTTTAAATAGAAGTAGGCCTACAGTGACCCCGAAGAAGTAAAGACGACAGTGTGTGAGCTGGATTAACTTTAAGCTATTCCAACGACAGTTCACCAAACTTTCCGAAACTCAAAACAAATTTATGAAAGCATAAAAGTCCAACTGAAGTGGTAATCCGATCTTTAATCGTTGAGTCTGCGCAACTTTTAGCATTATTATTGTCGACGGGCCTTGTGCCCACTGTGACAGTTTGTGGGTCATTAACTCCATGGTATGAGCCAACAAAAGAATCCCAAATTACATGCTCGGCATGAGTCGAATGGTCACGAATACAAATACAAACGTTTGTTCCCCAGGATTATTGTACTCTATCCGCAATATGTCTGTGGTGAAATTTGATGCTGAAAACTTAAATCGATATTATCGAGAATGAGATTTTAATTTCATAGGTCATTTGATCAGGTTCATCTCATTTACCAAATCTTGTCAAATTTAATCACGTACATGTAGTGCACCCTGTTAAAGCGTCATAACTCTTTAATTAAAGGTTACAGGGAAACTTTTTAATGTGACCTACCAACATTTGTACATGAAGAGATTTATGCATTCGGCAACATTATTTTTATTGTACTGAATTGGTATAGTTTTCTTAATTTTGCACCACGTGAAGACACTTGTAACAAAAACATTTTGGCAGGAATAGTGACGCAGTGATTTTTGGCGCAACTTGGCAAACTGTTCGTCTGATCGTTTTTGCTCGGACAGCGTCAAGAGGGCGCCCTGTTGTTTAGAAGTGAAGCGCTTTGTAGATCATGAGAGAAAGCTGCAAGAGCTTTCCAGTAAGAAATTCAAGGAAGGCACATTTGATCGCGAAAAGGCTAACGTATAGGTGGAAAGGATAAAGATAGAGTCCGTGAATTGAAATAGGTCCGCCCTGGTTCTTCAAAATGACATTCCGAAGTTGTCAGTCGTCTGTGAACTTTTAGTGTTCATTGAATTATTTTAGATTCTCATCGTGGTTAGCAATATTCAAATATATTTATGAAAAAAAATACATGTTTAATGATTATGCCAGATGACTTGAAGTACTTGAAGCAAAAGCAGCCAAGCAAACAAACAGCCTAACAACCCCAACAGACAAACTGTATCTCTGCAGAACCACACTCCGTCAATGAACAGATTAATTTCTTGTATTTTGTCGACCATCAACTCTTACAATATCATTGCAAACTTTAAACTGAAAATGGAGATGTTTGAGGAAAAACTCTCTGCCGCCACTTGTCTCACTGTCCTCTCTTTTATGCATCCGTAATACACACCCTTTCCAATCACACCAGATATATTACCACACGTGATTTTTTTTTGCAAGACCGACGATTTCAAAATAATCATCTATTAATTTTTCTTTCAGACTGAGCGGTCTGTCTCCGTTCATGGGCGACTCAAACGCAGAAACACTTAACAATGTCACGTCGGCAGAGTGGGACTTTGAGGACGAGGCTTTTGATGACGTATCAAATGACGCCAGGGATTTCATCATTAAATTATTAATCAAGGACAAAGAGTAAGTGGGAGCTGCCAAAACAAGACTGTCCACAACTTTGATTGGTTGGTCTGATAATTAATTGTGTGAGCAAGTGTTTCTAGAGGAAGGTGTTTGTAAAGAATCACTCCTATGGTATAAACATGCAAGGTAATAAGAAAATTACCTAGGATGATAGGCCAGTCCTCTGTGTTAAGATAATTGTTTTGCTAGGAAAACGTCACAACTTTAAACGTTAGATAGCATTTTGATAGGTAATTCACTGAGTACACGATTAGTACATAGGAGAAGATACTTAGGCTAGCTTGAATCATGCTTTGAGTATAGTAAGATTTTAGGTTTTTTTTACTTTGTCCATGGTTCTACGGTTAAACTTGATACCATAGCCCTATAGTTACACCATAAACCACACCACGCATAATGAATTAATTGTCAATGTTTGTGTTGGTATCGTCATTTCTTCAGTGCAATACATGTACTAATGAGGCCCCCCCCCAAAAAAAAATAGTTCTGCTTCCGATTACATGGCATGCGAAAATAGGGTAGGTATAGGTAGGGAATTTTTTTTGCCATTTTTTTTTTGTGTACGATCACATGAAGGCGTCTGTGTGTAGTCAAGGGTAAAAGGTAAAAAATGATGGTTTTGGGTGCTTTTCCTCATTTTTCCCTTAAAAAGATTAGGGTAGGGGCTGTCAGAATAGGGTAGGTAGGGAAACCGGAAGCAGAACTATTTTTTGTTTTGGCCCTACATCTTGTTCTGGTTCTTTCACCCTGCCCTCTCTTGACCCGTTCCATATAGTTCTTCCACACCCATCATACCCCCTATATACTCACCCACCAAGTGGATTTCCTCATCTCCTAAAAAAAGAATCGCCCCATTGTGCCCAAACCACTTGAGGATCCCAGATTATGCTCTCGTCCATTTCATAAACCGATCTCCAGAGGAATTGTAATTATAATCAGGAGTCATTTTCCGGTCTGAAACGCCCTCAAGCTTCCTTTTCTATTATCAGCCAATGTTTACCTTCACTTGATTTACGTAACTGGTCCACTTCACCACCCATTGTGGAGGAATAGAAAACCTTGGAGAGAAAAGACTGGGACTCCTTGTGCTGGCTCCTTGAGACCTTATTTGATCTGAAGCCCCTGAGTTTCTCCTTTCTTTTTTCTTCTCAGGAGTCGGCGTACAATATCTCAGTGTTTGGAGCATCCGTGGTTAGCCAGGAGAACTCTGGCACACCGACAGAGCAACAGGTTACGGGGTGCATCGCTGCGACTCAAGGGCTACATGGCAAGACGGCGATGGCAGGTAAGCCCAACAGTTTCTAATCTCGAAATCTTCCCTCAATCCTGTTTCGATAAATAATGTTCAACACTTTGAGTGATTATGTAGATTTGTTCCTTGATCGTCGGCGCGCAAATGATTGTATTTTACAGTTTCATGTGTAAGACTGAGTGAAAGATAAATGTGCATAATTATGACGATAGCCTTTTAGAACAACCAAGTAGCCATTTCAGGCATTGATGAGTGCACAATTACCCATTCGGTCTGAGCAGCTGATACATCCATTGTACATATTTGTGGTAGAAGGTGCCTTTTGGTGAATGAACCACTCATCGAAAAGTGTAGGATAGTGTAGGAATTGCAGGGTAGTGCTGCCACTTAAGAATTTGATAATGCACCATCGTTATAGCTTACCCAATTCTAACTACTTTGCACTCCACACTGACCCCACCCCAGCCCCACCCCCACCCTCCTTTCCACCTTCCTCGCCCCATTCTTTATCCAGGTTGGCACCATTGTTAAGATAGGTTTAGGCCAATACAAGAATCTGTAGAAAATTCAATCCATGAAAATCATGTATGCGTTCCATAAATTGTGCATGTTGGGTTGCCTTTCCGTGAATCTGATTGATCAAAAATGTAAATGGGAGTTTACTTTATTAGCGGATTCCGGTCATCATCGTAAAATCTCCTTGGAGCCAAGAATGAACGCTGCATGTCGATTGGTGTTGGGCCTTCAATCATAATATCTGATAATGATGATAAAGAGAACCGGACAGTGACTGTTTTGCAGTCATAGCGCCCTCTGTTGACAAATACTTGCGGCCTAAAAGTGGAAGTCACTCACCTTAAAGTGGAAGTCACTCGTAAACAACTTGATTTTCACCCTCTAGCATACAGGAGATATTTCCTGCATGTCATGCAATACCATACAGTGGCGCGCCCCATGGGGGCGAGGCGGATATGAGAAAATGTTTCTCAGCAGTCATGAGCCTTTTGAATTTGAGGCAAAGATGAACCTCATCGACCATGTTGGGTTTATCTATGTTGTGAACATTTTGGTACATTTTTTTTAAACGCAAGCCAATTCGAAAGGGAATAACCTGCTTTTAGAAATACAGTAAGACAGAGAATGCTTCAAAACTTGATGTTTGAAGCGGTTATTGTGAGACAGAGAATGCTTCAAAACTTTATGTTTGAAGCGGTTATTGTGAGGTCGAAAGACTAAGGTTATTGTGTGGTCGAAAGCTTAGGCTAAAGGGCCATCGCAGATTTTGTCCTTTGAAAAAAAATGTGTGTAGAATAAAAAGCAACGGCAGCCATTTTGAAAATTTTGAAAATGCTTATTATTCTACCTATATTTTCATAGGACAAATCTGTGATGGCCCTATAGTCAAATATCTTTCTTAACTGACGTGCTCTGACTGTGTGCCAAATGCCATGCTTGAATCATCAAAGGCACAATTCCCCCAAATATTTCCCCTATAATATACTGTGCCCCACTATTAAACGATAATCATGTCCAATAACCAAGTCCGTGCGAATGGGTACTTCGCGTCAGATCCATCTTGTGATAAAAAAAAATTCACAAGAGCTGTGAAATATGAAACCATTAACCGCCTTTCAATGTCACATCTTTGGCTATTTATTTGAATAACTGTAATGGTAGGAATGTGTCTTACGGTGCCGTGGGCTTGGTATAATGAGTTATAACGTGATGCTTATAGCCAATAATCTTCATCGACCTCGTTTCGTGTAGCATTGATAATACGCGGTACGCTCTACACTCTGCCTCAGTCGAGGGATCGGTCTTAAAAAAAAGTTTGAAAGCTGAGCAAGCGGAAAACACCAATACTTAATAAATAATGAGTTTAACTTTGGAGGGATTTAAGAAATCGATATGGAGTGAGTGACTGTAGCTGCAGTATTGTGCAGTGTGTTGATTCAGATATGCTCAGCATTCCTAACATTTTTTTAAAGTTCTCTTTAAAAAGTAAGATGTGGTTTTTAAAATAGGCTTTTAAAATAAGACTTTATGAACGAACAAGAACAAGCGATGGTGCCTTATCTAGATGTTGACTTGTAATGACAGAGGAGGACTTTTTCGATTTCCTTGAATCATTAATGTTCTCAGCAAGTAAAAGCTTACTTTTGAAGGCCAATCTTGTAGTCCGTGTGAAAATAACGATTTTCTTTTTACATGAATGTTACATGTCCATGAGCCGACATTCGTTGGCTGCGGCAAATGAACAAATGACTTTTAATGAAACGTGTAATCCTTCCATAAAGGAATTTTGCCTTGAAATGAAAGGTTCTCTTCGGAAAACTCATAGGCCTATCATGGAACCTTGTCACTCTTACAGTTGGATGTTTTTACATACTAGGGCCTAACTGTAGGTGAAAAGCTTACATTGTGTTTATAGAAACGACACTTCAGAACTTTTGGCGCATTTAGCTTAAAGTAACCACCGCCTTCCTTGAAATTACCCGTTGACCTAAGGTCACGTACACTGTGATTATTAAATGAGAATAGTGGAAACCCTTATCTTCCAGTCCTCTAAAAATCCGCCAGATTTTGGTAGATTTTGCAGGATAGAGTAGGGGGAAGCTAAGTCATTATTAGTATTACTCCACGTGGAGCTTGATGCAACTTGAAAGTTAGAGTAAACATAAATGTGCCTTTTTGGGTCCCCACTGTGAAGGATTTGGATGATGCATGAAGCTTCCCTGCAAAACAGCTGAGGGAGTTATGGTTGAGGGTGGATTGTCACGGATGAAACCGAATGCTTAAAGCATTCTATCTTCGTCGAAGGGAAAATGTGACTGAGACTGAACAATATTGAAAAATAACATGGGAACGGAACGCATGGCATGCTTTCTGCTATTATACATCCACATGCAAACCAACTTCAATCCTTCGTCCCTTGTGTACTTCTGAGCACTTTCGTTCAGGCATGGCATTTCAAAACATGACCATTCTCAGTTAAAAAAAAACTGTCTTCTTTCTTGTGTCTTTTTTAACCAATGTGAAAGTGGAATAACACGTTGTATATTCGAAGTTGCTTGATCCGGTGTGATCTGCCGCCAAGGTTCGGCACTAATAAGGTCCTCTTGCCAACAATCGACTTCTTGTCCCCGATCACTGACTTCTTTGCGGTAGTTTTAAGACGGCAAACCGGGTGTATAATGAGCATGGGTAAATCCTTGTGTACCATTGTGACTTTCTTTCTTCTCGAAGCTGAATCGGGCGGTAGGACATCAAAGCCCTATGGCCGTGTTTTCTGACTCCTTCCTGGCCGTGTTTATGCCCGTCTTTGGTGGTTTAGTCACACCTACGGAATCCTGCCCATGCTTTTGGACTAAATACCACCTCCAAATCATGATCAATTTGAAGGATATTTCACCTCGATGATAATGTCATTGTCCAGACATCCTGTCTGCTTGCATGTGGTTACTGCGTCACTCTGATGAAAAGAATACAATTTTAGGTGTGGAATTCGCTACCTTACTGACGTCCTTCTGGTAATTATTTCCTCCATAAAAATGTTGACGAAATTCCAAATAAGTGTTTACTCCAAGAATGTACGTAAGCAACGAGGAAAACACAGCTTTCTCGTGTGAGATAGGAATGTCCATCCAAATATTTTCATTGACAACGTGTCTTGGAGCAAATATGAATCAAGATTTGTTTGCGACAGGGCTGTGTTTGGGGCAGCTGGGTTTATTTGCACCAACAAATAATAAGTTACACGTCTCAACATAAGTCATGTTTACGGTGTAAAAGCCGTCTTCTCACGTAATCCGTTTAGTGTGTGTTGCTTGTTTCCCTATATATCTTAACTGTGGGACCCTTATAACGTGCATAATAAGGTGGGTTAATTCGCCAAGTACATCTTTTTTGTTTGCAATTTTTTTTATCCGATAAACTAAAGGAAAAAAGGAGGGTGTCAGGTTGACGTAGTGGTACTCTTCTCGTCTTGCCAGACCTGTTTCTGGATTCGAGTGGTAAAAAGTGGACTTACTGTTGTGATGTTTTCCATGAAATATCATTCCAGGGCTTTCCTTACTAGCGGGATGCCGCGCTTCGCGCGGCACCTGCTGGCTGGATGGTCAAGATGGAGTCGTAAAGCCCTCTGGCTCAATCGACGTACTTTTGAGAAGAGGTCGATTGTACAGTAAGGTTTTGAAATGCCTTTTCATATCGTGCGAATTTGTACGATTGACGGTTAAAGGGTTGTATTCTGCTTTGACCCATATTTGCATGTTGACCCCACTGTGGGCGTGGTAAATCTTGGTGAAGCAATTTTGCCACATTTTTCATCATCAACGTTATGTTTCGCGTCATACAGCGATAATGCATTCAAAGTGTCAAAGAAACAAACAAATTTGCCAAAGAAGCAGAACGAAATTCAAATACATAATTTTTTTCGCGTGCCAACCGTGACTTCAGAGGACAATGAAATCGGAGCATGACCAGCATACACTGGATACCTCTCCAATAATCCTTGCATTTTGCGCTTCCGCAAACTCCTTAGGCCTTCTACAAAAAGCGTGACACACAGACAGACAGCGTAAGATCTTGTTATATAGCATGTTACCATCAGCTTCTCTCTGCAGAATTTTCAGCTTACTGTGCCTGACCTGTTTTGAAGAACCTTTGATTTCATTACAAAAAAAGAAGAAAAATAAATCTGAACTGAATCAAACTTTCCAGCTTCTCCCTCTCTATCTTCCCCTTGCCATCTAATACCAGCCGGCATGCACACGCCCGTGGTATTTACATGTTGCTCAACATTATACAACAGATGCAGTTGTTGACGTTGGACTCTCCCAAACCCACTAGATGCGCACTCCCCGACTGCAATAACCTATTGCTGATTGAATTATTCCTAACGCATGTTTGGTCGGTGAATGTTGTCTTTTGAAGGATCTAACTCTTGAGTAAGGTTAATCTGCTTGAGGTCAGTCAACTCACTCAACACAAGGCCCAAGAGATTATCCCAAGAACCTTGTGTGTTGAGGTGC